TGAAAGCACTCGCCGACACCCGAAGAAGCCCGCTCACCCGCAGGCTCCGCCAGATCGAACTGCACGAAAGAGTTCGACTCAAAATCGACTCTTACACCGGCGAAGAAGACCCCAAGAAGTGGCTAACCGCGTTCAACCTCGCCATGAGGAGGGAGAAATACAAATCTTACGACGAAAGAGAGGCCAACTACTGTCAAGTATTCGTCGAGCACATGGCGAAAGATGCCTTGACCTGGTTCTCTAACCTCCCCGCCGAGTCGATCGATAACTTCGACGACCTAACCAATGCTTTTCTAAAGCATTACTCCATGCACATGACCCGAATCACTCGGAACATGTTCACCACAACGCAAACCCAAGGCGAACCATTGCGCAGCTTTATGGAAAGAGGTTCAAACAAGCAGCTCGCGACACTGGCGACATGCCCGATAGCGTCCCGCTGGAAGCACTCCGCAACGGCCTCTGGTACGACTCCAAGTTTAAGGAGGATTTGTCACTAAAACCCCCTGCGACTCTGGAGGACGCGTTCCACCGCTCTCGGAACTACATCTTCCTCGAGGAAGACCAGCGCTTCTACGCCGAGAAGCACGGAGATAGGAGGGCAACCTCGTCGAAACCCAGAGAGAACCCACGGAGGCACGAAGAAGACACGATCCGAAGAGGTCTCTCCTGCAGCATTCGCAGCAGCCGACGATGATCCGAGCAAGAGCACGCGCAGCCGTTTCGATGCCACAAGACATCAACTCGCTCGGAGATGACAACGACACCAAAGCTTTCTGCAAGTTCCACGGGCGAACTGGCCACGCCACTGAAAACTGCAAACACCTTATTAGCAACCTTATGCGCATGTACCATCGAGGAGATATCCCGCCAATGGACGGCGATAGGTCCCAAGGAAAAAGCTTCCCGCCGAGACCACCAAAATCTGGGCAACAGGAGAAGCGCGGACGACAACCCCGTCCGAAGAAGGATGCAGAAAACCGGAAGCCCCGCCTGGGAAGAGGAATCGTGACGACACGACGACCTACCCCACCACCGAAGCGACAAGTCAGCATGATCATGGGAGGCCTCCTGGATAACGACGATTCCATATCGGCGATCAAGGAATACGAGCGAAAGGCCGTCGCGGCACAACGCTACCCATACGTCCATAAAGGGATCCCCACAATCTCCTTTCATGGACAAGGACGCAAGCGGATTAGATATCCCCCACCTCGACCCCCTTGTGGTCACGTTGCAGATTCACGACTGTGACGTCGCAAAGGTTCTAATTGATACTGGGAGCACGGTGAACCTCATCTTCCTAGAGACACTGGATCGCATGGGAGTGGAACAGGAATCCATCAAACCCACATCCCGTCCCCTCACCGGTTTCACCGCCGAATACACCTACAGTTGCGGAACAGTTCAACTCCCCGTTTATGTCGGCGGAATTTCGAAGCTCCTGAAGTTCATTGTCATGGACAAACCGGCCATCTACAACGCAATACTTGGCACCCCCTGGCTCCACGAAATGAAGGCCGTCGTCTCGACTTTCCACCAGTGCATGAAATTCCCAACGCCATCCGGAATTTACACCTTGCGTGGGGACCAAAGAGTGACGCGATCATGCTTCCTTCGCGAGCGCAAGCTCCGCACCGCATCATCCTTTATGATAGCCGAACCCTCAAACCAACCACCTCGCGAAGATCTGAGCCAGTATTGTACGACGAGACCGACGGACTCGATACAACTGGATACATCACCACGACGCTGGGAGAAGCGCCGCCGTTTCCGCAAGCAAACGCCGAACCCCCATGGAAAACCGATTTAAGGTCCAGCCTTAACACCAAGAAACTCTCCAATCTGTTCAAAATAAAGCAGCTCGAGGACGAACCACTGCGGAGCTTCCTCGACAGATTCAAAAACGCGATCCTCGACCTTGACGAGACCCCGGGCGAGCCCCAATCGCAGAAACAACGCTCATCCAAGCCCTCCAATGTGGGCTTTGGTATCGATCTAAGTTTTGTGAAGACTTCTACATTCGATCCTTCCGAACACTGAAGGATGTCTTCCTTCGCGCTGAAAACTACATCTGCCTCGAGGAGGACGTCATGTATATGCGATCTGACCAAAAAGACCGTCGAACCCACTTAGGAAACAAGAAGAGGTCATCATCCCTCCGCCTGGAAAAAATCACGCATAAGACGCCAAGATGCTATCACGAGTCATCCCCTTGCCGAGATGCCACCCCTATCCGCAACGACGAGATCGGAAAGAATCTGGGAAATCATGCGAGGGCAGATTGTCATACATCCCACAGTGCTCATTCTCGGATCTGGAGAAATTCGAAATTATGGCCGATATCCGGAGGACCCCCTGACGAGCCGTATCTACGAAATACCACTGAAGAAGCGCGTCTCTCTACATCTGAACTTCTACGACGGCCGAGACGATCCCAAGCAATGGATCACCTCCTTCATGATAGCCATGAGAAGACAGAAGTACGCTTCGCCGGAGGAACAAAACGCCCACTTCTGCCAAGCCCTCGCCGAGCATCTGCGCGGCAATGCCCAAGCATGGTTCGGCAACCTCCGGGCCGACTCCATCGATAGCTTCGACGATCTGGCAGCCGCCTTCCTAAAGCAACACCTCCGTTTCGCACTAGACGACCTCGTCCTCTGCAAAACCGATGATGATACGATCTATAGTCTCGGCAAATTCGGCCCCGATTGGGAAGGACCATTCCGTGTCGCGAAAGTCATCAAACCAGGAGTCTATCAGCTGGAAGACAACCTAGGCATCACGTCTGATCGCCTTTGGAGCTCATCGGACCTGCGCAAGTTCCACGACTAGACGCGAAGCACCGATTCTAATGGCTTGATCCCGTCACGGGTATGTAGGCAGCCTTTTTAAGGCGCAGCTATAATACTTAATAAAATTCTAAAGTTTTATTAAGACCCCTTTTAATCTCGATAAGCGCGCATAGGCATAAACTTGTCGACATTACGCACGCACTTGTTTGACGTCAAACCGAGAAATATTGAGGCAAACTCAATAAGCACTTGCACTTTGCACCCCAAAAAACATGGATTGATCACCCATTCATTAACCCGAGAGCACACACCTCGCAGGGCTCTCAGTTCGACGGACGAGCGAAAAACCGCTACCTCGTCACCCGTACGAAGCTTTGAAGTCGGAAGCATAAATCGAGTTTCTAGAGCTCGTCGCTGAATGTAGGCTTAACATCCTAAGCATACAGACCTAATACGCACCGGTCGGTGTCTCGAATGAGAAGGAAAATCTTCATCATTCGACCAGGACATCAGCACTATATATTGAAGACCCTCCCCATGGAGAAAGGGATCCAGAATCATCCAAAATCATCTAGAATCACTAGGCCTTCATACTAGCTTTTATTCCTTTCTCTTGTTCATCACCACGATCTCACTAGGCTTGTTAGCGAGATTGATCTCTTGTAATCTTCTTGATAATCTAAGAGTCAAATTCAGCATTCCAGTTTCCTAAACTCACATCTTTGATAGTCCGTCTTAATGAGTGTTATCTCGGATTCAACAACTGCTAACGGAGTTGAAATTTTCAAAAGTTTCTAAATTATGTATCAATCACTTCGACAATAGAGTATGAACATGTCACATGTTTATAATATAAGATTATTTAATCAATTGAAAACGATAGAGTTTGATTAACTAATTAATTAATAAGAGCGCTAATAATTGAAGCAAAATAGAAAGACAGAAAAGACAGAACAAGGATGCACCACATGTAGACTTTGGTAGTTTAGTTCGTCGGTCTCCATCGTTAGCCATTCACTCTCCAATCCAGCAACACACTCGTCGAGACTGGTCTTAATCTGACAACTATTGATGGGTTCAGATTAGGCCACGTGTCAACTTTAATAGACAAAATAGTTGGACCCGCTTGCAAATGAGTGTACACGTGTCGCGCAAATGAACTGCGACATGTCTTATGTGCTTTCCCATGCGGAGATGTTGACGTAGGCAAAATAAAACGAATAGAAGTGCCCCACCTCAGTTATAGAGAGTGAAATAAAATAAGCCAATAACTTTTCTTTAAGCTAAAACTATTTTGTTTAAAGTTGGCGTCATATATAATATATTGTTTGAATTTTATTTCATCTGTTTCAAACACATACAAAAATGTCGAAAACAGCATTTGGAGAACACTTTTTTTGTTAAAGAGTTTGTATTTGGAGAACACAGACTACCGTTTCTCATTTCGAATCAGTTAAACTCAAGCAATTACAATTATGCAGGTAGAAACAATATTTTGAAAGCTGTTACTTTTTTAATTGTCATTTTTTCTCACACAATGTAAATTGGATTGATATAAGTACTTCAGGTACATAAATATTGGAACGCATGATGGCACGTCGGCACCTATAAGACTTGATTCTTCTTCTTTTTTTTGGGGGGTCAAACATAAAACTCCATTATAAAATTGAAATTACTTTGTTTTTTTTTTTAAGAAGATTAACAAAAAAAGGAAACGACTTTGGATGCTAGACATAATTTTTGACATATATGATTTGCAAGCTGCAACCAAGTCTCGTAAAAACTCTTCACAGAAAAAATATAAGTCTCGTCAAAGCTACTGAAAGAAATACAAATGAATAATTGTACCTAATCTAGTTATTTAAACGGTTGCTAATTTACTATGTTGACGATTTGACGTGGACTATGACATCTTCTTTTGATCTTACCGAACATAACCCAGTTCACTTTATTATATATAAAAACACATAATGATGCTCCTCATCCTCATCCTCATCCTCATCCTCACCTTCGATCCTCACTCATAACACAAAGCAAAATACAAATTATACAAGAGTTCTTCCATATTTGTTGTCAACTCCAAAAAATGTTTTAATTTTGATTACCAGGCATACAAAGATAATTTAGCACATAAACCGAAGCGTGTATATATTCTCCTTGAAAGAGAAAGATGGGCAAAGGTCGGAGATTAACGATTAGTCGGAGCGAAATGTTTCTCGGGAACCATCATCTGTCCGATGACGGTCACGTGGACGGAGAAACTACCGTCGATCTAGAGCTCATGGAAGAGGATGTCTGGTCAGTGGTCGAGCCTGACAAACCAACAGAAGAAAGCGCGTGGACCTCCCTCTCCCTCGAGCCGACCTGCGGTGAACGGAGACGGAATGGAGGGCGCGTGAGTGGCCTGACCGATGGACGGAGGAAGAGGCACGTGGCGACTTCTGCGCCAGTGCAAGTGCCTGACTGGAGCAAGATCCTAAAGGTGGAATCTGTCGAATCAATGCATAATAATGACGTGGCGGATGGTGATTGGGAGAGTGAGATGGTGCCGCCTCATGAGTACGTGGCGCGTAGCCGTCACGGTGACGGTGGTTCGTCAGTGTTTTTGGGCGTGGGGAGGACGTTGAAAGGACGAGACATGAGACGGGTCAGAGACGCCGTGTGGAGCCAAACCGGGTTTTATGGTTAATATAGAGTTACGCATTTATTTTGATCATTAATAGTAGTAGATTATATAATTAAGCACATATACATATGTAAATTTTAGTATTTTACATTACTCTAGTTGGCGCCTTATGCAAATAATTAAGATCATATATCAGAGTTTCTTATTTATGCAGTATATTAAATTTTTTAATTCAAAGGTCCTTTTAATTAAAACTCTCTTAACTTTTATTAAGATAAAAAAAGGTAGTTGAAAAAGAAAAACTTTAAAACCGTTAATGTCGGTGGAACATAAATGGAAAAACAACTTTCTTCTTTCACGGAGAATGGTAATAAACAAAATTTGTGAGATCGAAATTGCCAAATCTATCGGCTTTTTATATTTTCCGATAAACTCTCCGATTGTTCTTATTCTTCCTCTTAACCTAAAACGCAAGAAATTCTGTAAAAAAAAGCCCTAAAATGGGTTGTTTCAGCAGCAAACACCGAGCAACAGAGAGTGACGTCCTCAATGGCAGCTTACAGAGCTCAATTCGAACCAATCAATCTCAATCTCATGTCTCTCGTCACGTCCCCGAGCCTCAGAAATCGCTACCTCCTCAAATTCCGACAACGAACCACACGAATCATCATCAACCACAACCACAACAACAACGACGACAAGAACAACCCAAACCCGTTAATCAGATAATCGAAGAGAAACAGGTTTTAACACCATTGAAACCCATCGCTCTACGAGAAACAGAGACAATTCTAGGCAAACCCTTTGAAGAAATCAGGAAACTTTACACGCTCGGCACCGAGTTAGGTCGAGGCCAATTCGGCATAACCTACACTTGCAAGGAGATTTCAACGGGGGACACATACGCCTGCAAATCGATACTCAAGAGGAAGCTAGCGAGAAAGCAAGACAGAGACGACGTGAAGAAAGAGATTCAGATAATGCAGCATTTGTCAGGACAAGAGAACATCGTTGAGATCAGAGGCGCTTACGAAGACAGACAGTCGATACATCTCGTGATGGAGCTGTGTGGTGGGAGTGAGTTGTTCGATAGGATCATAGCTCAGGGGCATTACTCGGAGAGAGCAGCTGCTGGTGTTATCAGGTCGATTCTGAATGTTGTGCAGATTTGTCATTTCATGGGAGTGATGCATCGTGATCTCAAGCCTGAGAATTTCTTGCTCGCTAGTAAAGATGAGAATGCTATGCTTAAAGCTACTGATTTTGGATTGTCTGTGTTCATCGAAGAAGGTGAGTTGTGTTATCAAATCCTCTTCTGATTGTTGTTCTAGACTTCTTATGAATGTTAGAGTTATGTTGTGGATGTAGATTAGTCTAAATACTTAAGAATCTGATCTCATTCAGTTATGTTTTAGTATGTGTCAAAACAGAGTTTTTTGCAAGTTATGACATTTTAGTTAGTTGATAATCTTGTGTTCATATGTTGATTTCTAAATAATATGAATTTAAAATTTGCAGGGAAAGTTTACAGGGATATAGTAGGAAGTGCTTACTATGTTGCTCCTGAAGTGTTAAGACGAAGTTATGGAAAAGAGATTGATATTTGGAGTGCAGGGATTATTCTATACATATTGCTTTGTGGTGTACCTCCTTTTTGGGCAGGTAATGATGAAAAGCTGAAATGTATTTTTGCTTTGTTTTATCCATTGAATGATGTAATTTTATATGTTTTAATGTTGTTGTTGTTGTTGTTACATGTTGTAGAAACTGAGAAGGCGATATTTGAACAGATTATAAAAGGAGAAGTTGATTTTGAGAGCGAGCCATGGCCTTCTATATCTGAGAGTGCTAAAGATCTTGTGAGGAAGATGCTCACTAAGGACCCCAAGAAACGAATCACTGCGGCTCAAGCTCTTGGTAAAGATCATTTAGTCTCTTGTTTTAGGTTTAGTAATCAACTCATTTTGCAAAGCTTACTAAGCTGAAATGATCATTGTGGTATTGTTTTGTAGAACATCCATGGATCAGACGGAGAAGCACCGGACAAGCCTATTGATAGTGCTGTGTTGTCGCGTATGAAGCAATTCAGAGCAATGAACAAGCTTAAGAAGCTAACTCTCAAGGTAAAAACTATAAACTTCTCTTCTATAAGTACACATTCTCTTCTGTTTTGCCTGATCTTTGGTTGTGTTTCTTATTTTTGTCTTCTTAGGTTATTGCAGAGAGTCTATCAGAAGAGGAAATTAAAGGTCTTAAAACCATGTTTGCGAATATGGATACCGATCAAAGCGGCACAATCACATACGAAGAATTAAAAACCGGACTGGCTAAACTCGGTTCTAAACTCTCTGAAGCTGAAGTTAAGCAACTCATGGAAGCTGTAAGTATTGCCATCTCTTTCCCTGCTTACATTCTTCCATAGTCGTCTTTAAAAAGAAAGAATCTGAGAAGAGAAAATATGTTTCAGGCTGATGTAGATGGAAATGGAACAATCGACTACATAGAGTTTATCTCAGCAACAATGCATAGATACAGATTGGATAGAGACGAGCACTTATTCAAAGCGTTCCAATACTTTGACAAAGACAACAGCGGGTAAGTTCTTTTGACTTAGAAGTTAGAACTATTCTGAGAAGACTAAGATGGATTTGGCTTTTAACACAGGTTTATCACAATGGATGAGTTAGAGTCAGCCATGAAAGAGTATGGTATGGGAGATGATGAAGCTAGCATCAAAGAAGTTATAGCGGAAGTAGATACTGATAATGTAAGTCTTTGTTTTCTCTCTACATATATGCATTAAAGAAGTTATGAGCCAAAGATTGAGATTAAAGGGTCACTTGTGCAGGATGGAAGAATAAACTATGAAGAATTCTGCGCCATGATGAGAAGTGGTACCTACACAGCCACAACAAGGGAAAACTTCTATCAGTCCATTGATCGATTAATAGGAAAAAGGAGGAACATAATAGCATTAACTTTGGATCCCAACATGTTAAAAGTGTTGCAGACCTAAACCGAGGAATGCTTTTACAAAAAGTAGGTTATGTTAAATGGAATCTGTATTCAACTGACCGGAGATAAATTAATTTCTTACAAGTTGCAGATTTAATCCTCGTAGAATTATACGATTCCGAAACAAAGATAATGATAACAATTGTTTGCTTGATGTTTAAGGCACAAAGGAAATCAGGAAGAGATGCATCACTATATTAACGACACATTTTTTCTCGAACACAAACATCACCTAATGATAATCTAAAGTACAGCTAAAAATATTGCACATCAACTTTAAATTATCGTAAAAAAAAATGTTTTTGATAATGGAAATGAGATTTGTTTTTTTTTCAACTCCCATTAACATGAGGGGGTTCTTCACATTTTACCCAAAAAGAAATGAGGGAGCGCTCCCTCATAGATTGAGGATTCTGATTTAGATACTCAAGAGGTATGCTTATGTCTAGGATTTTGAGAATTTGGTTTACGTGTTTATGTGAATTTGGTTTACATGTTTATGTGAATTTGGTTTACATGTTTGAGAATGATTTTACTAAGATAGTTGGTTTATATCTTGACATGTATGTTTTAGTAAGATAATTTAGTGTTATTGCTGATTTGTTGATAAATTTTATTATAACGTTACAGGTTTAAATATGACGAGTATGAATGAAGACTTCTCTGCTCCACCTCCTCTTGGACCGGAACTGTTTAATGGAAAATGGAACGTTCAAGTTATAGGTAAATCTGTTAACTGTTTAATTTTTTCTTATTTGTGATGTTTCTTGATGATCAATATTGATTTGGTATTGTTTCCTTATGTCTTTAGATGATGATGGAAATATTACTTTAGAAAAGGTAACTGGGAAGCAAGTCTGGAGCATGCAGAAACGTCGAGTTATTGTAAATTTTAATAGGAGGGGACAACCAATAAAAGATTCAGGAGGATTATTAGGTTCTTGGTTAGGTAGTTTGAGCTACGATCTTAATATTCTTCCTATTAACTACACTGATTGGAGGAAAGTTCCTAACTATAGGAAGGAGATGGCATGGGACAGTTATTCAGGTATCTACTTTAACTCATGGTTAGATTTATCTCTTATCAGTTTTTATAGATTAACTCATGGTTTTTATCTGAATACAGAAAAAATTTTTGGTTCGATGATCCAATGAAGAGGAAAAAGTATGTGATGTCTACTTTAGGAGTCAGATGCAGGGACTTAAAGCAACGCTTTTGGAAAATTCATAAAAGAAATACTCCAAGAGAATCAATTGAAGCTCGACCAACATTGATTCCGGAAGATCAATGGATAGATTTTGTTCATTCTCGGTTCACAGATAAAGCCAAGGTATTGTCTAGAACATTCTCCATTCACTGATTCTTTTAATTCTTTTAAATAAACATTTCTAGAACATGTTCTGAATTTTTGTTTCCCATAACTGTAGAAACTTAGAGATGTAATACGAAAAGTAGAAGCCATTTAAAAGTACCACATGTACTTGGGAAAAAGAGTTTGGCAAGAAGAGGTTATGAGATGGTAAGTTTAGTTAGTATATAATAAGTTTAGTTAGTATATGGTAAGCTTTTGTAATCTTGAACTGTTACATATGTTTCAGGAAGAAGAAAGTGGTCTTGAACCAAGTCGAGCAGAACTCTTTATTGCATCACGTACGAGGAAAGATGGCAGTATGGTTTGTGAGGAAGCAAGAATATGTGTGGTTAGTACATCTCTACTTTTAAATTTGCTTTTTACATTTGATTTGCTTTGTTTACGTAGAACTGATTTTTACAGGACAAACTTAAGGAAGTTATGAATCATAAACTTCCAGGCGAAACATCCTTGAAGAATGATGTTGTTGCTCAAGTTTTTGGTCCAGAGCATTCAGGACGAGTTCGTTTCTTAGGTCGTGGTGTGACCCCATCTGAATACTTCTCAAGTTTGGACTCTACATCATCAATTAATGTAGAATTAGTTGAGATCAAGTCAACAGTGAAGAATCTGGCAGATAAAGTTGATATTGTTGCTAGCGCTTTTCAAGCTTATATTGGATCCACATGCAGCCAATTCAAGGTAATGAATGGTTTATTTGATACTTTTGGATCAATCCATTGCTTTAATCACGAAGTTGTTACTTTATGCAGGTGAATGAGACAGATAGAGACGCAATGGTTAACATTCTTACACAAAAGCAATATCTAAGGTAACATTCTTACAATGCTTTCTATTTACTTGTAAAACAGATAGAAAACCAAGAGATGGAGTCATGAGATCCCAGATTGTTCATAATATCCAAGATTCCAAGGTATGATTGGTTTTGTTCTGTTTGAGAAATATCCAAGATTGGTATAATATAAGTATATTTGATTGGTCTGAGAAGAAAGTAATGCATGGTAGATTTGAGAACACAATAGGTCTGAGAACATAAGTAGCACATGATAGATTTGCTTAGATTGGTTTTGTTCTTTGAGAAAATGACGAAATATGTTGTGCTTAGTTCTGATTTGGTTGTTTGTGTTGATGATAGGTAAAAGGAGGAAACTATTGAATCTGGATGAAGAACGTACAATTGGTGGAAACATAATACAAAAAGTATATTACATATATATGCAGATTCATAACAATATATCTTATATTAATTTGTAATACAGATATATTTTGGTGATCACAATTTGTATTTGGATTATCATTTCTATAATATAATACAAATATACAGTAATTAGCATCATTTTTTTTTAACTAATGATATAACTTGCGTCGGTTGTTAAATAACACAAGTATTTTGTGTCACATGATAAAGTGTTGGGAAACTTTGTGTAAGTGACGTAAATACTGTGACGTGAAAGTACACGTTACTTTTGTAAGTGATGCCAAATACTTTAGCGTCACACGTTATTACGACGCTTTTCTAAAACACGTTATTATCTTTGTGTCACTTTTAAAGTGACGCTAATGTGCATTATAAACTACGCACTACAACAAATATGGATATTGATAGCAGAAGATAATAGCATAATTTTTGTAACTGCTATTAAAAGTGAATTTGGGTATCAATTCACCTATTTATAGCATTTTTCATATGCTATGCCTAAAAAAATAGGAAGCGGCAAAACGAATAATCCGCCCATTTTATCTCATAGTCGCCAACAATTAGAAAAAAAGAATCATGTTTTCGCGGTCACCAGAAGAAGAAATATTATTTTTTTTGGTAAAAGAGAGGAGACTGTTGTCTCCTTAGTTTATTAATGAAACAAAATTAAGTTCGTACAGCAAGAGCTCTTGTAGAGCGATTAACATCTTCACTCACCAGAGACAAAACCTCATCAGGTGGAGAAGTAAAAGAATGAAAACCAAACAGCAAAGAGAAGGCGTACTGTGCGAGCCCATCAGCCACGCAATTCGTCTAACTGTAAACATGAATCACCCGGATTAACCAGTCCCTCGAAAAGAAGCCATAGCACAAACGCACTAGGAAGGACAGGGGATGAGAATCATTAATCCCTGCATTGAAAAAACTAACTACTACCTCTGAATCCACCTCCACGATTAGTCTTGGAACACGCTTTTCCCAAGCCATATACAGTCCGTAGTATATCCCCCATAGCTCGGCCAACGGAGCTGAACATATGCCAATGTTGATCGCAAACCCACCACACCACGTTCCATCCTCATCTCTTAGGACCCCTCCTGCCAACGCTCGACCCGGGTTTCCCTTAGACGCTGCATCAGTGTTCACCTTAAACCATCCACTTATAGGTGGAGTCCATACTATGTGTCGTTCGACTCTAACTCCTGCAGTCCCTCGCTCTCTCCCTTTAGTATGTGCCTCCGATGTTTCTTTGGCGAGGTCTCTGAGGAATTTCACTCGGTCTCTGCATTTTCCGGTCTTTCCAAACACATTCCAGCAACGCCACTTCCAACCCCACCAAGTTGTGATGGCGAAGAGAGTGGACCAATTGTATCTTCCTATCTCCGTATGTACCCCAAGGTTTTCGTACAACCACCCCAGTAGTGGCGTATTGAAGAACTCTCCCTGCTTTGCCATTGGTACAAATCGACTCCAAATCTCGAACATCGCTGGGCAGTCTCGGAGTATATGAAGGATTGATTCTTCTCCACCCTTACATACTTGACAGATTCCTGTGTCCGTAAGATGCCTCCTCTGTCTCTTCATATTAGTCATAATGACTTGTCGTGCCACTAACCAGAGGAACACCCTTGTTTGTTCCGAAGCTATCACATGCCATATTCGGGTGAACAGTGCCTGCATGCTCGGTCCAGGTGTGGTGTTCCTCGTGAGAAAGTTGTATGCAGACTTCACCGAGAATTCTCCATTTAGGGTATGTCCCCAAGACACTCTATCACTTAAAAAGAAATATTATTGATAGCATAAAAAAAAAAAGCAAATGAATTAAAAAAAAAAAAAGAGAGCTCTCGAGAGACTCACTTCTCCTCCACAAGTCCACATCTAGTCCTCCGCCGTCTCCAATCTAGTCCTCCGCCGTCTCCGACGGACTCATCCACTGTCTCTTCACACCCTCCTCCTCCTCCCCCTCAGCCTCTTTCTCCACCTCTAGTTCCCCAACCCACTTACCCAAACCCTAACTCACCTCCGACTGAAATCAGGATGTCGATACACCATTTGGTCGAGTTTCTAAGTCGATTCGATTTCCTTGCTCGTAGATCTCGCCGTTTCCATGTCGCAGATGCTCGATTCGAGTTTAATATCTCTGTACGCCAAGCTCTGTAACAAATACACCAAACTCAAGGTTTTCTCTAACAAGATCTTCCGTTTATTTTTTTTTATTTTTTTCTGGGTTTCGTATTTTTGATTTATGGAATTCGATTCAACTGCTCTCATTACAGTTTCTTTGTTTTTTTCTGTAAGAAGGTGAAACTTTCTGAATTGAATGATGTTAATAGGGAACAAGAAGAGAAGTTCCTCAAAATGTTGCAAAGGTTTTCAAAACTCAAATCGAATAGCAAAAATTATCTCTTGTCTTGATTTTCGTTTTTTCCCCAAAGTTTCTCTCCCTTTAGTGATGGAACAGATTAGCGACATAGGCTGATAGGAGGTGGAGATACAACGAAGAAGACTATGGCTCTTTGGAACTCACGTGTAAGAAAGGTATTGATCAACAACATATTAAAATCAATTCCTTCATTGCTTCTACGTTTCAGAGATCTATGGTTTTGTAGTGGAGCGTTTCTTTGGTACCACTCTCTCTACCTTAGTAACGTTAAAGCATTTCGAGAATTTTCAATACAAAATGAAATTTTCAATCTTGTTAGTTAATTTCTTCTTGGTCATGGATTAATTTGCTTTTATCACTTGTTAGATACTTTTATAGATAGCCGCATGTGGTTACGTTTATGAATTTGAACTGCATAGAGGTCTTGCTTCGTTTTTATGCAGTTCCAACAAATTGTGTTGACTTGGGAACTTGAAGTTGAGCCTGTAAAACTGGCTACTTAGCTTGTTTTTCTGATGAGTTGGCGTGGTTTCATATGCATTGAAGGTTTATTGTTTGTTGTCTAGCTTTTCACTTTTCAGTGTAGATTCACTATATTTTTAATGATATCTCTGTATATTGTCTTCTTTATGTGCATCTCTCTGATGATAAGGTCATTTCTTATATAGCAAAGAATATTATAATCACTTGCTTGATGTCAGTGACCCTTCACGATGAAAATGTGGTTTCGCTATGGGACTTGTCTTACTAGTTTTGTTTCCTTGGAATACGTTTGTAAGAATAAGGCAGTTGCTTCTGTTCAGAAGTTGCAAGAAGACAACAATGTCGTGGCTTGTCAGCTTCAACTAACAAGTTAACCAAAGAACAGCTTTCTGGCTTCTAGGTATCTAAACCCTTTCTTCAGTCTATTTATTTATTCTCGTTCTAGCTGTCAACTTGTCAATAAGAGTATAAGACTTATGACTCACAAGTTGCAATATTATGTACTTTACATAATGTTTAGCTTCGTTTCTCAACATAAAGTGGCTATTTTTTTTCTTTGATATCTTGCAGAACCAATGATGAGTGAATTGAGCTTATTGTTGCTGGTCAGGTCTGCGTATGGTCAGGTCATGTACTTATTCAGAATGCGAAAGGTTTCAGATGTGTATAGGTGATGATTTTGATCCGATTGTATTATTTTTCGTTGTGATTTTAGTTTAAGACTTGGATTGAGACTCTTGTAATGTACAGTGGATTATGTATGTGTTGATGATATAAAATTTTCCTTGTTGATGATCCATTCAGGGTCCTCCCAGCAGGTATATTTTCCTCTCTATTGGTTACCAATCAAGTCGCATTTGAAAATATGTTGTGATCTTTAGTAGTAGTGATGCACTTGTTGACCATGCCTTGTTATTTGCACCTTGCATCAGGGTTCTCCAAGACTTGTTGGAAAGGATCAGAAGTGCAAGCTGCTCGACATTACGAGTCTGAAGAGGGTTGTTGCTGAGGGACGGTGGTCTTCAAATAACCCAGACCAGTTAGTGCATTTTGTTCCCTTAGGCTTTGAGGCAGTCCGTGTGTGTATGGATCGATACAGTGAAGGTCAACGATGCAGATATTTGGAGGCCTAATTCAGCAATTGGGACCACCATAGCATGGCCTGAAGACAGACTGGTCCTCGTTTGATATGGACCGAGTAAGAAACGTACTATATTCTCTACTTTTGTTTGGTTTCAACTACCGAAGCACTTATTGTAGTTGTGAGAAATGAGACTTGCGTGAACGTATGTATTTGCAGAGTATTTTTTCTCTCAATGAAATCGAGTTTGAACTTCACTTATTGAGCATAATAGTGTGCAATCCTGTGTGTTTATGCCTTATGGGGAACAAATTATTGAAACCAAGCGCGCCGAAAAATAAAGCTACAATGCATATATAAATAGCGCAAAAGGAACGCCACAAAAGATAATCCAGTGACAAGAAAATAGTGCTACTGGAAAATATTTGACGAGACAAAATGTATGCTACGGCTGATATTAGAATAGCAACCAGAAAACGCTACTACATATAATTTTACAACACCTAAAGTGCGCTACTGTAAATACTAGTATAACAATCCAGAAACGCTACTGTAAACAAAACGATAACAATGATATTGTGTTATTAAAACAATTAAAAACAGCATAAATAAACAGCTATTATAGACTGACCTACGATAGCGCCTGCAAATAAACGCCATCATATGTTACCACTCTATTATAGCACCGGATTTCATAGCATACATGAAAGAGCTATAAAAACCATATAATAGTTTGCTAGCAATACCCATATTTGTTGTAGTGACATAACATGCTGTCTATGTTGTAGTGAGCTAGGGTTTCTAGAGGACGTACCCCGCATTCTTGAATCTCCCATCCTCCATTGTCGAGTTCGAACTCAAAGACTAATTCGGTGGAACTCACAGTTTCTTTAAGTTCGAATACGAACAGATGCTCCTTTGGAGATAAAGAGAATTGGTTCCGAATTTGAGTAGACCTTTCGTCGTTGATGCGATAAGATATACTCGCCGTGTTCCTATCACCAACCTCGACGTCAACCTTCTTAACCAGCAAGACGCAAGCTTTAATTCTCGATTCTGTATAAAAATTTGTCTCATATCCATTCAAATTCACTGACAAGGAACTCCCAGTGGCTCGGTACGTGAAATAAGTAGGCACTTTTTCTCCGGGAAAAATTGCACATCCTCTTTCCGATGTCTTGATGATAAGGTCTCTTGCTTCTCGATTCAGTTTGAAGCAGTTAACAAAGTTGAGGTCCATAAAATTTTTCTTGCTAAAAGAGCAATGACCTAGTCTCTCAAGGGACTCACAGTTTTCTGCATCTAGGATTGCTAATGACTCTGGAAGCTGTGGGAGCGAAACCAGCTTTGTGCATCCCTTGATTACAATTTTACGTAGACGAGACATTTCCTTAATCCAGGGAGCAATTTCTTGTACTGTCGTGTCGCTACAGTGCAGCTCCGTGATGCGGTCAAAAGCATGCTGGGATTTCCTAACGTTTTCACAGTATGACATATGTAAACTATCAAGACGAGACCATGACCTGATTGATGGAGGAATTTCTTCTACTGCTGTTCCTTTGAGCTTTAGGACGCTAACGTTTGTGGAAATCTCAGGAAAGCTTTTCAACAACGAGCAGTCAGTGAGATCAAGTTCATCAAGAGATGTCATGTTGATATTGATTGGAAGGGCCTTCAGCTTTGAGCAACTTTGCAAATACATCATTTGCAAATTCTGAAGATTTCCGATAGAATCAGGGAACTCCACAAGATTTGAGCATTCCTTGAGATGTAATCTCCTGAGATCAGTCATATTCCCAATAGAAGAAGGGAGCTTCAATAGACTTGAGCATCTTTTGAGATACTACTCCTGGAGATGAACCATACTCCCAATAGAAGAAGGGAGCTCCAATAGACTTGAGCAGTCATTGAGATACAATTTCTTGAGATGTACCATATTCCCAATAGAAGAGGGGAGATCCACAAGACTTGAGCATCCCTCTGAGATATAAATCCCAAAGATGTATCATATTTCCAAAAGAAGAGGGAAGCTCCAAAAGACTTGAGCATCCACTCATATCTAATAGCCCGAAATAGATATCCTTACCAATAGGAGGCGGCAAATCCACAAGACTTGAGCAACCGCTGCAAGTAAAATGCTGGAGATAACATGCATTTCTAATTGAAGATGGAAGCTTCACCAAACTTGAGCAATTATCGAGATACAGTTCCTTGAGATTGCCAATAGAAGATGGGAGCTCAAGTAGATGTAAGCACCCTTGGAGATTCAATACCTCGAAATTAGTGGCCTTTTCCATTGAAAAGGAGAGTTTCACTAGATTTGTACATTCCCTAAGATCCAATCTGTTGAGATTAATTGCATTCCCAATAGAAGAGGGGAGTTCCACTAGACTTGAGCAACCTCTAAGTTTCAACTTTCGGAGATTAGTAGCAGTTGAGAGATCAGGAAGCTCCTTTAGATTGCTGGAATTATCCAAATTCATCCACTTGAGATTTTTAATCGTCTGGACAGAAAAACAAAGACATCATAAAAAAGACGGTGACACATATTTCATGCAACAAATTTTCCTACCAATAATTCCAATTTAAAAAAAGGTCAATTAAGATAACTGATTCCTTTTCGGCTAAAGCTTATTGTACAAGGAGACAAATTATAGATTCAAATAAGACTGAAGTATACAAAAAATTTGGAAGAGAAATATTTTACTTACTTTAATTCCTTCCCACAATTTCTCAAGGTTGCTATGACGCATGTTTATTTCCACCAGGAACTCCGTATTAATACTAGAAGGCAGACATGTCATCGGAAATTTTTCCCAACGCAGTAATCTAACTTCTCTAGGTAGACAGCTCAGATTTTCTAGTATGTGCGGACTGGGGTGTAAATGAGCATAGGGGACAGTACGTTCGTACTCGAATCTTAAGAATCGGACATTATAAATTCCTTCAAAAGCTCTTTCACTTATCTTCAACTCTTTCCCCAACTCATTATACTTCAGATCTATGCCTATAAGACTTCGACCCTGAAAAAAAGAACCCAAAGATACATAAGAAACAAATGATTTTTCATCAAAGTTTGTAGAAAGAAACGCGGTGAAGGACTAATATGAAAACTTACTACTGAATCATTACGTAATACTTGGCATATATCTTTAGCATCAATCAAAAACTGACGCTGCCCAGGTTCGTTAATGGATTGTTTACGAACAATTTCCGTACCCAGACGTGCTAGCAAAGTATGCATGTCTATTAAATTCCACCACTTGATGGATATGAGAGATTTCTCAGCTAAAATACGAAGACTACCTTTAACATCAGAAAATATATCGGCAAGAAACGCTTCCACTTTCTCAATTGCTTCACCGTTGAAAAAGCAGGCTATGTAAAGAAATAATGCTTTTTCTTCGTCGCATAGGGCATCGAAGCTGAACTTCAGAATACTTTCTATTTCTCCGTCAAGGCTAGTTCTTAACCTTGGTAGTGCCTTTGTCCACTCCTGCTTGGGCATTCCTTTGAAATAAGATCCCATAACCCTTAATCCCAAAGGGAGTTTCCCAGTAAGTTCTGTAATTTCCCAAGCAAGTGTCCTAAAACCATCATATGGAGACTTCTGCCGAAAGCATAAATGCAGAAGATTTCAACAGCGTCACTGTAAGATGGAAAATCCACCTTGTAAATATGGTTAATCCTATGTGCTTTTAAAAGTCTTTTATCTTGTGTTGTGATGATAATCCGACTTCCAGGACCAAACCACCAACTTTCTTTCGCCATGGCATCTAGATGCACCGTATGGTCAACGTCATCAAGAACCACAAGCACTCTCTTGTCTTTTAACCTGTCTGGTACAACTCCTAGATGATGAATCTTCATATCCTTCTGGTTGATTATTTGGGACATAAAATCATTTTGTAATTGCAGTTTCGTGGTATACTCATCGTAATAAGGTCTTGGATAACGTCTTTTTATATTCTCCATGAAGACAGTAAGTTGGAACTGATGAGAGTATTGGCTATATAGAACTCTGGCGATGGTGCTCTTACCAATTCCGGAAGGACCCCAAATCCCTATCATCCTCACTTCATTGGAGCCTAAGAGTAACAACGGTCTGATCTTCTCCATATGAGCTCTCATCCCAACAAAACCGTCGAAATCATTTGATGGTGCAGACTTAATCAGCTCATTTGAAACATCAATGGCGATTCTTTCGATCATGGCCGCTCATTGGAGCCTAAGAGTAACAACGGTCTTATCTTCTCCATATGAGCTCTCATCTCAATTGTGTATTTGAGAAAAGGGTTTTAAAATCCATTAAAAAACACTGTTATTGGATACATTATTTGTTTGATGTATTTCAAAAACAGTTATGGTGGATTTGAATGTATTTTCTCTCCTAAAACATGAGTAAAGCAAATACTATACATGGGTTTTGTGTTGTATTTTTTTTTTTTTTTTTTGAATTACTAGGAGGTTTTGGGTCGAAGCCCGTAATTCTTCTAGACCCGAAGCCACAACATGTAATATTGGTTTCGTCCCAAGCGGCACTCAATCCTGTGATCTCTAAGCTTTGCCTAGGATGCCTTTACCAGTCGAGCTATAGCCACTTGGTATTGGTTTCTTTGTCTTGTATTTTAAAATCCTCCATTGTGGGATTTTAATAAATTCATCAAAACACAACACAATCCTCTATAACTTTTTAACCTAAAATTTGTAATATTTTTGAAACCATCGCTTATATTATGTTGTTTACTGAAAAAAACGAATATTTTCTGTTTTTCATTTTTGTATTTCGAATATTTCTCCATATTTCTTAAAATTTCTCAATATTATAAGAGAAGTAGAAATCAAGAGAACGAACCAGTTGCTTGAATCGTAACCAGCGATTGTCGCCACTGTCACCAAAGCTTGTCTCCATCCCTCGATGACCTCCTTAGTTTTACCTGCACAAGTTTTTTTGAAAACCTTCCCAAAATCTCCGGCTAGTTTCTTTACATCAGATGGATCCACTCTATAGAAAATGGCCAACACAGTTTGACCTAGTTCTTTCCTGCACTTCATAATCTCCACCAACTCGTCAAGACACCACTTTGAAGAAGCATAGTTCCTCGAGAGCAAGACGATCGCGATCTTAGATCCTCTAATCGCCCCTATTAGTTCGGGACCGATGGATTCTCCTCTCTTGATCCCATTATCGTCGAATGGTGTGATTCCCTTTCTCCGAAACTCCTTTTGAATGTGACTGAGAAAGTTCATGCGGACATCTTCACCACGGAAGCTAGGAAAGACATCGTGTGTCGAGTTGGGAGAGGAAGAAGATGAAACGGATAAAGAAGATGGAGGAACAGATGGAGTAGACAAAGAAGAAGAATCGATTTCTTTGCTTTCTTTAAGGAATCTGTATTTTCTGAAAATCACGAAGAAGCCTATTGCAGCAGCGACAATGGTAAGGAAAAAGGAAGAATCCATTTGTATGGTGGAGAAAGGACCGATGAGAATTGTAGAGAGATATGTGGAGAAATAACGAAACGAAGAAGCTTTTTATATAATTGAATGTATAGCGACAAAAAACATTGACTCTATGTATATTGACTGACAAAGTTGATACTAGCTAAAGAGGGAGCTTCGTGGAAATTTTGTAACCGAAAATAAATCACTGTACATATTAGTTTTTTTAAGGAGTTGAGATTTAATATATGGCTCCACCATTTATTTTATGATCATGAGATTGGGCACAACCCGTTGTACCAATTTCATTTTAAGAAGAAAAAAAAAGAAAGATAAAAAGCAATTTCATGGAAGTAGTGAACAAATGAATGTTTCAACATTCAACATTGTGAGTTCATACATGCAATTTCACAGCAAAGAGACTAATCTTCTCGATGAGCTTCCTCTGTAAAAGCTATATTAATCCGAGTTAGAACCTAGATATGCCCATTTTTTCTTTTGAATTAAGATTTTCTAAAAGCTGACAACCTAAAAATCCTACCGCGTATTGTTTTTTTTTTCTTTTCTTTTTGTATTATTCCTCTTTTGCCATTTTTGTAGTTTTACATAACAAAAAAATATTAAAAAGATCCCATTTTAAAAATCTGCCTTGAGCCCCCATATACCTTCGCACGGCACTGTATATACCATGAAAGAAGTTATGAGCCAAGATTGAGATTAATGGGTCTCTGGTGCAGGATGGAAGAATAAACTATGAAGAATTCTGCGCCATGATGAGAAGTGGTACCACGCAGCCACAACAAGGGAAAACATCTACCAGTCCATTGATCGATTAATTGGAAAAAGGAGGAACATAATTAACTTTGATTCCCCAACATTTATTCTAGAACCGTGTGTAGAAATTTTGCAGACCTAAACCGGGGAATACACTTTTACAAAAAGTAGTTTATGTTGAATGGAATCTTCATTCAATAAGACTTGGGATAGATTTTACAAGTAGCAGTATTCAATACGCAACAAAGATTATGGTAGCAATTGTTTGCTTGATATATAAGGCACAGAATGAAATCAGGAAGGCATCCTATATTATGCACATACTATTTGCAAGACATTTATACTCAAACCCAACATCACCCAATGACAGTCTTACACAAATACATTTAAACTTATAGCTACCAAAAATTTATTAATGAAAATGAGATTTGTTTTTTCAGCTTCAATTAACATGAGGGAGCCAAGGTTTCAGGAAGACGTACCCCGCATTCTTTAATCTCCCATTCTTCACTGTTGACTTGGAACTTCAAGACTAGTCCGGTGGATCTCACGATTTCTTTAAGTTCGAATACAAACAGATGCTCCTTCGAAGATAAAGAGAATCTGTACCAAAAATTATTAAACCCTTTGTCGTTGATGTGACAATATATAAGCGTCATCTTCCTATCACCAGCTTCAACGTCACCCTTCTTAACCAGCAAGACGCAAGCTTTAATACTCGAATATGTAGGAAAATGTGTATTAATTAGTCCATTTGATTTCATTGACAAGGAACTCCCAGCGGCTCGGTAAGTGAAATATGTAGGCACTTTTGCTCCGGGGAAAACTGCAAGTCTTCTTGTCAATGTCGTGATGATAAGGTCTCTTGCTTCTTGATTCAGTTTAAAGCAATCAACAAAGTTGAGGTCGATAAACTTTGTCTTGTTAAAAGAAAAATCTAGTCTCTCGAGGGACTCACAGTTTTCTGCATCCAAGATTGCTAATGAATCTGGAAGTTGTGGGAGCGAAACCAGCTTTGTGCATCCCTTGATTACAAGTGTATGCAGACGAGACATATTCTTGACCCAAGAGGAAATTTCTTGTATTCCTGTATCGCTCAAGTGCAGCTCCGTGACGCGGTCAAAAGCATGCTGGGAGTTCATGAGGTTTTCACAATATGACATATGTAAACTATCAAGATTAAACCATGCCCTGACTGATGGAGGGATTTCTTCTATTGCAGTTCCTTTGAGCTTTAGAACGCTAATGTTTGTGGAGATCTCAGGAAAGCTTTTCAACAACGAGCAGTCTATGAGATCAAGTTCATTAAGAGATTCCATGTTGATGTTGATCGGAAGGGCCTTTAGCTTTGAGCAACTTTTCAAACACAGCTTTTGCAAGTTATGAAGCTTTCCAATAGAAGAAGGGAGCTCCACAAGACTTGAGCATCCATTGAGAGACAACGCTTGTAGATCAATCATATTCCCAGTGAAAGAGGGAAGCTTCACAAGACTTGAGCATCCGTCGAGAGATAACTTCATGAGAATAATCATATTCCCAATGGAAGAGGCGAGCTCCACAAGACTTGAGCATCCACCCAGATCTATTTCGCAATGATGGGTTTTATTACCAAGATATGTAGGGAGCTCCTCAAGACTTGAGCAACCGGTAAAAGTGAAATCCTGAAGATAATGGGCATTTCTTAGAGAAGATGGAAGCTTCACTAAACTTGAGCAGTTCTTGAGATTCAATTGCTTGAGATTGCCAATAGACGATGGGAGCTCAACTAGATGTAAGCATCCTTTGAGAACCAATTTCTCGAAATTAGTGGCATTTTCCATAGAAAAGGGAAGTTTCATCATACTGGTACAGTCATCAAGAATCAATTCTTTGAGATTAATCATATTCCCAATAGAAGAGGGAAGTTCCACTAGACTTGAGCAACCACTTAGTTTCAACTTTTGGAGATTGATAGCATTCCCAATAGAAAAGGGGAGTTCCACTAGACTGGAGCAATATCTAAGATCCAATTTTCGGAGATTAGTGGCAGTTGAGAGATCAGGAATCTCCTTTAGATTCTTGGCTCTACTTAAATCCATCCACTTGAGATTTCTAATCGTCTGTATAGAAACACAAATACATCATCATCATAAAAAAAACGTTAATACGTATTTCATGCAAAAACAATTATCTGCCAATACAAAAAAGGTCCGTCAGTATCACTTTTTCATTTTATTTTGTACAAGAAGACAAATTGTAGATTCGAATAAAACTGAAGGTTAGAGAGATAAATATTTTTACTTACTTTAATTCCTTCCCACAATTTCTCAAGGTTGCTTTCACGCATGTTTATTTCCACCAGAAACTCCGGAATAAAATTTGAAGGCAGACATGTCATTGGACAACGAAACCAATGCAGTAATCTAACTTTTGGAGGTAGATAGTTCAGACTTTTTAGTACGTACGCACTTATTTTTGGAGGTAGATAGTTCAGACTTTCTCGTACGTACGCACTGGGGAGTAAAGGAGCACACTCGAATCTTAAGAATTGGGCATTGGACATTTTTTCAAAGGCTCCGTCACTTATCTTCAACTCCTTCGCCAACTCACTATACGTCAAATATATGCCTATAACACTTCCACTACCCTGAAAAAAACAACACAAAGATACATAAGCAAAATTGATTTTGTTATCAAATTTTGTAGGGAGAAATGGAGCTAATGTGAAAACTTACTAGTGGATCATTACGTAGTACTTGGGATATATCTCTAGCATCAACCAAAAACTGACGGTGCCCAGGTTCTTTAATCGATTGTTTACGGACAATTTCTCTACCTAAACGTGCTAGCAAAGTATGCATGTCTACATATTTTGCCGATCTGATGGATATGAGAGATTTTTCAGCTAAAGCGTGAAGACCTTCTTTCACATCTAAGAATTTATGCGCAAGATGCTCATCCAGTTTCTCAATTGGTTCATCGTTGAAAAAGCATGCTATATAAAGAAATAAAGCTTTATCTTCTTCGCATAAGGCATCATAACTGAACTTCAAAATACTTTCCGTTTCTCCGTCAAGGCTAGCTCTTAACCTTGGTAGAGCCCTTTTCCACTCATGCTTGGACATTCCTTTGAAATAAGATCCCATAACCCTTAGTCCCAAAGGGAGATTACCAGCAAGTTTTGTAACTTCCCAAGCAAGTTTCTCAAAACCATCATTTGGAGATTTATGACCAAAAGCATAAATGCATAAGATTTCAAGAGCCTCATTGGGAGGTGGAAATTCCACCTCGTAAATATGGTTAATCCTATGTGCATTCAAAAGTCTTTTATCCTGTGTTGTGATGACAATACGACTTCCAGGACCAAACCAACGAGTTTCTTTCGCCATGGCATCTAGTTGCACCAAATGGTCCACGTCATCAAGAACCACAAGCACTTTCTTGTCTTTTAACCTGTCTTGCGCAACTCCTAAATGATGAATCAACATATCCTCATGGCTGATTATTTGGGACAAGAACTCTTTCTGTAATTGCAGTTTCGCGCTGTACTCATCGTAATAAGGTCTTGGATAACGTCTTTTGATATTCTCCATGAAGACACTAAGTTGGAACTGATGAGAATATTTGTTAAATAGAACTCTGGCGATGGTGCTCTTACCAATTCCGGAAGGACCCCAAATCCCTATCATCCTCACTTCATTGGAGCCTAAGAGTAACAACCGTTCCATCTCCTCCATACGAGCTCTCATCCCAACAAAACCGTCGAAATCACTTAATGGCGCAGAACTGAACAGCTTGTTTGAAACGTCAGTGGCGATTCTTTCGATCATGCCCGCTTCATTGTCCCTATCAAAGGGAAAGATGAATAGAAAGGGTTAAATTGTCAGGACCAACATATTTAAAGCATTTATGTTTCTAAATTATAATCAAAATTCGAAAAATACCACAAAACAATTTCTGTTTAGAAAAGTTTTGGAAGAAAGTACTTCTTAGAGCTTTAAGAACCTTTCGTATATCCCAAATTTGTGGTGTTGTTGTGGCAATATTGCATCGTTTTATTTTGATGTTTCTGAAAGATTATAAGAGTAAGTAGAAATAAATAAAAATGAACGAACCAGTTGCTTGAATCGTAACCAGCGATTGTGGCTACTTTCACCAAAGCTTGTCTCCATTCGTGGATAACCTCTTTACTTTTACCCGCACAAGTTTTTTTGAAAACCTTGCCGAAATCTCCGGCGAGCTTCTTTACATCAGATGGATCCACTCTATAGAAAATGGCCAACACAGTTTGACCTAGTTCTTCCCTGCACTTCATAATCTCCACCAACTCGTCAAGACACCACTTTGAAGAAGCATAGTTCCTTGAGAGCAAGACGATCGCGATCTTAGATCCTCTAATCGCCCGTATGAGTTCGGGACCGATGGATTCTCCTCTCTTGATCCCGTTATCGTCGAATGGTGTGATCCCTTTTCTTTGAAACTCCTTCTGAATGTGACTGAGAAGGTCTATGCGTACATCTTCCCCATGGAAGCTCGGAAAGACATCGTGTGTCCAGTTGTAAGACAAAGAAGATGGAAGAACCGATTGAGTAGATGGAGAAGAGGAAGGAACTGATGAAGAATAAGAAGAATCGATTTCTTTGTTTTCTTGAAGGGATCTGAGTTTTCTAAAAATCATGAAGAAGCCTATTGCAGCAGACATGAAGAAGCCTATCGCAGCAGAAAAAAAGGTAAGGAAAACTGAAGAATCCATTGGTGTGGTGGATAGAGGATCAATGAGCTTTCTAGAGAGAGATCTGTGGAGCAAGAACCAAACAAAGAGGCTATTTTTTTTTAGTAATGTAACGCAAAACGTTGACTTTATATATGGACTAATAACGTGCAAGAGAGGAAGCTTCGTGGAAATATTGAGAACATGAGACTGGGAATAATTCGTTGTACCAATCTTTTTCTAAAAAAAAAGAAAAAAGAAGAGCATAAGCTGATAAGCAATTTTTAATGGAAACAGTGATCAAAATTATTAGCTCCACTTTAAATGAAAATGGACGAGTCCACACATGCAGTTTCACAATAAAAGAAATCAATGTTCTCGGGAAGCTTTATTGTCGGTTTCATCTCATGATTGGCAAAAACACATACCAAGTCTTATGGGCCGTGTCAAAATACCGATTATCAAGCTAGCCCGAAATCCAGGCCAGCCTTACCGGGTTGACCCGTAAATTTTTTTCTTGCAAACCAGTGGATATTTTTTAACTATGCGATGTTTTTAAATGGCATGTATGAGTCTATAACTTAAGAATCTGATCTCATTCAGTTATGTTTTAGTACAAAATGGGAAGCGTCAAACCAGAGTATTTGCAAGTTATGACATGTTAGTTAGTTAGTTGATAATCTTGTGTTCATATGTTGTTTCTAAATCAAAAAGAATTAAAAACTTTGCAGGGAAAGTTTACAGGGACATAGTAGGAAGTGCTTATTTTGTCGCTCCTGAAGTGTTAAGACGAAGTTATGGAAATTTGGAGTGCAGGGATTGTTCTATACAGTATACATATTGCTTTGTGGTGTGCCTCCTTTTTGGGCAGGTAATGAAAAGCTGAAAAAGTTTATTTTTATTTTTATTTGGTTTATCCATTGACTTATGTAATTTTAATGTGTTATGTTGTTGTTGTTACATGATGTAGAAACTGAGAAGGCGATATTTGAACAGATTATAAAAGGAGAAGTTGATTTTGAGAGCCAGCCATGGCCGTCTATATCTGAGAGTGCTAAAGATCTTGTGAGGAAGATGCTCACTAAGGACCCCAAGAAACGAATCTCAGCGGCTCAAGCTCTTGGTAAAGATCATTTAGTCCTCTAGATTAGGTTTAGTAATCAACTTGCTTTGCAAAGCTTTACTAAGCTGAAATGATCATTGTGGTATTGTTTTGTAGAACATCCATGGATCAGACGGAGAAGCACCGGACAAGCCTATTGATAGTGCTGTGTTGTCGCGTATGAAGCAATTCAGAGCAATGAACAAGCTTAAGAAGCTAACTCTCAAGGTAAAAACTATAAACTTCTCTTCTATAAGTACACATTCTCTTCTGTTTTGCCTGATCTTTGGTTGTGTTTCTTATTTTTGTCTTCTTAGGTTATTGCAGAGAGTCTATCAGAAGAGGAAATTAAAGGTCTTAAAACCATGTTTGCGAATATGGATACCGATCAAAGCGGCACAATCACATACGAAGAATTAAAAACCGGACTGGCTAAACTCGGTTCTAAACTCTCTGAAGCTGAAGTTAAGCAACTCATGGAAGCTGTAAGTATTGCCATCTCTTTCCCTGCTTACATTCTTCCATAGTCGTCTTTAAAAAGAAAGAATCTGAGAAGAGAAAATATGTTTCAGGCTGATGTAGATGGAAATGGAACAATCGACTACATAGAGTTTATATCAGCAACAATGCATAGATACAGATTGGATAGAGACGAGCACTTATTCAAAGCGTTCCAATACTTTGACAAAGACAACAGCGGGTAAGTTCTTTTGACTTAGAAGTTTAGAACTATTCTGAGAAGACTAAGATGGATTTGGCTTGCTTAAAACAGGTTTATCACAATGGATGAGTTAGAGTCAGCCATGAAAGAGTATGGTATGGGAGATGATGAAGCTAGCATCAAAGAAGTTATAGCGGAAGTAGATACTGATAATGTAAGTCTTTGTTTTCTCTCTACATATTTAGCATCAAAGAAGTTATGAGCCAAAGATTGAGATTTAAAGGGTCACGTGTGCAGGATGGAAGAATAAACTATGAAGAATTCTGCGCCATGATGAGAAGTGGTACCTCACAGGCGCCACAACAAGTGAAAACTTCTATCAGTCCATTGATCGATTAATAGGAAAAAGGAGGAACATATATAGCATTAACTTTGGATCCCCAACATTTAAAAGTGTTGCAGACCTAAACCGAGGAAGGCTTTTACAAAAAGTAGGTTATGTTAAATGGAATCTGTATTCAACTGAACGGAGATAAATTAATTTCTTACAAGTTGCAGATTTAATCCTATAGAATTATACGATTCCGAAACAAAGATAATGATAACAATTGTTTGCTTGATGTTTAAGGCACATAAGGAAATCAGGAATGCATCACTATATTAACGACACGTTTTTATGTTGAAGTTATTGCTACTCTTTATTAAGTACATCTATTTCCTAAGTCCTCTTTGGTCTTTTCCATAAGACACTCAAGACCACTTTAGGTCATAATCTCTTTTGTATAAATAGTTGGCTTTAATGTCACAATGAATGCAAGAGACAGAGCTAAGTTTTATCTATATCTATCGAATCTTGAATTTATCATGGTATCAGAGCAAAATCCTGGTTCTTTCTCTTGTCTTCTTACTCTTTAATACATCTTCTGTATCATGGCGGCGGCAAATCCGACTCCACCGGTTCCGTCAGTGGTTGAGGTGCGAAAGAACGATTTCGCCGTACAATCTAACGGCGGCTGATAACTCGGGAGCTGTGATCTCCCATCCGATTCTGAAAACAAACAACTACGATGAGTGGGCTTGTGGTTTCAAAACTGCTCTGCGTTCTAGGAAGAAATTTGGTTTCCTTGACGGAACCATTCCTCAACCTCCGGTCGATTCTCCAGATCTAGAAGATTGGTTGACTATTAATGCCTTATTAGTCTCTTGGATGAAGATGACCATTGATTCAGAGCTTCTTACTAATATCTCCCACCGTGATGTGGCAAGAGATTTGTGGGAGCACATCCGCAAGCAATTCTCTGTTTCCAGTGGTCCGAAAAACCAGAAGATGAAGGCTGATCTTGCTACTTGTAAACAGGAAGGTACGACAGTGGAAGCATATTATGGAAAACTCAACAAGATTTGGGATAATATTAACAACTATCGGCCTCTTAGAACCTGTAAGTGTGGGAGATGTGTGTGTAATCTTGGCATTGAGCAGGAGAAAGATAGAGAAGATGATATGGTTCAACAATTTCTGTATGGGCTTGATGAAACGAGGTTTCATACGATTCGTTCTAGTCTGACTTCTCGTGTACCTCTTCCTGGCCTCGAAGAAGTGTACAACATAGTAAGGCAAGAGGAAGATATGCTAAACAATAAGCAAATCCGAGAAGAAAGACCGGAAGTCACTGCCTTCGCCACTCAATCTCGTCCACGATTTGAAACCGGACAAGAAAAATTCCAAGGCAAAGGAATTTGCAAACATTGCAATTGTGGAGGTCATTCACCAGAGAACTGCTTCGTTGTGATAGGCTATCCTGAGTGGTGGGGTGATCGACCGAGAGGAAGAGCAAACTCCAACACTCAATCTGGTCGGGGCAGAGGAAAAGTGAGTGCTGGTTTTAATGGAGAACAAAGTCGAAACCCATCCACTTATGCAAATGCTGTCACTGCTGGATCTCCATCTCTGCAGCGAGCAAACCGTGTCATTACTGATCGTGATCGTGATGCAGTAAGTGGTCTCACAGATGAGCAGTGGCGTGGAGTTCTCAAACTTCTCAATGCAGGGAGAAGTGATGATACCAATGTTAAGAGTGGTGAACATGAAACTCAGACGGGTAAATCTTCTAACTCTTCATCTTGGATTTTAGATACGGGTGCTTCCCATCATATGACAGGAAAGCTGAATCTGTTGACTGATTTACGGAATATTTCACCGGTTTTAATCATTTTGGCCGATGGAAATAAACGTGTGGCTGTTCGCGAAGGAACAGTTCGTCTTGGGTCGCGTCTGATTCTGAATTCAGTTTTCTTTGTTGAGGGATTGACTTCGGATTTGATATCTGTTGGCCAAATGATGGATGAGAATTACTGTGTTGTTCAGTTGGCTGATCACTTTCTTGTGATACAGGACCGGAATACCAGAATGGTGACTGGAGTTGGTAAAAGAGAAGATGGAAGTTATTATTTCAGACGTGTGGAATCAGTTGCAGCTGTCAACACAAGTTTGAAAGGCTCTTTTGATTTGTGGCATAAGCGCTTAGGACATGCATCAGCTAAAGTAGTTAGTCTTCTTCCTGATGTTCAAGTGTCTAGTAGTAATGAGTTTTTGGAGAGAGTGTGTGACACATGTATGAGAGCTAAACAAACTCGTGAAACCTTTCCACTAAATACTAATAGAAGCTTGGAAACCTTTCATCTCATACACTGTGACGTGTGGGGGCCGTATCGATACCCATCTCATTCTGGTGCTCGTTATTTCTTGACGATAGTTGATGATTGTTCACGAGGTGTATGGGTATATTTGAAACGCAAACACACTTGAAAATTTTTCTTGCTCTTGTTGAACGTCAGCTTCAGACTCATGTTAAGACGGTGAGAAGTGATAATGGAACTGAGTTCTTATGTATGCGTGACTACTTTACACAGCGAGGAATCCAGCTTGAAACCTCTTGTGTTGGCACCCCGCATCAAAATGGACGAGTTGAAAGGAAGCATCGGCATATTCTGAACATTGCTAGAGCTTTGAGGTTTCAATCTCGCTTGCCAATTCAATTTTGGGGGGAGTGTATTCTGACCGCTGCTTACCTCATTAACAGAACACCGTCGGTGCTTCTGCAAGGAAAAACGCCTTACGAGCTGCTATACAAGGCTGCTCCGACTTACGCTCATCTTCGTGTGTTTGGCTCCTTGTGTTATGCACACAATCAGAATCACTGAGGAGATAAGTTTGAGTCCAGAACAAAGAAATGTGTCTTTGTTGGGTATCCCCATGGACAAAAAGGGTGGAGGCTCTTTGACTTGGAGGAAAACAGAGTTTTGGTTTCACGGGATGTAGTCTTCAAGGAATCAGAATTTCCTTATGAAGATTTGGTCTGTGAGGAAGATGAACGTGAGATGGGCTGTACAGGTCAGCAAGCGTTGCCCAATTTGTCTGATCTTGTTGAAGTTATTGGGCTTAATAATCCTGCACAACTAAGCCCAACACAATCAGGCCCACCTCACCAACAAGATGAAAGACCTAATGAATCTGAGTCGCCTTCTGGTTCGCTTGTTCACAATACGGCGCCTGAAGTTTCTTCGTCCTCTGAGTTACAGCAGACTGCTTCTGTTCCTTTGGCTGCAATACCAGAATCTGAGCAGCTAGGGCGAGGTCGTCGCAAGAAACAAGCACCGGTAACTCTTAAACAGTTCGTTACTAATACAGTCACTGCAAGATCTGATCCTCTGATCTCAAAATCGAAGTCTCTCTACCCGATCGATCACTACATCGACTATCATCGTTTCTCTACAGTTCACAAAGCGTTTATGGCTGCTGTCACTGCTGGCGTGGAGCCGACATCTTACAATCAAGCGGCTCTTGATCAAGTTTGGCGTGAGGCCATGACTGCTGAGATGAATTCTCTTCAGGAGAACAAGACTTTTTCGATAGTAATGTTGCCGCCTGGGAAACGTGCTATTGGGTGCAAATGGGTGTACAAAATCAAGTATCACTCTGATGGAGACATAGAGCGATACAAGGCACGTTTGGTTGCTTTGGGAAATCGTCAACAGGAAGGAGTTGATTATGACGAGACCTTCGCTCCGGTTGCAAAAATGAGCACGGTGAGATTGTTTCTAGGAGTTGCGGCTGCTCGTGACTGGCATGTAGACTTAGAGGAGGAGGTCTATATGAAACTGCCACAAGGGTTTGATTGTGATGATTCGACAAAGGTATGTCGACTGCGCAAATCCCTTTACGGTCTAAAGCAAGCTCCGCATTGCTGGTTTTCAAAGCTTTCTACAGCTTTGGTGGAATATGGGTTTAAGCAGTCTCTATCAGATTACTCTCTGTTCATCTACAACAACAATGGAGCTTGTGTGCACGTTCTGGTTTATGTTGACGACCTGATTGTCTCAGGTAACTACGCAACTTCCATTGATCGCTTCAAAGCTTATCTCTCATCGTGTTTTCACATGAAAGATCTTGGCCTGCTCAAAAATTTTCTTGGAATTGAAGTAGCTAGAAATGATCAGGGGTTCTACTTGTCTCAAAGAAAATATGTTTTGGATATTATTTCTGAAATGGGTCTTCTTGGAGCAAAGCCATCTTTGTTTCCGATGGAACAGAATCACAAGCTTTCCTTGTCCACGTCTCCAATGCTCTCTGATCCTGAACATTACCGTCGGATTGTTGGAAGACTAATCTACTTGGCCGTCACGAGACCAGAGTTGTCATACTCGGTTCATATTCTGGCACAGTTTATGCAACATCCACGCCAGGATCATTGGGATGCTGTGATACGGGTGGTTCGATATCTGAAACTCAACCCTGGACAAGGCATTCTGCTCTCACGGTTTTCTAATTTGCAGCTTCATGTGATAGTGATTGGGCTGCATGTCCTCTCACTCGACGATCCCTCACTGGATACTTTGTGCAGCTTGGAGATACTACAATCTCTTGAAAAACGAAGAAACAGGCAACTGTTAGCCGCTCCTCGGCGGAGGCTGAATACCGCGCTATGGCGTTTCTCACTCAAGAACTCGTTTGGTTGAAACGTCTTCTTCAAGATTTTGGGGTTTCTCATGATCAACCAATGAGTGTCTTCTCCGACAGCAAATCTGCTATTGCTCTTAGTGTCAACCCGGTTCAGCATGAGCATACCAAGCATATTGAAATTGATTGTCACTACATTCGGGATTCTATTCTTGCCGGTGTTGTTGCGACTACCTTTGTTCCCTCTCAGCAGCAGTTGGCGGACATACTCACCAAAGCCTTGGGACACAGGGAAATTCATTTCTTTCTCCGCAAGTTGGGCATTTGTGATGTCCATGCTCCAACTTGAGGGAGGGTGTTGAAGTTATTGCTACTCTTTGTTACATCTATTTCCTAAGTCCTCTTTGGTCTTTTCCATAAGACACTCAAGATCACTTTAGGTCATAATCTCTTTTGTATAAATAGTTGGCTTTAATGTCACAATGAATGTAAGAGACAGAACTCAAGCTTTATCTATATCTATCGAATCTTGAATTTATCATTTTATTCGAACACAAACATCACCTAATGACAATCTTACACAAGTACAGCTAAAAACGCACATCATTATAGTTAAAAAAAATATGTTTGTGATAATGAAAATGAGATTTGTTTTTCCAACTTCCATTAACATGAGGGAGCTAGGGTTTATGAGGACGTACCCCGCATTCTTTAATCTCCCATCCTTCATTGTCGAGTTCGAATTTAAAGACTACTTCGGTGGAACTCACAGTTTCTTCGAATACGAACAGATGCTCCTTTGAAGATAAAGAGAATTGGTTCCAAAGTTGAGTACACCTTTCGTCGTTGATGTAACAAGATATAGTCGCCGTGTTCCTATCACCAACCTCGACGTCAACCTTCTTAACCATTAAGACGCAAGCTTTCAATCTCGAAAGTGTAGAAAAATGTGTTTCATATCCATTCAAATTCACTGACAAGGAACTCCCAGTGGCTCGGTACGTGAAATATGTAGGCACTTTTTCTCCGGGAAAAAATGCACGTCCTCTTGTTGATGTATCGAAGATAAGGTCTCTTGCTTCTTGATTCAGTTTGAAGCAGTTAAGAAGATTGAGAATCGTAAACATTGTCTTGTTTAAAGAACGATCTAGTCTCTCGAGAGACTCACAGTTTTCTGCGTCTAGGATTGCTAATGACTTTGGAAGCTGTGGGAGCGAAACCAGCTTTGTGCATCCCTTGATTACAAGTTTACGTAGACGAGACATTTCCTTGATGCATGGAGCAATTTCATGTACTGTCGTGTCGCTACAGTGCAGCTCCGTGATGCGGTCAAAAGCATGCTGCGATTTCCTAACGTTTTCACAGTATGACATATGTAAACTATCAAGACGAGACCATGACCTGATTGATGGAGGAATTTCTTCTATTGCTGTTCCTTTGAGCATTAGGACGCTAACGTTTGTGGAAATCTCAGGAAAGCTTTTCAACAACGAGCAGCCAGTGAGATCAAGTTCATCGAGAGATTTCATGTTGATGTTGATCGGAAGGGCCCTTAGCTTTGAGCAACCAGCTAAATACAACCTTTTCAATTTCCGAATATTTCCAATAGAAGAAGGGAGCTCCACAAGACTTGAGCATTCATTGAGAGACAAATCCTCGAGATTGTTCATATTCTCTACAGCAGAGGGGAGCTCCACAAGACTTGAGCACCCGTTGAGAGACAACATTTTGAGATCAATCATATTTCCAATAGAAAAAGGGAGCTTCACAAGACTTGAGCATTCGTCGAGAAATAAATCCGAAAGATGTATCATATTTCCAAAATAAGAGGGAAGCTCCACAAGACTTGAGCATCCACTCATATCTAATTGCCGGAAATAGATTTCCTTACCAATAGAAGGGGGGAAATCCACAAGACTTGAGCAACCGCTACAAGTAAATTCCTCGAGATAACATGCATTTCTAATTGAAGATGGAAGCTTCACCAAACTTGAGCAATTATCGAGATACAGTTCCTTAAGATTGCCAATAGAAGATGGGAGCTCAAGTAGATGTAAGCACCCTTGGAGATCCAGTACCTTGAAATTAGTGGCATTTTCCATTGAAAAGGAGAGTTTCACTAGACTTGTACATTCACTGAGAACCAATTTTTGTAGATTAATTGCATTCCCAATAGAAGAGGGGAGTTTCACTAGACTTGAGCAACCTCTAAGATCCAATTCTCGGAGATGAGTAGCATTCCCAATAGAAGAGGGGAGCTCCACTAGACTTGAGCAACCACTAAGTTTCAACTTTATGAGATTAGTGGCAGTTGAGAGATCAGGAAGCTCCTTTAGATTGATGGAACCATCCAAATCCATCCACTTGAGATTTTTAATCGTCTATACAGAAAAGCGAACACATCATATAAAAGAGGTCCGTTAAGATAACTGATTCCTTTTCAGCTAAAGCTTATTGTACAAAAAGACAAAATATATATATTCAAATAAGACTGAAGTATACAAAAAATTTGGAAGAGAAATATTTTTACTTACTTTAACTCCTTCCCACAATTTCTCAAGGTTGCTATGACACATGTTTATTTCCACCAGGAACTCCGTATTAAAACAACAAGGCAGACATGTCATCGGAAAGTTTTCCCAATGCAGTAATCTAACTTCTCGAGGTAGACAGTTCAGCCTTTCTGATATCAGTGGTATGAACGGACAACAGAGTCTTAAGAATTGGACACTGGACATTCTTTCAAAGGCTCCGTCACTTATCTCCAACTCACTATACTTCAAACGTATGCCTATAACACTTCGACTACTCTGAAAAAAAAAGAACCCAAAGATACATAAGAAATGATGATTTGTTATCAATTTTTGTTGGTAGAAACGCAGTGAAGGACTAATTTGAAAACTTACTACTGAATCATTACATAGTACTTGGCGTATATCTCTAAAATCAACCAAAAACTGACGCAGCCCAGGTTCGTTAATGGATTGTTTACGAACAATTTCCGTACCCAGACGTGATAGCAAAGTATGCATGTCTATAAATCTCTCCCACTGGATGGATATGAGAGATTTCTCAGCTAAAATACGAAGACTACCTTCAACATCAGAAAATTTCTCGGCAAGAAACGCTTCCACTTTCTCAATTGCTTCACCGTTGAAAAAGCAGGCTATGTAAAGAAATAATGCTTTTTCTTCGTCAAATAAGGCATCAAAGCTGAACTGCAGAATACTTTCTATCTCTCCGTCAAGGCTAGCTCTTAACCTTGGTAGTGCCTTTGTCCACTCCTGCTTGGGCATTCCTTTGAAATAAGATCCCATAACCCTTAATCCCAAAGGGAGTTTCCCAGTAAGTTCTGTAACTTCCCAAGCAAGTTTCCTAAAACCATCATATGGAGACTTCTGACCGAAAGCATAAATGCAGAAGATTTCAACAGCGTCACTGTAAGATGGAAAATCCACCTTGTAAATATGGTTAATCCTCTGTGCATTCAAAATTCTTCTATATTGTGTTGTGATGATAATCCGACTTCCAGGACCAAACCACCAACTTTCTTTCGCCATGGCATCTAGTTGCATCAAATGGTCCACGTCATCAAGAACCACAAGCACTCTCTTGTCTTTTAACCTGTCTGGTACAACTCCTAAATGATGATGATTCTTGATATCCTCCAGATTGAATATTTGGGACAACAACTCTTTCTGTAGTTGAAGTTTCGCGCTGTACTCATCGTAACAAGGTCTTGGAGAGCGTCTTTTGACATTCTCCATGAAGACACTAAGTTGGAACTGATGAGAGTAATTGCTATATAGAACTCTGGCGATGGTGCTCTTACCAATTCCGGAAGGACCCCAAATACCTATCATCCTCACTTCATTGGAGCCTAAGAGTAACAACTGTTCCATTTTTCTCATGTGAGCTGCCATCCCAACAAAACCGTTGAAATCACTCGATGGCACAGAATTAATTAGCTCATTTGAAACATCAATGGCGATTCTTTCGATCATGGCCGCTTCACTATTCCTAAGAAGAAGAAAAATGAATACATGGGTTAAATATCATGGCAAATTGACATACACATTCCAAAGTTTGAATGAAACGCAGATGGTTGTTGACACATTAGAGAAACAAAAATGAGTAAAATTAATATTTCTTTTGGATTCCTCAAATTTACCATTTAGTTACAATAACAGAGGAAAAATGATAGATTCCACTTATACTATTTATCATTATTCTTCTAATTGCTTTTGTTTACAACCATTTGCACCCAAAGTATGTATGAAAATTTCACAAACTTGAAAAATTTGTGATCCAAAAAAATTACTCATTTTGTTTCCTAAAATTATCACCCAATTCCTATATCAAATTTAATGTATCACAAATTTTACGTTTCTAAAATATTAGAAAGGGAGTAACTTAGTCAACTGTGATAGACTTTTTAACCTAAAATTTGTAATATTTTTGAAACCATCGCCTATGTTATGTTGTTTACTGGAAAAAAACAATATTTCTGTTTTTCTTTTTTGTATTTCGTATATTTCTCCATATTGTTGTATTTGAAGATTATAAGAGCAAGTAGAAATCAAGAGAACGAACCAGTTATTTGAATCGTAACCAGCGATTGTCGCCACTGTCACCAAAGCTTGTCTCCATCCCTCGATGACCTCCTTAGTTTTACCCGCACAAGTTTTTTTGAAAACCTTGCCGAAATCTCCGGCGAGCTTCTTTACATCAGATGGATCCACTCTATAGAAAATGGCCAGCACAGTTTGACCTAGTTCTTCCCTGCACTTCATAATCTCCACCAACTCGTCAAGACACCACTTTGAAGAAGCATAGTTCCTTGAGAGCAAGACGATCGCGATCTTAGATCCTCTAATCGCCCGTATGAGTTCGGGACCGATGGATTCTCCTCTCTTGATCCCATTATCGTCGAATGTTGTGATTCCCTTTCTTTGAAACTCCTTTTGAATGTGACTAAGAAAGTCTATGCGAACATCCTCACCGCGGAAGCTCGGAAAGACATCGAGTGTCCAATTGTGAGACAAAGAAGATGGAGGAACTGGTGAAGGTGATAAAGAAGATGGAGGTATTAAAAATGATAAAGAAGGATCGATTTCTTTGTTTTCTTGATAGAATCTGAATTTTCTAAAAACCATGAAGAAGCCTATTGCAGCAGCAAGAATGGTAAGGAACACAGACAAATAGTCCATGTTTTTTATGGAGAGAAGATCAATGAGCTTTCTGGAGGGATATGTGGAGAAAGAACGAAACAAAGAGGCTACTTTTTGTTTAGATAGCTGAATATCATTACTCAAAACGTTGACTTTATATATGGACTGAGAACGTGCAAGAGAGGAAGCTTCGTGGAAATTTTGAGACTGGGAATAATTCTTTGTATGTTGTAAAATATTCATTGTTAAAGGTGAGATGTGAATTTAGTTAAAGAGAAAATTAGAAAAAGAAAGAGGGAGAAGAGACGTGCTAGATGTGATGTGAGAATGAAAGAGAGATTCTCAACTTTATTACTTGTTACTTTCTTGTTTTACTTCCAAGACAAAGAGTAACACCCACCATTATACAGAGAAAACGCTCATTTTATTGAGTTCATGCAATTGAACGTTTTATTGACTTTTAAAAACTGGATTTCGATTAGCCAACCATTAACTACTTATAATTTATAACACTCGATCCATGGAAGCTGTTAGTATTGACATCTCTCTTTCCTTGCTTTTCTTAAAAAGAAAGAATCTGAGAAGAGAAACCTTATTCTTTTTCTATGTTTCATGTTTCAGGCTGATGTAGATGGAAATGGAACAATCGACTACATAGACTTTATCTCAGCAACAATGCATAGATACAGATTATATAGAGACTAGCACTTGTTCAAAGCGTTCCAATAGTTTGACAAAGACAACAACGGGTAAGTTCTTTCGACTTAGAAGTTAAGAACTATTCTGAGAAGACTAAGATGGATTTGGGTTTTACCACAGGTTTATCACAATGGATGAGTTAGAGTCGGCCATGAAAGAGTATGGTATGGGAGATGATGAAGCAAGCATCAAAGAAGTTATAGCAGAAGTAGATACTGATAATGTATGTTTTTTGTTTTCCTCTACATATATAGCATTAAAGAAGTTATGAGCCAAAGATTGAGATTCAAAGGGTCACTTGTGCAGGATGGAAGAATAAACTATGAAGAATTCTGCGCCATGATGAGAAGTGGTACCACAATGCCATAACAAGGGAAAACTTCTACCAGTCCATTGATTGATTAATCAGAAAAAGGAGGAACATTTATAGCATTAACTTTGGATCCCAACATTTGTCTAAAAGTGTTGCAGACCTAAACTGAGGAATGCTTTTACAAAAAGTAGGTTATGTTAAAATGGAATCTTTATTCAATTGACCTTAGATAGATTTATTTCTTACAAGTTGCACTCCTCGTCGCAGAATTCTACGAGTACGAAACAAAGATAATGATAGCAATTGTTTGCTTGATGATTAAGGCACAAAAGGAAATCAGGAAGAGATGCATCACACTATATTATGAACATACGTATACGAACGACACATTTTTTCTCGAACACAAACATCACCTAATGATAATCTAAAGTACAGCTAAAAATATTGCACATCAACTTTAAATTATCGTAAAAAAAAATGTTTTTGATAATGGAAATGAGATTTGTTTTTTTTTCAACTTCCATTAACATGAGGGAGCTAGGGTTTCTAGAGGACGTACCCCGCATTCTTTAATCTCCCATCCTCCATTGCCGAGGTAGAAATCAAAGACTAATTCGTTGGAACTCACAGCTTTTTCAAGTTCGAATACGAGCAGATGCCCCTTTGAAGATAAAGAGAATTGTTTCCAAAGTCGATCCCTTTTGTCGTTGATGTGATAAGATATACTCGTCGTGTTCCTATCACCAACCTCGACGTCAACCTTCTTAACCAGCAAGACCCAAACTTTCAATCTCGAATCTGTAGAAAAATGTGTTTCAAATCCGTTCGAATTCATTATCAGGGATCTCCCAATGGCTCGGTAAGTGAAATATGTAGGCACTTTTTCTCCGGGAAAAGCTGTAAATGCTCTTGTCGATGTCTTGATGATAAGGTCTCTTGCTTCTTGATTCAGTTTGAAGCAGTTAAGAAAGTTGATTTCCGTAAACATTGTCTTGTTAAAAGAACGATCTAGTCTCTCGAGAGACTCACAGTTTTCTGCATCTAGGATTGCTAATGACTCTGGAAGCTCTGGGAGCGAAACCAGCTTTGTGCATCCCCTGATCACAAGTGTATGTAGACGAGACATTTCCTTAACCCATGGAGAAATTTCTTGTATTGTCGTGTCGCTAAAGTGCAGCTCGGTGATGCAGTCAAAAGCATGCTGCGATTTCCTGAGGTTTTCACAGTATGACATACGTAAACTATCAAGGCGAGACAATGACCTGATTGAATGAGGAATTTCTGCTACAGCAGTTCCATTGAGCTTTAGGACGCTAATGTTTGTGGAAATCTCAGGAAAGCTTTCCAACGACGAGCAGTCAGTGAGATCAACTTCATCAAGAGCTTTCATGTTGATGTTGATTGGAAGGGTCTTCAGCTTTGAGCAACTTCGCAAAAACAACATTTGCAAATTCTGAAGATTTCCGATAGAATCAGGGAACTCCACAAAATTTGAGCATCCGATGAGATATAATCTCTTGATATTAGTCATATTCCCAATAGAAGAAGGGAGCGCCACAAGACTTGAGCATCCGTCGAGAAACAACTCCTCGAGATAAGTCATACTCCCAATAGAAGAAGGGAGCTCCAATAGACTTGAGCAATCATTGAGATACAATTTCTTGAGATAAATCATATTTCCAATAGAAGAGGGGAGATCCACAAGACTTGAGCATCCTTTGAGAGATAACTCCCTAAGATCAATCATATTCCCAATAGAAGAAGGGAGCTCCACAAGACTTGAGCACCCGTTGAGAGACAACCTTCGGAGATCGATCATATTTCCAATAGAAAAAGGGAGCTTCACAAGACTTGAGCATCCGTTGAGAAATAAATCCAAAAGATGTATCATATTTCCAAAAGAAGAGGGAAGCTCCACCAGACTTGAGCATCCGCTCATATACAATCGCCGGAAATAGTTTTCCTTACCAATAGAAGGAGGGAAATCCACAAGACTTGTGCAGCCGCTACAAGTAAATTCCTCGAGATAACATGCATTTCTAATTGAAGATGGAAGCTCCACCAAACTTGAGCAATTAGCGAGCTACAGTTCCTTGAGATTGCCAATAGAAGATGGGAGCTCAAGTAGATGTAAGCATCCTTGGAGATCCAATACCTGGAAATTAGTGGCATTTTCCATTGTAAAGGAGAGTTTCATCAGACTTGTACATTCCCTAACAATCATTTTTTTGAGATTAATTGCATTCCCAATAGAAGAGGGGAGTTTCACTAGACTTGAGCAACCACAAAGATCCAATTCTTGGAGATTGGTAGCATTCCCAATAGAATAGGGGAGTTCCCCTAGACTTGAGCAACCACTAAGTTTCAACTTTCGGAGATTAGTGGCAGTTGAGAGATCAGGAAGCTCCTTTAGATTGCTGGAATTATCCAAGTCCATCCACTTGAGATTTTTAATCGTCTGTACAGAAAAACGTAGACATCATAAAAAATACGTTGACACATATTTCATGCAACAAATTTTCCTGCCAAGAATTTCAATTAAAAAAAAGGTCCATTAAGATAGCTGATTCCTTTTCAGCTAAAGCTATTGTACAAGGAGACAAATGATAGATCCAAATAAAACTGAAGTATACAAAAAAAATGGGATTGAAGAGAAATATTTTTACTTACTTTAACTCCTTCCCACAATTTCTCAAGGTTGCTATGACACATGTTTATTTCCACAAGGAACTCCGTATCAAAACTAGAAGGCAGACATGTCATCGGAAAATTTTCCCAATGCAGTAATCTAACTTCTCGAGGTAGACAGTTCAGCCTTTCTGGTATGAACCGATCATAACCAAACTCCGCTGGTTTATCCCAACAGAGTCTTAAGAATTGGACACTGGACATTCTTTCGAAGGCTCCGTCACTTATCTTCAACTCCTTCCCCAACTCACTATTCCTCAAATGTATGCCTATAACACTTCGACAACTCTGAAAAAAAGAACCCAAAGATACATAAGCAAATGATGATTTGTTATCAATTTTTGTCGGTAGAAACGCAGTGAAAAGGACTAATGTGAAAACTTACTACTGAATCATTACATAGTACTTGGCGTATATCTCTAAAATCAACCAAAAACTGACGCAGCCTAGGCTCGTTAATGGATTGTTTACGAACAATTTCCGTACCTAGACGTGCTAGCAAAGTATGCATGTCTATAAATCTCCCAAACTTGATGGATATGAGAGATTTCTCAACTAAAATACGAAGACTACCTTCAACATCTGAAAATTTCTCGGCAAGAAACGTTTTCACTTTCTTAATTAGCTCATAGTTGAAAAAGCAGGCTATATAAAGAAATAATGCTTTTTCTTCGTCGCATAAGGCATCGAAGCTGAACTTCAGAATACTTTCTATTTCTCCGTCAAGGCTAGCCCTTAACCTTGGTAGTGCCTTTGTCCACTCCTTCTTCGGCCTTTCTTTGAAATAAGATCCCATAATCTTTAGTCCTAAAGGAAGTTTACCAGCAAGATGTGTAACTTCCTTAGCAAGGTTCTCAAATCCATCAGATGGAGACTTTTGACCAAAAGCATATATGCAGAAGATTTCAAGAGCTTCATCATCATATGGAAATTCCACCTCGTAAATATGGTTAATCCTCTGTGCATTCAAAATTCTTCTATCTTGTGTTGTGATGATAATCCGACTTCCAGGACCAAACCACCAAGGTTCTTTCGCCATGGCATCTAGTTGCACCAAATGGTCCACGTCATCAAGAACCACAAGCACTTTCTTGTCTTTTAACCTGTCTTGCGCAATTCCTAAATGTTGAATCAACATATCCTCATGGTTGATTATTTGGGACAAGAACTCTTTATGTAATTGCAGTTTCGCGCTGTACTCATCGTAATAAGGTCTTGGATAACGTCTTTTGATATTCTCCATGAAGACACTAAGTTGGAACTGGTGAGAATATTTGCTATATAGTTCTCTAGCGATGGTGCTCTTACCAATTCCGGAAGGTCCCCAAATCCCTATCATCCTCACTTCATTGGAGCCTAAGAATAACAACGGTCCGATCTTCTCCACATGAGCTCTCATCCCAACGAAACCGTCGAAATCACTTGATGGTGCAGACTTAATCAGCTCACTTGAAATGTCAGAGGCGATTCTTTCAATCATGGCCGCTTCATTGTCCCTGTCAAAGGGAAAGATAAAAATCACTTAAATAGTCATGAAAATTGTTAAACTGTAAAATTCACTTGATTATATTTCTAAATTATCATCAAAATTGTATAAAATAACACAAAATAATTTCTGTTTAGAAAGGGTTTACAAAAGTTTAGGAAGAAAGTAATTCTTAGAGTTTGAAGGACCTTTCGTATATCCCAAATTTGTGGTGTTGTTGTGGCAATATTGCATCGTTTTATTTTGATGTTTCTGAAAGATTATAAGAGTAAGTAGAAATAAAAAAAATGAACGAACCAGTTGCTTGAATCGTAACCAGCGATTGTGGCCACGTTCGCCAAAGCTTGTCTCCATCCCTCGATGACCTCCTTAGTTTTACCCGCACAAGTTTTTTTGAAAACCTTGCCGAAATCTCCGGCGAGTTTCTTTACATCAGATGGATCCACTCTATAGAAAATGGCCAACACAGTTTGACCTAGTTCTTTCCTGCACTTCATTATCTCCATCAACTCGTCAAGACACCACTTTGAAGAAGCGTAGTTCCTGGAGAGCAAGACGATCGCGATCTTAGATCCTCTAATCGCCCGTATGAGTTCGGGACCGATGGATTCTCCTCTCTTGATCCCATTATCGTCGAATGGTGTGATTCCCTTTCTTTGAAACTCCTTCTGAATGTGACTGAGAAAGTCTCTGCGTACATCTTCCCCCCGGAAGCTCGGAAAGACATCTTGTGTCCAGTTTTGAGAAGCAGATGGATTAACTGGTGAAGGAGATAAAGAAGACGGAGGTGATGAAAACGATAAAGAAAAATGGATTTCTTTGTTTTCTTGATAGAATCTAAATCTTTTAAAAACCATGAAGAAGCCTACTGCAGCAGCAAGCATGGTAAGGAAAACATATAAATAGTACATGTTTTTGGTGGAGAGAGGAATAGATCAATGAGCTTTCTTGAGAGATATGTGGAGGAAGAACGAAACAAAGAGGCTACTTTTTAGTTTAAATAACTGAATATAGTAACGCAAAACGTTGACTTTGATTATAATATATATGGACTGAGACGTGCAAAAGAGGAAGAGGAAGTTTCGTGGAAATTTTCGGAATATGAGACTAAGAACAATTCGTTGTACCAATTTTCTTCTAAAAGATAATAATAAAAAAGGAATAGCATAAGCAATTTTTTTGTGGAAGCAGTGATCCAATCAGTATTTCCACGTTATATCAAAATTAACGAGTTCACACATGCAATTTTATAGTAAAAGAGATCAATTTTCTCGGGAAGCTTCATCTCATGATAGGCAAACCAGCTCAAAATCCAGGTCGGCCTTACCGGATTGACCCCGTTTGCCAGCGTTAGAACTTTATGATATGATTCAAAATTTTAAAGTCCATATAACGGATAGAATAAATCTCAAAACTCCAAGACTTGAATTTATGGAAGGCAAGGCATTTCACTATACTACAATATATTCAAATTAGTGCAGCATCTCAAATTTACATTTAGTGCTTGATAGAAGGAAATCAGGAATGCATCACTATATTATGCACATACAAAATAGTGAAATATATTAGCGCCCAAATAATTTCTGAACTATTTTTGCAGTTACACGATTAATTCTCCAACTTGCAATTGCACATTTTATTCTTCAAAGTGTATCTGATTTTGCAAAACTAGATATTAATTACCTGTTAATTTCATTAAACCAACGTTTTACTCTGGTTAAAAGATATATTAGCGACATATTTTTTACTCAATCCTGACATCCTCCTAAAGATTATTGTTTGAAAAAAGAAGTTATTAATGAAAAATGAGATTAGTTTTTTCAGCTTCCATTAATATGAGGGAGCCAAGTTGAATGAAGGACGTACCCCGCATTCTTTAATCTTCAAATTTTCATTGTCAACTTTGAACACGAAGACTAATTCGGTGGAACTCACAGTTTCTTTCCAATAACATAATTGAAACTCGCTGACACTGTACATAATATAAGTTCTCTATAAAGTATATAGTACCAAGTGTCTGTGACTGTTTATGTTTTAATATTTTTCTTCTAAACTGCAAATATCTTTAAGCACACACCACCACTCACTGCACTTGTTGTCTATACGCCACCACCGTTATTGTCTCTATCGTTTACGTATTAAAGTTTACAGCCTACCTAACGTTTTCTATATACTTTTTCAATTAAAGTAATTAAGTATAGCCTAAATTAAAATCACAACTCTTGTGAAGAATCTCATCCGTTGATATTTTTCTCTATATTTTGTCCTTAATAATTCAATGCGGGTCATGTGATGTGTAATAATAATACTCTAATTTTATTTTTATCTTGTGACTTTCGGCTTTATACTTGGTTTGGGGCCCGTTTCTTTTATTTTGATTTTTTCCTTTGGAATCTTTTTCATGAGTCACATCATATTCATATGTCATTTAGTGAGATCAGTAAAATAGATCGACATCCATTCATGAACAATTACAAAAATATATGATATTATGCATGCATGTTGAACAAGTTATAGCGATTTCATTGCTTCAGCATTTCAATGTTTACCATTCCATTAATGTAAATCGAAGATTAAGGTACGATTTCACCATTCACTTATCATTACATCATCATACTACATGATACCCAAACACCAATCCATCATATCATACATCCATTCCATCAACACCACCACAAAACCCCAAAATCAACAAAGAAACAACATTTAGATTAATTAACTCAGAAGACCACTACTATCATACTTAAAGCATCAAGGCTAAAACAGCAACACACAAAAAGAAGAGTGCATGTGGTCACCACCATGATACATTCATCGTCATCATTACCCTTCATTACATCTTAAAACATTTTTTATTCATCTTGGCTCGATGCCAAGTAAGTGCAGAGAGAACTAAACACAAAGAAGCTCTCTCTTTATCACTCTTCGCAACTTCAATGGATCTTGTTGGCGAGATTACACTGTTTCCTGATCTCACCCTTGGAACCAGTCAAAGGGTTGTTCTCGGACAAGATCTGAATCGCTCTTGTGAACTCCTTGAAGAAATAGGCCTGGTCCTTAGCCATCTTTTTAACAATTGGTCTGGTCCTTTTGTCGTGTGCGAGCTGGTGGTCCACAAGGAGCAAGCCCTTGTTGTCTAGGATGTTACGGTAGTAGTTGTTGTCTAGCACCATGGGAGTACCACGGTCGTTACGCACGTACTGGACCGCTTTTGGGTCAGGGATCGAGTCAGGACACTTGTGTAGCATGTGAGGGACGTGCTCCGGGTTCAAAGATGGGTCCACCTCAGGGTACAAACGGTGCACCAACTTCACACAGTGAGTTCTTCCCACGCTGTGTGATCCTGCACACGTGTCATAACAAAAAAGTCATGCATGAACATATTGACTAATATAACCTCGTGCTACGGTTATTGAACCGGGGCATACGCAAGGGTACTCTAGTCATATAAAATGGATAATTAAGGAGGAATTTGTAACGGTACCGAGGAGGGCGACGAGGCCGGGAGCGTCGATTCCGATGGATTTGAACTTTTCAAGAACGACGGAGATACTCTCGTTGTGGTCGGGAAGGTAAGACTCAAGCATATCAGTTCTGCTTTTCAGTCCATCTCTCCTTCCTGTCTTCAACGGAATATGTGGTCCTCCCACCTACACAAAACCCCCCACACACACCAACTTTAAAAAACATTCTCAAAGATAAAAAAACAACATGCAGTTTCATAACCATAGAGAGAAACGGCACGGCTTGTTTTAACTTACTGCTTCGATGCCTTCCCTTGCGGACAAGACGAGGATGTCAGAACAGGAGACAACACCGGGACACTCTCTCTCAAGAGCTTCCTTGATCTCTTCAATGTATCTGAAGTTTCTCAGTCCGAAACTCCTGTCGTGCTCTTTCTCTCCGAGCTCTCTTCTTGTCGAATCCAGCAAAAGCGACGCATCGCATGACTGTATTTTCACCCCCAAGACAAAGCAAACAGAGTTAATCTTTACCTCAAAATATGAAAGATCATTGAGAGAGAGAGAGAGAGAGATTTGGTACCTCGACGGCGCAGTCGTGGAAGATGTTACGGAGCCAAGAGAAAGCAGTGTTCTTGTGGCGTTTGTAGAGGAGTTTGACTTGTTCACGGATGATGTCTTCGGCCTGAGGACACGTGTCCTTGTAGAAGTTCATCATCAAGCCTGGCTCTGCCTCTGTTACAACTGCTTCTGAGGTTGCAGAGAGTGCCCATAGGCAGAGTATCGCCACCATCATCACACCTTTTCCTCCCATTTTTTTCTTTCTTTTTCTTCTTCTTCTTCTTCTCTCTCACTACACCACACTTGAGTTGAGTCAGTGTGCAAAGCAACCCAGCCTCCTTAAATAAAGGAAAATGGAGTTTTCTTCTTTATAGAAAATTAATTAATTTGGAGATTAATTACACTAAAATAACGCAAGTAGGTGAAGTTTTCTTTTCTCCAAATTCATTTATATCATAAATATATTATTGTTTACTAATAGACCAGACACCACCATTAAGGTCTACTTTCTATTATTCGTTTTTTAACTTTGCGAAACCTTATTTAAGACTACAATAATTGTCTGTCCTATCCGTCGTGATTAATAATAACGTATTGCGTACAGTTATTATAAAATTAATAAGCAAAACAAAGAGGAATTGCATTCACTTTAAACAAACAAAAATGCACTCTTAGTTACGCGACAATTGAATTAGTACAAGTTTAGATGTCGAGAAAAACTAACATTAAGTTTTGGGAAAAAAGTTAGTTTAGCCCTAATTTATAGTTTAATAACTAGACTAACTCTTATTTTTATTTTATTATTAATGAGTTTTTTATACCTATTTTACCCCCAAATCGTTTGTTAACAAAAAACTTGAATTACAGAAATGCCATTATTATTATTATAAAAAAAATAACCACAGACTTATTTTACAGACACAATAGACTTATTGTTTTATAGACTTAGTTTTGTTTAGTCATAGATTTAGTTAGTTTTCACATACTTATTAAGAGATCCATAGACTTTCTTTTTTGTTTAGCCACAGACTTACTTAAATTTGATAGACTTATTAAATTTCTATAGATTTAAGTTTCTTTGTGCACAGACTTAATCAATTTTGATAGACTTATTAAATTTCTACAGATTTAATTTCATTAGTGACAGACTTAGTTAATTAGCATAGACTTATTTACCTTCAACAGATTTAATTATCTTTAGACATAGACTTACTCAATTTTGATAGATTATTTAACTATCCCTACAGATTTATTTTTCTTTGGCAATAGATTTACTAATTTTGACAAACTTATTGGTTTTTCATAGATTTGTTTACTTAAGCCACAAATTTACTCAGAAAGTTTGTTTCCTTTGAACACAGATTTATTTTGTAATGGCCATAGAGATATTAAACCAATTATAGCCAATTTTCATAACCAATTTTCGATTTTTAATGGTTAACCAAACCGAACCAAATCCTATTTAATCAAGACATTTCAATTTAAAACCCTAAACCAAGTCTTTTACGTTACATAATTAAAAAAAGAAGCCCAATCTCAACTTTTTGGCGTTCTTCTTCCTAAGCCATCTTCTTCCTCTTTTGTCACTTGGCTCCATTACTCCATTCCTATTTCATCAGTTAATGGCTATTATTAATCTGATTTGTGGTAAATGGATGTTTGAGAATAACAGATGGTTGTTTGGTATTGACAACAAAAGAGGGAAAAAAAATAAGAGCAAACGATGATACTGCTTTTAGCGATTTTGTAGATATGGTGATTACAGAATACAATATCTCATAATTCTTCTTCACTACAAGTTGATGAGTTAGAATGTAGTGGACCAACTCCACACTAAATATGTGATCTTGTTCATAAAAGCTTAAGAAAACACCAATTGCAGATCCTTCCCATGCATCGATTCCAACTCCTACTTTAACCATTTGAAAATTTGACAAGTAGCTGTAGAAACTCATGCTTTTCTTTTGATTTGGTGCTTTTCCCTTTGGATAGAGTAATTGAGGATAGTTAGACTCATTACTTGAAGGAGCCATATCTACAGCCAGTGAAAACAAGCAACATTTCAGAACATCTCCCACTTACTAATCTGAAAAACCCATAATAGCAAAGAACAGAAAATTGGAGAGACATATAATAAAGAATTGGAGGTGACCAAGCTGAAACGAAATGGAGATTATGAGTTTGTTAATTGTTATGTGCAGCTATGCAAGTGACGAAACAAAATTACAAATTGGAACTCATTCTAATTCCAGAAATTGAACAAAAATATATTGGTCCGTCCATGATCAACCATTTTTCCCATAGTAATTGAAACTCAAATTCCCTCGAGATTCAATGATTCAATGACTTGCACATCTTATTCAATTATCTTAAACAATGGTAGAATCGAATCAAAAGGAGGTTATAAACAATTTTTTAAGTTTCGAATAGGACCTGTAATTCAAAAGGAGATTCTCACGTTAGAACAGAGCCTACAATTCACAAACCGGAGATGACGGCGAAGACGAATGAGAGATGGAGTCGTCGGCGGAGGAGAAGAAGCCGGAGGAGACGCTGGATACATGTCGGAGACGACGTCGGAGACGAATGAGAGAGACAACGTCGGAGACGAATGAGAGACGGCGACTTCGTCGGAGACTCGGGAATTTTTGTTTTAAGGGTTTATGTTTTAAATTTAGGTTAATTTATTTACTTTGTATTTTAATTTAATTAAAACAAGAGATTGAAACAATGGCATACATGTAATAAAAAAGGGTTAAAATGGTTTAACTGACTTTATACACCTTTCTCACTTAAATTTTTAGAAGGGGTGTTAGATTAACAATATCCCTTTGGATTAGTGTTACTCTGACTAATTTTCTCTTAAGTTTTCTAGTTGATATATGTGTACGACTTTAATATTAACTGTTTTCTTAAAACTTTAGTTGTGGAGATTTACTTGAAACTACTTATAGTTTGTAAAATACATTGTTAGAAATCTAAAACCACACTTGTTACTAAACTACACAGTACACACTACACAGTTCCTATGAGAAAATAAATAAGATTATTGAAGCTTTTAAAGTGGATGGCATTTGGATACTTTATCTCATTTAGAAGGGTGTTTTGGCTAGCTAAACCAATCACCAAATTTTGGATTTTGGTCTCACTGAGTGCATCAGTGGACCCTGTGAATTGCAAAAAAATCTGCTTCGTTTGTTAATACAAAGGGGGCGGCTTTAACAGATGGAATATATGGGGTGTAATAGCTAACGTAAAAATGTTAATGGATCGATTTGGCAATTATCTAAAATATTTGTTAATGTTGACATAGCGGATAAACCGCTCATTTATATCAGGGAATCTTTCATTTCGATGAAGTCAAGGTGGATTCTTGTTTTCTACAAAATGAATCCGACTATATTATAATTCCATTTGTACATATTCAGTGACCTTTTCTTCTGAAATTGTTTTTATATTCAACTAGCTAGTTTACTACATGTGATAATTGTTACAAGAGAGTTATGCTAATGGATTGTATAGTCTTCTCAAATATGGATTGCATCTTGATCCTCGTGATGAGCTATGAAATCACGTTCACCACTTAATCTGGACTCTTGACTCTTGAGTGTTCCTCCTTCTTCTTGTTCTTCCTTTTCTTTCACTTTTTGGGTTCAATTTGATTGATGTTACTAGTTCATAGGACATGTAAATAAGCGTCAGTATCGGGTAACAGAATTTTATTTAAATTTAAGGGAAAAGGTTGGCAATCAAACTAAAAAGATTCAACGCATTAGGCAAATACTAGTATTATAAATTTATGAAATATGAAAAGAGCTAAAAGATAGTAACGGCGCCATAAAATGAGAGGACAAGTACTCCTGTTTTTAGGCAATTCATAGAAAAAAAGTAGCCCTGGGCATTTCGGGACGGGAATCCCGTTCACTCTTACCCGTTTAAAATTTTCCAAACTTTTCGGGAATGGGAATTTGCAATTTCCCGTTTGGGAACATTTATTTTATTCAAACGGGTAAGGGAAGTGTTCGGGAAGGGTAAGGGATTTCCCGATTTTCCCGTTTAAAAAAATAAAAAGTTGAAAATTAGACATTTTTTCTTAAATATCCCAATTTTTCCCATAATTTCCCAAATTTTCCCATAATTTCCCATATTTTCTCATATTTTCCCGTATTTTTCCGTAATTTCCCATATTATCTTCAATTTTTCCAATTTATTAAGACTTCGGGTATTATATTTTGATTCCCAAATTTTCCATTCTCTTCCCATTCCCGTGATTTCCCTTCCCGTTATAATAAGGGAATGCTTCGGGAATCAAATTTGGTTTCCCAAATTTCCTATTCTCGTCCCGAACCCGTCAATTCTCGTCCCAAAACCCATAATGCCAAGGGCTAGAAAAAAGTCAAGTTTTAAACTGGAAGAAATAAGTTATCGGTGCGTTTATCAATATCACATTGAAACCGTAGATTCAGATTTTACGTAAAATATTTTATGAACAATTTGACTGAAAACAAAAATAAAAGTACTGTGACCACCGACACTTTGTTTCCTTATCCAAGTGCTCGCCAAATGGCATTGTGTGGGCCACTCCTGTGTTGTCGCTCTCTAGCTCAGTGGGCTCCACTCTACATATGTTGATAAACACTGATTAACAAGTTTTAACAATCAAATAATAATTGACGTGGAACTGTGTAAAGATGTAACATGCACTATGCCAACCGGTATAATTAGATTACCGGTTCAGTAAACGAGTCCGATTTCAGTGCATGGAATTGACGCGTGGAAACTATACTCATCCGTGCCCTTGACGTTACATCAACCATGGGGCCTGCAAGATTCAATACCAAGACAAAATAAGTTAATATTTCTGTCAACACTCTTAAAAACGATATCAGCTCATATTCAAAGTTTCCAGATATAGTGAAGGATCCGGAGCCTAATGTAGTTGCCAGGTTTTTTAGATTTTATCCTTTGTAAGGCTGAATTGGAAGAACTTGTTCGACTTCGAGAGCTATATATAGCTTAGTTTTCTAGAGCCGTCCAATATAATTTTTATTTTTTTGTTGAAAGGTTACTTAAAAAAATCACAAAAGCTATACGACTTGTAGTAAGCAACACAATGTTTTTTGCAAAAGTTAAAACTAGTTTCCGTTCAGTAGACTCACAGCGCCATTAATTAGGTGTAAAACATATCATTAACCAAAAACCGGAAATTAATTATCTAACGAGGTCAGCTTTTCTCCTGGTGGCCAAGTCGCGGTATAGAGATTCCTCAACTGTGATAACTTCTAGATATGAATAGGGGGTTTAAATATGAATTTAAAAGGCTAGATTTTAATAGGGTTTAAATATGAATTTAAGCTAAGTACGGTGTACACATATACAAATAAATAACACAAGAGATGTAACAAGGTATCGGTCGGTTTTTTACAGCAACAACTACTGATTCAATAGTACAAACATGATAAGTTCTATGAACACAAATGTAGATTCAAGAAGTTAATTACTCTAAGTCTCTACCTTAATCTTTGCTTCGCCTTTGTAAAATATTTTATTTGTGCTCCTCGGTCCTCACAGTAGTAGTAGCAATCAAGTTTCGAATGAAACTATTTCTTCAATAAGGGACCGGACTATATCTTAAAAATGACAATTTACATTAGGAACATGTACAATCCCATAGAAAAAAAAAACAAATCTTCAAGAATCATATGGAAGGCAAGGCATTGCACTATACTACAATGTATTCAAACTAGTGCAGCAAGGCAAGAAACTGAGCCAGGCACGTAAAGACTTGCTCAGATCAAAATATTTGAAAAAAGTGCAATAATATAGTGAGCCCAAGAAAAAAGCCTTGTGAGCCCAATAATCCCATCACTGTCTATAATACAGTGAGCTCATGTTCTTTTACGTAACAAAATCCGGGCCGGTAAAATCGAGCTTTTTGTATTACGAAGTTTGTTTATTTGGCCTAAATCTGATCCCTTGATTCACACGTTACTTCCTCTCTCATTTAAAAGAACTAAAGAAGAAATCTAGTGAAATCGATCGAAACTACGGAAGAGGAATTGCGTAGGTTAACGACTAAAGAAGGGAAATTAACACCGAAAGAGAAACAACGTCTCGGACATACATTAAACATCTTATTGAGTTATTTCTCACCAATTTTGCAGTTTGAGCAAGACCCTTATCAGATTCTCGATAATATATATATGTACTCATAGCTGTGACATGTTTAACTTCACGTTTTTGGCTTGTTAACTCTCTGTAAATATATCACTTATATTTAACTCAACCCCTTGTACTATTTTCCGTTCCGCCATTTTTTCATAAAAGATTTTATACTATATGCATAACAATTGAAAAACACTCTTCATCTGTTCTAAGGCCGAGTTTTTAAAATGAAATGCTCATAAGTCATAACATATTGTAATAAAGAATCAAGGCTTGCTCAGATTGAGACAAACCGATAGAAAGAAGCCCAAATCGATATAACACACTATATAAAATCACGTCGCCAATGTGAATGGAAAGGAGAACTCAAAGAGTCGAGTGTATTAGTCACATGCAGTAGATCGAAAAGAGAATTCATTTTTTTTTGTTAACTAGTCGTGATCGAAAAGAAGATTCTGCCTTCCAAAATGTTGTTTCTTGTTATCATAAGCTGAAATGACCATGAATTCAAACGGATTGATTTCTTGTTATATTTTTAAGACCAAAAAAATATACAACTAAACGATTCACTCGCCTAAGTTCTTCCATTATATCGTTCTTAAATCACAATTTCCATACACTTTCTGTGTACATGGAGAGCGTCGTAGGTTTCTTAAGGAATGTTAAGGTTTTTTCTGAAGTTGGACTCCTAATTTCAAGGTTCTTTGCAATTTTGGGTACGTATTTGTGTTGTATAAACTTCGAGGGGCTAGATAAGAAGCTATCCGATACAAGAGGTCTTATATGAAAATTACACTTTTTGAATACTTCGTGCTTTGGAATAACGTCCCTTGCGAGGAGACCCACGAAGCGTTGGATTGGATAGCCTAACAAATTGATTTTCATAAATTATGAGTCGATTTGATTCTTACCCCACCAAAAAGTCTGATGTATTTATGTGTGTACGGACACGGAATTCAGATTTTTTGTGTGTGATTAATACAAAGTTGTAATGAACACATTTTCAATAATTACAAATAACAAAAGAAAAAGAAGAATCACATTAAATAACCTTGGGTTTCGAAAAGATTAAAGATTGAAGCAAGGTTATCATGGGATAATAATATCACAAGCCCTTTTGATTCAACTTACATGTCCTCTAAAATTATTCACAAATCAATAACCATAGCCAAAAAAAGATTAAATGTATAATTTGAAAACGGGTTTGGAAAAAGTTTGAAATAAAGCAAGTCTTTTCATATAGTACATTTGTTTTTGTCTTCTTGCATAAATCAGACTCTATCAATAATTTTGGCAGGTCTTAGTAGAAATAGTACCAAAGGCTACCACTCCTCTATGTAACCTTTTAAATCATTATTTTTTTTATATATTAAATTCATAGTTATGGCACCCCAAAAACTAGTACGAAATTATTACAGTTTTGGATCTTTATGAAACCTCTGCCTATTGTGGAGGCTTTTGATTCCCTTGGAGCAATCAATGACCTCTCTGTCTCTCATTTGCCAGCAAAGAGAGATCGTTTAATGTTGTGTATGGTTCACATTTTTATACATTACATTTTCACTGAATCTTCCTCTGCTTCTCTCAGGTAATTAATTCTCTCCCTCTCTCTCCTCTTTCTCTCTCTATCCCTATCTCTATCTCTATCTTCCTTTTTGGTTTGGTTTTAAGAGCAAGTGATGGAGTATTTTCATGGATTCAGGAGCAAGAAGACCACCTAATTCCAGCAGAAGAAGCAACATTTAGGAGAAGGGTTTTCTTGAGTGGCGATGGAAGGAGGAGAAGAGTTTCAAGAAGAAGATGTGTGGTCGGTTCTGAAAGAAAGAGAAACTCCAGGTCCTGAAATGCAAATGTCCAAAAGTAACAATCTCTTCTCGGCCTCTTCTTCATCTCCTGCACGGTACATTCCTAAGGGCAACGAGGTCTCCGGGGTAAAACAGTCATCTGCTCCAATGAATGTTCCTGACTGGTCCAAGATTTATGGGAACAACACAAGAAGCAGCCATTTTCATTCACGGGCCATTCATGACGATGCTGATGATGAAGAAGACTCAATGGTTCCTCCACATGAATTGGTAGCAAGAAGGCTTGCAAGAACACAGATCTCATCTTTCTCCATGTGTGAAGGAATCGGAAGAACACTCAAAGGAAGAGATCTCAGCAAAACAAGAAATGCCGTCTTAACCAGAACAGGTTTCTTGGAATCGAATGTCGCAACCACATCACCACCACCATAGTTATGTCAATGGTATGGAGCATTATCAACATCACACAACCCTTTTATCACCATACCATATTATTATCATGAATCAAAAACCTAAACTTTATGGTATCCACATAATTTATTTTTAAATATCTATGTTATTGTCGTTATCATCATGTAGGGAATCATGACACTACCAATATGGTTGAGTTCTCTTTCTTTTTTTGTTGTTGTTGTTAGGTTTTTGGATTTTTAAGATAAGTATGATGACGATGAGGATGACTTGTCAAGCCCATCCATGGGACCCATATCATTTTTCTTATGTTGTTATTTTGTAGTTCTCAATGGTTCTTTAATTAACTACTTTAGTAATGAGCTTAAGGTTTTATAATTTCGAAAAAAAAATGGCATATCCTTTGGAACCTCTAATTGGAAAATTTTAGAGCCTCTCTCGATATCTTCGCCATTTTTGGGCTCGATTAATAGAGATAATGTTGCGGAATATTAACATTTCTGGTCCGACATAAGATTAAGGGCTCGTGCCATATTGCTCATTAGCTTTCACTTTTCATTGTTGTAGAAGTCCTAGCAACTAGGGATGGTGTTGCTAGAGATTATGGGTATTGTTATCTATTTCGGTTTTGTACTTTTTAAATAATATTTTTTTTATCAAATTGGAACTGAAATTTGCTATATTTTGTTGAATCGGTTTAGTTTGAAATAAAATAATTTCCATCGGTTTAGTTGGAAATAGCAACGGTTCATGAAAATATTTATTTGATTAGCAAACATTGGGCCATAACACTAAGAAAATATTCTTATATATACCCTACAGAGCTTGGGCATATATGAAGGCCCATTAAAGCCCACAGAGCTCAAAATACAAATCGACGGTGCTGACGTACGACAAGTGTATCTCTTCAAAAACTTTCATTTGAGAGAGTGAAATCGAGAAAACCTAATATTTGCCCCTACAACTGAAGATCAAGATTCCGTCAGATGGCATCTCCTCTTAAGAAATCTCCTGCCGTCTCCGTCACTCGAAGAAATCCTCATTGTTTGTCGGAGCTTCTGCTAGATCTCATGCAATCGGTATTTGAACGCCTTGGCTTCACCGATTTTGAGCGAGCGAAATCGGTCTGTTCATCTTGGCAATCCGGGACGAGACAGTCTCAGCCAAACAATCAGATCCCTTGGATGATTCTGTTCCCGGAGGACAAGAACTACTGTCTCTTGTTCAATCCCGAAGACAAAGAAAAGGTGCACAAAACTCAACACCTCGGCGACGACTTTGCAAAGAGTGTGTGTTGCAAGACTTATAGAAGCTGGCTCTTGATGGAAACTTATCACAGAGGAGACAGAGAAGACGACGTCTATATTTTGAACATTCTCACGCACGAGAGGATCAATCTACCGACATGCAAATCACGCTTCTTCATCAGGCATCGGATATTATGGATAGACGAAGAAACCAAAGACTACCTTGTTGTAGGGGTTGTTGATGATGAGAAAGTGGTGTCCATCAAGAAAGGAGATAACTCGTGGAAAGAGATCATCCTGTTTCCAGGTATTGAGCGCTGGCCTATGGAATTAGAAGAAGAAATCCCTAGTTGGTATACAAAGATGACAAACTCTTTTGTCTCAACTTTAACAAACTCCATATTTTCGATTTCTCCGGAGATACTCCGCTGCTAGTTTTCGAAACTTGCGTAAAGGAATGCGTGAAAAGACAGTTAGTTTATCCCATGAGAATTCCATACGATGACGACGTTCATAGGAGGAATAATATGGTAGTCACTGTATTGAAATTAAACTTGATTTTGATCAAGGTTTAATTTTGGGTCCATAAACAAATTATTATTAAACCCAAAATTAGGCCCAAGTTCTAGAACTCTCTAGAAACATCATAAGAGGTCATCACTTCCTCAAATTTTCTAGAGAATTCTACTAGATAACTCTCTAGATATTTATGTAGAACTTTCTAGTTCTTGTAAGACAAAAATCTAGATATTATGTTAGAGAGTTCTAGAGATTAGGATAAACTTGTAAGATAATTTGTAGAAAGTTGTAGAAGAAGAAGAAGAAATATCTAGGACCTAAGGAGGTTATAGAAGAGTGTAGAAACTTTGTAAGTAGATTTGGGAGGCTATAAATACCTCCTCACCCCCTCATTTGTAAATGCACAAGAAATTGAACAAGTTAATAAAGAGTGTTCTAAAGCTAAGTTCTCTCTTGTTCTTCTTAAAAGTCTTTCAAGTATTCTCTTGTGTTCTTCCATATTTCTCTTCATACTTAGAGGGTTTATTGTTTCTTTCGGGTTTCTCGGGTATTACGGTCTTGGGCTAGTGCTAAGCACTATCGGTGCTGGTTTCTCTACATGGTATCAGAGCCATTCTAATCTTGTGCTCATCAAGATCGGGATTTAGGAGAACTCGGGTTTACTCTAAGTATGGAATCAATGGGTCGTGTTGTTGGATTGGGAATGGAGATCTTAAACCAATCTAACTACCGGTTATGGAAGTCATGTATGGAGTCATACTTGGTGAGTGAGGACTTATGGGATGTCGTCGGCGGCAGTAGCACCACACCACCAATGGGAGCTGCTGCGACAGCGGAAGCGACAAAGGAATGGACACGGAAGAATGCCAAGGCGGAGTTTGCATTGAAGAGGTCAATATCCTCGGGAGTATTTGAGCATGTCTCAAGGTGCACATCCGCTAGTTCCATTTGGCAAGCGTTGGACCAACTGTTCAACAAGAAGAATGAGGCTCGTCTACAACTGTTAGAGAACGAGTTGGCGAATGCGAAGCAGGGGGAGTCTTCAATCTCAGAGTTCTTCATCAAGGTAAAGAACCTTTGCTCTGAGATTAACACTCTTAATCCGGAGGAGTCTATTTCGGAAGCTCGGTTAAAGCGGTCTATTATTCGTGGTTTACGACCCGAATATACACCGTTTGTGACTTCCGTTCAAGGATGGGCTACACAACCTTCCTTGGAGGAGTTTGAAAATCTGCTAGCTTCGCAAGAATCCTTAGCCACGCAAATGGCGGGAGTCAAAATCCATGATGACTCGGGGAGCGCTTTTGTAGCTCGGAGGCAACAGAGCTACAAAGGAAAAACCAAGAATGATGGTGTAAAGAATAATGATGGACGGGAAAGATCTTCTACGGGAGACAAGAAGCAGTTCAAGTGTTACCGGTGTGGAAAGCTTGGGCATTTCAAAAAGGACTGTCGGGTCAAGCTGAAGGAAACCAATATGGCGGAATCAAAAAGTCATACTGAAGACGAAGATTGGGGGAAATGTTTCACGGTGGAGGCTGCATCTTCAGGTACATCCACAACTAAAAATCTTGGAAATGATTGGATTGTGGATTCGGGTTGTAGCCATCATATTACCGGAAACGAGAAGTTATTTTCTAGTCTTCAACGTCATGACGGGAAAGAAGCTATTATCACTGCGGATAATTCAATCCACCGGGTTGAGAAGGAAGGGACTATTGTTATTGAAGGAGAAGAAGGAGGCCCAATCACTCTCAAGAACGTATACCATGTCCCTGGAGTTAAGAAGAATCTTCTTTCCGTGGTGAATGCGGTGGACTCAGGTAACTACGTTTTATTTGGACCAAAAGACGTTAAATTCTTGAAGAATATTCAAGAGTTAAAGGCGGACGTAGTTCACACCGGAGCACGGGTTAAAGATCTTTATGTCTTATCGGCCTCAAATTCGTACATTGAGAAGATGAGTACGAATGATAATGCTTTTATTTGGCATGCTAGGCTTGGCCATATAAATATGACTAAGCTGAAGGCTATGGTGAATAAAGATCTGGTTAATGGGCTCCCAAAGTTGAAGATTCAAGATGAAGGAAAGCTTTGTGAAGGTTGTCAATATGGAAAATCACATAGACTTCCATTTGACAATTCTACTTCACGATGCAATGCTCCGTTGGAGAGGATCCATAGTGATTTGATGGGTCCGACGAGAACATCCTCCTATTCCGGGTTCCGCTACATGCTGTTGTTCGTTGATGATTACTCACGGTACACCTGGGTATACTTTGTGAAGGAAAAGTCAGAAGTATTCTCCAAGTTTCAAGAATTCAAGGTTACCGTGGAAGGAGAGTTGGGTCGGAAAATCAAGACCTTAAGGACGGATAATGGAGGGGAGTTTATGTCAAACGAGTTTCTCTCTTTCTGCCGAAAGCATGGTATCAAGAGAGAATTTTCATGTCCATACACACCTCAACAAAATGGAGTAGCAGAAAGGAAGATAAGGCATCTAAGTGAGACGTGTAGAAGCTGGCTACATGCGAAGAATTTGCCTAAGGCTCTATGGGCAGAAGGGATGAGATGTGCAGCCTATGTCATCAATCGGATGCCGCTTAGTCCAAATAATATGAAGTCTCCTTATGAGATGGTTCATGGGAAGAAGCCAACAGTGAAACATCTCAGGATATTTGGATCTATCTGCTATGTCCATGTGTTCGACTCTCAAAGAACCAAGCTGGAGGCAAAGGCGAAAAAGTGCATCTTTGTCGGCTATGATGAACAAAGGAAGGGGTGGAGGTGTATGGATCCAGAGACACACAGATACACTGTATCTCGTGATGTTGTCTTTGATGAAGTGTCTTCATATTACGGATCTCCTCAAGTCTTGGTTGAGCAAGATGGTGCGGGCTCACTTAAAGACGATGAACCAGCTGCTCAGATACCAAGTGATGGTGGAATTTCTGAACCAGAGATGCAAGGTGAAAGGGGGAGCACTAACCAAGAGGAAGAGGAGGAGGAAGATCATGGTTCCTTGGCTAATCAACGACCAAAACGGGACATCGTTAAACCTGCTCGGTACAGAGATGAAAGGTTTGTTACTACTTACTCATGCTACTTTGCATCTCCTTTTGATGAAGAAGAACCATCATCTTATGATGAAGCAAAAGGAGTTAAAGAGTGGGAGACCGCAATGAAGGAGGAGATGGATGCTCTAAAGAAAAATGAAACTTGGGATTTGGTTCCAAAACCCAAGGATGTCCAACCCGTCTCATGCAAATGGGTGTACCGGATCAAGCGTAAGAGGGATGGAAACATTGATAGACACAAAGCAAGATTGGTTGCTCGGGGATTTTCTCAGAAGTATGGAGAAGACTATGATGAGACTTTCAGTCCAGTGGCGAAGATGACTACGGTACGTACACTCTTATCTTTAGCTGCAAGCTTTGGCTGGAAGTTATGGCAGTTAGATGTGAAGAACGCTTTTCTATACGGAGAACTTGATAAAGAAATCTATATGGAGCAACCACTTGGTTACATATCACAAGAGCATCCCGATTATGTTTGCAAGCTAAAGAAGGCTTTGTATGGGTTAAAACAAGCTCCAAGGGCCTGGTATGGAAAGCTTGCTCAGTTTCTTCAGTTTTGCGGTTACTCTCCGTCGAACTCTGATCCGAGTCTGTTCTTCAAGAAGAATGGAGGAGTCCACGTGGTAGTCCTTCTTTATGTGGATGACTTGATAATTACCGGGAATGATGAAGCGGAAATTGCTCGTCTGCAAGAGGATATGTCGATAAGGTTTGAGATGAAGATGTTGGGTGAGCTGAACAACTTTCTTGGTTTGGAGGTTGAAAGGATGAAGGATGGAATATTCATCGGCCAACATAGCTACGCAAGAAGGATTGTAGAGAAGTTCGGGGTACACGAAGGAAAGACACGTACTACTCCGATGGATGCGAACATCAAGCTGAAGCGCGATGAAGGATCCTTGCTACCCGATCCTCGGCCTTATCGTTCTCTTGTGGGAAGTCTTCTATACTTAACCATTACAAGACCTGACATTTCCTTCGCGGTTGGTCTTGTAAGTCGGTTTATGCAGTCACCAAGGAAGCCACATCTAGAAGCGGCAAAGAAGATCTTGAAGTATGTGAAGACAACTCTTGGCATGGGTCTAATGTACAAGTACAATGCCAAGGTCTCTCTCTATGGCTTCACGGATGCTGACTTTGGTGGAGATCTAGATGGTCGAAAATCAACTTCGGGCTTTGTGTTCTTGTGTGGAGACACAAGCGTTTCATGGTGCAGCAAGAAACAAGCAACGGTGTCGCTGTCTACCACTGAAGCGGAGTATAAAGCTTCGACGCTCGCAGCCCAAGAGTGTATTTGGCTTCGAAGGCTTCTTGAAGATTTGTTTGAGCCAATCAACAAGCCGGTTGCCATATATGGAGATAACCAAAGTGCTATCAAGCTGGCTAACAATCCGGTGTTCCATGCAAGGACGAAGCATATTGAGTTGGAACATCACTTCATACGGGAGAAGGTGCTTGATGGAACAATTGAAGCTTTGGAGGTTCGAAGTGAGGATAATGTTGCAGATATCTTCACCAAGTCACTACCAAAAGGTCAGTTCGAGTTACTTCGCTCGAAACTCGGGATGGTTGATAAAATCAAGTTTAAGGGGGAGTATTGAAATTAAACTTGATTTTGATCAAGGTTTAATTTTGGGTCCATAAACAAATTATTATTAAACCCAAAATTAGGCCCAAGTTCTAGAACTCTCTAGAAACATCATAAGAGGTCATCACTTCCTCAAATTTTCTAGAGAATTCTACTAGATAACTCTCTAGATATTTATGTAGAACTTTCTAGTTCTTGTAAGACAAGAAATCTAGATATTATGTTAGAGAGTTCTAGAGATTAGGATAAACTTGTAAGATAATTTGTAGAAAGTTGTAGAAGAAGAAGAAGAAATATCTAGGACCTAAGGAGGTTATAGAAGAGTGTAGAAACTTTGTAAGTAGATTTGGGAGGCTATAAATACCTCCTCACCCCCTCATTTGTAAATGCACAAGAAATTGAACAAGTTAATAAAGAGTGTTCTAAAGCTAAGTTCTCTCTTGTTCTTCTTAAAAGTCTTTCAAGTATTCTCTTGTGTTCTTCCATATTTCTCTTCATACTTAGAGGGTTTATTGTTTCTTTCGGGTTTCTCGGGTATTACGGTCTTGGGCTAGTGCTAAGCACTATCGGTGCTGGTTTCTCTACACACTGTAGGAGAGATATCTTGATTGTTAGGAGGAAGCTACTTCCGCGACGGTCCTATACATGGAACTTTAGAATCTTCAAGATGGATTGGTCCCAAGGGAACAAGTGGGAGGAGATTTTCACCTTGGGAGATGAGGCGATTCTCTTGGATTTGGGTATTACAGTGCTCGCTAAGGACTTGGAAGGAATCACTAGTAACTCCATCTACTACTGTGAAGCGCCTGATGAAGACTTGCATTACAACGATAATGTGTTGGTCGTATATAATGTCGATACAAAGAAGATCGAACAACCACAAGAATCTGTTTCTTCGTCCCTTCCATTCTCTTTTGCTTGTTGGTTCTTACCAAGTTTCAAACGTGGTTGATTGGTTCAAATCATACATCTATATAGTTATCTCTCTTGCTTTTTTTTTCTTTTCTTTTGTATTAAAAACATTTGGTAATATATTATTGGGGATTCAAGATTCGATATTGCTTTCTATTTATTTTTTTGGCTCTTCTTATGAGTCTAATAAGACGAAGACGAAATCATTTATTTTATTTTTTTGCCCTTCTTATGAGGCTAATGAAGTAGGTTAAGCTTGGGAATTTGATATTTTTGCGGTTGAAATGAAGACTCATATGATGGCGCGCGAGTGAGATTAAAGGCACTGGCCAATTGCAAAGAGAATGTTAGGATACTCTTCCAAAACCGCAGCTGGACACGAATTCATCAGATTAAAGGCTGCTTCATCATTCGGCTTCTCAAACTAATGAACTTGAGAGAATCTATAGTTATAACGAAGGTTAAGAGCGTGTAAGAAGTAAAAAGCAAGCAACATTCTACTCGGACAATGACGAAATACAATCTAAACATCATCACCAGAGATATAGAATACTGATAAATTTCATATCAAATCGTAACATACATAGATCAGTATGTAGTCTAGCTCCCTTATCGAACCCAATTTAACGAATAAGAAGGAGAAGGAGAAATCTACATGGAAAAATCACGACCATCGATTCGAAAAACCATAAAGTTAGGAAGCATGACTTGACACACTCGTACTTGCTATTCGCTTCGCCATATTCTCACCAAACTGCTTATTTTTTTCTGTGATTTTACTCTCAACCTTGAAATCTGTTTGTGACACAACAGGTTAGAATATTAAAACTGAGTGGTAATCGTTAGAAAGATCTAAACACTAAACAACTCATTAAGTGTGAAAAATCCTCTAGATGGAAATTCAACAATTTTCATATATTGAGAACTTAACGAAACAAATCTCTAGTCCAAGTTAACAATAGGAGCTTCATTTTTTTAGATTCGCTATGTTCTCTTCCTACAGACCATTATCCATCACCAAAACATGTAATATATATGAGAAAAATTTCGCAAAAGAGAATGACAGTTCCTAGTTCCTACAATGAAAGTTGAAAGCAACTTACCGCAATTTCTGGTCCCCATAAACAGTTTTTGTGGTCCTCAAAAGTATCATCCTCTTGCTCCTCCCCGCCGTCTTCCTCTCTAGAATCTGACCAAGTTTTTTCTCACTCTGAGTCTATTTCTCCGGTTCAACAATGTTAGATTCTTCAGATTTCAGATCAATCATCTCTTTATCACCCTCGCATCACCAGATTCCCCAGCGCCACCCTCCTTCTCCCTGATTTGTTCAAGTAATCTTCTTGAACTGGGAAAGAATGTTGAAACAAATATTTAATTCGAAACCTCCATCATGAAATACAAAGAGACCAATCTGACTATAGGAAACATTAATACTTCAAGTATTTAAACCTTTCGCTTCCTCTTAAAAGCACATAATATTCTCAAACCTTTTACTCTGCCTTCGTACCTAATTTTCTTCTCCGTCATTGGCCCTTAGTATGTTTTTCGCAATGAGAATTTGATCTTAGCTTGTAGTTCTGAATTGATCTTAGAAGTTTATTATATATAAATCAGTATTTATTATTTTGTTGTGGCAGTGGAGTAGGTACAGTAGAATGTAACAATATGCATAAACCAGGGTTCGGCTTTATGCGTTAGTCAGACAAATGTTTGCATCTTTCAAGCACGAGAAAGAAAGAAAGAAAAAAAAAAACACAAAACATTTTCACAAAGCAACAAATCCCATTAACAAACTAAAAAGAGAGTTTGGTTTGATATGAAGGCCGTTATTATCAATTTAGCATGTATTAACTAACTATGTATTTGGGTATCACAGTGCTCGCTAAGGACTTGCAAGGAATCACTAGTAACTCCATCTACTACAGTGAAGCGCCTGATGAAGACTTGCATTACAACGATAATGTGTTGTTCGTATATAATGTTGATACAAAGAAGATCGAACAACCACAAGAATTTGTTTCTTCGTCCCTTCCATTCTCTTTTGCTTGTTGGTTCTTACCAAGTTTCAAACGTGGTTGATCAAATCATGTATCTATTATAGTTTTCTCTTGCTTGTTTGTCTTTTTTTTTGTATTAAAAACATTTTGTAATATTTTATTGGGGATTCAAGATTCAATATTGCTTTCTACGAGGTGGTTGGCCCGCACCTTGCGCGGGCATGAGTTGCTTTTGAAACTAAAAATATCTATATACAAAAAACAATAATTTTGATAATTCAAACATTACAATAATTTATCTAAAAAACTGAAATAAGAAAAAACCACTAAAATAATTTAAATATTCAAACCATACCATATATTTTAGAAAACTTCTTCATATTAGTTGATCTTTATATTAATTTAAAACTTTTTTAGGTGATGGTCCCGCACCAGGTACAATATTTTTTAAAAACATTAATTAATTAAATATTTAATAATATAAATAGTAAAATTTATGATTGTATTTATTTTTTTTGTTTCGCCGATTTCTTATTTTTGTAATTTTGATATATCTTATTTTTATTTTTTCTTTCTCATTTTCAACATAATCCTCTTCATTTATTTATATAGATACAAAAGATTTGTTTATTTCTTCTCCCTCTTATCTTCTCCAATTATCCCATCTTCTTATTTTTCTTTTAATTTTATATTCATTTTCATCATCTTTTTCTTCTTCTTCCAATTTTCGTTCTTAAATATTTTCTTATGTCTTCATATCCTCCAACTCACTATTTTACATTTTATTTTTAATAATTATTTTCCAGTTTTTCTTCTTCCTCATTCCCACCTATCTCTATCTTTATCATCTTCGTCTTCTCTAACAACATATTGTTCTAAATTTTATTTATTTCTTCTTTGTCACTTTCTATTTCTTCACATTCTATTTTTTCTTCTTTGATTTCTTTTCTTCTTCTCCAAATTTCACATCTTCTCTTTCACCGTCTTCTTTTCTTTTACTCGTGTATTCATTCGTTCGTTTTAACCTCTTGTATTTCACCTATAAATTCATTTGATAGTTTAGATTTTCAATGATTTGAAAAATAGTTTTATCTTTATATAGTCGAGATCTTTTAAAAATCTATTGGTTTTGTTATCTTTCGATTATGTATTTGTTTTAAATGGTTGATTTTTTTATATTTGTAAATGTAATTTAGAAAGGTATAATTAGATTTATAATCATTGATTTTTATATTCTTCCATAATAATTCATTTTTTTTAAATGCACCAAAAACTAAACTCTACACCCATCAATATAAACCTTACACCCTAAACCCAAACCCCACAGTGTAACACCACCTCCCCTCCCCCTCCCTAAACAATCCTCCACTCTAAACCCAAACCCCACATTATAACCCACGCCAAACCGCACACCCAAACCTCACATTTTACAAATTGGTTCTGGATTTTTTCTTTTATTTTTATTTATTTCTTAAAAATAGTTTTTTTTAATCGGTAATATAGTGTATTCAATTTTTGTAAAATGCACCAAAAACTAAGCTTTACGCCCATCAATATAAACCATACATCGTAAACCCCAACCCATTTTTATCTTCTTCTTCTTTTACTTTGTCTTTTACTTCTTTCATATATTTTCGTTCATTTTTTCCTTTTTTGTCTTATTCTTATCAAATTTTCTTATCTTTTTTTTTCTTTTCCTCTCTCTTCATCGTCATTTTTATTTCATGGTTTTTATTCGTTTTCTTCTTTTTATTTACAATTAGTTTTTTTTTCAATTGCTTTGTTCTTATTCTTCGTTTTTCTCTTTTGATTTTTCTAACTTCTTTATTGCTCATATATTCTTCAATTTTTTTCTTCTTTTGTTATGTTACTTTCATTTTTTTCCATGTTTGTCTTCCAACTTTTGTCTTTTCTTTACTTTTATTTAGGTTTTTCTTCTTATTTCATCTTGTATTCTTCATCATTTTGTATTATCAATCTTTTTCTTTTTGGTAACATCTTATATTAACAGTTTTGTCTTTTCTTTATTTTATTTTATTCTCGTCTTTTCATATTTTTTCTTCATCATCTCCTCATACCTTTTTGTTATTTTTTTTCTGTTGTATTTCTTTAATCTCCTTTAATTTATTTGTCATCAGACTAAAACCATCATAAATCCCACATTCAAACGATTACATTCAAGATAGTTAATATGCAAATCCCAAACAAAACTGGCAATTGTACAACTGACTGAGCAAAGTAGCAAACGTTGTTGCATCGTCCATGTTGTGAATATTGTCTCGACGACAATACTTTCTTTTTTCACTACGATGCAATTCACAACAAACAAAACAAAAACTAATTTTTATGTATTATCTATGTTGATTCTCAAAGTAAACAAAAAGAGTAAAAAACTAACTTCTACCATGTGCAAAGTCGTAATCCATCATAGAAAACGTTTTTGGGTATGTCAACGAATATAATATGCACACTACTGCTTAGTTTCGTAAAAATAAAATAAATATTGTTAGTATACAACAAACCATGTTCATGGGATTATGATAGAGTTTCATGATTCAGAAGGAAACAAAGCAATGGCTTATAATCAATACCTATACTAAAGTAACTATAGAAGACTCCTTCATAGCCATCCGTTGATGGAGGCAACTCAACCTCTACTTTTGGTATGATTTCAATATCTTAATACCTTATTCACTTTCAATCCTGAAAACTGTATGTTAAAAAGAACATAAGTATTCTTGCAACTCTCCTGAAGCCCTCAAGCCCTCAAAGACATTCAAACAAAGCTTCGTTGACATATTTGACGGTTCCAGCTTCAATCATATTTTCACATCTATCAATTGTCAATGAAAGAAAATATCAACACTATTAGAATTAGAGGGTTAAAAATCTAGATTATTTCCCGAAACTTTTGCTTTGAAACTTAAGTTGGGTTTATTACGCGGACCTACCACCTCAATTAATTAAAAATCTAGATTATTTTAGTCCATTGTATTACGGTTTATTAGAATTACGGTTTTATGAGCATTAAGTTGAAATTAAGAAGGAAAGATGTACATACCTCTATTTCTTGCGAAGAATTGTTTTTAGTTGGTACCATATATGATCTTCTTGATTCCATAAACTAACAAAGCATGAATTTACTGTTATAAAAGTGAGTGAAATAGAAGTTATATGCGAATCTTTAGATAAAATTTGCATAAAATAATGAAATTAAAATTAGTTAATGATTAGAGCTAATAGAAGTAAGATCTAGCAAGAACAATAAACATAAATGAAAAGAAGAAATATGAACTCAAAGAATTAAAATCACGTCTAAAAAGAAGAATCGAAATTGTAATGATTTTGCTTCTTGCCATCTATTTATATAGAACATAGTCGGTTAAAAAACCTAGAGTTTTGTTTTTTTTCTTCCAAATTTGTGACGCGTAATATGGTAGTTAGGATAATTATTGAAAAAATATTTAAATAAGAAATATAACTCGTGAATTTAACAAAAAAAAGAAATTTTCAAGTTTTAATAATAGATTTACATTAAATCAAGGGGGGGGAGAAGGAAATTTTCAAGATTTAATAAGGAAATTATGAAGATTTTTCTTTTTAAATATCAAAATCGTGAATAATAACAAAAAAAAGGAAATTATGAAGATTTTTTTAAAAAATATCAAAATCGTGAATAATAATAAAAAAGAAAATTATAAAGATTTAATAATAGATTTTCATTAAGGGCATCTCGGTAATTCCGCGGCTGAGAGTTAACGTGGTGCCTCCATTCGAAATTCTGACTTCGCAAATAATAGTATGATTTGTACATGAAAATATTTTACTGCATCTAAAACTTTATTTGATAGCAAACATTTGGCCATAACACTGAAAAAATATTTCATTTATAACCGACAAACCTTGGCAAATATGAAGGCCCAATAAAGCCCACAAAGCTCAAAAGAAATCGGTGCTGACGTAAGACAGGTGTAAGAGATTTCTTGTAATCCAATCAAACTATTAATACTAAGCCAAGTGGTTAACGGATTCCACACAACAGTGGAAGTTAAGGTTCCGTGTAGGCAAGCCCTAAATCACATTAATTAGTTCTTATTTAAATACTCTTTCTCCTCCTTGTGATATTGACTTTATCTCGATTCTTTTCCAGTTTCCATCAAATCGGTTTCTTTCACAGCAAACCCTAGCTTTCGACGAATCGCATACAGTTTCTTCTTCCGGTATGTCTCTCTTCTCCTCCTTTTCTCATACCAATTCTAGTTTCTAGGGTTCTGGGTTTCTTTTCCTGATCTGGCAGACGGTTGAATTTAATCACCGATCGCTGTGTATAATTTCGTGATTATGATATTTTCGTGCTTGAAATTTGCAGAGTCCGATCGAATCGCCATGGCTGCTAAGAGTTCCTTCAAGCTCTCTAATCCTCTCGGTTAGTTCCTTAATCTCATCGAACTTTTTGATTTCCCTAGCTTTTGCGCGATCAATTTCAGCTGCATACGATTTCCGATCATTCTATCGTTCATCGCTGATTCTTAATCTTGTTTCTGAGTTTCTGATTCAGTTAAATATACGATTTGATTCAGTTTTTGCTTCTGATCGTGTAGAATTTTGATTAATTTCTGATTCAATTTTGATTTGATCTGTTTCTCTGTTTGTGTTTGTTCTTGCCTCTTAGGAGTAGAAATAATCCAAAGCTATTTGATTTCTGAATCCTTTTGAGATTTCATGATCTCTACCAATCAGCAGCTTTGTTCTTTGAATGCTTTAGCTGTGAGATTAATCTTCTTTTGGTTTGATTTTCTTAATCAGAGGCAAGAATGGGTGAAGCTACACGGATCAGAGAGAAGTACCCTGACAGAATCCCAGTATGATCACTTTCATTAACTTAACACTATAATTCTTTTTACCAATTTTAGTTAAAGCAATGTTCTAATTTAGAAACTGAACAATTGTAGGTGATTGTTGAGAAGGCAGGACAAAGCGATGTTCCTGATATCGACAAGAAGAAGTGAGTAATCGCTTGAGCCATCTTCTCTTATCTCTCTCTCTTTGTGCTAATCATAATCTCCTCTTTTCTTTAGGTATCTTGTGCCAGCAGATCTTACCGTTGGTCAGTTTGTGTACGTGGTTCGCAAAAGAATCAAGCTTGGAGCCGAGAAAGCAATCTTCGTCTTCGTCAAGAACACATTGCCTCCCACTGGTAAAGTTTCTGTTAAACTCTTGCACCATTCAAGATCAAAGTTTCCTTCTTTATTGTTAACATGGTTTCACTTTGTTTCTTAAAACAGCTGCATTGATGTCTGCGATCTATGAAGAACACAAAGATGAAGATGGGTTCCTCTACATGACTTACAGCGGAGAGAACACTTTCGGATCTTTGATCGTTGCTTGAAGAAATAGTGATCTTTTGATGATGACTTTGATTGTACATACATAAAGTTCAGGAAGATAAGATGTACATTCCTTCTTCCTCTCTGGCTTTTGACTCTGCTTTGGTGTTTGGATCTCTTTTATCTTTTGGTTTTATTAATCTTTAGAAAGCTTTTTCTCTTTTACTCCATCTTAAGCTTTTGAATTCAGACTTGGTGATTTTTTATTCAAATAACATTGTCATATCAAAAAGATCAATCTTTGAAAACATGTTCATATATCATCACAAAAGCAAAAAAGAGTACAAAATATGAAGTTTGGTGAAAATTTCAGCACAAAGGACTACTTTAACCACAACCATACAAAACCTAAAGCTTCCATGTAGAAACTTCTCATGATTCTTCTTCATCTGTTCTAGCATTCTGGAACGAGACTGAATGGTTTCTTTAACTTTAACTCTTACTCATGGTAAAGTCGACGGATTTTTCACTGTTTTACCGGACAAGATTCAAGAAGGATGTCAAAGAATCAACATCTCTCTTCTCCGATGGATACTTGATTGCTCTTGGAGAGTTCTTTGGAAACACAAGTATCGTAGGGAAGCTCCCAAGCTGCAACTCCCTCTTAGCAAACTCCTTCTGGTCACCATCAGCTCTAAACTTAGCAACCTTGACGCCACTCCCACCCAACTTATCCGCCAACTCATCAAACGAACCCTCCATCGCTTGACAAAATGGACACCACGGCGCGTAAAGCACAACGATCCAAGCCTCTTTCCTGTTCTCCAACTTCATCAGATTCTCAACTCCTTGCCTGCTCAAGCTCACAACATTCTCGCTCTTGAAAATATCCGCAACACTTGTCGTCGTTCCATTAACATTACCCGCTGCGTTGTTAGCATTGTCACTCTCCTTGATGTTCCCTTTGTGAAGTCCACACTCTTTAGCCTTAGCATCTTCCCACCACCACCTCCCTTCTCTCTCGTGCTGACCTGGCAAAACCGCCCTCGTGCACGGCTCGCACCCGATGGAAACATACCCGGCGGCGTGAAGCGTGTTCACCGGAACATCCATCGTCCTCAAGAAGTTCCACACATCGTTCCCTTCCACGTTCGCCACAGGGTTCCACTTCACCAAGCTGCCAGCTCCACCGTCTAGTCCTTCGAACACCGGATCAACTTGAACAACCGGAATCTCCGATCTCGTTCCCGGTGACTGGTCTTTCCTCTGCCCTGTGATCCAAGCTCGCAAACCTTTCAACGCACGCCTCAAAGGTCTCACCTTTCTTATGCGGCAGCACTCCTGGTGACCGTCTTCGTAGAAGGAGAACAAACCCTTGTTCCTCACCAGAGCTTGGACCTCAACGGCGTCGGGGAACATGTACTCGATTCGAATTCCGTAGTGTTTCTCCACGGTGTCGAAGAGTCTGTATGTCTCTGGATTGAGTCTTCCAGTGTCTAAGCTGAATACTCTGTAAGGTCTTCCTGTTAGATGAGCGTACTCTATGAGAGCTACATCTTCTGCTCCACTGAAACACAAATTTAACTAATTTAGCAAAAAGTTAAGAACTTGAAAAAGTTTCAATCTTTTATCAGATTTTCTCATGAATGATTCGTTTACCTGAAGGCGATGGCAATGTCGTCTCCGAATTTCTCAAGAGCTTTGTCCATGATCTCAAGAGGAGAAGCATTCTCTAGCCTTTTCGCTAGCTCCTCAAAGTCTTCCACTTCTACCACTTTCTCTGCAACCTCTGTTTTTGTAACAGAGACACAAGAAAAAGATCATTAGCATAAACTTGAATTGAAAAATAAACCGAGATTAATTGAGAGTAAACCGGAACTAACCGGAAGCCACCATGGTTGCTGCTTGAGGAACCATCGATTCCTTTGTGAATGACTGCACATTTAGAGGTTTCACCGATGATCGCTTCCCGGATAGGCTCAGAGACGCCGCGGAGACATTGGTTCGATCCGATAACCTCAACGAACCGATTTGCGATACTGAATAGAGAAACAAAAAAAAGATTCGAATTCGGATTAGTTTCATCATTGATCGGTCGAAATTGGACGAATTTAAACAAGCAATTCTCCAAATCAAACCCCAGAAACACTATGATCCATCAAACCGGATTAACAAAAGAGATTTCAGATTTTGATGATGTGGTTAAAAATAGAAATTACCTTTGAGCTCGGAAGAAGGGAAGCTGATAGAGCTTGAGATCCCAGAAGAAGATGAAGAAACGTTGATTGCTAGTGACATTTTCAGACAAATCTCAAAGGAAATTTGATCTAAGTTTTGGTTTTTGCTGTTTGGTTTTTTTTGTTTTCTCCTTGAGATCTCTCTCTCTCTTTGAGGAAGTGGGGATTATAAAAGAAACAGGTGAAAGTAGATTCATTGAACCTGGACGCCTATTTTTCTGGTGGCGGCATTTCATTTGCATTTCTCTATATCATTGCTTGCGTCACTTTGGTCGTGTGGTAGAGAAAGCTAGTCAACATTGGCCTAACAAATTTTTTTGCTCTATTTGGTAACACACTTGATGATAACATAGTACCAAAATTATACTATAGATAGAGATATCTATTAATTTTTGACCGATTTTATTATTAATAATTATTATCGTTTTACATTCTCCGCATGTGTATCTCTAGAAATTCATGCTCAATCCTAAAAATAACTAAATAATTGAATAGAAAAAAAAAAAGATTCTCTAGAAACTCAATGTTGAAAATAGCTAAACTGAAATTAGAGTTTTATCATTTGGTATTATCCCTAATCAGAGTTTTTTAAGTTTGAAATTAGTTAAGTTTCTAGAAAAATTCGAAGCTCTAAATGCAAAATTGGTTTAAAATTGCAGGAAACCAAACCATAATTCATAAACCGGTTTTTTGTTAACCAAGACAAATCATACCAAAATAACAAATTCCAGATCTCCAGTATCCTAATTTCACCATCTAATGCAAAATCAAAATCCGGATTCCAAAAGATCAACATCCGAATTCTATTATTATTCATCACAACTTGTTTCACCAGACAAGACTGAAGTAACTAATCTTTTAACCAAATCAATCACTTGTCTTCTTTAGCTTTCTCTTCTTCCTTCATCTTCTTCTCCCACCTTCTCTTCTTGTAATCAAGAAGCATCTGAGGCATCTTCAGCATAAGCTTCGCAGTGTTCTCTCTCTTCTCCGCCGAGATTCTGTCACACTTGTGACCTTTCCTCTTCGTCTTCATCGCTTTCCTCTCCGGATCATAAGGCCAGTCCTCTCCAGCGGCCAACACTTCTTTCCTCAGCATGGCTCTCCTCCGCGCGCTTATCCCCAACGGTTTCCACAGCCCCATCTCCCAGTAGCCATACACGCCTTTCGTCAGCTCGGTCCTGTACTTGTCCAGCTTCGCCCTCCACGGATGCTGAAACGCCGCCGTCGCTGTATTCGCCGCAGCTGCTTTTCCAGCCATAGCTTCTGTAGTGTTTGCAAAAGATAAACATATATTAAAAAGCAGCAGTTTGTGTGTAATCCAATTAGCTCAAAGTTATCTTCTTAAGAAACGTCTAGACTTATATCAGCAGTGATAACTGTAATCCAATTAGCTAAAAGCTGTACTTATGAGCCTCTAAACTTATAGAAGCAGTGGTAATTGTGATCCAATAGCTCAATTTTATCTCTCAAACATGGTTAAGAAACCTCAAAAATTATACATTTCGAGTTAACTAAATGCAGAGGAGATCAACTGAAAGAAGGTATGATACAATGATGGTGAATAGAAGCAAAAAAAAAAAAACAATCTTTCAAGCGATAGTGAAATGTGAGTGTGAAATCGAGAGAGCATTTTCTTAAAAAATTAGCACAGATTAGGTTGGAATTTTGGAAATAGAACAATCTCTCGAGAGTAATCTTTGATTGCGAAGATGAAATGTTGATGCAAATGGATTCATCGCTAACAGAGACACCGAAAATTAAGGTTTTGAAACAGCTAGTGTAAGCAATCTGATTTGCGATCTACTTCGAGATCGATACGAGTTTTCGAAGAGAGAAAGCTTACAGTGAAGACGAAACCAAGGCAAGTAAGATCGGAGGAGCTTGTTTCCTTGCTTGTGAGGAATCGATCGAGACTCGAGAGGGAAAGTGTGAGAACGCGGCGGAGATGATAAGGGTTAGCGTTGGGTTTCGTAAGCCTTTTACTTCATCTTTTTTCAGCAAAATATTTTATAATTAAATATTTTTTTAATAATTAATTCGTATATAAACTTAAAATTACTTATAGATATTGGTCTTCCACTCTTGACTCTTTTGAGTGAGTCTCTACACTTTTTTCACTCATTTTCAGTTCACTATAGATAGATCTGTACCTGAATTTCGAAATCCGATTTTTTTTTCTCTCTATAATTCTAAAGTTTTCTTTCACAAATTTTGTGTTCTCTCGTTTAATGACATACGCCCAAAACTAAATAGTCTCGTTCTCGCCAAATACAAAATCTCACATACACTATAATACACACACTAAGATACGAAAACTGTATATATATACTAACCATTAGACAGACTCTTGTAGTTTTATCTTTGTAAAACTCAAACAAAATCTGACATGTCCAATGTGTATGTTATTTGTGAATAACTACTACACTATTTGCATCTCACGAAATATATTTTATTATATGGAAATTAACCGTTAATTAGGATAATACTCTTTTCGGATCCTTGAGAAATGATAACAGATAAATCGTTAATCTCATCCTCCAATTAGTAACCAGTGAAAAGATACTAAGTTTCCGAATGTTTTTTTGATGTTGATGTCGTGTTCATCCGTATAGGTACAACATATGTCATTTCATTCATAAAAACTTATGGAAATTGCTCACCAACTTAATACCCGTCTTCTCTAAAGTGCTTCACCTACCTAAGCATTCTAATGCATGTGACAAAATTAAACTAACACATGTTTGTTCTGCTTTCTGTCTCTTTAATTTGTTTGAAACAACAATCGAATACTGAAGATGTTAGATATGGAATTTGAGTAAATAATTGATTTAGTAATTAACATAAACGGAAGAAAACTACTTGTGATTGAATGTTTTTGATGGACTTTCTTTAATTCAGATCGTCGTTATATTGGCTGCGTTTCTATCTTTTAAAAGAAAAAAGTCCAAAGTTTAGGTTCTGGAAAACAACAACTTTGCTTATGAGACATTATATTTTTTAAAGAACCAACAGATTAATCTACAGCCTTAAAAATGTTTTGCGGATCATCTTCATAGACTTATACAGCATGAGATATGTGCGAATCTGTAAAATACAACTTGCATAAAGCTCTTATGCGCATTTTCAAGTGGCACATCTAATGTCGGATAATTTGCTATTGTCCCTTTCACGTATTCAGTGGACGTTAGACTCTTCATTCGAAGACTACAGATTAGCAGGCTTGTATCAAGAATTAGGTGTTGAAATAGATTACCGGGCTACTGGGCCAAATGGGCCTTGTGGCAACATAGTGAATATATGGTATACTTCTAATTGGCCCTCCAAATGAAAGTTTTGTTTATTCGTCAACATGATCTGATTGGTAAGCCTCGAAATCAGTCTAATATATATGATTTTAGATTTTAGATTTTACATGTTTTTATCAGCTTTTTTTTAATTGCAAAAACAAAAAAACCCCTCAGATTTTCATAGTCACGAATAATTACAATATACAAATAAGCTAAAACCTACAACCTAGAAATGTTTAAGGATTCCCTTCTATACCGAAATCATCGGAACTCCCCTGATGACATAACTTGACTTTTCTTTTGTCGGATGAACCTATGATTGCATAACATGACGACGTACATTTACATTCACACATACTATTTGTCTATTTCAAATAACAGTATGTTATTATCTGTCTCTTTTAAATTTCTTTTCAATCTTTGCGTATGGTGCAGAATGGTACTCGAACATTGACACTTCATTTGACGTGTTACGTGTACATTATAAACTTCATGCATCACAGCCTTAATAAGATAAAATACTCGAATACCATTCAATGAGATTCAACATTGCATCTGCTGGCTGATGACAATGAAGATGCCGTTGGTTTCATCGTAATAATTAAGCGGCGCATGGCAGTATGTATATAATAAATATTCATTCAATCGTCAGGAACCTGCTTCCTCCATCTCCACGTAAACAAACAATTATTACGTTCTTGTATAAGTCCAAATGTTTGTATAATTAAATCCGATTATTTCATGCTTATAGTCCAATCATGAAATCCATTCTTAACTAATTACTACATCATTGTGGTTCTGTGTGCTAATAATGACCAATAAATTACAAATTGTTCAAAAGATCCTTCCCTTCAACCGAAATTATCGGAAACTCGGTGATGACATAACCAGACTTTTTGGTCGCATATATTTATCATTTGCATAACATGGCCCCCATGCATATACGTACAAACACATACATAAACTCGTTTGTTTCTAAACTTTCTAATATGATCACTTAAAAATATATTATTTTAAAAATAACAGTATTGTTTTGTCTGTATTACTATTTTTCTTCGAATTTTGCTTATGGCGCAGAAATGTACTCAAGCACGTGAAAGCACAGAACTTGATATCTTCCGCTTCACATCCACCGTACACCCTCACCTTCTGATAGATCTGATCTGTAATCTTCACCGTCTATATGGCATTGACTTTGGCCATTACTCAAATCCAACGGACCGCGACAGGATTATTCATTACAAGATTTTGTAGAGACACGTGATTTCTACCTCCTGACAGCTCACACGCCGCGTTTCAAAACAATTCACTTGCGGACAATACGGAGCGATGATCGATAATGTACTCTTGACCCAAAAAAGCCTTAGCATTTCTTTAAATAAAAATTAATTTGAGTGAGATCTAAAAGAGGAAAAAGGCAGAGAATCTTATGACAGATTTAATATTTTTTTGTGGGATAAGTAACTATTATGACATAATTTGTAATCCAAGCTTTACATCGAATTGGTAATACTAGCTTGCTGGATCTAATGGATCGAACTAATAAGAAAATGTTTGTTGATAGACTAAATTCAGCGAGCTAGTACTTAAAACATACTGCATTTGTTTAAATCTGTACATGAAAATGAAATTTCGTACAGTGGGAAAACATTACAAACTGATATTGACTTTTATAAGAAGTCTATTACTTTTGAAGTCGTTTATCAAATTTAAGTTCAAACCTATAGTTAAATAATGCAAATCCTTTACCAAAAAAAAAAAAGAATGCAAATCATACTCTCAATTTAACCATGATTTCGGATTAAAATATTCATTACTCAGTGAATATTTTATGGATTTGATAAGGTTCCAAATGATAAGTTACCTTTTCTAAAATAAAAGTATATCTTCAATGCCAAAATTGTATTAATTACGTCGGTGCCACTGCTACAAATATTTAAGAGAGCATCTTTAATAAATTCTCCAGACTCCTCTCTGTATCTTTAATATCCCCTTGGATCTACACCTCTTCTCAGTCTCAGACACAAAACAATAACACAAAACCTCAAAAAAGAAACCAGAAGAGAGAAACAACAACAATGAGAGATTCTTGCAAAGTCTCTATAGTTCTTCTTCTGGTTATAATCAATGGTGTATTTGGAGATAACCCTTATAGATTCTTCACCTGGAAAATAACTTATGGCGACATTTATCCCCTTGGTGTTAAACAACAGGTACTTTAACTGCATTTATTTTTCTTCTTTCGACATTTTTCAGTTTGTTTATCCGAGAATATCCGGAGATAACATTTTCTCGATTGGGTTTTGTTGAATGCAGGGAATTTTGATAAATGGGCAGTTTCCTGGACCTCACATTGACGCAGTCACAAATGATAATATCATTATCAGTGTTTTTAACTACTTGAAAGAGCCTTTCCTCATTTCTTGGTATGTTCTTTCACAAATCTTGATTATCTATTTCCCGGAAAATGTGCTTTAAGAGCCACCAAGAAAATTGAATATTCTGGATGGAACCAAAAGATATTGAAAATAGGATTACCTCTTTATTTGGCACTTTTTTTTGTTGTCCCAAAAAAATGCAGCTTTAGGACAAATGTGCTTTGAGTACATTACATCTCATCTCACACATTATCGAAACTTTCATAGACATGTGTATAATATATCTATGTACTAGTAATCTAAGAGAACATGATAGATTTGTTCCAAAGAACAATCCTTTTAATCTCTAATGAATAAAACAGAAATTTAGGTTCATTATTTTTGTTCTCGGTGATTTAAATGCTATTAAAAACGTATACTCCATAATTCCATATTTACGTGTAGCGTTAATAAATGATTTTAAAGCAAATATAGTACTTCAGAGACCAATTTAATATTGTTTGTTGTTGGTTACTAAAAAGAGCATTTACAAATTACAACCACGAGAGTGCTTCCTGAAAATACAGCAAGAAAGTCTCAGTCTCAACTCAAACGAACAAAAATAGGGATTAATAACTTAAACCAGAAAAACTAGCATTGTAGTGTTTCAAATAAAATTGATTTTGCTACTAGATAGACAATATTGTTTTCTTAGTTTATATCTTTTGAGAATGTCAATTTCCTTTTCTCTTTTGAATCATAAAAGCTCTTCTTACACCCGACATGACTGGCTGTCAAATACAAATATATAAAAATATTTCATGCCATCAGAAAATTAAAATATTCCACTTGATCCATACAACTAGTCACATGCGATGATGACACATAGACACATGTGAGTTTTAAGTGTCAGTGGGAAACAATAGAAGCGCACTGAAATTAACTTTTAAGTCCCTGATCTATTCAAATATCCAAAAATTTAACTCCAAACTCTTAATTTGTTCAAAATGTCCCTAATCTTCAAAGACTGTTTCTTCTTAGGAACGGAGTGCAACAGAGGAAGAACTCATGGCAAGATGGTGTCGTAGGCACAACATGTCCAATCCCACCTGGCAAAAACTTCACTTACATAATCCAAGTCAAAGATCAAATCGGTAGCTTCTACTATTTCCCTTCTCTTGCCTTCCACAAAGCCGCTGGTGCCTTTGGAGCCATCCGTGTCTGGAGCCGTCCTCGCATCCCCGTCCCGTTCCCTTCTCCTGACGGCGACTTCTGGCTTCTCGCCGGAGATTGGTACAAAACCAACCACTATGTAAGCACACTCTTCATTGCCCTAATTCCTTTCACTTCTGTCGCAAGTAAAATGGCCAAACCATTCAGTTTTTTTTTTCCGGTTTAATAAATTTCTGTTTGATTTTGGTCTAATCATTTCGGCTTAGCTAGAGCAAAATCTCATCGTTTTGTTTTTAGGTTTTGAGACGTCTCTTAGAAGCCGGAAGGAATATTCCGGCGCCTGATGGCGTTCTCATCAATGGCCGTGGCTGGGGAGGCAACACCTTCACGGTACAACCCGGAAAGACGTACAGATTCAGAATCTCAAACGTTGGAATCGCGACTTCGTTAAACTTTAGAATCCAAGGACACACGATGAAGCTCGTTGAAGTGGAAGGCTCTCACACTATTCAAAACGTCTACACTTCACTTGACATTCATTTAGGCCAATCTTACTCTGTTCTCGTCACCGCTAATCAAGCCCCTCAAGACTATTACATCGTCGTCTCCTCCAGGTTCACACGCAAAGTGCTCACCACGACTTCGATTCTCCATTACAGTAACTCCAGAAGAGGCGTCTCTGGTCCTGCTCCATCTGGACCTACTTTGGACATTGCCTCCTCGCTCTTCCAAGCTCGAACTATCAAGTAAAAAACAAAAACACATGTTTCTTGGTGTACAAGTAACCGCAATGGATTTGATTTTTCTCATGTTGTGTATTGATGTGATAAACAGGAGGAATCTAACCGCGAGTGGTCCGAGACCGAACCCCCAAGGCTCGTATCATTACGGTTTGATTAAACCAGGCCGTACGATCATACTCGCTAACTCGGCTCCTTGGATCAACGGCAAGCAAAGGTACGCCGTGAACGGTGCCTCTTTTGTTGCGCCTGACACGCCGTTGAAGCTTGCCGATCACTTCAAGATTCCCGGAGTTTTTAACCTAGGAAGCATCCCAACGAGTCCTTCTGGTGGAAGCGGTGGGTACCTTCAGAGCTCAGTTATGGCTGCTAACTTCAGAGAGTTCATCGAGATTGTTTTCCAGAACTGGGAAAATTCAGTCCAGTCTTGGCACATCGCCGGTTACTCTTTCTTTGTCGTCGGGTAAGTCATTAATACTCTTTCAACTTATTTTCAGTTGATCTTACTTTGGTTTATTCGGCTTTGGTTTAGTCTTGACGGTTTTATTGAAAGTGAAACCAAATAAAACCCATTTGTAAGTTGGTTCGGTTTGATAGATTTTGGTTTGGTTAGGAATTAGATAACAAAAATAATAATTTGCAAAAAATGAAAAATTATTTAAAAACTAGTATACCTCTTTTTCAAGTTTTCAACACATATGAATGTACAACATAATATGTGATATGTACTAATAAATTTTAACTAGTTTGATCTTGACTAATATCAGGTTCGGTACAAATATATTGGTTCGGGTTTGGTTTGTATATCTACCAAATAAGAAGTTTTACATTTTAATGTATTTTATCTTTTCTTGGATAACAGTATGGACGGAGGCCAATGGACACCAGGAAGCCGATCAAAGTACAACCTCCGGGATGCGGTTTCACGGTCCACCGTTCAAGTATACCCGAGGGCATGGACAGCAATCTACATAGCGTTAGATAATGTTGGAATGTGGAACATAAGGTCGGAGAATTGGGCAAGACAATATTTAGGGCAACAATTCTATCTCCGAGTTTACACTTCCTCTACTTCGTACCGAGATGAGTATCCACCACCAAAGAACGCTCTTATGTGTGGAAGAGCTAGAGGCCGACACACCAGGCCGTTCTAGAACAGATATCGGACGGGAGGGCTAAACTGTTTCCTTTTTGTGTTTAGATTGAATTATTTGAAATGTTTAGTATTGTCACGAGAGGGTGGCAACAAATATGTGAGCTTTTCGTGGATTTGTTCAGTACGGCAAGAAAATTAGGAACAAACAAAATATTGGAGCTTTACTTGAGCTTTCAATTTAATTCTAATGAACAAAATCAAATGTTGCGTTCTTGTTTTAAATAAAAAAAGTATTATTTGTCATTCCAAAAAAAGCCTGCAAAATTGAGACTAGCTGACTTCAAAATTTGTGGGGAAATATCTGAAAAATAAAAGCAAAAACGAGAATCTATACTATATAAAAGTTGAGACTATAAGCCTCTGAGAGCGTCCACATAGGATTTAAAAACGTGAACTTATTGGTCCACGTGAGCATGTTCAAAATTAAGAAAATTTCCGAATTTAAACAATCAATAGTATCATTCCACATCATCATATAAAATTAGTTAATTTCCTTTTCATTGTTCAAGAAAGTTTCATAATTCAAGAATAGTATAGACACATCATCATATAAAATTAGTTAATTTCCTTTTCATTGTTTAAGAAAGTTACCTAATTCAAGAATAGTATAGATTTTTTGTATTAAAGAGTTTATAATTTTTTTTTTAAAAATTAATACCAACAACAAAGAAAATAACTTAACATGAATAAGTTTTTTTATTAACTCTAATATATAAGACAACAATAATAATATAACCATATTTTATACTATATAAAAATTGAGGCTAAATGTCTCTAAAAGCGTTCACATAAGATTTAATAACGCGATTTTACTTGTCCACATAAGTACCTTCAAAAATAAGATTTTTTTTGAATTTTAGACAACTAATAGTATCAGTCTACATCATCATATAATCCACATAGAATTTAGAAAAATGATTTTATTGGTCAAAATAATTATCTTAAAAAGATTAATTAATTTTCTAAATTTTAAACAATCAATAGTCTTATTCAACATTATTATGTAAAATTTACTATGATCTTAATTTTGATTGGTCCAAATAAGCATTTACATGATTAAGAAAAATTATAATTTTTAAATATGTAAGAAATAAGAAAATTAAGTATATATGATTTTAAACAACAAATAGTATCATCCCACAGTATCACTAAAACTAATTATTTTTTTATCTTTTCATATTTCAGAAAGTTTTATTAACTAAATAGTTTAGAAAAAAAATAAAGTATATTTCCCATTTACAATAAAATTAAAACTGTGTCATGTAAATTAGTAATATAAACTTAAAACAACTAATATTATTAGTACACATAAGCTTATTTAACATTAATTTTTTTCTAAAATGTAAAATTTTGCTAAGATAAGAACGAAAAACATGAAACCAAAAAAAGAACACAAAGGAGGAATAAAGAAGAGCAGTAACAAAGATGAGTGAAGATCAATAAGAAACCAAATAAGAACAAAAAATAAATCAAAATAGGAGAAATTGAAGAAGTAATAAATAAAAGGAATTTAAAAACATTGAAAGAAGAGTGAAGAAGAAAATGAAACCAAATAAGAACACAAAGAAAGAATAAAGAAAAGTGAAGACGAAGAAAAGTAGAAACCAAACAATAACACAAAGGAGAAATAAAGAAGAGCGAAGACAAATAAGAGCATAAGTGAAAATGAGTGAAGATAAATAAGAAAACAAATAAGAACAAAGAAGAAATCAAAGTTGGAAAAATTGAAAAAGAATTAAAAAAAAAACATAGAAACTAGAGTAAAGAAGAAAATATATAGAAGAAGAGGAAGATGAAAGATACAAAATATAGCGAAACCTATAATTTTTATGGTATGAATAATCATAGAAGAAATAGAAGAATAAGAACCAAGAAAAGCAAAAAAAATAAAAATAAATAAATAAATGAAAAAAAGTGAAGACGAAGATAGCAAAGAACGGAAAAAACTATATAAGGCTAAACCAGAAAACCAAATAAAAAGAAAAAATCGAAGAATATGAAATTGAAAGCTATGTTTAACTATATTTTTTATGATCTCATAAATTTAGTTATTTATATTATTGTTAGACATTTTTCATTACATGTGTGAATATGTAGTTGTACGTCTCTAACTTCATTATATTTTTATGAATCTTTTACATATTTAAGTTTGGTTAACTGTATCATTTAGTGAAAAATTTATTCTACATAAAATTAAACTAAAGAGAATTATAATAAAATTATTTCTAAAAGGGATAAAATCGTGAGAAACTCCATCATAGATAATCAAGAAAATTATAGAAAAATCCTAACAATTCGATCCTCTAAAATAACCATAGAAAAAACAGAAGAATGATAAGCAAGGACGAGCACAAATAATAACAAGGAACATAAAAAAAAATGTGGAGACAAAGATATTAAAGAATAAATACAAAAAATAATCAGAAGATGAACAAAGATGAAGAAGTATATCAAATAACGGAATAAAAACTGCAATGACGAAGAAACATAAGAGGAAAATGAGGAGAATAAAGATAACGAAGAAACCAAAGAAAAAGAAACCGAATAAAGGAGAATAGAACAATGAAAAATAAAAAAATGACGAAGAATAATTAATATTAGTTCAATTATCAGCATGACATGCTACTGACAACAAAAAATTATAGATAAAAAATATTTAATCAAAGTATTAATATAGACCCGCGCGTGCGCGGGTAAAAGACCTAGTTTGCTATAAACTTATGACAAACTAAACAACATATTAAAAGAAGATATTTTGAAGACTCTCAATTAGGGAATAGACCGTCTTTTGCATGGAGAAGTGTGTTGTGGCCTTGTGGGGGAAGAGAACTGCTGCCTAAAGCTCCAAAAGCAAAAAAGATCGAAACTTTGGGTGACCAAAAATTTGGTTCTTCAACGCTTAAATTCCGGTTCTTGATCGGTATTTGCGGAAGGGAGAAATTCAATTTCGGCAGTTTAGAGATTGAAATTGCGGACTTTGTTCTAGTGCAAGAAGAACAAGAAATGGGAAGCAGTAATCTTGAAGCCTGCAATGATGCCATATATATGAAATATGGAGAGAGCAGTAGGGATTATCATCTTCTTCACTCGGTTTAAACCGGTTTAATCGATGACTTGCTGAGGATGTTTCTTTTGTGGTTTTCTTAATTATTGTGTTTTCCTCTCGTTTTTTTTGTTCTGCTTGTTGGTAAGGAGGGAGAGATTATGGTTTGACATCATCAAGCCAAAAGAGTAGAAACCAAAGAGGTATAAAAAAAATGTTTGACCAAGAGGAAAATTTTGACCAGTGACCAAATCGTAGTTGGTGACGATTTTTGTGTGAGTAGTAAACGAGAAAGATTTTTGTCGTGTCATGTGTGCTACAATGACGACTGAATCGGATAAGTCAATATTGAATGCAAACTCCTCACTAGATGATGTCATTTTTCTTGAACTTCATATATATGATCTATCTTACGTACGTGTCAAGTAAAGAGTTTGCATTCAACTTTGAATGCATTGAGGAGGGTGCTTAAGGAAGTGCACTCACTCTTTGCGATGTTTCACGGGTCAATCAGAGCATTAACCGAAAAAAACCAACTGGAGAGGGCATACCCGATAGCAGCTGTATTCGTTCGTTGCGATTCTAAGTTTCTAACACATCATAAGTTCCACTGTTTTTTACTTTATTTTTAAATATATAGTTAAAGCCATGTTATTATTTGTACCATGAAATAAACTATTTAGTTAGTGGTGTCTATTGAATTGTAATATCACAATATTTGATATTAGATTTGGGTTTAGGATAAGACACTTTTTATTAGATCAACTAAAGCTAAAAAGGTAAAAAACCAGATTACTTATAACTTGATGGTTATATTATATGTAAAGGTTAGAAACTCAAGTTTGAAGTGCGAAGGAAAGCTAGTTTGAAAGTTTCTAAATGTAATTTTCGTAGTTCATATAATCATATGCATCTACTTTGTTTTTTAGGTTAAATTATATGTATATCATAATATCAACGTCATACTCATATGTATATGGCTGGGACATTATTATTAAATTAATACAACAATGGGCTATTACCATTCGATAATCTACATAACTAATAAAGCCTTGGGATACTCTCCAGCTGGGGACACGTGGCACTCCTTTTTTTTTCCTCCCTAACACTTTTGGGACACTCCCACGTGGCACCAAAACGACGTCGTTTTGTTATCTTCGATTCCCCTTCCCTCTGCAACCAAAACGACGTTGCTTTGCTTTCAGGTTTTATCTGATTGTATGCGCACCAAAATCCTTCCTCATCGAGACCAAGTCGAAGATATGCGAAAGTGTGTGTTTGTGTAACAAAAGAAAAGAAAGAGGGGAAATCGAGAAATTCGATATCCAAATGGGAAGCAAAGGGTGATTGAAGCGGATCGTGAATGGACATATTAAAGCTTTGATAAAAATTGAAATAAAAAATTAAAAAAGAGTAGTTTTAAAATAAAGTAAAAGGGGTTGTAGCGATGGATGAACATGAAGTACTGATGCTTCCATGTCTATGAGGTCACGAGGATTCAAAGAAAAATGGGATGGTCATGCATGCTTCTACCTGATCAGAAGGTACTCAATCTACTTGGTCATGCTTCATCTGAAGGTATGAACCCCTAAATCTTTCACTCGACCATTCTCTTCACAAATCTGTAGAATTAATATGTGAGCAGGAACAAATGCATACAGTGTGATGTGTGTGAGAATGCTCCGGCGACGGTGATATGTTGTGCCGACGAAGCAGCACTCTGCCCTAACTGCGACGTCCAGATTCACGCAGCCAACAAACTAGCAAGCACGCACCAACGCCTTCATCTCGATTCTCTCTCCACCAAATTTCCTCGCTGCAATATCTGCCAAGTAAGTATATATAGAGATCTCTCTGTTTACCTTCTCTGTGTATGAAACATATTGGATCTTGTCAGAGATTGGTAGGTTCGTTAGATTAGATCTACTCTGTTACCAACTTAGGATTTTTCTAAATCTTATAGCAAGTGCAGAAGATTTTGTAAGCTCATTATGTTGTTTGTTACTCTCCTTGCGATTTGGGATTTCAAGTTGATCCTTGTCACTTTGTTTTTGTAGCTTTTTTCCAAACTATGTGTATTTGAGTCAAGAGTCTTAGACTAATGCATTTGGAATTTTGAACAGATGATATATGAAGATCCAGTGACTGGAGCTGATTTTAAAAAGCAAACCCTCACAACAACCATAGGGAAGCATTTAAAATATGGATCACCAATTATTGCTACAGGGTGTACAGCCTCAAGCTGAGTAAAGTGACATTCTTTTTGCAAATAATTGATAAACAATATTCGGACTTATTAACCTTGTCAGTTGATGTTATAAATATTTGCATTCTGTTTTCCTTGCAGGTTCCCTGAAAAATTGGTGGGCACTTGCCTGGGGTTCACTATATCCTTGAGGTTGCAGATGCTGATTCATTGATATCATCTCTGGTAACCTAAAGGCAATTTTATCAGTTACGTCATTTTTATGAAATGTTACACTATGCATATGTATTAGGAATCTCTTACCTGAAAAATAACCTTCCAATATATGAGTCAGGGAAAGGCAAATGAAGTTGTCATTGTTGGTGGTGGTTACATTGGCATGGAAGTTGCTGCTGCAGCTGGTGCTTGGAATCTTGATACAACGGTTATATTCCCTTTAACTTAATCTTCATACTCGAAGCGTCTCTCCTCAGCTTGATTCACCAGTCGTTAAGGTGAAATCAAATATCAAACTTTAGATACAAAAGTTTAACTTCGTTCATAAATGTTCAAAGAACATTGTTACTTTGCTAATGTTTTGATTTTTGAGGTTGAATGTATCCATTAGCTGAAACTTTCTGCCAATTTTTTGTATTGGTGACGATGATATCTTGCTCTCTGTTTTGTTTAACAGTTGTCTCCTTCTGTCGCCAAGGACTTATGCAAGAAGAGCAGAAGAGCATATGATCCGTTTGTTCAGATACAAATCCAAATTTCTCAGGATTGCTTCCGGTGAGGTACGTTTCTTTGTGATTTTCCAGAGAGAAAAGAGAAACATAGTATTTTCTTGGCCAAAACGCAGCAATTAGGCTTGTAAGAAAAAGATTTGCTTCAATCTCAGATTCATGATCAAATTCGTCGTTTTGATTAGCTTCGGATGAGTGTGGAGACTATTGTTTAAACCTCTCCAGGTTCTGCAGCAGCGCAAAGCTACATATTTTCCAGATCAGGACGAGAAGAAAGTTGAAGCAGCTCGAAGTATATCCTTATGTTCCGTTAAGCAAATCACATAAATTTGATCAAAGCCGGTAAGAATCATTAGACAGTTTCTCTCTTTTGATCTCATACTTTTAATGTTGTTCCTGCTTTGTTTCCGATTTGAACAAGAGATAATTTGGGGAATTTACCGTTTCTGTTTGGAAATTAAATCGACACAAATTAAAAGACGTGAGAAGCGGAATCATATGTTTTTCTTTCTTTTGGAGAAAGGACTTTTATTATCCATGGGGAGTTTAGATATAGAATCATAGTTGGGATTTATTTGGAATACTGGTCACGGTTTGTCTAAGCATTGCTTCTGTGTTGTTTATCCGGCAGATGCCCATAGGAGGAGCTGCTTTGGATCTTGGTAGGACAGCCTTTGCTTAAGGAGACCATCTCGGCTGCAAAAGAATCAGACGCAGTACCTCTTGGAGCCATTGGAGGGTTTGTTCTTCTCTCTTGTCCCACCTCTGTTTGCTCAAAATCATTTGATTATTGGTTATTAACCAAAAAGAGACGATTTCGTTAATGTTACTCATATGATATGCAAATGGATAAGCAACTTGAGATTCATCTCTTTCTCTTAAAGCAATATTTAGTTGTTAAAGAGAACCACTGAAGCTGACTGGTCTGTCCTATAATCAACGTTTTTTTACTTTCCAAAACATTGTCTTCTCTCGCTTGTTTGAAAATGTTTCCTTCGTTTCTTCTTCAGGGATGATTCACTTGCATCAGATGAGAAGAAGGAAATGCAAAAATCAGAAGGAACTCCTGATCCTCCGTCCACCAAAGCTGTAAGCATTTCGTTTCCTCTCTCCAAATGCAGGAACGGAAGTTGCCTTTCAAAGTAGAAAGAGTATTGATTCGTTAAAGGTGACTGTTTTCATTTTTCGTGTTTCTCATGCTTAGTTTTGTGTTCCATCAGACTCAAGCTTTTCAGTCAAAAAAACTACAGAACATGCATCTCCTCGAGAGCTTGGATGAAGTCTCAACCTGGGTGGATGTCAGAGTTGAGTAAATCAATAACTCTTACTAACCTTATTACCAACTTTCATCAAATCCCAATAACAATTTTTTTTTCTTTTATTGGCTGCAGATTCTGTCTGAACGTGTAATGTGGGAAGGTGGAGCAAGGCCAGAGAGACTCTGTTTTGGATATAGGACTTGTGTCTCAGGCTTGTTATACATTTCCTTTTTTTTTCTTTCATAATCTGTGATGTTTGTGTTTGAGTTTGTTCATATAACCTCGTGAACTTGGTGTATTTGCTTAATGCTTGTGCTATACAAACTCGAATAAAAGAAGTCTTCCTTTGCTACTATTGACATTTCCTAATAAATAAATAGTTAGTATATCCGCGCATTATGCCGATTCACACCTAGATGAAGGGTACACAAGACACTCTTGTGACCTCAAATGTTCTGGAACTGTACTATGAGGTAATGATTCAGTTTCTTTTCTTTTTTACCCACAGTTGAAATGAAAATATATAGGGTTATGTTAAATGAGTATGAATGGATAACTCTTAAAGTTAATGGAACTGGAGCACAGTTCAGAGTTTGCACCACAGACTTCACTTATTCAGCTGTTGTTTTCTATCATTAGGTACAGTCACTGTAAAGCTTCACCCATGTTTACAAACCTATTAAGCTTACGTTAGCTCACCCTTCTTTTTTTTTCCTCTGGGTCCTATAATTTGTGTAGTGATAAATCAATGGAAACTTTGTGAAGATGAGAGCAATGATGATAAGCGGCAGGCTCCTCTCGAGGGACAATATCTATGATGCCGTGGAAAAAGCTTAAAAGAGTTTTTTTGTAGTTATTTGCCTTTGTTGGTTATCAAAATGCGATTGTTTGGTTTTCTTTCTATATGCTTTCGAAACAAAGACTTTCAATGACCAAGTTATTTGCCTTTTGTATGGTCAGGAATCAGCCAATTCTATAACTATATCATCATTATTAAGTATTTTGGTTTATCATGAATCCAACCAGTTCTTTTCCCATTTGTTCTGAACTGAATTAGTGAATTATGTTAAATTACATCAAAATCACTGAAGTGGAAAGAAGTTATAGTTTTAGTTAACTGTAGACAGTACTTTACAAAATAAACAATCACATGTAGCCTATAATATAAATGGTCAACGATTTTGTGATAAATTAATTTAAATAAAATAAGTAAATTAAATTATCAAAAAGAAACATAACATTCAGTAAATTAATAATTAATAACTGCACAAAACCCAAAAATGTTTTTCAAAATTGGAAAAAAAAATATATTTTCAAAAACCGAATTTCATATATGAACGCCTAAGTTATAAACATAAAATGTATTTACTTGTGATTACAGTGAATATTTTTTTTAGTACAACGTTTTTTTTAGTCATGAAATTTGAAATCTTGTTACAACTTTATAAACGTGAGACAGCAAATCATTAACTAGTTTTTTTTTTCTTTTTCAATATAATATTTTCGTGTAAATTGTTGTGTAAGTAACGACTTTTTAAACTTTTTGAAGTACTTTACTTTGATAATTTATTCAAATGCATATCGGTAACGTTATGAGTTTGTTTTACCATAAGGGATTGTGATACAATAATGTTCTTTTTTTTATCAATATAATTGTACAGTTTTTACCAAAAGATAATTTTGTATAGTTACCATTTTAATGTAGCAAACCAGTTCTTAAAGCTAAGATAAAAAAATATGTGATTAGTGCTCACATGCATAGCTTTTTGCCAAAACTCCAAATTGTAATGATACTAATTCAAATCATATATTTCTCAGAACTGTCACCAAATTTGGACGATTATGAGAAAATTAGTGTGAGAATGGTCCCATTCGGTAGATGCAGTGTGGAAATCTTCCGTCTGCTGGGGTTTTTTTTGTCAATAATAATGGTCCCATTAACATAAGCTTAATCATCTTAGTTTGATAATTAATTTAGTAATTTTTAACTTCATCGGCATAGGAGACTTGAAGCTTGTACATTTTGCTCTCTGGAGACTTAAGCAAGGCAGAGGAATTGCAGATTTTTGGAAGATGAGCAGCCTTCCCTTTGTAGGCTTTGCAGACTTGGGGCACAAAATCTTTGAAATTCTGCATCCCCAAAAACCAAAAAGGCAATTAGTAATATGGCACATATTTATATTGATTCAAAAATGTAAGTAAACGAAGTCATATCATTTATGAAAAGAAGAGTTTATGTAGGAGTTATACGTCAAAGAGTGGTTCGACGTTGATGTTGACCCATGGTACGTATTGTTTTTTCGGCTTCAAAGCCAATGTCTGTTTTGCATACCCAAGTATGAGCTGCAATAACATAGAAACATAAATGGTTATAGGGTTGTATAATTAAACAACATATGTGTATATTTTAGTGTTTTTAGTACGTATACCTACCTCTTCAGAGAGATCGCCGTTGTAACAATCATTGATGCATGGCTTTCTCACGTCTAGAGTCCTTAACACATGAAGTCCAATCTTTCGTGTCATTTTCAATGCATCGTATGAACGTGTAGTGCAATTTCTGCGTTCCATTGCACGTTCACTTTCTCATGGAAATGCTTTTGTTTTTATTATCCGAATTTCATATATGAACGCCTAAGTTATAAACATAAAATGTATTTACTTGTGATTACAGTGACATAAAGTTAAAATCCATCGTAGTTCAATGATAAGTTTTGTGATCACATGGTTTTGGACTCCAACTCAGCTCAAGCTCTTTTCCTTGTCTATTTTTTTGTCTTTGATCTCTATATAACTACGACCAAAAGGTCCAAAACGCAGGACTAGGAACTGTGTTTTTGGCGTTTTCACACACTGACTTGTAACTCAAGTCGAGTCCAGACGAGTCGTAAACAAAACTACACTTAATTACCGAGTTACGTTATACTTTCATCGGTGTAGACATCATATTAATTACTTGTAGAAATGGTCTTAATATAATTCAGGTTATACCGTTTTACTTTTTTTTTTTTTAATTTTCTTTTTCAATATCAGAAGGTTTTATATAACAACGCTTAAACATAAAAGTTAAGAAAAAATGTCTTATTTATCATTCCACTTCATAAGCTTAAATCCTTCTTAGTTCAATAAGTACTTTAATTTGCTTAATGATTTTTAGAGTCTTCGACAAAGGAGACTTGAAGCTTCGACTTTTTCCTCGACAAGGAAGAGGAGTTACAGATTTCTGGTAGAGCATCCTTTCCTTTATACGCTTTGCAGACTAGGGGAACAAAATCTCCGAAATTCTGCACCCAAAATACCAAAAAGACAATTAGTGAACTGAGTCACGTTTTCAATTGATTAAAAAATCTAAATAAACGATTCCATATCATTCAGAAAACGAAGAGTTAATAAAGATCTATACATCATATAGTGGTTCGCCGTTGAGTGTAACCCATGGTACGTATTCATGTTTCGGCTCCAAACTCAAGGTCTGATTTGCATACCCAATATGCAATTTATAGATATATTTATTACTGTTACTATCACTTGAGTTTTTACTAGTTAGGTAACATTTTTCACGTTAGGGTCCCTTTTTTAACTTTTGGGTTCATAGTATCAAATGTAGGATTATTTAGCAGCATGGTCATATATTAAAATATTTCTATGTGGAGGGGATTTGAAAGTAATCTCGGTTGATTTGCAAATCTATCAATTGATTACTTTCGGTTCAATCCGGATATCGGTTCATAGTTATAAGAAACAAAATGTTAAAGAAAGTGGTATTGATAATACCAGTAAGGCCCTAAAATTGTAAACCGAAAGTAACGCTAGCGGTGGGTTCTGCAAATCTACCTATCTGAGTAGGTATGCATGCGTCGTCTATCAAATTGTTATAGTTTTGGAAATGTTTTGTTTCAGTACGCTATCAGTGGGGGTATATAGTTTGACCCCAATAGAGGTATATTTTCCGGTTGAAATAATGACACCAAATAAGTATAAATAAGCGCAACTTTCCGTTCTATCAAGAACGTTCGCTCAAATACCATATTTTTCTAGTACAACGTTTCGTTTAATAATGAAAATTTAAAAAATATATCGGATCTTACCAAGGAATATACCTAAAATATTTTCAAGAGAAGAAACTAAATGCAAACAAAAAAATCATAATAAAAAACGATAGTGTTGATTTAACTTAACATGAAAAAAAATAAAATATATGATTGGGTTGGATACAAATATTAGAACCTATGATCTCGGGACAAACTAAAACCAGTAGCATGCAAGATTGAATTCTTGAATTATTTTTCCGTGTCGAAGAATAATTTCTTAAATATGTTTGATGAGCTAATTTAACATGATAATACAGTATATAACTAGCGGTTGGATGCAAGTATTTGAACGGTCTAAATAAATATGATTACTGAAGACGTACAGAACAAGGAATATCTTTGGGACTCTTTAACGGTTTGCAAATGCTCGACAAAAGAGATTGCTAGATTGAATTCATAAATCATATGTTTCTATTTTCATATTGTTGAATTGTTATGTATGTTATATATATCGTTGTTGTATGTCATCTGTCAATTTTTAATACGATATACAAATACATATTCATGAGGTATATTGAAACCTCACTTTAAATTTAATTGGATGAAACTTGGGTTGGGTTGTAGACTTGTAGGTGGCATGTCAACAGTTTGGAAGAAAGAGGAATGGTAGTCCAAGCCTCTCCTCTCCCCGCCAGATTTTGCTTCTATAAATACAGGAGACTCGTAACAATGCTTTTAAGTTGCATATAGTCTTAAAGAGAGATATTCTAACAAGAAAATAATGAAAACAAAGAGAAATATGGATAGCTTGAGGTCTACATGCATATGTTATGCTTACATAGTTTCTCTATATTTGATATCAGTTCAAGCGGTTGCCAACAACAACGACGGAGATGTGACTACAAAACTTCAGGGACGTTATCTTCTATGGAGAGATCGGTGTCGGAACACCCCCACAAACATTCAACGTGGTATTCGACCTCGGGTCTTCCAACATGTGGATCCCATCGTCAAATTGGCCGAAAGTCACAGTTTTTGACCACCCGAAGTTCGACGGAGCAAAATCCAGCACGTACAAGAAGGGTACGTACACATACTCTGTTTTTTTTTTTTTTTTTTTTATATATATATATTTATATTTATTAAATTATAGTTACTAATTGTCACTACAAGAAAAGATTCATATTGCAATAAATACAACATATGTTTTTTTGTTTTTTTTTTTGTTTTTGGTATTAATGTTAAGAAAATACAACACACACTAAAATACAACATATGTTTGCAACACTAAATAACTGCAAATCATGGCAACGTAAAACATATAGTAAATATCATATTTGTCCGACTTATATCTGCTACATACACTAATATGTCTCTCATTTTGCAGGAGAAAAAGATGTTAGTATTGCCTACCTTACCGGTGCACTAGAAGGAACGGTAAACCAAGACAATGTCTTGGTTGGTGGCATCATACTTACGGGGCAGGATTTCATAGAAGGGGATAGATGTGATAGTTTTTTAGAAACAGTGAAGTTCGATGGCGTTCTAGGATTGGCCTTTCCATCGTTAGCTGTGGAAGGAACTACCACCGTCTGGGATAATATGATTCAACAGAATCTCATTACGAAACACATTTTCTCCATGTGGCTTAGGCCTAATGTAGGTACTGAAACTGGTGAAGATCCAAATGGGGGCGAGGTAATTTTTGGTGGTTTCAATGAGAGCCACTTCGTAGGGGAACATACATATTTTCCTGTGATGATGACACCAGGAGAAAGCTACGACTTTTGGAAGATCCAAATGCTCCCCATTTACGTTGGTCGTCAACAGAATAGTGTCCCATGTTCCTCTACATACTGCACAGCAGTTATAGACTCCGGACTATCTGACATTTTAGTCCCAAAGGTAAGAGGGTATATATATATATATATTAGATTTATTTGTATCGTAATTTATTAATTCCTTCTGATGTTTAGGCATATATCACATTGCTCTATAAAGCAATCGGACTTAGCAAGGTTAAAACGTTCCAATGTGGTAAAATTGCAAAGGCACCGGTTGTGACATTCACAATTGGCACCGTTACGTTTCCACTTACTCCGGAACAGGTACTGATACATTTTGACATTCACATTTGGCACCGCTTTTTCGAACACAACTAAAACCTAATGATATTTACATTTTTTTTTTTTTTGAAGTACATATCCGACCAAATAGTTAACGGTAGAAGAGGATGTCAGCTGCGGTTTGTGGTTAGTCCCGCTGATGATGGCATGTGGTAAGTTGACATTTCTTGCCGAGATTTAGGTTAAAAAATTTATAATTAATTCCTTAAGTTGAAAATTAATTAATGCAGGTATCTAGGTCAGCCGTTCATGCAAGCCTATCATACAGTGTTTGATTATCAAGACACCGGAAACCCCAAGATCGGCTTCGCCAAAGCAGCAGCAGCATAAACCCTAAACTAATTATAGAAAAGTTTATGACTATCTTAATAACGATGGATATGTATGGATCCAGATTTTAAAGTTTATGACTATCTTAATTACGGTGTGCGAATAATAAAGAGCTTTGTATGTCTCACTTGCACTCTGAATATTATGATCGTGTATTTCGTAAGATTGTTTTTGTTTTCTTTAAAAAGATAATATCTACATTAAATTAAACTTTGGTAGGAATTTGCAAAAAGTAGCCCATATTCTTTGAGATATTTACACTAGAAGGGACTTTTCCACTTATCAATTACAGAAGGAGGGACTTGTTGAATGTGAGGGACTTTTGTGGTGAGAATTGACTACCCTCAGGTTTCAATTACAATTACAGTTACAACCGCAGTTACCGCACTTACTTTTTTACCGTCTTCTTCTTCTTCTTCCGTTAAATCGTCACTGATATTTCGCAACAAATCGACGATTCATTTACATGCCGACGAACACATTCCGCCGAGACTTTTCTTCTCACCGAACTTTCCTTCTTCACATGCATTTATGTTCTTCTCTCTGTCTTTTTAGTTTCGTTCTATCTTCTTAGGACTTTTAATTTCTCTCCTTTCCATGTTCTCTTAAGCTCTCTGTTCTTAAATTTTCGATAGACCTTTCCATCAATTCCTGACCTCATCTTTCGATTTCTTAGGATATTTTTTAGATTTTTGAGGATTTCAGGAAAGTGTACAAAGATAGAATTTGGATGGGGAAATTTAGAATTTGAAATTGACCTTAAGTTCGTGATTTGTGATTGTCTGATTCGTATATATACATTTTCTTCCAAATTCGAGTTTTCCTTTTAGATCCAAGTTTCGAAATTGCTTATGATTTTTGCTTGTTCTTGTTGATTTCAGGGTTGAAATAGAAAATCTTTGTATTGAAAGTTGCATATCCATATAACAGAGTTTTAGTGGATAGTTTGTTCTGGATGATTTTTGCGGATCAAACATGCATGGATAGTTTTGAGTGGATGCTTTTTATCTATCTAATTGGATGCTTTACATTCATCTTTCTTTAAGAAATGTCGCATTAAGCATTTCTATTGGACAGTTTGATATGGATGGTTTCAACTATCTGTTCATCTGTTCTTCATGAGTTTTTCATCGAATTGCAAGAGATGAAGAGAGGTCTTATTTATTCATCTGTAAGGATGCTTTATATTTTCTGTTTGGATATTTTCCATGGATACTATTAGCAAGAATTTGGATAACTTACCCGTGGATGGTGATTCTTCTGCATTTTTCAGTTAATTGCATGTTACTTGCTCGACAAAATGACTAAAGGATTCTTGCTTCCAGAATTTGACGTTGATGATCCGAAGAACAGAACAATAGCTGTTTGTTTGGATCTGTTTGACCATCCCTTCAGTTTTTACATTTCGTTTATATAAAAAGTTGCAATCTTTTTTATGTATTAGGAGGCGATTAAACGATGAACTGTACACGATATCGTGTTACCGACGAATGGGAATCGATGCCGGAGGAGATGATGGTTGGGTGGAGAGGTCCGTGACGGCGATGGAGGAGGATTCGCTTTACTCTGTGGATGAGACGAAAGGAACAGTGTGAAAGTACGATAAGGAGAAGATAGAATAGAGAGAAGTTACAGTGGTGGAAGATGGAGAGGAGATGCTTAAAGGAGCTCGGCAAGTCACAGCAGTCGCCGGAAATGAAAGTGGATTAAACTCTGTGTTGTTACCGTTGACTGAGTTGGATGTGGATTGTTTGATAGTTTGATTGGGGTAGTTTGATAAGGATAGTTTGATTTGGATAATGAAAGTGTCTTAATACAATGCTCATGGTCTTGTGTGTAATTGGTTGAGCTTGTATACAGTATTTTTTTTGAATTCATAAATGCAGCTGCTTGTGTTTCTTAGAATGTAGTATTGAAAGTTTTCGTGGATATGTGTTTTTCAAGGCGAAGCTAGATAGAAGAATTTTAATCACAATATAAGTTTTGATGTGGATCGTTTGTTTTGCTTGGATCGTTTACACGATGCACACTTACAAATGATCATTGGTCTTCTCTTCTCCAAATTCAAAACCCGTTTCTTTGGAGCCACTGCTTTTTTTTATCCACCATGAAAGCTTCTTCCATCTTCTTCCTTTACTTGGCGCTTTTTCAATACTGTTTCTATTTCTCTGTTTTTTTGCTTCTCTCCTTTTTCTACGTGTCAGAACCGATGATGAGAAGATCGAATGCGTTTACACAGAGATGATTGATAATCCCACTTGCACAATCAAACCGTCCATTGATATATGTATTAAACATTACACTGGCTAGTGTCCACATAATCTAAACCATCCATAAATATATTAAACAATTCATCGAGTTAAATCATCCACGGTCAAATCCGAGAGAGAGTTCAATACAAAACAAAAATACAAACCATCCATGGTCATATCCGTCCAATACGAGCACACATAAATCTGGGTAATAATGGGAATCAATACGACCTGTAGAATCAAAATTTGTTGAATTCTTCTCTGTTTAGTAGAAACCCTGGAAGAACAGACCAATGGACGTAGAGAATTTGATCAAAGCGGGTAAGAATCATTAGACGGTTTCTCTCTTTTGATCTCATACTTTAAATGATGTTGCTGATCGTGTAATTCAAAGAACATTTATGGAGTTACTCAACCAGCACTTACAACGTTGATGTTTTAGCAATCTTTGACTACTTCGTTGTGACAAAGAGAGAAGAGAATATCGTGCCGTCTTATTATGTCTTACAAGAGTATATATACATGTTACATAAACCCTAGGCAACTCCACAAAAGGAATATTAACATATACTAAGATAGATTTTATGATATTTACATTCAACTCCCTAATACTCCCCCTCAAGTTGGAGCATGTAAGTCTCGAATGCCCAACTTGCGTCTAAGATATGAGAACTGGGGAAAGCCCAAGGCCTTGGTGAAGATATCGGCCAGTTGCTCATTGGTACGAACATGAGAAGTAGCAAGTGAGCCTTTGATAATCTCATCACGAATAAAGTGACAATCTCTCTCGATATGCTTTGTTCGTTCATGGAACACCGGATTAGCAGCAATGTGTAACGCTGCTTTGTTATCACAAAAGAGATGCATAGCCTGTGGATGAGAGATACCAAAGCATGCCAACAACTCACGGTTCCACTTGATTTCCCGAGTAGTGAAACCCATCGCGCGATACTCCGCCTCCGCCGATGAAAACGAGACCGTGTCTTGTTTCTTTGTCTTCCAAGCAATAGGAGAATCGCCTAACAACACCATAAAACCAGTGAGAGAACGACGCGTCATAGGACATGCGTTGTAATCAGAATCACAATATGCCTTGATCTGCAAGTCATTATTCGAACTCAACATAATGCCTTGTCCCGGAGAGCCTTTAAGATAACGAACCACTCGTACAGCTGCTTCCCAATGTTTAATACGAGGATTTTTCATAAATTGTGCCAACATATGCACCGCATAAGACAACTCTGGACGTGTATGAGTAAGATAAACCAGTCGACCAACCAATCTTCGATAGCGAAGTGGGTCATTGTAGTAGTCACCCTCATCTTTAGCTAAATTATGGTTTTGTACCATTGGAGTTGTGACTGGCTGACAACCCAACAAACCACACTCTTTGACAATGTCCATAGCATACTTCCTTTGGGACAAATAAATCCCCTCCGGTGAGCGTGAGACTTCAATACCAAGAAAGTATTTCACCAATCCCAAATCTTTCATCTTAAAGCATTGACTCAAGTAGCCTTTGAACTTGATAATAGCCTCTGGATCATTCCCTCCAATCAACAAGTCATCCACATAAATGAGAACATAAAGTCTCATAGTTCCACGAGTAAGGGTAAACAAAGAATAATCGGAAACGTTTTGAATGAATCCATACCCTTTGAGCTGTTTCAATAACATGTTCTTCAACCACAGCTTCTTCTTCCACCACAGCTTCTTCTTCATTAACGTTTTCGCTCCCCCTTTCGTTGGACGTCGTTACATTCAACTCCTCTCTTAATTCCAAAAAATCATTATCATCAACAACCTCTCGTTGTTGTATCATTGGTATAGAAACAACACTCTGTTTTGGACCAGATACAAATGGAAATTCTTTCTCCTCAAAAACAACATCTCGTGAAACAAAGAATTCTTCTTTCTCTATATCCCACACACGCCAACCTTTTCAACTCCCTAATACGTTGCTATGGAAGTGTTCGTTAGGATTTAATATGTTTTGTTTCAAGTGATAATTTTGTTAGAAATAAGAAGAAATCAATCAAAATTGCAGTACCTGTTTTGCGAAAGTGGAAACTGAATTTATATTATTGTTCTCATAGGTTTTTATTTGTTGGTTGAGGTTGCTTATGTAGTCAACAAATATAATCTTGAAACTGCTAAGTGCTAACTAAATCATTTGGTAAGGCTTGATAATAATTGTTTCGTCACATAACGGTCTTTCTAGATCCCTCATATTTTTCTAAGTCTAAACTCTAACTGTGAACACATTTGGAGTATGCAGGGGTGTGTGCAGAAACCTTTTGCAGAGCTCAGGGCAAATTTCAAGAAAAGTTCTCTTCATTGTGTCATGATGTCCTCTTTTCCAAATTCTCTGAAATCGCTGTTATTCAGCTCAGGCACTGATCTCACTCTGAACATAGTAATATTAAATTTATCAAAAGGAATACAAATGTAGAAGAAGATTTCGTCCAAAAAAAAACAGAAAAAGCTAAAACAGAGGAAGAAATAATAGTAAACTATGGTAATTTGAATGTGAAAAAAAAACATAGTAATAGCAAAACAAATAACATGTTTTTTAATTGAAAAGGAAAAAATTGTATTTTATGGCAATTTTTAAATAACATGTTTTCTCTAACTAAATAATATAAAGAGAATTAATTTTCTATAATAACTCATTAAAAATGAATTAAAAAATTCTAAGAAGAAGAACAACATTGATAGGGTGACGAAATGAAAAAAAAAAATAATAAACCAATAAGCCGAATTCAGTTTCCGTAGAAGAGAAGGTGTTGATAACTCCAATTCCAAAGTTTACTGAGAAGGATTTAGATATGTCCGAGTTTGAAAGTTGAAATAAGGTTTTCCAAAACAGAAAAACCTAAAAAAAATTGAGATAAGTGAAGATAGAATTATGCAGAAGCCAGAAAGTAACTAAAGCTATGTAGAAAATAAAAACAAAAATAATAATCCTGCAGCATAGCGTGGGTCTAAATCTAGTTAATACTGTATTAAAGTTTTATAGTATCATGTGATCATTATCTTATCTTATTTTATACTAGGCCATTTCTCTCTCCAGTTTGCTGACTCAGCGGTGTGAGAGAGGCTACGTGACAGCCTCTAAATCTGATTCACAATAGAAACTAAATCTGATTTTTTTCGTCACCCACTTTTTCTTTTCAATTCACACCTCAGCTTTGTCTCTGCTCTCTCTCTCTCTCCTCCGCGAAATCGATTCTTCTCCGGCGCCTCTCTACGGTCAAACACTGCACTAACCGTCAAACACTGCACTACCTCGGTGTTGGACCTGGATTTCCCTCCAGAAATCCGGCCCATAAGGCCCATCACCTAAGTTCTAAAGTCAAGATAAGTCCACTCAGGCCCAGTAAAATGACCTCGAGCCCGCCAAATATCCTTGTCCAAAATCCAGCTGTTTACTGTCCGAGCTACTTGTGAAGACGAAGTCGAGCTCTAGCTCGACGGAGTCAAGTCCGCAAGCTGAGTTTGAACGGGTCAAACGAGAATCTAGCTTTGATCGTTCAGATCCGGAAATAGCGGGATCGGTAGTTGCACGTGGACGAGATACGCGGAGGAGGTTGCGATATACTTCGGAGCTATAAAAGGAGGACGATTCTTGATCACAAGGCATAAGTTTAATCCTTCTCATTTCGGAGAGAGAACGAATTCCTTAATCACAAGTCTTTTCGGGACAGATTTCTTTGATTGTAAATCACTTACTAAAGTTCTTCTTCTTCGTCCTGAGATAGTCTCGTACCTTTTCTCTTCGATCTTATCCTTGGTCTTTGAGATAATCCCAGAAAGCCCTAATCTTTCTAGCCGGAAATCACTTCCGGCAGAAGTTTGACATAATCTTTAACCTTCGGATTACTCCGATAAACCTGAGATCATCTAGAACCTATTCTCGGTCTAGAACCTGAACTACGTTAGGCTTGATCCCTATTCAGGGTACGTAGGCAGCTCGAAGTACGAGCGCAGCCACCATCAACTATCAAGATCCTAAGACTAAGAAAAGTCCGTCCAGGCTCAGTAAGGCTGACCTTGACCCCATCAAGTATACTTATCTAAGTACATACTACATCCGGGCTACTTGTAAAGGTGAGGTCGAGTAATACCTCGACGGAATCAAGTCTTCAAGACCGGGCTGTACGTGTTTGGCGATAATACTACTGAGATCGATGAGCTCCGGTAATGTCCGAGCTGTACGAGTCAGGCGGTAATATCGCTTAGACCAATGTGACCATGAAATAGCTGGTCTGTTTGAGTCGGGTGACGATATTGCAGACCGATAAGACCATGAAATAGCTGGACTTTGCGTGTGATGTGATAATGTTGCTTATACCGATGAGCCCCGGAAACAGCCAGAATGGCAGTTTGAACATGGACGAGATATGCGAAGGAGGTCGAGATCGACTTCAGAAGCTAGGAAGAGAGATCAATTCTAATCCTAGAGATCACCTAGAACCTACCATCGGTCTAGGACAAAAACAAACTTTGGGCCCAACAACCCAAATCAGCTAAACATTCGAATTACTCCTAAGGACATCGAATACTTAGCAAAATGCCAGTCGAATCCGACTGAAGATCTGAAAGGTAATCAGCTCGAGTACGAGCTGTCCTCGAAGATTAAGACCAAGTGCTGATCATGTAGATCAATCTACGAATCACACAATTGGCAAAAGCCAGTCGAATCCGACTGAAGATCTGAAAGGTGATCAGCTCGAGTACGAGCAGTCCTCGAAGATTAAGACCAAGTGCTGATCATGTAGATCAATCTACGAGATTACACAATTGGCAAAAGCCAGTCGAATCCGACTGAAGATCTGAAAGGTATCAGCTCGATACCGAGCGTCCTTGAAGATTAAGACCAAGTGCTGATCATGTAGATCAATCTACGAATCACACAATGGCAAAACCCAGTCGAACCCGACTGAAATCTGAAAGGCGATTAGCTCGATTCGAGCAGTCCTTTGCAAGCTAAAGCACCAGAGCTGATTGTAGATCAATCTACAAATCACACAACTGGCATCGATCGAATCCGATTGATAATCTTAAAGGAAATCAGCTCAACCCCGAGCAGTCTTTCTTCAATCAAGCCCAACTGCCGATCATGTAGATTAATCTACAAAATCACGCAATTGGCAAACACCGGTCGAATCCGACTGAAAGTCTGAAAGGAAATCACCTCGACTTAAAGTAAATCTTTAAAGATGAAGCTCGAGTGCTGATTGTGTAGAACCACCTACTGAATTCAGACGATCATCTAAAATCAGTCGTTTTCAACCGACAAAGGTTAGCTCAACCCGACGCAACCTTCCAAGTTGAAGCTCAACACGTTAAAAGCTCGAGCTGGAATTCAAAAGAAACTAGCTCAACTTTATACGATTCTCAAAAGAGATCAACTGAGCTTCATCCGGTCCGACCAGTTAGCTTACACGCTAGGTCAAATCTCCAATCAAACCAAAACGACTAATGTTCGAACAATCGAGCTAACAGTCAATTGATCTGGAAAACAAAGATAAACTCTAAGACATCAAACGTCTAAGAAAAATTATCAAACAAAGCTCATTCCGAGCAAACAAGTTTGAACATAAAAGGATAAAAGCCTTCCCAGGCACCAAATCCAAAGGCAAAGCATAAAACCTTGCTGAGCTAACTTGTTCGAAACTTAAACGAGAATAGAGCTCATCCTTAGCAAGTCACTTTGACGAGCTACTCTATCTCTCTCATCCTTACCATCTCTGTTTCATCTTATCAAGCTCATCTTGTCAAGATGCTTCATGTAACCTTTGTTCACAACGAGCAGAGAGCTTCATGTTCACCTTCAAAGATCTTGATAAAGAAATCGCAAATATTAAGTCCGAAGATATCAAATCATCGGCAAAAACTTAGAAAAGGTAAAACCATACCTTCTCATCCGCCGCCATCGCTGCCGCATACAGCTCCCTCTCGAGCGTCATATCCAAAACTGGAGATTGATCTGCAGCAGGCCCGCATTGGCGCAACATGAATGTTCAAGGATTATCCAAAACTGGCACATCCTTCGAACAATCTATCATTACAAGGGATGACGGACTCGCCGTCGAGTTAACTCGCTTTTTCAAGGAGCTCGACAAATTCGGAGTACGATTATCATCTCTTGCTCATTTCGAGCTCCATCCTCATTGTTCGCTATTCGACCTCAACGAGATAGTTCGTCTCAAATGAGTCACTCGGGTATCATCCCCGATAGCAGCATGAAGAACCTACCTACTACTTCATCACGAAGAGTATATTCAACCGCAACGTGGACAATCTCCACAACTCCATTAGCTCTAGATTGGATTGCTTGCTCACAACGAGTGGCAGCCGACTTTGCAGATCGTTCACAAAACGATAGCTCGCGAGAAATCTTCTCTCTTCCAAGAGGTGGATACTCGAAGTCGGGCTCTAATCTGTAACAGATGGAACGCGGCGAAAAACAGTAACAAACAAAATTTTGTTGCTAAAAATGGATGAAAACCTACATAGGTGTTAAATCCGAAGCAAAACATATGACTTGCCCAAGTCACTACAGCGAAAAACTTTCTCTATCGCAGCATCGAGCTCGATTCGAAGTTCGCTCGGGACATATACCATCTGTCAAGCTCGATTCTAAATAGATTCTTGCTTGATCTTATATGATCCCAAGAAATCAACTAAGTCTCACTTAGTCTGATTTGAATGGCAGTCAAGCACTCTGCCAATTCTCGAGCTAAAATTCGAGAACATCTCCAAGATCGAGCTAGATTCTCAACAGATTCTAACCTGACCTTAAGAATATCTTCAAAGATATTGACTAAGTCTTTGTTCAGCTTAGCTCAACGATAAGCTCGACCATTTGGTTGAAATAACATTCGAACCAAAGACTAAGTTTTATTTAGCTCGACCTAAATAAAACAAATACTTAGTCGAAATCATGCCAAGTATGACTCGAAATTTCAAAAAGAAATCAGTTTAACTTGAAGCAACTTTCAGAAGAGTTGGAAAAGTCTTTTCTGCTAGATTTCTCGGTCAGCCGAAAATCTTATGCGAGAATTCAGTCAAACAAACCGACTAAAATTCATTTGGTCGTATCCTTTTTCGATTCGAGTCGGAAAAACAGTCCGACTTAAAGCGACCAAGTTCGATTAAAGAATTTAATCAACAATTGGTCGAACTCGAAAAATAATCGATTAACTCAAAAAGAGCTCGCGCAATGTTTGAGTTAGTTAAACCAAAAGCCTTCTCGAGAAACAATCTAAAAGAGTTGATAATCGCAAATCTTCTCCTAAGGTTTTCATTACTCTCGAAAAGCTCGACTCTTAAGATCATAATAGCTCTTCGATCTATTTTCGATTTGATTGTCGATCTAAAGAATAAGTTATTACCTTGTCTTTCAAGGTGAAACTATCATTCAACGGCAAGATCTCAAAGATCTTTCGCCTTCCCGTTTGCGACCGTCGATCTCTAATGACTATTCAAAGTCATGATTTAGTTCGACGGGACTGCGGGACAATTTAAAACAACCTACCGCTCATTAAGTTCGATTATACTCACTTAATGAGCTGGGGGGCTATTGTTGGACCTGGATTTCCCTCCAGAAATCCGGCCCATAAGGCCCATCACCTAAGTCCTAAGGTCAAGATAAGTCCACTCAGGCCCAGTAAAATGACCTCGAGCCCACCAAGTATCCTTGTCCAAAATCCAGCTGTTTACTGTCCGAGCTACTTGTGAAGACGAAGTCGAGCTCTAGCTCGACGGAGTCAAGTCCGCAAGCTGAGTTTGAACGAGTCAAACGAGAATCTCGCTTCGACTGTTCAGATCCGGAAATAGCGGGATCGGTAGTTGCACGTGGACGAGATACGCGGAGGAGGTTGCGATCTACTTCGGAGCTATAAAAGGAGGACGATTCTTGATCACAAGGCATAAGTTTAATCCTTCTCATTTCCGAGAGAGAACGAATTCCTTAATCACAAGTCTTTTCACATTCTTTGAGAAACACTAAGTTCTTCTTCTTCGTCTTGAGATATTCTCATATCTTTTCTCTTCGATCTTATCCTTGGTCTTTGAGATAATCCCAGAAAGCCCTGATCTTTCTAGCCGGAAATCACTTCCGGCAGAAGTTTGACATAATCTCTTACCTTCGGATCACTCCGATAACCTGAGATTTATCGTCATCTTCACACCCCTTTAGCTCTTTTCGTGGTCATTTCTCTTCAGAAAACGACTCGAAATAGAGAACAACTTACAATCGAACTACGTTCTGGCTTGATCCCTAAAACAGGGTACGTAGGCAGCTCGTTACACGAGCGCAGCCACCACCTCATTTCCATCTCTTTTGCTTAGTCGAATCCTAGTGTTTTACATGGTCTTTCAGGCCGGTTTTGTAACCACTTTATTCGATTAGCCTAAGTCCGATTTCGTCAAATATTTGTCTACGAATCATTCGACTTACATCAGAATCTAACCTCTGATTCCACAGGCAATTTCTCCCTACAAAATACACATAAATTTTGAGTGTGGTTTTCCGAACCCACACTCGGTTTCTTTCCTTTTTTTTTTCCGTCAAAAGTTTTCTTTTTCGCCGATGTCGCATCGCCTTCCTTTCACTTTTCAGACACCAAATCGTCATCCCCTCCAATTCAATCCATCTCCTCTGACCTTCTCCTACCTCCAGGAAGAGATCGCACTCACTTCCACTCAACCGTCGCAGCTCAGAGAAACTCCGACGATTCAACTCCCTCATACTCCTCCTCTGCCTCGCCTCTGCGTCTTCATGCTCACCAGTCACCAATTCCCGCGGCTCCGGTTCTCCTCACTGGTACGGCTTCGACACTTTAAGGTTCGATTCTCCTTCAATTAATATAGCTCACTCTCTATTTTGGACTAAGTGCAGTCAATTTTCAATTTCAAAATCGAAAGCGAATCTGGAATTGAGGTCTGAATCGGGCGGTATTTGCAGATTCGTGTTCGTTGCAACTTGCAAACGCGATCGTGGTGGTAACCTCTGACTCTCACCGAAAATAGCCTTACTCAGCTTTCTTGGTCTGAACGTTAAAACTAAAACCAATTACCACCGGGAAAATAATCGGATCTTCTAGCCCCGGGTAGCTAAGTCGCCGATTTGTATAAAATTCCAATTCGTAATCTGATTGAAACATTATACTCCGTACATAGTTACAAAGTCTTACACTTTTGCTTATTGTGATGTTCTATGCTCAAAATTACGTGTCCCAGATTTCGTTTGCTTTACGGATTGCTTGATTTTTCCAAATTACGCTGCTGACACTTGGTCGGCTTTTGATTTTGCTTTGATGTGCATAATTGATGTTGAATTTATAGTTATGTTGCGCTAGGATGCTCAAAGTAGTGAAATTTAGTAGAAGATTCTCGGCATATACATCTTCGTTGCCTCCGTTCTCTGTACTCTGTTACTACCCTTTTCAATAAGGGAAAATTACACATTAGCCACGAATAGGACCACGAGCACGAATAGGACCTAAGGTTACAGATTAGCTCTTCTCATGCACATTTGGTCCTAGGTGACATATCTTATTGTAAATTCATGTCCTCGCTGTTTGTTTCCTCTTCGTAAGTGTAAATCGATCGCTATTCTCATCAAAACGTTTCCTCAGATTTGCAAATCTGTAAGTCATCCGTTGTCCACCTCACGACTCTTCGGATCAGTTTCATTTGGGTTCTTCCAAATATTTTGTAACGGGTAACTCTTACATGTTCCTAGCTACTACTATGTCCGATCATTGTGCTTTGCTCATTTACAGGCCAAAATCTCAAATAAAAACATTGGTTATGGGAGACTCTGATTTCTCTCCTTGTGTGCACTGGGCTTAGGAGACTCGGATTTCTCCATCCCGAGCACTTTCTCAGCTTCTCTCGAGACATGGAGCCATGGCGGAAAGGTCGGTTCTACTTCTCTCCATCCTCTTTTTTTTTTTTAGATGCAGTTTTTGATTCAAGGATTGGAGGCTACTTATGGATTTTTATATCTGGTCGTATTTGTAAGAGTATCTTTGTTTTCAAGTTCTGCGATGAAACCAAGTTTGTTTGGAGTCAAAACGGACGGTTTGAATCATCTAAAAGAAGCTCGATGAATACCCATTAACATTTTTTTCCTCGGAAATCACATGCATATGCAGATTCCCATCAATTTTGTTCAATGTTTGTCGTGTATATTGAGTTCGAAAACTCTCATTCGATACCTCTTTTCGGTTCAGGGTCAATGATGATTGGGATATATTTTTTCTAGTCTCGGGAATGAAAGTGTCAGACGAGCATCAATTCAGAACTACAAGCTAAGATCAAATTCTCATTGCGAAAAACATACTAAGGGCCAATGACGGAGAAGAAAATTAGGTACGAAGGCAGAGTAAAAGGTTTGAGAATATTATGTGCTTTTAAGAGGAAGCGAAAGGTTTAAATACTTGAAGTATTAATGTTTCCTATAGTCAGATTGGTCTCTTTGTATTTCATGATGGAGGTTTCGAATTAAATATTTGTTTCAACATTCTTTCCCAGTTCAAGAAGATTACTTGAACAAATCAGGGAGAAGGAGGGTGGCGCTGGGGAATCTGGTGATGCGAGGGTGATAAAGAGATGATTGATCTGAAATCTGAAGAATCTAACATTGTTGAACCGGAGAAATAGACTCAGAGTGAGAAAAAACTTGGTCAGATTCTAGAGAGGAAGACGGCGGGGAGGAGCAAGAGGATGATACTTTTGAGGACCACAAAAACTGTTTATGGGGACCAGAAATTGCGGTAAGTTGCTTTCAACTTTCATTGTAGGAACTAGGAACTGTCATTCTCTTTTGCGAAATTTTTCTCATATATATTACATGTTTTGGTGATGGATAATGGTCTGTAGGAAGAGAACATAGCGAATCTAAAAAAATGAAGCTCCTATTGTTAACTTGGACTAGAGATTTGTTTCGTTAAGTTCTCAATATATGAAAATTGTTGAATTTCCATCTAGAGGATTTTTCACACTTAATGAGTTGTTTAGTGTTTAGATCTTTCTAACGATTACCACTCAGTTTTAATATTCTAACCTGTTGTGTCACAAACAGATTTCAAGGTTGAGAGTAAAATCACAGAAAAAAATAAGCAGTTTGGTGAGAATATGGCGAAGCGAATAGCAAGTACGAGTGTGTCAAGTCATGCTTCCTAACTTTATGGTTTTTCGAATCGATGGTCGTGATTTTTCCATGTAGATTTCTCCTTCTCCTTCTTATTCGTTAAATTGGGTTCGATAAGGGAGCTAGACTACATACTGATCTATGTATGTTACGATTTGATATGAAATTTATCAGTATTCTATATCTCTGGTGATGATGTTTAGATTGTATTTCGTCATTGTCCGAGTAGAATGTTGCTTGCTTTTTACTTCTTACACGCTCTTAACCTTCGTTATAACTATAGATTCTCTCAAGTTCATTAGTTTGAGAAGCCGAATGATGAAGCAGCCTTTAATCTGATGAATTCGTGTCCAGCTGCGGTTTTGGAAGAGTATCCTAACATTCTCTTTGCAATTGGCCAGTGCCTTTAATCTCACTCGCGCGCCATCATATGAGTCTTCATTTCAACCGCAAAAATATCAAATTCCCAAGCTTAACCTACTTCATTAGCCTCATAAGAAGGGCAAAAAAATAAAATAAATGATTTCGTCTTCGTCTTATTAGACTCATAAGAAGAGCCAAAAAAATAAATAGAAAGCAATATCGAATCTTGAATCCCCAATAATATATTACCAAATGTTTTTAATACAAAAGAAAAGAAAAAAAAAGCAAGAGAGATAACTATATAGATGTATGATTTGAACCAATCAACCACGTTTGAAACTTGGTAAGAACCAACAAGCAAAAGAGAATGGAAGGGACGAAGAAACAGATTCTTGTGGTTGTTCGATCTTCTTTGTATCGACATTATATACGACCAACACATTATCGTTGTAATGCAAGTCTTCATCAGGCGCTTCACAGTAGTAGATGGAGTTACTAGTGATTCCTTCCAAGTCCTTAGCGAGCACTGTAATACCCAAATCCAAGAGAATCGCCTCATCTCCCAAGGTGAAAATCTCCTCCCACTTGTTCCCTTGGGACCAATCCATCTTGAAGATTCTAAAGTTCCATGTATAGGACCGTCGCGGAAGTAGCTTCCTCCTAACAATCAAGATATCTCCTCCTACAGTGACTACCATATTGTTCCTCCTATGAACGTCGTACTCGTATGGAAGTCTCATGAGATAAACTAACTGTCTTTTCACGCATTCCTTTACGCAAGTTTCGAAAACTAGCAGCGGAGTATCTCCGGAAAAATCGAAAATATGGAGTTTGTTAAAGTTGAGACAAAAGAGTTTGTCATCTTTGTATACCAACTGGGGGATTTCTTCTTCTAATTCCATAGGCCATCGCTCAATACCTGGAAACAGGATGATCTCTTTCCACGAGTTATCTCCTTTCTTGATGGACACCACTTTCTCATCATCAACAACCCCTATAACAAGGTAGTCTTTGGTTTCCTCGTCTATCCATAATATCCGATGCCTGATGAAGAAGCGTGATTTGCATGTCGGTAGATTGATCCTCTCGTGCGTGAGAATGTTCAAAATATAGACGTCGTCTTCTCTGTCTCCTCTGTGATAAGTTTCCATCAAGAGCCAGCTTCTATAAGTCTTGCAACACACACTCTTTGCAAAGTCGTCGCCGAGGTTTTGTGTTTTGTGCACCTTTTCTTTGTCTTCGGGATTGAACAAGAGACAGTAGTTCTTGTCCTCCGGGAACAGAAGCATCCAAGGGATCTGATTGTTTGGCTGAGACTGTCTCGTCCCGGATTGCCAAGATGAACAGACCGATTTCGCTCGTTCGAAATCGGTGAAGCCAAGGCGTTCAAATACCGATTGCATGAGATCTAGAGGAAGCTCGGACCAACAATGAGGATTTCTTCGAGTGACGGAGACGGCGGGCGATTTCGGAGGAGGAGATTGAGCCAAGGCTAACGGTGGGGAGGCCATCTGACGAAATCTTGATGTTCATTTGTGGGAGCAAATATTTAGGTTTTGCGATTTCACTCTCTCTCAAACAAAGTTTTTGAAGAGATACACTTGTCTTGCGTTAGCACCGTCTATTTGTTTTGAGCTTTGTAGGCTTTATTGGGCCTTCATATATGCTTTGTGGGCTTTAGTGGGCCTTCATATATTCAGTTTGTTTTTCCGGTTTGTAGTTTTATCTGTTTAATAAATTTCGGTTTTACCATATCGATTTAGCTCGGTCTTACAAATGGGTTTTGTTGCGTTCTTGGAGTAATTATTACAAGTTACTACTTACTAGTCATCGATGTTGCGTTTTTGTAAATCTATATTTGTCATTCCATAAAAGCATGCAAACTTTGAGATTAACTGACTTCAAAATTTGTTAAAAATATCCGAAAAGAAAAAACAAAAACGATAATTTGCTATGAAATTATGTCAAATTTTTTTTAAGACAAACAACACAAATTGTACCGTTTTCTTTAGGGGTCAAGATTAGTCCCCTTGTATCTAGGGGTCAAGATTAGTCCGGTTTCAGGGGTCAAATTTGGTCTCATTATAGGCCTGAAACATTAAAAAAAATGATGGGAATGCCTCAAAAATATCAGACCAAGCATACTAGCTATAAAGATTTTGATCGAAATTGATATACATAAAGTCGTTGCCCGTTGGACGATTTAAAAAGCAGTAAACGCTTGCTAGTTCACAGCAAATATTCCATAATTTGGTCGTGCTTTCACACATAGTATAAACTTTATTCCGTAGTTGTGTGGCTGCTTCCACTAAAACTGCTGAGTACCAATCTAAGTCTAGCTAGACTTCTCCCGTCTACTACTTTCTTCAACGCCAAATTCCAAATTCTTATACATTATTACATATGTTGAGTGTTTTGCATTCATTGTGATCACATTAAAATGAATATACTTCTTTAAACTAAGTAAGGTGATTAATTCAATGTAACTGGCCAGCGCCTTAACGTTTCAAGATTTTTAAAGTTGATATACTTCTTAATGAACAATTCTTTTTTTTTTGAACAAAAATGAACGATTCTTTTTCCATAAGGGAAGTTATCAATTTATGAAAGTCAATTTCTTCTGAATTTCAAACCAATTGGGACAAACGACCTATTATTATATATCTTAATTATGTTATTTTTTCAAACATTTGAAACGGCTCATATAACTATATAAGTATAGTTAAGTGGAGTTGTTAATTTTCCTCAAGAATTGGTTTTTTTTACCGGTGACCGATGAAAGAAATTGACTGAATATGAATTAATGACTATGCGCCGAATATAAATATATAATTATGATAGAGAGGAAGAAAAAGAAAAGGTTAGAACCCTATATTTATCATAATTAAGATTTCCAAAACATAACTTAGGGTTTTCACTATTCATTAAAAACAAATCTAGAACGTACCAAATCAATATCATTATGGAAACTGAATTATTCTTGTTTTTCGGTGCAAGAAACTTGATTATTTTCCTGATTTTTGTAGATCGAAGAATGGGTTTCTATTGAGTATCTTCTACCTGATATTGTCTACCTGATCTTGAGATCAAACAACACAAGCGCTATATCTTATACTCATTTAAGAGTGAATTTGTTTCTTCAAATAAATCTCCGCTACATAGTTAGTAAGTTAGTACATGCTAAACTGATAATAATGGCCTTCATATCAAACCAAACTCTCTTTTTTAGTTTGTTAATGGGATTTGTTGCTTTGTGAAAATGTTTTGTGTCTTTTTTTCTTTCTTTCTTTCTCGTGATTGAAAGATGCAAACATTTGTCAAACTGTTACGATTTGCCCTTGTAAACCTGCAAATCTCAATCACACACAAGCTCACGAAACACTCTCTCTCTCTCACAAGAACCAGAAAACAGAGCAAGCACAGAAAACAGAGCAAGCAAAAGAGATAAAGAACACAAAGAGTTTGTTCACCCAGTTCAACCTAGTCGATGTGACTAAGCCTACGTCTGGGCCGATCAATCCGGCAATCCACTAATCAAAAGAAGAGTACAGCTCAATAACAGAGCAAGAGAATCAATGGAGGTTAAGGAACTCCAATTGATTGTTACAACACTTAAGGAAGAAGAAGACAAGAACTTAAGTATTTAAACACCTAAACACTTTTGCATTTACGGCGTCTCTATTCGCGACTAGAGAGAAACCGTCTAGGTCTTCTTCTTCAATCTCCGGTTCAAATCAACAATCCCAAACCGGTTGTACTCTAATTCAATTCCTCCGGTTTACACCAAACCTGAAAACTGAATCACATAACCACAACACTCCACCTTGATTCAAGTTTTCCTTCTCTTAGTGAATTGCACTACTTGGATTTAACCTCGGCACGAAGATACTCCATCTTCACTTGAGTAACCTTAGAAAATCTAAGGCTTCCTCAAACTTACGAACTGGAATGCTTTTTGTAAGCATATCCGCAGGATTCTTTGATGTATGAATCTTACTCACTGCAACTTCACCTTCTTCAATCACATCTCTGATGAAGTTAAACTTGGTAGCAACATGCTTTGTCCTCTCATGAAATGTGTTGTTCTTTGACAAACAAATAGCAGACTCAGAATCACACCATATCAAAGCTTTAGCTGGTTTCAACCCCATGTCATCCAACAAGCCACGAATCCACATGGCTTCCTTGACAGCCTCTGTTAGAGCAACGAATTCAGCCTCTGTAGTTGACAAAGTAGTTGCCTTCTGCAAGCTTGATTTCCAGCTCACTGTATTTCCACCAACCGTGAACACATAACCACTGATAGACCTTCTTCTGTCAAGATCTCCTGCATAATCTGAGTCACTAAAACCCTGCACACTGAAATCTTTTCCCTTTGTATACACCAAATTCATCCCAACCGAGCCTTTAAGATACCTCAATAACCATTTCACAGCCTCCCAATGTATGTCTCCTGGCTTGCTCATAAACCTGCTAACAAGACCAATAGCATAAGCAATGTCTGGACGTGTCCCAATCATTGCATACATAATGCTGCCAACTGCGCTATTGTATGGTACCAACTCTGTATCAACACACTCACTATCATCTTGAACTGAATACAGCTTGAAGTGTGCACCAATGGGCGTGCTTACAACCTTAGCTTCACCCATATTAAACCTTTGAATCACTTTCTTCAAGTAACCAGACTGAGATAAGCACAATGTACCTTCTTTTCTGTTCCTTGTAATGTCAATGCCCAAGATTCTACTAGCTGCTCCCAAGTCTTTCATCTCAAATTCTCTACTTAACTCTGCCTTTAGCTTGTTCACTTCTGTTATACTCTTTGCAGCCAAGAGCATATCATCTACATACAACAGCAAATAGATGAACTCTTCATCACCTACCTCCTTCACGTAGACACATGGGTCATGTCCACTGCGAGTGAACTTTTGGCTCATCATAAATGCATTGAACTTCTTATTCCATTGCCGTGGAGCTTGCTTTAACCCATAGAGAGACTTCTTCAGCAAACACACTTGATCTTTCTTTGGATCAACCACAAAACCTTCTGGCTGTTCCATGTAAAGTTCTTCTTCAAGCTCACCATGCAGAAATGCTGTTTTCACATCCATCTGTTCCAGCTCTAAGTCTTCTTTAACCACCAATGACATCAGAATTCGTATGGAGAGATGTTTAACTACTGGTGCAAACACTTCTTGATAATCAATTCCCTCTTTCTGCGTAAAACCTCTAGCAACAACTCTTGCTTTATGCCTTTCTGATTCTACACCAGGAATACCAGATTTTAACCTGTATAACCATCTGCTACCAATGACCTTTTTGTCTTTAGGTCTATCAACAATGATCCATGTTCCATTCTTCCATAGCGACTCCATTTCTTCTGTCATACCACCGTTCCATTTCACCCAATCTTTGCTTCTTCTTGCTTCATGATAACAGCTTGGTTCTTCTGAAGTTACAAATTCAGCTGTGAGGAGAGCAAATGCAACTTCAGAGTAATCCGAAAACTTAGCTGGTGGCTTAGGTTGTCTTCTACCTCGATCTCTTGCTAGTTGATAGTTTGTCAGATCAACAGCATCAGCAGAAACGTCTTCTGTCTCTGCTTCATCGGATTCAGAGCTGCTTGCGTTTTCTTGAGTTTCTCCACCTGCATCAACACTTTCTGTAACATGCTCATTTTGAGCACCAACATCGTCCTCATCCTCTATCCTGATAAACGTCTCTGTAGAGACCGTTGGTGCCGGCAGAGCCTTAGAAGCTGAAGCTTGATTCTCTTCAGACTTCAAATCTTTGAAGACCACATTCTCATGAAACACCACGTTCCTGCTGATCACACATTTTTCTTCATTCAACAACCAGATTTTGTAACCTTTGGTTCCTGGAGGATAACCCAGAAACACACCTTTTAAAGCCCTTGGCTTCAGCTTTCCCTGATCCTGATGCACATAAGCAACTGATCCAAACCTTCTCAAATGATTGTAGCCTGGTTTTCTGGTCAGCCATAACTGTTCTGGAACATTGTGATCAATGGCAGAACAAGGAGATCGATTCACCAAATAAGCTGCTGTTGCAGCTGCTTCAGCCCAAAACGGTTCACCAAGACCCGATTCATCTAACAGACATCTCACCTTCTCCATTATGGTCCTGTTCATGCGCTCTGCAACGCCGTTCTGCTGCGGCGTATACGTACACGTTCTGTGACGCTCAATGCCAAACTTCTTGCAGTAATCATTGAACCTTGAGTTACAGAACTCCAAACCGTTGTCAGTCCTCAGCACCTTCACTTTCTTGTTTACTTGATTTTCAACTAGCACTTTCCACTCACAAAAGTTCTCAAACGTTTCATCTTTAGTCCTGAGAAACATCAACCAAACTTTTCTTGTTTTATCATCAATAATAGAGAGAAAGTATTGTTTACCAGAAAGTGACGGTGTGACATTTGGAGATCCCCATAAGTCAGCATGAACATAGCTCAAGATGTCTTCCGTGATGTGTTTACCCACATTGAAACTCAACTTCTTGGACTTCCCCATTACGCAATGTTCACAGAAAGCAAGGTCTTTGATATCTTTCTTCTCGATCAGACCTTTGCCGCTGAGAGTCTTCATGTTGTTGATACTCAAATGCCCAAGTCTACTATGCCATAAACTTGTCTTGTCAATTGAGCTCTCTACGTTGCAGCTTTCTCCCAACACAGTCCTTCCATCAAGAATATACAATCCATTTTGCAAGATTCCACGCAGAGCCAACTTATTGTTCTTGTAGAATTTTACTACACCATCTCCACCTTCATGAGTGTACCCTAGACTGTCAAGAGTACCAGTAGAGATCAAGTTTCTTCTCAGATTTGGAACATACCTCACATTCCTTAAAACTTTGATGGATCCTCCGTTTGTCTTCATCTTTATAGATCCAGACCCTTTTGCTTCGACAGTGTGATCATCACCAAGAAGAATTGTCGTACTTGTGTTCTCATTGAAATCCGAGAACCAATCTCTTCGGGACGTCATGTGATACGTGCAACCTGAGTCAATAACCCATTGTTCCTTTGACTCTTGACCGTTTACACTCAAAGCTTCAGTATATACCAGCTTCTCTGTAATCACTCCTGCTTCCCCTTGAGGTTCAATTCCATACTTCTTCTTTCTTGCATAACAGTCTTTCTTGATATGTCCCTCCTTCTTGCAAAACCAACAAGTAAGCCTTGTATTTGAACTAGACCTGCTTCTGCTGCGATCATTCTTTCCCTTAACACCTTTGTAAGGTTGTCTTCCTCTTTCACCAGTATACAAACTTGCTGCTTGATTCTTATCAGACCTGTGATCTTCTGATAATTCTCTTTCCCTAGACCTTGCTGCAGAAACTACTTCTTCTAGGGATAAAGACTCTCTTCCATACTTCAGAGTATGCTTCAATTGATCAAAGCTAGGAGTCAAAGAAGTAAGCAACAAGATAGCTTGAACTTCATCCGAGACCTCGACGTTGAGACTACTAAGTTCAGCAACTATCTTCAAGAAGTCATCGACATTCTCATCAACATTCTTAGACTCTACCATCCTGTAAGTATAGAATTTCAACTGCATATGAATTCTATTTCGCAGCGAAGTTTCCGTGTACAGACGATCTAACAAAGACCACATCTCAGCTGCAGATTCAGTGTTCTTAATCTTCCTCAATACATGATCCCCTACATTAGCTATGATAATCCCCATAGCTCTTTCCGATTTATCAATCTTTTCAGGATCAGAAACTACCTCTGTCGTCGTCCATGCCGACTCACCAGCTCCACCAGATTGAGTTACGGTCTTTTCAAGCTTGTGATCAGTCAGGATATCTTTCAATCCAATAACCCGAAGGTGCGACATGATTCTGATCTTCCAAAGAGAGAAATCTCCGTTCCCGTCGAACTTGTCGACATCGATCCGTGAGTTTGGTGGATCCTTCCCAACCATGAGCTCTGATACCACTATGTTACGATTTGCCCTTGTAAACCTGCAAATCTCAATCACACACAAGCTCACGAAACACCTCTCTCTCTCTCACAAGAACCAGAAAACAGAGAAAGCACAGAAAACAGAGCAAGCAAAAGAGATAAAGAACACAAAGAGTTTGTTCACCCAGTTCAACCTAGTCGATGTGACTAAGCCTACGTCTGGAGCCGATTCAATCCGGCAATCCACTAATCAAAAGAAAGAGTACAGCTCAATAACAGAGCAAGAGAATCAATGGAGGTTAAGGAACTCCAATTGATTGTTACAACAGCTTAAGGAAGAAGAAGACAAGAACTTTAAGTATTTAAACACCTAAACACTTTTGCATTTACGGCGGCGTCTCTATTCGCGACTAGAGAGAAACCGTCTAGGTCTTCTTCTTCAATCTCCGGTTCAAATCAACAATCCCAAACCGGTTGTACTCTAATTCAATTCCTCCGGTTTACACCAAACCTGAAAACTGAATCACATAACCACAACACTCACTAACGCCTAAAGTCGAACCCTGGTTTATGCATATTGTTACATTTTACTGTACCTACTCCACTGGCACAACAAAATAATAAATACTGATTTATATATAATAAAATTTAGTTCAGCTTCATTTGCATGATGATCACTAAATCGGCAAATATTAAAAAAAAAATCTGTGGAATTATCTTTCCGGAAAGGATAGAAATTTCAATGCTTTAGCTGAAAACAGTGGCAAATCCAATACTGTGAAATAATTATATTTTAATTGTAAGTTTTGATTAGTGATAACTCGCCGATCCAGGTTGACAATGTGTTAATCAGACGTATATGAGCAGATGACGACTAATATTAGGTTCAAAGGTATCATTAACTAGCCGGATAATTCTATTGTATTTACTCCAATGACCAAAAAGTATAATTTAAAATGGTTATCGATATATAACTATGTGAATAACATAACTATTACATACCCATTCTCTTTATCTTATAAAAAACATATGTCTTTCAGTCTTGTTGTCTATCCAATCAGTTGACTTTTGTAAGACTTTCTCATTGACTCTTTTTTCCAATTCTCAATATATATTTTTAAAATAAAAATATTTCGCGCCTAATAGGTCACGTACCTTGGAAACTCAGCAAGTGTAAATGTTTATGGACCAACATTGGTCTGACTATTGAGGTAATTTAAAAAAAAAAAAAAAAATTAAACAATAGATATTCTGCTTCGTTTAGCTATAAATAGAGAGCAAAACCAAGCAGAGATGGAACAAAACCAAAGTTGTTTTCTAGTTCTTTGGAAACAAAAAAGAGTACTTAAATGGCTACTAATTCAAGAATTTTATACGTGTTTCTTCTTCTTTCATGCATTGTTATTTCATCGCTTGGGGGGAGTTATGGAGAGGATACCGATGATGATGATTGTTTTCACGGGAGTTGGCGTGGGTGCGGTAGTTTCTATGGAAAAGCTGCCAAAAGATATGGCGGTAGAGGAGATGATGGTTATGGCAATGGAGAAAGATATGGAGCTGGTGCTGGTATGAAAGGCTATGGTGGTGTTGGCGGTGGTGGTGGTGGTGGCGGAGAAGGTGGTGGCAGTGGTGCCAATGGAGGTTATGGTCATGGAAGCGGGTCTGGAGCGGGTGCTGGAGTTGGTGGTAAAACAGGTGGAGGAGAAGGTGGTGGAGGAGGAGGTGGAGGTGGAGGTGGAGAAGGTGGTGGTAATGGTTTCAATGGAAGTAATGGTCATGGGAGCGGGTCTGGTGCTGGTGCTGGTGCTGGAGCTGGAGCTGGTGGAGTAGCTGGTGGAGCAGGAGGTGGTGGAGGAGGCGGTGGCGGAGAAGGTGGTGGTGCTAATGGAGGTTCTGGTCATGGAAGCGGATCCGGTGCTGGTGCTGGAGTTGGTGGAGCAACTGGTGGAGTAGGAGGAGGTGGGGGAGGCGGTGGAGGAGAAGGTGGTGGGGAAAATGGAGGATCCGGGCATGGAAGCGGTGCTGGTGCTGGAGTTGGTGGAACAGCAGGTGGAGCAGGAGGAGGTGGTGGTGGTGGAGAAGGTGGTGGTGCTAATGGAGGATCAGGTCATGGAAGCGGATCCGGTGCTGGCGCTGGAGTTGGCGAAACAGCAGGTGGAGCAGGAGGAGGTGGTGGTGGCGGAGAAGGTGGTGGTGCTAATGGATGATCAGGTCATGGAAGTGGATCCGGTGCTGGTGCTGGAGTTGGTGGAACAGCAGGTGGAGCAGGAGGAGGTGGTGGGGGCGGTGGAGGAGGCGGTGGTGGCAATGACGGTAAATCTGGTGGAGGATATGGCCACGGTAGTGGTTTCGGTGTGGGAGTTGGCTTTGGAAATGGTGGAGGAGGTAGTGGTGGAGGTGGAGGTGGAGGTTCAGGCAGTGGTTATGGTGCTGGTTTTGGTATGGGTAAAGGCAATGGTAATGGAGGGGGTGGGGGTGGAGGAGGTGGTGGTGGCGGTGGAGGTAGCGGTGGAGGAAGTGGAAGTGGAAGTGGAAGAGGAGAAGGATATGGATCGGGAGGAGGAACCGGCATAGGCAATGGAGGAGGAGGAGTGGGTTTTGGAATGGGCATTGGCTTTGATATTGGCATCGGAGGAGGAAATGGTGGTGGTACCACTTATCAAAGCAATATTTCCGGCGATAAAAATTCTCCCTAGAGTATGAAGCCGATACATACCTTATTTGTTAACTCCGTTTTAATAAGGATTTTTCGTTTCAAATTTTATACTTTAGTTATTTTATTTTATAACTCTCACCGATCGATTCATGTATAAGATAAATTCGTTTAATTTCCCGAATAAATAAAACTACATTATGTTTTTTGTTTTAATTGGGAGAGGATACAAAAATAATGTGTTTTTAAAAAAAACTTTTAATCGCAACTAATACCATAAAGATATCAAATCGACAAATCTTGTAATCTATGACCACTGAAATCAAGAAGCCATGCTTTTTCTTATGATTTCCCGTGTCGTAACAAGTAGCCACATAAATTTCTCTTTATCAAAATTTGGTTGTGGTTTAGGTTAAATGTTTCATGATTTGTGTTACGATCGTATTTTTCAGATATTACTTTAAAAGATCGAAAACATACACTATCGTCTATCGATAAAAACGTAATATTTGATGAGGCAGTTCTCTTAGATTTGGGTATAACATTGCTCGCTAAGGACCTGGAAGGAATCACTAGTAACACCATCTACTTCAGTGAAGCGCCTGATGGAGAATTGCATTACGATGTCCATCTATAATGTCGTTACAAAGAAGGTTGAACAACCACAACAATTTGTTTCTTCGTCCGATCATTTCTCTTATGCTTGTTGGTTCTTACCAAGTTTCAAACGGGGTTGATTGATCATATCTATATAGTTTTCTTTTAGTTGTTTTTTTTTTTCCTTTTTTTTTGTATTATACATTTGGTAATATTTTATTTGGGATTCAAGATTCAGTATTGCTTTTCTATGTTTTGTTGAGATGATGCGAGTGAGAATTTCGATGTCGGATGTCCTTCATCTATAGTTGAGCTATTCGATCTAGTTTTGGTTTGAGGAAGCGTTTCCTGGAGATTCCAGAGGCAACACATTTGGCTCATTCAGAAGATATTCGTGATAGAGACTTGAAGCGAGATTTTCCCAAGGACCATGTAGAGTGGGATCAGCCAAATTATTTCTTCAAGATCCATGATTGAGACTTATATAAATGCAAGGTCAAACAGCGACACTGATCAAGATATTTCCTCATTGTCTCATAAAAATGTGTACCAAAAGGCTGATACTACCGGTTGTTTGACTGAGGACCTTGCTAGTGAATACGTTGCTGTACCAAAAGGCTGATACCATGTTTCACATGAGCGGTGGTGAGCCCAAACTAAGATACTGTTAAGACAAATGTCTTTTACGAGAAAGACTCTGACGTAAGCGGCAGGTTTTAATTGTTTTTGTTGATGGAGCCACTAGTGTCAAATTTTGTTGGGTAAAACAGACTAGTAATTGTTTTTTGTTTGTTTCATAGATATGTTATGTTATTCGATCGTTAAAATCAATGAATTTATTAGTTTGGAGTGGTTCTTTCATCAGTGGGAAAATAACCAAATGTCTTGAAGAAACTGTTGAATTGGTGTCCAAAACTAAACGAATATCGAAACTTGTTCAACAAAACATATGCACAAAGTTTGCAAAGTTGAAGGAAAACTTAAGAAAATTATAAGCAAAATTAGCAATCTGTTTCAGCTATAATTAAATTCATTTAACATGTTTCAGCTATAATTATAGAAAACTGCTGACAAATAGTATATATGAAAGGTACTCTTTTATAGTTGATATTATTCTTACATCTCAACTACTGAGAGAATGTAATACCAAGTCGATACTATTTTACTTTTTTGCATGGTTAAGATATATAGTCGGTATTAAACCGACTTGGCGAACCCGACTTTCACAGATGGTGGACTCTGGTAGTCGAAAACAGTGGGAAAGGCTCGAATGAATGGCTGACCCAATGTCCTACAATCAAAACCGCAAGCAGTAAAAAACAAAGATTTATATTTTGTTTAAACCACAATTAGCATATATAAAATATATTAAACAGTAACAGAACATAATGTTATACAACAGTTTTCATGCCTGTGTTATGTATACATAATTTCTTCATGTTTTATTTCAGTTCAAGCGCTTGTGAGAGCCGCCTTGAAAACGGATACTTATCCATCAACAACGACGGAGCAGTGTCGTTAGCAAATGAGTATGACACTATCTATTATGGTCCTATAAAAGTTGGTACTCCGGGACGAGATCGTCATTGTATGGTCTTCTTCCACACAGGAAGCGCCAACCTATGGGTGCCGTCCAAGACTTGGCCGGTGCCAAATCACAACTCGAGCAAGTCGACGACGTACAAACCTAAGAGTAATTTAGCAAACATGTTAATTTTTATTTGTTTGGTTCTGGATCTCAAAGTCTCATCGTTTTAGATTGCTTCTAACCCTGAGTAAATGAAGAATGCAAAAAAAAAATATGTTTTTTCGTTGGAATATGAAACATTTTTCCGTTAATATATGGAAAATATATGTTTTTCTTTTTAACAACTTTTTAATTAATTATTTTTTTTTTTTCTTTACCAAGACACATGTCAAGATTTTAACAGTTGTAAATTTAAATCTGATACATGCAAAGGCGGACCTACGTGGAGCAATACTGGTTCAAGTGACACAGTACTAATTTTTCAATTGAACCAGGTTAATTTTTAATCTTGACACTCTATTAGTTACAGCCCAATAGTTTTGGTCCATTAAATTTTAACTAAGAGTCCACTATAAACTGCCAAAAGAAAAAGGAAATTAGTAGTAACCTAAAGCCCAATTAGCTAAAGAATTTAGAGCGTCACTTTGTAAAAGAAAAGGATTTAGAGCGTAATTTAGAGACGTCGATAGACCTTTGATTTCTGCATTTTTGATATGGTGTCTCTGTTGCTGAATGTGGTGGGAGCTTCATGCAAAAGAAAAGATCAGCTTCGAGAGAATTATAGAGAGATAATTGAGAAAGGAGTTTAAGAAGGTGAGATCAATACCGGAAATGGATTAAATCAAGAGATTTCTATTGCAAGACCAAGGATTACTCGTTGGGGTTCTCATTATAGAACACTATTGCGTCTGTTGAGTTGTTTTCTTCTATTGTTAAGGTGCTTGAATGTGTTCAGAAGGATGGGTTTGAAGACTCAAAAAGACGTCAAGCATATGGTCTTCTCAGATACTTACATAGCTTTGATTTTGTGTTCTATTTACAAATGATGATACACCTTTTAGGACTCACAGATTGTTTGTCCAAGGCTTTGCAAAGAAGAGACCAAGATATTTTGAATGCTGTGTCACTGGTGAAATCAACTAAGAGACAACTGCAGAAGTTCAGAGATGATGGATGGAAGTCTCTCATGATTAAAGTTTCTTCTTTTTGTAAGAAACATGGTATTGAAGATCTTGACATGGAGGAAGATTTCATTGACTCAAAGAATCCAAGAAAGAAAACAGGATTAACAAATGAGCATCAGTACAAGGTTAATTGCTTATATGCTGTTTTGGATGGGCAACTTCTAGAGTTTAATGATCGTTTTAATGAGGTGAATACTGAATTGCTTATTTGTGCTGCTTCTTTATCTCCAATTGATTCGTTCTCTCAGTTTGACCACTCAAATCTGATGAAGTTATGGAGATTACATATCTCTTGAGCAACAACTGGATATTTACATTGATAATGTTCGAAGTGATGAAAGATTTACTCATCTAAAAGATCTTGGAGAACTTGCTCGTTTGCTGGTGGAAACACGTAAACATTTTTCATATCCTTTGGTTTATAGGCTTTTAAAGTTGATATTGATTCTGCATGTTGCCACTGCAACTGTTGAGAGATGTTTTTCAGCGATGAAGATAGTGAAGACAGATCGACGTAACCGGATGGGAGATCAATTCTTGAATGATTGTTTAGTTTGTTCCATCGAGAAAGATGTATTCGAGACTATTACAAACGAGACTGTGATGAAGAGATTTCAGGATATGAAAGAGCGTAGAGTGTTTTTGTAAAACATTATGTATTTTTATGAAAGAATTTTTATTTAATATTTATATTTTTATAGTTATGTTTTTGAACCCGGTAAAAAAAGTTTCTAGGTCCGCCACTGGATACATGTCGCGATCTTATGAGTTATAAAAAATTATATGTGTCGCAACCACATCACACGTGCATACATCTTTATATAATAGGATACTGAAATTTAATAAATAATTTTTTTAAACTATTATTTAACTAAATAATGTGATGATATATGTGAAGACTCAAGAAAAAGTTAATATATAAGGGATATACATAACCTACTAACCTAGTGCAGATTTTCATTAACTTAAAAAAGACATGAATCTCACAATCATATCTTCTTTATATTTGGACAGATGAGTCAACAAATCTACAGTTAATTAGGTTCATATATTATCTATTTTATTTCATCTTAATTATAAATTTTACTATGTTAATTATTTTAAAAAATAGTATATACATATCTCTTATAGACACGCACCCAATTTATATTTTCCCTATATATATAGTTAGATAATAAAAAAAGAAATGATTGTTGGGAGATACATGTCTTTTTTTAGATTGGAGTAGGGTAAGCTTTAGTTTATTTAAAGGGATACATGGAGTTCTTTAGTTTCCAGTGTCTCTCTAGTGGTGAGAGTGAGAGTCGGTTTACTTTTGTCAACTTTTCTCACGGTCACGTTCCCACTAAGGGTACGCTCGCCGCCGGCAAGTCTCCGTCACATCACAGATGGATTCTCTTTCTCCAAGCTCTGATGGACCAAGCTGGTCCAAGCTTCATACAGATCTATTGCACATGGTTTTCGAACGTCTTGGCTTTGCAGATTTTCAACGAGCTAAATCTGTTTGTTCATCTTGGCATTCTGCATCCAGACAATCAGCGCCAACTAATCAGATCCCCTGGCTGATTCTATTCCCTGAAAAAGGGAAAGATCAATGCCTTTTGTTTAATCCCGAGGAGAAAGATAAGATTTATAGAATTCAAGATCTTGATGTCAACTTTGCGAATAGTCATTGTTTGGCGATTAGTGGAAGTTGGCTATTCATACGAGATCCTAGTTATAATTTCTACATTTTGAATCTATTCACTCGAGAGAGGATCCATCTGCCGTCTGTTGAGTCACAACTTGGCATGCTAAAGATTGAACAAACCACAAATGATATGTTCATAGCAAAATTAACAGATGAAGACGATCGAAGAGACGTCAACTTTTACTGGCCTCGCTTCTGGATAGAGGAGAAAACCAGAGAATATGTTGTGACATTGTTAATCGATTTCGGAGGTATATCGTTTTTAATTTATTCCAAAAAAGGAGATAGTTTTTGGAAACAAATTAAGCTTACTAAGCCTTACGACGTTCATCTTGCTGACGTGGTATGCAAGGATCATAAGATTTACTTGTATAATTGGTCGCGTAATGTCAAAGTCTTGGATCTTTCTGGAGATAGTCCAAGACAAATATTGGAAACTCAAGGTAACTATGTTTGGTTCTTCAAAATGCCACAACGAGTTTTCCCACATCTTGGTGATGTGTGGCCTATCAAGAAAAAACATTTTGTAGTCACGGTGACTGGAGAATTTCTGAGAGTTAAGAGCATAGTAATGAGTAATTCTGACGTTTGGACCTTCTGCGTCTACAAGATGGACTCATCAAATCGCGAGTGGGAGAAAATTACTTCTTTGGGAGACGAGGTAATACTTCTGGATCAAGGTATCACTGTGCTTGCCAACGCCATCGAAGGACTCAATAGAAATTCAATATATTTTAATGGTGATCCTGATGCTATCGGATATCGTGTTTGGAGTGAAAAAGATGTTTTAATCTACAATATCGACACACAAGAGGTTGAAAGACCACATCGAAGTATCTGTTCGTCCATTCAATCATCTTACGCTCGATGGTTTGTCCCAAATTTCAGTCGGAAATGATTGATCTCAGATATGTTGTATCTTTTCAATGCTTTTTTTTTTTTTATTCCCTAAACACATCGCTCATCGCTGTAATAAGACGTGCGTCTATTTTCTTTTACAAGTATGAAAGTAAAAGGTATACAATATTAGTGAATAGATGTATTTTTGATTTCCGAACAGAATCGTTGATCTTTCATGATGAACAGAAAAAAAAAAACATGTTCTCAAGACCCTTGTTGTTCATAAACAAAAGCAAAACCAAAAATTCATAATTACACATCCAAAACTCAAAACAAAATACCAAAATATGAAAATCGACCATCAACATAAAAACTCTTATTGCCTATTATCACCGTTGCTAGTAACCACATTATTATTATTGCTGTTATTATTTTGATGATTGGAGCCGTTGATAATGGACGTAATTGCTGCCGCTAGTGCCGCCGCAAAGTTTGGATCGGACGCAATCGCTGCACTGGCAGCACTAACGCTCTCGGCCACCGAGGAAGTTGCCGGGATCTGCAACGGCTGAGTAGGCAACTGTAAACCGGAAAACTTTGATTGTTGTTGGTTATAATACATAGCTTGACCGACCACTTGAGGTAAAACCGCCGGGTTGAAACCGGGCCGTTGGGCGAACTGCATCAACGGGTTATTAGTGGTCATGTTCGGGTTGTTGCCGTTGGATGAATTGGTGAGGTCCAGTGTGATGGTTGGGAATGGCGCAGAGGCTGAGATTGTAGCCATGCTTGAGGAGCAAGGCAACATGGCTCGAGCTAGGAGGTTCGTTGGGTTCAATAAACCGTCTTGGCTTGACATTGAGCCCGAGAGGAGCATACTTGCGGCTGCGGTAGTTGTTGAGGCCATGGACATTGCGGCTGGTGGGAGTGGATGGTTGTGGTTTCCCTCGTAGGTGGTGATGAGAATAGATCTGTCTTCTGCGCAACGTTGCACCTGTCAGGATATCATTGGTTAAGGCTTCGTTTGAAATTAAAACACAACTTATACGTTAGTGTTATGCTCTTTAGTTTATTGCCGACTTAGAAATGTAAGAGCAAACGTACTTGCTTTCGAACAGGACATCCACCGGCCATCGTGCAGCGATAATAAGCTCGCGGACATGGGTTTCCTTTAGCCATTTTTTGTCCGTACTTTCTCCATTGACATCCATCAGTTATCTATATAAAAACATTAATACAATATCATATATTAAGCTTATATCTCTTCGAACAAACTAATGCCTAGTTACCGTTGGAGGGAGTTAGGGTTACCATAGTAGCTTCGGATCGCGCGCGAACGGAGACACGAGCCTTTCGCATGGTGGCTTCTGCAGCGGACTGGTCGATAACATTACTGTTTCCGTTGTTGTTGTTGTTGTTGCCAGAAGGTGGATTGAGTTTGGGTATTTTGTTAGGGCTTCCCCAGGCGTTAGACTCCGACTCTGGGCTTTCTTCTCTCCCAAGCAACCTTTTTCCGTTCTCTCGGGGATTGGAACTCTCTAGAAGCGAAGGAGGAGATCGCGAACGTGCCATTGTTCGCTCTTCAGATGACACCTCGACATCATGCTCGGCTACACCAGACGATGGCCCGAGGTCCATGAACTGCCTTGGCACCATGGCTTGCACATCTTGCCGTTTCCTTCCTTCTGTTTTTCCCTCCGTTCCCTAAGTTAAGGAAAGCTTAAAATTTAAAACTGTATACTTGATATATATGTGCATACGGCATATTAGTCTTTTACTATTAATTAGCTGATGAAATGATACTTTCAGATAAACCATGTATTTTGTGTTTTGTATCGAGAACAATTATAGAAATAAACATTTGTACGTAGGAAATCCTTCTTTTGTATTCAGGTCTCATGTGCCGACTTTATTTTCGATTAATCTCGAATTTACAGCTGTCATAACGACCAAATGTAAAGAGTTGGTGAGGATAAATTTTTAATATCAACGACTAAGAAAAACCATCGATTATACAAACATTTGGTTTGTTCACATAAGTTACTTGTTATTGACACGTTTTAACCGATATATAAACAGATTGACCAAATATATATTTTGGAGAAAAACAGATTGATGAGATCACTATTAAGTAAAACTGTAAAAGACAAGAGGGGAAATGTATAGTTACCAGTAGATGATCTTGGGAGGAGTTACGTTGATCTTGTTGCCTCATGACGGCTACAAGTTGCATTTGTAGTGAATTGAAGTTGTTGGTCGCTTGGCTTAACATTTCTCTTAGCCTTTGGTTGTCTATTTTCATCTTCTTCAGTTCCTCTTGTAGTTGTGCGTTCTTCATTTCATTTCATTACAACACAAAACATATAATTATTAAAACGATAAATAATTACAAAGATAATCCAAGAAAAATGTACTTTTCAGAGAAAACATAAAACAGATAACTGTTTACTTTCTACAAATGTTTATTGCTCTTTAACCGGCGAACACCATATAAAAATTCAGATTAAAACCACTAATTAATTCAGTGGAGTTAGATGCTGCTGAAGATATGTAATAATAGGATGGGATTATAATTGTTCGTGGATATATTAGTTGTAAAATTAAAAGGAAATTGAAAAAAAAAAAAAAAAAAAAAGATCGTGTTATTAATAAGTACCTCAAACTTTGCACGTTTATCTTCCATATCCATCGATAGTCCATCATCCACTGTTGATTCATCGCTTCCCGTATTTGCCGTCAGAAGATTCAGCCCGATCTATATTTTTTTTTCACACAATAATAATTCACATCATATGAGCACTCACATCTCACCAACCCAAGATACAATTTTTCAACAAAAATATAAGGAAATCAACAAAATCTTTTAATACTGATAACATATATTAAGAATAAGAAGAGAAGGGGAAAAAATTGATTATACTTACACTTACATCTCTGGAACGATCGTTATCTTCAACTCGTGAATTCTCCATTTTGACGTGAACCTTACTGGCTTCGTCGTCTTCTTCGTCGTTGATATTCTCACGTGAAACTCTATCTCTCTTGTCCGAGAAGAAGTCAACCTCATCAACCACCACACGATGCTCATCCAACGGTGTGATTTGATCGTGACGGGCTTCGTCACGTGAACCGCCTAGACTCACCGGAAACCTGAACATCTAAGTCTGTGTGATACTCTTATTATACGATGATTTTTTACTTTGTTATTGATCGGATTTTCCGAAACCCTAGGAAGGTAACGTGCAGGATAAGATAAAAGGTACGTTTGGATACTCAATCAAGTCTGATGGATCCGTACTGTATCGTAGTACCCTTTTAGTGCCTCTCCATATATAGGAAGATCAAGAAGGATAAAAGAGCAAATAAAGAGATCTTAGGAAGAGAGAGAGAGTTTGATCATGTGGCTATGATCGATAAGAGAGTCTCTTACCTGTCCAGATGATTCGCCTACAAAAAGGGTTTTGACGTCGACTCAGATATCTCTCCAAATTTCTTTTACAATTTATCAGTTTCAATTAAATATTGATTATATAAATGTATGTATTTCTTAATTTGTATATTGAGTTTTCTTTTTGTTATTAAAATGTTATTAGATTCTTTTTGGAAATTTCGTCGAGATTTCTGGTTTTGCTAAAAAGCGTCACAGTCTGCGTCATCTGTCTGCCACCTGACACTTTAGAAGAGACGTGGGTCCTAAACTTAACCAGACAACATAGAGAAACGTCCAACTAAACGACCTCACAGTTTACACGTTTACTTGTAGTGTTTTTTTTTCCCTTATTCTGATCTTAGAAATGGTAACCTACATGTTGTTTTAATTATTAGCTGCGTCTTGTTTTCTTTTCTATATATTTCAACTCCATACTGTTTTTTCAGAGTTGATTTATGTAGTTTTGGCTATATCAGTACTCTAAGACGTGTTCGGAGCAGTGGTTTAGATTAAGATATCTCAATCGTTTTTTTTATCACATAACAAGAAGTCAAACTTTAGTTCTTAACAAATATTTTTGGATTTATTTTAGATTTTTCTGTACTAAATATGCAAATGTGAAAATCTTGTTGAACATGTCAATACTTACAAAAATAATAATTGAATGCGGCGAAAAGTAGGTGTTTTATAGAAAACAGCTATTTTTATCAAATTAGAAATCAATTTTTATTCTGGTTAATATTTCCTCATTTTTAGATTTTTTTTGGACTAGTTCTAACATTAGATCAAAGGATACTAAAGAAAAAAAAAAAAAGCCGCTAGCGACTAGATCGGCACCTTCCACGTGATTAAAAAAAAAAATCTTACAAACAATTTAATTTAGAGAATTTTGTGGAACTCAATAGTTGGTAATTGGTATACACACGTGTGTATAGCTCTGTGGGATAGGAAGGAGAGCTTGGAGGAGAAACTTAAACTCGCGTCGAGCTCAAGTGGAACGACCAACAATATTAATACTGAAAGTTCTGAATAAACTATTGTTACTAACTTTTTTGATGAAAATCGTTCTAAAAGTTGAAATGTGTTTTTAATGGATTTTAAATGATTCATTCAGTTACAAACTTACAACAGTAGAAAACATTCTACATTTTATATTAAACAAAATTTCTGTACGCTACTTGAGATTAAAAGCTTTCTGAAAAACATTGTTGGTTTTACTTTGTTATATCTACCTACATGTAATGAATAATTGTTTTTTTTTTACCTATAAAGAACAAAAATGGCATGATCATATTCCATTTATATACTGCTCATTATCAAGGGAAAAATATAATATAAAAAATATTATCTCTATTATTTGTTGCAATAAACTTTTCTTAGCTTTGATGTCTTACTCCTGATTTAGTTGTGATAATAACTGCGAAAAACTGTAAAAGTAAAAGACATAAAAGAGCCAGCTTTAACTAAAATTGACGGGATTGGCGCTTTCCGGTTTCCTGACTGGGTCCCACAATCAACTTATGTTTACCGGTAAAATTGTTGACCATCATACCGTGGGACTCGATCACTTCCTTTGACTTTATTTTGTTTTCTGTTTGTATCGACTTTATTATCTCCTTTTCAAGTCCTTGATTTTGTTTTTTAGATTAAAAATATATAACCATAAAACATAAACACTATGTAGATCAATCACTAAAATGAGTTAATTACTTTAATTAAGGTTAATGTATATGTAAGACAGACTCTGTGTATTATTCTCTATTATCTTTGGTAGTCATCTGGCATTGATTGAAATTTGATGGTTATGAAGAAAACACTTTGTTGGAGTGTTTAAAATTTTGTTGTCAGTTGTCAATAAAATAAATGTTATTTTCTGAAGTTAAGCATAAACAAAACTCAAAACTGTTAGAATTTCACTAAAAAAACATGCGATTGCAAATAAAATAAACATGATGGTTGACTAAAGCAAAGCATTCAAAGACGAAGCCATTTGAGAAATAAGACGTTTTAATCGATGTGTGTGATTTTCTTGTTTTTCATATATGTTTAAGTGTTCAACACGATGTGTACATTTTTCTATAGCCAAAGGAAACATTACAAAGTTAACCACTAACACTGATTATAAAAAAAAAAATTCACACGTACGACCCATAGTGTTATCTCGTCGACATCAGAGATTCAGAGGTTCCAAGTCTTCTTTTGCTGCTATAAAATATTACGAAGTTCTTGTAGTTTTTAATTAATTGCATGTTTCGCTATCTCATGATAATGGTCTACGACTTTTTATTTTATTCGAGAGTTTCTATCTAGTGAAAAAATATTCGATAAAATTAAAACATTAACATTACATGCAATTGAGAAATATTCCAATTTTTTTTCGTTTTATAGAAATTAAACCATCCACAAGAAATCAGTCACTTGATTTGAATCAATTGTTTTTTTTGCTTTTGAAATAGAAAGTCATCCATCACCACTTTTCAGTGATTTAGTTGACGAAGTTCTTAACAACTAGTAAACGAAAATAATTTATTTCTTTTCCAGAAACAATTTAACCAGTTGTATCCTATGCCAAAAAAAAGGAAATAGATTTTGCTTAAGAAAAACTAAAGTCTTTTGTTTGTATAGTCAGTAATCCACGCTTGCATGAATCATAACGAAAGTCCAAGTCCACTGTCCACCGTTTGGACTAAAAGGGATTTTTATGACAAGAACTACTGTATAGCAAAACAAGCTTTTTAGAGACATTTTTAGTTGGAAGAGAAAAAAATCATTTTTACCTGCATACTTTTTTGTTTTTTTTTGGGGCCGATAGGTCGATACATCAAGCTTTTCAGATACTCAATTGTTTGGATTAGAAAAATATCTAACCTATAAATATGTATACACAAAAAAACAAAAAATGCATTTTGTGCTACAAACTGTTGGCATTGCTCATCGTTCATAAGTCATAACCACTTATAATGTAGCAAAAGCATGCACCAGACCGAAACAATGTTGATAATCGGAATAAACTAAGTAAAAGAACGTGCTCTACCAGAACTTAAATACATTTCATAAAAAGAGTATGTATACACACATCTGACTTGTTACACTTTAATTTGGTCTTTGCCTTTAGCTCTTCTATGCTAATAACAAGGGTGGTTGTGGTTGCAGGTTAGAGGGCCAGCGTCTGCGGTCAGAGAAGGAACCATGTTTCCCGGGGCGACTGGAAATCGCTGAGCAGAACTATACGGGAGCTCAATGCTGCCATAACCCGAAGGTACGAAGTAAGCTCCGTTCTTGAAAACGTCTTTTGAAGTTCTCCATCTCCAATTGTTCCACCCTCCTTTCACTTCTCTCTTCGTCACCTATTTAGTTTATTTATGCTTATCAGTCCATTATCACTAAACATACTTTAACCAAAAAAAATCATTAGACATAACCAAAACGGAAGTCTAATGATTTATTTTTTTGGATTAGGAGGGCAAACTTGAAATACCTCTTTACTGTTAGATTTATCAGAAGCAATGAAATAGTTGCCTTCACTGAAAATGGTGGGATCGGCACTACCACCAATTGCATACATTCTCCATTTATCGTATCTATTGTTTGCCACATGAGCATACCCTCGTCTTACCCTGCACCCACCACACTTTAATTTTTCGTAGTAGTTTACTAATTTTAAATTGTTAACCAAAAAAAAAACTAATTTCTAAACCTTGGCATTCTCTCCACAAGTCCTGGTCCAAAATGATTGAATGCCACCGTCACTTTCATGGTCACATCTTGCACGAAATCATCGTTGTGTCCAAGCAACATCACCTACACAGATATATAACAACATCACCTATCAAATTGTGTTATTACTATATATTGACGATCTTTCATAATAAATAGAAATTAACTGACTTTAACATGCTGGGTGAAATAGTTGTTGGAAATGGTGATTCCTGTGGAAGCATGGATCACATCGATCAGTCCGTCCGTACAACTCGCTAGGTAACAGTGATCGATCCATATATTGGACGACCGGAAAACCGCGATCGCATCACCGTCCGATCCCCTACGGTGGCTGAGGTGAGTCGGGCTGATCCTCACCATCCCGTACTTTCCCGGTTTACAGTCGTGAATGCTGATCCCGTGCACGATTACGTTCGTTACGTCTTGTATCGTAATGCAAGGACCGTACGCAATCTCCACTTTTGCCCCTCTCCCATCTATGGTCTTATAGCTATTGACCATGAGCTCATTCTCTAAGGTTATGACCATATCCTTGGCGAAAATGATCCACAGTGGCTTGTCTTGGATCACTCCGTACCGCAGAGAACCCGGTTGAGGGTTTTGTGCATTGTCGTTAGGGTTTGTGACAACATATATATTACCTTTCTTGCCGCCCAAGGCAGATGAACCGAATCCAACCGCGCAATCTGCTAGGTCTTTTCGGTTGGAGGTCCAGTTAGACTTGAGCCGCCAACACGAGTCCACCGGATTCATGACGTTCTGAGGTTTCTCCGGCAGGTAGTTTGCAACCGACGGATTATACCCGTAGTAACCGTTGGAATCGGCATGAACTAAGGAGTGACGTAAGAAAAGTGTCACAGAGAGACACAAAACGGCGAAAATATCAGTCATGGTCCGGTACGGTGTTTAGGGTTTGAGAAGGGAGATTAAGAACATAGTAAAATGGACAAGTACTTAAGGGAGTGTAAGATGAGAGATTGTGTCGGAAAGATTAGAAGGTGTGGTAAACACGATCTTGTCCTGATAAAGGCTTAAAGATCAAAGTTGTATTGGTGAGATTTTGGTGTTGTTGCACAAGATCACATGTACGTGCTTACCCACGAACATGTTTCTAGCTGACTCGCTTGGAATGACAAATGTCACAAATCCGAGGTCTTATTATATTTTATAATCTAATTAGTGTCTACTTGGTCGTGTTTGTTTGATGGAATCAATATATAAAATTGTATCATGATTCATGACCTTTCATTTTGCTAGATCGACTTGAGTACTCTTAAAAATTATTACTAGCTAGCTGATATAACTCATATATAACTTTTGCTAAACATTGCATGATCTACAAGTCATTGCCTTTGCAATCTTTTTAGTGTCATAACCTTTTAACAAAAATATGGTTAAACTTAACAAACTGTTTTCAGTCAAGTCCAGCTAGGCTCTCTTTCAATTTTTCCTTTCGAGGCATGCATGCTATTTTCGTTTATTAATTCCTAGAATGGACCTTAAAAACGGCAAGCAGTCTCATCTATAAAAACAGAGAAGTGTTCTGTTTTCCCCCCAACAACATGAGATTTCGTTTATTACAACTCTCATAACCGAACCAGATTCATCATAATATATAATATGTAACATTTTCATGAAGAAGCTGAGGAAGGGTAGTATTTGCTCTCCAGTTGCCTTGAGAGCCAAGAAAAGTGGTGTTGCCCTTGAGAAAAGCAGAGTACCAATGAGCAGAGAGTTTAGGAGATCTTTTGAGATGAGGGTCGCTGAAATTCACAGAGTACAATCCAAAACTAAACTCGTATCCCCTCAGTAACTCGTATAAATCCATAAATGACCATACAAAAAAGCCTCTCGTGTCTGATCCATTCCTACACGTAGTAATGTCTCTTTTCTTCGATTACACTCACAAGAGAAGCAAAGAGAAGATGCGATAAAAAAAACTTTACTTACCTTACGGATTTCAGTACAGCACCAATGTAAGCATCTAAGTACTCAATTCTTGGTGTGTCCTTCTGTTGCAGCGTCAAATCTTGCTTCAGTGGTCTACCTATTCGTTTGAGTTGGCAAGAGAATCGAACAGATTAAGACATAAACAAGAGAGATCAAGAAGTGAGACTGTTAGAGAGAGAGAGAGAGACCATTCTCAAGAATGTAGACAGGAGGATTGCCATAACTTTCCTTTATATACTCTAGGACATTTTCCATAGCCCATGGAGCAACAGCATACTTGTCGAAACAAAAACAAAACAACTAAGAAAGATTTGGAACATGCACTTATGTCTTTGAAGACTTAAACGTATAACGAGTATTACCTCAAAAGCCGAAAAGTTCCCAAGCACTGTCTCTCCCAAACAGTAAAATAAAGAAGATATTAGCAAAAACAAAATATCAAGCTAAAAGAGAAAAGAGTTTGTTTTTTATTCCTACAGGTCATAGATACGCCCATGTCTGAGTAGAAATCCGGGTTTCTTGAAAGACAAGTTTTTAATTGGGCATTTGTGACAGAAGCTGCAAGATAGTGAATGATTCCTATGAAGTCAGATGAGCCTTTAACTTGTTCTGATTCTTCCTCTGAGAAAACTGGTAGTCTTGATCCAACGGTTCTTTTCATGTCATCAGGATAGTCTCCAAATATAAGAGGCCTAAGCAACCTGGATTTGAAAGTGTATATATTTCTATCTTTGAATGATATGTTTTCCCAATTTGAAAAACTATATATTTTGGAACCATTTTTGCCTGACTCACCAGTCGAAGAAGAAATCTTTGGCTCTTTGACTTGCAATGTCATCATCCTTGGAGCTTGTAAAAGGAATAAACCCTATTGCAAATAAGCTAAATCCTACGGAACCACCTTGCATTTCCTGCACATTATACACAATATGATGCATCAAGAAAGTGTTTAGTAAAGTACATTCACATGTATAGAAGTATGTTATACCTTGTACTTTTGCTTATATAGTCTTGAAGCAGAGGCGTGCGCAAGAAGCAAGTTGTGACCTACGATATATGGTTCAGTCGAAGAGTTCCCGGATGAGCAGTTTCTTCCCGGTGAGGAGCAACGACCAGGAGGTGTAGTCCCATCATTGTAACCTCCAATAGTGAATATATTAGCCTCGTTGATAGTGGTCCAGAATTTGACGTGACTCCCAAACTCTCTGAAGCAAAGTTCATTGGATATACAGAGATAAAACACATGCATAGAAGAAATACTTACAAGAGGGAAGGTCTGGATTGATGGTTGTTGAAACGAAGGGAAAGCTGAGAAGAGGAAAGCTTGGAGTCGAAACCGCGGAAATTGAGGAAGGATCTGGGTACGACGGAGGAAGAAGAAGAAGATCTGGAGTTGACAGCAGTGGCGGGGGTAAGATTAGCGAGATTCGAAATGGTCGCCATTTTTGAGTTGGTGGGATATGAAATGTTTTCTTGGTTTGATCGGAGGATAAAAACAAGCAAAGGGGGAAAAATGGGGTTGGTGAATGTGGATGGGTTAGGTCGGGAACGCAGACGACGAATTAAGCATACTTTATAATATGATGATGGGGATGTATAGATATATGCTGCTGCTGCTTATAGTTGACCATTTGACATTTCCACGTCCTAATGATGTCATATACATTATCTAAGACATTATGAAATATATTTTGTTAACACAATTTTGATGTCGATTTGTTAGATTACCAAAATTGTAAATGTGATTATGTTGGAAGAAAAAAAAAAGTTTTCTTTTATGTATTTTAGCAGTACAAACTTTTTAATTCACTTTTTTTTTATCAGTTAGTTTTAAAAAGAAAGGTCTCAAAATTTAGTTTAAACATAATGTAAAGAATACAGTACAACAGCTTGTCCGAAATAACCATGTACCAATAAATAAAATAATAAACCCATAGAGCGGTGTCTTATGATTAACATGAGAGGTTGCTTGGTTTTGTGATTAGTAGTAATGGCCGTTGTTAGTTAGCAAGGGTCAGAGTTTGGCTTTTGTGTATGCAATCAGGACACCTGAGTAGGGTAGCCGAGGGGTGCTACTGCTACGGTCCGGATCCAATCATTAGCTAAAAAGGTCAAACGTTTTATGTCTTAACAAAATTCCAAATAAAATAAGAGATTAATTTGACTCGCAATATATGTTTGGGTTTGGGTTCGGATGAATTTTCGGGCCCAATAACCTATCAGTGTTGCTATGTATTTTGATCAAGTGTGAAATAATACTTCCTCTCCAAGCTCAGCATTCATTTCTGTCGCTTCCTCTCCAAGATTGACATTTATTGTACTTGCCTTTTGTCCAAATCTCTCCACTAGACTATAAAACGAGAGCATATGGCCTCACTCTGAACACACATCAACAAAACAATAGAATTCTTTAGCTTCTGGTTTTGGTTTCGCAAATTATGAGAGTTTTAGCTGTATCCTAGAATTCAGATGGCATCAAATCGTCACACAACGCGGACAATTTTAAAATTGAGGAGGATTGCATCACCCACGGTGTCATCGTATTTGTGTTTAAGACCAACTTCTATCTGTATTGTTTTATCTACAATGTTTCTGGAACTTCATGTTATGTTACTACTTGCTGTAAACACAACTTTTAATTTGTGATGACGCCTAGAAGCTCGAGATACCGAAAGATCTATCTCACACATAGGAAAAAACAGACTATGAACAGTGTCTTTCACCGGCGATGGATAAACAAAAAGCTTAAGTATACATTCAATAATTATGACAAGGTTTTTATTATTCAGCAAAAACAAGACAATCTTGCTCCAAATAGCAGAATAAGAATCAAGAAAAAAGAAGAAAAAAAAAGATGAAAGTTCATCGAGAGCCAGACACTGACTGTTTGTGCTTTTTATTCATCAACCAATGAGTAACTTATTCTCTTCCAAGAAGCTGTATGTTGGCACTTCCAGGTTGTACGGTGCAGGACCTTTCCTAATCCTTCCTGAGATGTCGTAATGCGAACCGTGACACGGACAAAACCAACCACCATAGTCACCAGCATTAGGCAAAGGGATGCATCCCAAATGAGTGCAGACTCCAACCACAACTAACCATTCTGGATTCTTGACCCTGACCGAGTCTTCTTGTGGGTCTCTCAGAGATCCAACATCAACACTGTTAGCCAGCTTGATGTCATCTTCTGTTCTTCTCCTGATGAAGACAGGCTTTCCACGCCACTTGACTGTAACAGTGGTTCCTGGCTCGATGCTTCCGAGGTCGACCTCGAGGGACGCAAGGGCAAGGACATCTTTACTTGCTGACATACTCACAATGAGCTTCAGAACAAGAAGTCGGAGAACAGAGGCGTAAACAAACCTCCCACCCGACAAGACAAAGTAGGCGAACGCACGCTTGCTAGGGTCACCAGGTGGGTAACGCTCATGGTTATGGTCATCATACACAATCTTCGAGTTAGGAGTTTTGATAGCTTCGACTGTGGCTGGGTGTTCTGAACCAAAACCTACCTCGTTACCTTGAGTAAGGACTTGAGAAGAGAAACCTGAAAACAGCATGAAAAACATCAATATATTCACATCAAAGCAAACATCTTTTCAAGTGTACCAAAGCGATTCTATCATAACATCAAATTCAGAGAAGACTAAAGGGTACTCCAATCAAGAAAGCAAATTCTATGATGAGATGCTGTGCAATAAAGAAATGCTTACAACACTACCAAGCTATAAGATTGCAAACATTACTCTTTTGCTTAACAAAATAAAACTACAGATGCAAGTTCCACAGAATGCCTTTTAACATAAACTGCTCACACACGATAAAACATGCATCTCCTTAATAATGAAGAAATGCATAGATACAAAAGATCGAAGTTTTAGAAATCAGAACGCCAGTGAAAATTTGGATTACGCACCCCAATGGATTTAAACCTTCCTCATCAGACAAAGGATGGTCTCAGAGCTGGTCAATTTACACCCAATCAATCAACTCAAATGTCAATTTACTTTTTGGCGAAAAACTAAAAAGTAAATACAGAAGGCAAAATAATTCTGGCAAGGAGAAGAATGAATCGAAATGGTAGATCAAGCTCTAGTTCATGGAATTCGAAATAGATAACACGTTTGTTCCCATGGATCATCGTGCAGATTTGACACTAGAAATCGCTCAATTATTCCAGGAGCGCAAGCAAAAAAAAATATTGATTTTTGAAAAATGATGCGATCAAAATAACAGGAAACAACACCAGAATGAAAACAATAATTGAAACAAATCCAGAGTGAGAGAGAGAGAGAGTGGGTTGAGACCTCTAATAAGGCTCTGGTAGTGAGAATTGATACACGAAAGATCTGCAGATGGGACAGATCTGGGGGCGGTCGAGAAGTCGCCGCCATCGGAGAGGGTATGGTCTCGGGAGAGGACGAAGGAGGTGGCAGTCGTAGATCTCTGCGAAACAGAAAAAAGCCTCCTCCCTGCTACTCGCAGCATCTCTGCTCAATGGGTAATGGCTGAATCTAGGGTTTGGCGATAGCGAGAACGGAGTCCCGAGGTTAGGGAGGAGTCGGCCGATGCAAAGAGAAGAAGAGTCCCTTAAAATTAGTCTTCTACAAAAGAAAAGGTCAATCCCATTTGTTTATTGTTTAACTATTTAATATTTTGTTAGGGAATATTTCTCAAATCATACTAGAGGATTTTGATTGCATGGCCTCTTCTGTTATTTATTTTTGTTTCGGTTTGATCCTAGTTAAAAAAAATTGTTTTATGATATGTATTTTTTTGTTAAAACTTTTTGGTTGTAGTTGAGATAAATTCTAGGGTTAATTTGGTAGATAATAGTATTGAGTGTCAAAATTAAGAATATAGCTATTGTAAACTCAAAATTAAGTCAGTAACAAAGAGAAATATTTTTGAACGATTTTGCCCTTATATAGAGAAACTGATAGTGTTATGTTTTTTCTATACTATGCTCTTGATTTCTATACTGTTTATATGTTCTTGATTTTTGTATACTGTTTGTTTGGTATATTTGAAAATACAATACAATAATTTTGATGAGATTGTGTCTAAAATACAATTTAGAAAAATTCACCACAAGAATAGATTCTTTGCCATATACAATTGAGTTTTAAACGAATTAATTATATTCAGTTATATTTCATACAAAATAGAAACTATATTACTATACTACTATATGTAATTATCAAACAGACAGACAAATAGTATACAACTTGACAGCTACAATTTCATTAAAGCAATTAACCAAAAATGAGAAAATAGGTTTTAATCGAAATCTAGAAATGAAAATTATCAATTGGAGCAGTGACGGCAAAACTGCGGCAGTCAAGACACGGAGGTACAAAAAAAGATTGGAATTGGATTTGCCTTCCTTTGAAACCCACAGATACTGTTCGCCAATACTGTTGTCGGTTGACGTTCTTCGTCGGTCCAAATGATACATCAATGCCAACAATGGAGATTTTGATGAGATTGTGTCTAAAATACAATTTAGAAAAATTCACCACAAGAATAGATTCTTTGCCATATACAATTGAGTTTTAAACGAATTAATTATATTCAGTTATATTTCATACAAAATAGAAACTATATTACTATACTACTATATGTAATTATCAAACAGACAGACAAATAGTATACAACTTGACAGCTACAATTTCATTAAAGCAATTAACCAAAAATGAGAAAATAGGTTTCAATCGAAATCTAGAAATGAAAATTATCAATTGGAGCAGTGACGGCAAAACTGCGGCAGTCAAGACACGGAGGTACAAAAAAAGATTGGAATTGGATTTGCCTTCCTTTGAAACCCACAGATACTGTTCGCCAATACTGTTGTCGGTTGACGTTCTTCGTCGGTCCAAATGATACATCAATGCCAACAATGGAGATGCAAATTGAAAAAGAAAACAGTATTGGAGAGAAATCATCGCAAGGGCCAATTGATCTCAATGACATAATTAACCTGAGTTTTGTTTAGATCCATAAATTTTAGAATCTGTAAACCCAAATCTTCTCTGTAAAATTCGCCCACAATTGACAATTCAGCAAAACCCAGGTCTGGTTCTCTTCATCTGTAATCTACCAAGAACCCTAGAACCAACTTTTCAAAATAACCCAGAAAATAGAGAAATTACAGAAACTACATAGAAATCCAATTTGATTAGAGCAAGAGAAAATCAATACAACAACTCAAATAATTAAACAATAAACCCTAAACACGAATCTGTAAACCCAAACCTTACACTCCCAAACCCTAAACACTACCATTTTTAACCTTGTAAACCACAAAGAAATCCAATTAGAATAGAGTGAGGGAAACTGAGAAAAATTACAGCCAAAGATGAAATTCAATCAAAGTGGAGGAACAGAAATCGGCAAAAAGCCAAAAGGGAATTGGAAGATTATCCATCGTGAGGGAGAGAGAAGAAGAAGAAAAAAACTGAAAGTGAAAAGAAGAGAAAATTTAAGAAAAGTGTTTCTTTTTGTTTCAAGGAGGTTATTATGGTAAATATTATATAAAATATACAGTATATCGTATTCAAACGTTTGTTACTGATATATTCTTAATATTATGGTTTTTTATGTATATTGGCTGCAATTTCCCTAAATTTTATTTTACCCGACATAACCAACAAAAAATCCCATTAAAGGATTTTTTTTAGCGAGTTAGATTTCACAAATATCTGAATATGCCACACAGTACACAGATGTGTCCAGGTAGATGCAAGTAAACAGAGAAACTTCTGCAAATTTTGTTCTTTGCGAGAATTAAAACGTTCATAGGAGGATCCACAAGCAACACCTAAAGGTGTTTTTTCTTTAACATGAACAAAGTGGCGGTCCAGAACACGAACAAAATTGTTTTTGCACCCGTTCGCCACTTTGTTCTCAACTCTTCCCACCTCCAAGTTAGCCTGGGCGAAGATGGGGATAAGGAATAAGGATTGAAGCCCCCTATCAGTCTCAATTTGGGACGAGTCTCTTGAAATTTAATATACGAAAGAAATCTCTGTTACCAACCATAGGGGAAAAAAATAAGTCATGACACTATTCAAAATCCAAAATTCTTTTCAAACAATAAAAACAGACTATGAACAGTGTTTTTCACCAGGTGAGACACATGCTAAGTCATACAATGACGAGTTTGTATTATTCAGCAAAACAAGACAATCTTTGCTGACAGACCAAAGTGTAAGGAAAGCGAGCTTGCACGCTCAAGTGCCGGAAAATATTAAAACAAAAACAGATTTAATTCTTTAAGACAAGACTCTTGACATCAACCAATGAGTAACTTGTTCTCTTCCAAGAAGCTGTAGGTAGGTACTTCTAGGTTGTATGGTGCAGGACCTTTCCTAATCCTTCCTGAGATGTCGTAATGCGAACCATGACACGGACAAAACCAACCACCGTAATCACCAGCATTAGGCAAGGGGATGCATCCCAAATGAGTGCAGACTCCAACCACAACTAGCCATTCTGGATTCTTGACCCTGACCGAGTCTTCTTGTGGGTCTCTCAGAGATCCAACATCAACACTGTTAGCCAGCTTGATGTCATCTTCCGTTCTTCTCCTGATGAAGACGGGCTTTCCACGCCACTTGACTGTAACAGTGGTTCCTGGCTCGATGCTTCCGAGGTCAACCTCGAGGGACGCAAGGGCAAGGACATCTTTACTTGCTGACATACTAACAATGAGCTTCAGAACAAGAAGTCGGAGAACAGAGGCGTAAACAAACCTCCCACCCGACAAGACAAAGTAGGCGAATGCACGCTTGCTAGGGTCACCAGGTGGGTAACGCTCATGGTTATGGTCATCATACACAATCTTCGAGTTAGGTGTCTTGACCGCTTCAACAGTGGCTGGTAGTTCCGAACCAAAACCAACCTCGTTTCCCTGAGCAAGCACTTGAGAGGAGAAACCTGAAAAGGGCATGAAACATTAGTAATATTCTCATCAAAGCAAACTTGTTTTCAGTCAAGTGTTCTACAACAAGAAGTATTAAGCAAGAGATGGACTACTGCCATTCTCAAGATGTGACCATTAAATCAATGAGGTATAAGACTAATGCAGAAGTATAACAGATACATTCAAACAATTCTACCATTATATAAATTAAGTAAAACGAAACTACTCTAATCGGTGCTGTGCATTGTAGAGATGCTTAAAACAAAACAAATCTCCCAAAGCTAAGATTGCAATCATGGCCATTTTGGTCAACAAAAATTAAATTCCTGATTCTTTTACTGATGCAAGTTCCCTAGCATGGCTTTTGGCTGCTATAAACCAAGAATACAGTAAGTGTAATGATGTGCCCACAGACGATAAAACATCCATCTCCCTAATGATGAAGAAATACATGAGAAAAACGAGAAGCTTTCCATCGCGTGAATCACACAAGCGATAACGCACCCCAAGGATTTTACAAACAGGAAGCTTTCCTCATCAAGCAAAGGATTATCCCAAAAAATGATCAATTCATATCCGATCAATAAATTCAACTGCCCATTTTCATGCTAGCCTAAAGAAGTAATACGAAGCACAGCTATTCCAGCAAGAAGCTGGAAAAACTAGGGAAAAAAAAACGAAATGGTCTAATAAACCGTCTAGTTCATGGAATTCAAAACAGATAACAACGTTTGTTCCTACGGATCATCTTCTAGAGACGAAACTGGGAATCCCAATCATTACTCAAATGAGGAAAACAAATTGATTTGAATAAATCATTCAATCGAGACTAGAAATGAAATTGAAATCAATCGAGAGAGAGATAGAGATGTAAATCGGCAGACCTCTCATAAGGCTCTGGTAGTGAGAATTGATACACGTAAGATCTGCAGAAGGGACAGATCTAGGGGCGGTCGAGGAGTCGCCGCCATCGGATAGGGTATGGTCTCGGGACAGAACGAAGGAGGTCGCAGTCGTAGATCTCTGCGAAACAGAGAAAAGCCTCCTCCCTGCTACACGTAGCATCTTTGCTCAATGGGAAATGGCCGAATCTAGGGTTTCGCTCTAGGAAGAACAGAAATCCTAAGGTTAGGGATGGCCGATGCAAAACGAAGATTACTTCTTTAAAAATAGTGTTCGAGAAATCGTCAATTTGGTTTTTACTATTTTGTTCATTTTTTTTTTATACTCATGGCCTCAGGGGGTTATATGTCAAAAAAAAAATGACGGTGTTCTCGCTTGACAAATTATATTCAGCTTCGTGGCACATTAATCTACTTGTGTTTGTTTCGTGGCTCTCCCACCTTTCATTACTCGTGACTTATGAGTAGTGATAACCTAATTAGTACACTTTACCACATAATATGTAGTTTTATCCACCAAATTGACCATCCATTTCAGATATATAAACCCAAAACCAGGACAAAACAATCTCACTGAAATAAATCTTGCTTATTTTGAAGCAAACAACAAAATGTAAACGCAATGACAAAATTCAAAAACGAAAAGTGGCTGTATACTGTTTTCCCGGAGGGTCATATTTATTTGTCAAATTGGTGGGCATCACAAACATGTTTCTTAGGGGAAAATTCTCAAAAGATTTTCAGAGGCTGCTGATGTCAACAGGTTCACGGAGGAGCCTCTCCATCTGCTGTGCCCTTGTCCTGATAGACATGTCCAACACCTTTTGCTGAAACTCTACAATTAGTCCACCGTAGATACTTGGATCAATCTGCAAAAGCACATCACCACCAAAGATTAGATCGCAGCTTACTAATAATCAGTGACGAGCATGTNAAACCTGATAAGCAGAAATGGCGGATCCGAAAACAAAGCCCGCGGGAAAATCGTTCCTGCTGTAATTAACATCGCTGCATCTGCCAGGCAAATTAAGAACCAGAAAAATGGCAATAAGAGACAAAATCCGTTCCATTCCTCTGTTTCGCGCCATGATTTTGTGGAAATAATCTAGAGACTCTTTGGCGAGAAGGAATTTATTTTGGGTGTAGAAATAATAAAACACTTGTCTGAATCAATAGCTAGCGTGGTGGACTCCAAAGGAAAGGGACACAGACAAGTGTATGCTTTTATGCACGATTAGTACTTAAAAACGACAAACAGTCTAAAAACTCTGCCGAACAGAAAAACCATCAGGTTTTTGGTACAACATTTGTTTTTTTATTTTCATTGCGGTTTTATCATAAACAGAATAAATTCAGAATTTCTCATATATCATTGCAACATTACTAGGAAACAAAAAAAGATAAGTTGTTCTCCAATTGCGTTATGTGACTATGTCTTGGAAGCCAAGAAAGGCGGTGTTGCCCACCGACAGTTTCATTTGTCACAATCTTTTTACTTTTGTTCGAATAAACAAAAAAAGTGAATCAATAAAATATAGGAAAAAAAACGTAAGACTCTCTCATAATCTTATTATTCATTCGATATTGTCGAACGTAGTTCTACATTAAAATGTGAAAAATGACTTCTATAATTCATAAGATAAATCTAGTTGAAAGGATTTATAAAATTTAGCAACGGAAAACACATCGGCATAAATGTTCGTCCACAATGTCGTCACACTCACAACTGATAGGCTTGTCACCACCTTGTTTAACAAAACTGTTTATGCACGTTTTGTTTCCATCGCTTCCGCATCCTCCACCGCCGAATATCTGTTTCCTTGGGCACTGGCTCATCGCCCTTAGTCCTTCGACTTCTGTTAAATTCATGTCAGTCACATGCATTGTTTACATAGTGAGAAACAATTAAGATATATCTTTTACTAGTTAATAATACAATACTTATAACTAGAGAAAGATCAAACATACGATTTTGATTGCAATTAACATTCTTTGAATCGGCAACAAGGATCCTTTTCAGTTTCGATAAATAATTTCACATAATCAAAAGAAATTTGAATTATTACCTTGAATATGACTTAAAACAAGGAATGCGAAAACACAAGAAACCAAGAACAAAGAAGTAGATTTCATCGTTTTTTCTAGTTAAAATTTCTCTACAAGTGTTCTTGATGTGAGGTGATGATAAGATATGTGCCTCTATATATAAAATACGTATTCAATTCAACAATCTATATTTGGTAAACTAGTTAGAAAAATTAGAAAGTAAATATTCACACAAAGACCAAATTTAATTATAACATTTTTAACCGTGTGTGATAGAATTATTAAAAGATACAATTAATGAGTATCTTGAGAAAATAAATCATTTGAGATATGGGTCTTGGAGTACTCTAGTCTAGGTATGTATTTGGTCAAATTGATTAAGAAATTATTGGAAAGTAGATATTCACGCAGACCAAATTTAGTTTTTGCATAAATAGATTATTGTACAAAGAAAATAGATTGAAGGAGATATAAACCTGAAAAAAAATAAGAAAGGAAACTGTACAAAGGCTTTGGCTGGAAAGCTGTGAAGAGTCTTAAGGAAACGAGGTCAAGTTGTACGACTCTTTTCTTCTTTGGGTTATTTCCAACGTTTGAAAAGCTTTAACTTTAAGATTACAAAACCACAATAGAACTAGTATTCATTATTTTTATTGTAAAAACTGTTTGTATAACTATTAAGTTATAACAAAAGCTTGCAATGATAATAACATCGGCAATAATGTTCGTCGCCTAAGTCATCACAGTCGCAACGATGAGGCCTATTGCCTACACCTCCTTTCTTAAAAAAGTTGTCCATGCACGTCTTGTTTCCATCCTTGCCGCATCCTCCACCAACTAAATCGGTGTGGGTGCATTCCTTAGCTTCCACTTCTATTATTTTACATTAAACACACAAAATTTGTTTATTTTCATTAAATTCAAAACGACGATTCTAATTATTGATAATTCAACAAGTTTGAAATTAGAACATTGTCTAGAACCAGTTTTCACTGGAAACAACGTATGTCACAATCGGCAGAAATTAGAGATTTAAAAATTTTACGGGTAAGGTAATCAAAATAATTAGAAGTAACCAATCAAACAAAAAAAAACTACGATTACCTTGAACATGGCCCAAAATGAAAGAAATGATAATACAAGAAACCAAAAAAAAACTAGCTGTGATATTCTTGTAGTATGAATTTTGTATTTTGTACTCTTTCGTGTCGATTAAATTGATCCTTTTTCTCACTTTCTTTAGTTTTTTTTTTAGCTGTGATATATGATAACAAGTTGTTTGTGTATTTATATATAAACACTAGCAAATGTTTTTTTTGTGTGAAAACGTTTTTATATACACATACAATGTCAACGTTTTCACAAAAAAAAAAAAAAATTTGCTAGTGTTTTTATCAAAATTTCACAATTTTTTGTGGTAAAATATAAATTGCTGACAGAAAGACCAAATATTCTTTTATCTTTCAAAACACAAAAAAAAAAATTAATGGGTTGCTTTAACTAATTTTGGAAAGCAATCCTTAGTTTATTTTTGGTGAGGTATATTTATGATATACTTATACCATTTGTGATGGATTCATTTACAAATTAAAATTAATTAATATTTCAAAATATTGGAGAATTTGAAAACTGACAGATTTTCTATTTAACACTGGAATACTCGAATGACTTTTGCTAGTATTTTATAAAAATCGGAAACAAACACTAGTATTATTTAGATTTTGAATTATAATTAGAACCTACAGTATCTTCCACCACGTGCTATATATAGGTAAAATCTATGAGCTTAACACAAACATAGAATACCTGGTTTAAAGCTTCTACTTGTATCGGTATTGATTAGAATTTAGAGCGTATGTACTCAATTAAGTGGCAGGATTTTCTTCCCACTTATTCGAAAATATCTCCTTAAATTTAATTAGTAATGTTTCGAAAATATCATTTAGTCTCCTTAAATTTAATTACTAACAAAAATAAATCTAAATACATGGTGATGAATTATGGGCTATGAAGCATGTGTCATGTGTGCGGTAGCAACTGAGTAGTAGTCGGTCGTTATTACAATGTTTTCTTTGTAATGACAAATAACATACGAAAACTTTGTCTTCAGGATAAACAAAAATAAAATAATAGAGGTATATAAATAGTGAATCAGATTAACTTAATAGATGACATAATGCATAAAAATTGAAAATAAAGGCATACAAACAAATTAGAACGAGTGGAAAACTGTGAAGCACAAAAAGGGTGATGGAAATTGAGGCATGTGTGAACCTGTTATTGATTTAATTTACGAAGAAAAAAAAACAAATACATAATTTGAAATAAACATTACTAGACTGACATGAGTATTTCATCTATCATGTCAACGTAATAAAAAACTGAAACTCGTATAGTTTCTCTTTTTATCGATAAAAGTAAACAGAATTTGGCTATGAAGCTATTGTAAGAACTTATTAGCAAGGATACTCACAATCACAAAAAATCATATTATCTTTTAGGTTGCCCTTATAGTTCTTACACTGGCAGTAAGTCGCCCTCTCCATAAACATTTTTCTGCAAATCGCATTTCCATCTTTTCCGCAATGTCCCTTGTAAGGTCGTGTATCGTTGCACACTTTAGCTTCCACGTCTGTTGTTTTATATCATTCACACAACGAATATAATTTTAGATCGGAGTTTTAATTCATATACAAACAGTTTGAAAGAAAATAAGTTTCGGATTGATCTATATTCTTTTTACCGTGATGCTTCTTTATGATTAGCAATAATAATCATGGTTTAAAAAAAAATTATCAAGTAAGAAATCAAACATTAAAATGATATTGATAATTTGATATATTACCTTGAACAGTACTCAAAACGAAGATTATGAAAACACAAGAGACGAAGAACAAAACAGGAGATTTCATGACTTAGAAGATGATGAAAAGTTGTATATGTTACTTTTTCTTCTCTCAACACTAGTAGTGTATATATACGACAGGCAGGGAAATAGTTATTTCTATTGAAACTAAAAAGAAAGCAAAGATTAAGTCAATCAACGAAATTGGTGGCATTGTTGTTTATTATTAGAAATCCTAGCTGAACTGGTAAAAATAAACTAAGCAACAAAATATGTGACTTTTAGAAGAGATAAAAAAGATGAATCATTTGTACCGACTATAAATGACATTTTTTCTATGCTAAATTTTTATTTCCTATCAAAATTATTTTTTTACTATTTTAAGAGATTAGTAGATAGTAACAGTTTTATTGGTGATTTTCACGTATAAGCACCAACAAAAATCATGTAAGAATTTTTGGGTGAATAGTACGAAGGTTAATAAAATACATTTACTTTACTAATTGACCAAATTATGAATTTTTTGACTCCATGAGAAAAATCAACGAATGTTAATAAAATACATTTACTTTACTAATTGACCATATTATGAATCTTTTGACTCCAGAAGAAAAATCAACAAATACCCTCTTGCCTCTTGGTTGCAGCTTCCCTTAATCACAACTAAAATAACAACAGAGACGCACCCATATTTCTTGAAGTGCCCATAACCAGGAGTAGTATTACATCCGTCGTAGAGTACTAAAGCTCGAATAAGGAAACAATGGTTGATTTAGCAAACACTCAAATCTGGAAGAGCTGATTCAGAAAGAAGATTGTAAAAAAATGCTCTGCCTGGAAAGCTTTGAAAAGTCTTCAAGGAAACGAGGCTTTAAGGTTTATTAAGTTTTGCGACTATTTTCTTCTTTCAATATTACAAAGCACACAATAGAAGTTATAAAGCTAGTTTTATTAATTTTAACTAGGGATTGAGCCCCGCCCACGCGCGGGGTTGTTTGTGATAATTTTTTGTATGGTTTTATTTATCTTTGTTGATTTGAATAATAATAGTTTTGTGTTAGTCTCCATGTTTTGATTATATTTTGAGTTAACTCAATCACTCACACTAAGCATATGATCAATTTGTTTTGTTTTATTTTATTAAGATGTTAACTCTACACTTCATCTCGAGCTTTTCGTAGAATCGCATTTGCATTCGATGTATTACTGTTTACATATATGTTTTGTTGTGTAGCATTTGAGCATAATGACCTATTGATTATTTCTATAATGTTAGTTTTGTAAATATAGATTGTATTTTTGAAACAAACATGTCACAATCCTTAAAATTTTCATGTTTTATTTGGGTTTTTAAAAAGAACTCTAAATATAATTTCTCATTAACTTCCTACTATATAAACTAAATTATATTCTTTTTTTTTTAACTTGTAAACACATTATAACATTTAAAAAATAGGAGAAATCTTCTATAAAAAATTCTAACTCTAATTTTTTCATGAGCTTTCTACTATATTAATCAAAAAATTATATTCAATATTTTTGAACTTGTAAACACATTATAAACTTTTTAAATAGGAAAAATACTATTTTATGTTGCATATTTCTTTATTTCATCTCCATTTTATATTACAAATGTTTCTTTAAATTTTAACACCAAGTTATCACATACTTTATTTTAATTAATTAATGTATTTGTGTATTTTTTTAGTTTTTTTTTTTAAAATAGGAATATATGTAAAGAAATATGAAAAGACAAGTATTTAATAAATATTGTAAATATAATTTATTATTTTTGTGCTGATGTGGACACTCTAGATGGAGAGAGCAACTCCCTAATTATGTATTCCCTCCGTTTCAAATTAGTTGTCATTTTGGCAAAATGTATCTGCAAATATTTGGACGTATCTGGACGTGTTTTGCATTGCAGATACGTCCAAATATTTGCAGATACATTTTGCCAAAACGACAACTAATTTGAAACGGAGAGAGTATAAGATAGTTGTTAACATCGTTTGTATAGCTATGAAACTATAATAAAATCTAGCAAGGAAAATTACATCTGCATAAATGTTCTTCGCCAAAGTCATCACACTCGCAACTAGAAGGCCTATTGCCTGCACCTCCTTTCTTAACAAATCCGTCTATGCACGTCTTGTTTCCATCCTTGCCGCATCCTCCGACAAATATATCTTTCCGGGCGCATTGGTTAGCCAATGGATTCAATCTAGCTTCCGCTTCTAATATTTTACACCAACCACACAAAAAATTGTGAATATTTAATTATATTTAAAACGAAGGACATAGAACAAGTTTGTAAATAGAACATTGTCTATAACCCGTTTTCATTGGAAACAACGTGTTTCTTCAATTGGCAAATAATTCTTTTATTATACGAGTAACCAATCAAACCAAAAACAAAAACTACGTATTACCTTGAACATGGCCCAAAATGAAAGAAATGAGAATACAAGAAACCAAAAGAAAAGTAGCAGATCTCATGATTCTTGTTGTATGGATTCTGTACTTGTCGCTCTTTCGTGTCAATTAAATTGATCTCTATCTCGGTGTCTTTAGTATTTTGGTTGTGATGATACAAAGTTGTTTGTGTTTGTATATATACACACAATGTCAGCAAACGTTTTTGGTAAACATAAGTTACTTATTTGGAGAACATGCAGTCAAAGACCAAATCTTCTTCAACCTTTTTGAAACATACAAAAAACATTAATGGGTCACTTTAACTAATTATTTTGGAAGGTAATCCTTAATTTATTTTAGAAAAAAGGTCAAATATATTAGAGAAAGGTAATATAACTGTGATTCATACCACTTCTAATGGATTTAGTCACTATTCGAAATTAGTTAATATTTTCAAAATATAAGAGATTTTGAAAACTCACAGATTATTTTTATATAACATTGGATACTTGAATGGTTTTTGTTAATGCTTTAGCAAAATTGGAAACAAAATCGGGCAAATTAAAGTTAAGATCTAACTTTGAATTTCGGTAAGTAAAGTTTATGACTAGAGTCAAATCTCAATATGTTGTTACTTATTACCTTTTTAGTACTGGTTTGTTCATCAATCCAAAGTCCTCATTACTCTGATAAAGTCCGGAATACCCTTAATTCATTAAAGGACTTTGAATCAAAACTGCTTCAAGCCCAAACCAATTATTTCGGCCCAATGAGTAAAATATGTCAAAAAAATTATTAAATCACCCTTTCTGCAAAATTGGTAAGCAAAAATAATTTCAATCCCTTCAATTTCTGATTTTCTGACTTATATATGGTTGATTTGATGATAATTCGATAATTAATTTATGATTTAATATTATTATTAAAATAAGCAAAAGAAAGTTCAAAGCAGCCAACAAATAGAAGAGTCTAATAATAATTAAGAGAAAATTGATCACTTTTTTAACATAAAAAAATATGTATTACTTATCCATCCATAGAATGCAGCGGAGACACTTCCCTTGCTCTAATAACTCGAAAGCTTTATTGATTTCAGTAAAATCCAGTTCATGTGTGATAAAACTATCCAAATTAAGCTCCTGCATTTGTAAACGAAATAGTAAATCCCATGAAAACGTAATGAACAACAATTATAGTCAAACAAATAGACTATTACATACACATATACCTTTTTTAAGTAATGATCGACGAGAATCGGAATATCCAGTTTAGGTTTCAGACCACCAAACAAGCTTCCGCAAACATTTCTGCCTCTCAGAAGATCACCACTAACTAAATTTATTGGCGCTAGAGGCCTATCTACACCCAACATTATCGTCTTCCCTGAACCCTATTTGTTCATTGTTAAAGACATAATAATTCAATAATTATGCTTAACCACTGAAAATGATTGAGAAACAGCAGCATTATCGGATTCGGGTATATATAAATGTACCGTGCGGGTGCTTGTGAAAGCATCTCTCAGTACAGATGTTAAACCAACGCATTCGAAACTATAGTCAACTCCTCCTCCTGTCATTTCTTTAATCACCTTTTCATAATTATCCAACAAATAAACAAATCATTTCTTTTGTGAATAAATGACTTCGAAGTTTTTGTTCCGATGTAAAATCTAAAAATTATATATCAAATGACAAATGGTGTGCGATATTAAATAACTTACCTCGCTAATCTTCTTTTCTCCACACAAGGTAGGATTGACGAAATCCGTGAAACCGAATTTCTTACCTATCCAACATGGATAATTATTTAAGCCAAAAATAAAATAGCGAGTTATAAAAGTTAAAAGGGGGAAAAAATTATTTAATTGTAATACAACACTACTTTACTATACCTATCTCAAATTTATCAGAATTGAGATCAACACCAATGATCTTTGCAGCCCCACGCAGCCTGGCTCCTTCTGCTACCTGTTACCAAATCATTTAATTATTATTGACATATAATCATAGGTATAAATAATATTATTTTCCATTATAGCAGAAAAAGTATTAAAATTAAAAAGAAAATGGATACCGCAAGTCCAACAGCACCAAGGCCAAAAACTGCAACGGTGGAGCCTTCTTCCACGTCAGCCACCTTCCAAGCTGCTCCTACTCCTGATCCAACGTTAAGTGTGTCAAATCCGGACCGTTAAGCCGTATTGTACGACGGACGTATATAAACCACCGCGTCGTGGGACGTGTGCTTAAAGACTATTATAAACCTGTGGAGACGCCGCAGCTGAGCAAAGCCGCTTTATCAACGGGCATATCAGGAGAGAGCTTCACAAGATGCGATATATCAACGACGGTATATTCAGAGAAACTCGAAACAAAGAGAAAATGGTGAATATCTTCTCCAAGAGAGTCCTTGAATCTCGAAGACATCCCGTATCGTTGCGTGTTTGACAAGTAATCCTCAGCAAATCTCGCGCACCAATTGCTCTTTGAGGATTTGCAGTCTCTACATTCTTCACATTGAGGGTGAAACACAGGCAGTACGACGTCGCCTTTTTTGAAGCCATCCACGTGTTCTCCAACGCTCTCGACCACACTGGTTTACAACCAAAGATCAAGTAACTAATTAGGGCAAATTCTTGATAGAAGACTGAAAATATATATACTGAAACGAAAAGAAGATTCACCCGACTGATTCGTGTCCTAGAATCCTAGGATACCTTGTAAGTGGTCCCTGGAAATTTTTCAAAAGGTTAGTGAAAACGTGAATAAAATTTTGAAAAATATATAGATTTAACTATGTGTTGATCTTACAGTGTCTAGTTTGGAGAAAACTATATCGGTGTGACAAAGAGATGTGCATAGGATCTTAATCCGAACTTCGTAAGGTTGAGGTGGATCCACGTGGATCTCTTCTATCACCAATGCTTCTCCTGCTTTTCTACTTATTGCAGCTTTGCATCGAATAGGCTTTCCTTCGTTAATGGAGATTGACGAAGTATTGTCCATGGATCTGAGCAAGAGAGAGTGTGTCACTTGTTCTTTCTGATGAGTGTCTCTCTTCAAAAGTGATTTCATAGTCTTTATCGATACCTTCTTTTAAAAAGTGATTTGTTTATTGAGATATGGAAAGATATGTTTGCATCTTTTAATATACTTATTTTTGTACTTTATAGCAAATTGTAACTACAATTAGGTAAGGTCTTCTGTATCAATTGTACGTAGCTGTTTGGCCTTTGTGAATAATGATCAATAACAAATAGAAAAGATAATGAAAACATTGGCAGATTGCACCAATGGAAAACATATCTCGAGCTGGTTGTTGGTGGATAAGTTAAAAGCCAGCTAACACATACTTATATTTTCATCAACCAACAATAACGTCTGATTTTGTGTGTGTTTGAACGTTGACATCTCACATCGAATGCATTTTTGAGATGGCGACATTCATATGGTTCTTGGCAAGATCATCTTAAACCATCCGATACCAACAAAAAAGTCTTTCATATTGTGCATCAATTCCGAATCAAAGAAATAATATTTGCCAACCATGTGAGGAGATGTATCAATCCGGTTAATTCTACGGTCAGTGAGAAACACAATGTCATTTACTTAGACGATTTTTATATTGTTAAAACAATGAGGATTCCATCACCGATGATCCCCCCCAATACGCGGTGAGGCTAATACGGTTTTTTAATTAAAAGAACGTGGAAATAGCAACAATGGGAGTAACAATAATAATGCAAAAATGTTAATAGTCATCTTAATCCTAATGGCTTTTTGTAATCTTGCCATGAAGAAAATCTTTATATTATTAATTGAGAAGTACATTTTAATGTTTAGATACAAGAATTAGATAAACATCTATTTGGATAGAAGAATAAATGGAAACAAAAGTTGTTTGGATATAAGAATAAGAGAAAAATCTATTTGGATAGAAGAATAAATAGAAAAAATTATTTGGATACAAGAATAATAACTTAAAATAAACCGATGGTTTAGAAAACTTCCGTTTTCCATCTCTTAGTTCATTGGTATTTCTTCAATCGTACCGATAGCTTTGTATCTTGTAAACAAACTTCTTGGCCAGCTTACGGGACAACTTAAGAAGTACCAATGAACTTTCTTAATAAACGAGATTGCAAAAACCAAATATATTCCTTGTATTTTAAGAACGCTTCTGTCATTAGATTGGTTTCACTGTTTCAGCTTATATTCTTTTTTAAAAGTCATCTATGTTAAATGACCAACCAAACCACTCCCGGATAAGCAAATCATGTAAATGTTGTGACGCAAATCCACATGTATAGTGTGCTAAAAGACAATTTCACAATACTTTTATAGGGTTGCTTTGTTTTCTTTTTACAAAAGAATGTAAGAGAGGTTAAAAGTGTTAAGACATGTGATCTAAAGTTAGTTATATTACCTTGGCTTCCAAGATTTATATATTTTGATTTCCGAGGTTTTTGGGTTTCAAGCAACACTTAATCTTTAGGATATATGCGCTGTCGTCTTCAAGATCTCATGTCATGTTTGGAACTTATTGCTGTTCACTATTGTAATGGTAACACTTCCATATGTAAGATTTGAAAGATCAGTGACAAATAAATTTATCATAAAACAACCTCGAAACTCTCGGAATCCAAATACAAAAACCCTTAAAAGCTCGCTCTCTCCACAACACAAATCTTTCTTTACCAAGCTCAAGCAATTCCCAATTTGGTACTCATTGAGCTATGTATCTTCTCTATTTACATATAGAAAGTAGCATATGTATATGTACTTGTAACAAAAAAAAACCTTTCTCTAGACTTCTTTACCGCTAAAGGGAATAGACGGCGAAGATCCTCCACTGATTCTGCTCGGAGCCGGAGTATTCCTCCTCGACTGACGTTTAGTAGGGACAATAATGGCTTCATCCTCAAACTTCCCGAGCTTATCATCATAATCATCATCGTCTTCAGCGCCTTTGAAAACCGGATGAATGTAAGCACTCTCCAAGTAGCCTCTAAGGTTTAGGTTCGGTTCTCTTGCGCTTTCCAATGTATCTTTCATCATAGCTTCCTGTAAAAGAAACAAACACACAAGAACGATTCATATTTTAGTATGATTGGCCATATATAAGAAATGTGAAAGAAATGGTTTGTTGTTTAGAAGGAAACAAACCTGTAAAGGGTATCTAACGAAAGCTGGCTCGTAACGACCTTTGCAGAAGCGGTGGAAACCGATTGTAAGCACAGGCAGAGCAATGAGAAACGGTGCAGCTAACGCAGCGTGTTTCGTTCCCAACAGACCCATCAGAAGAAGCTGAGAGATTATCAACGCTGCTATGACTCTTCCATGAACGTCTGGCCAAAACGCTGCAGCGCTCTCGTATTCTTGATTGTATACATTTATGATCTGAAAAGAAACAAGAATCATGTTCAAGAATCTGTATCAAAACCAGTTGAGGAAGGAAGGAGCACGAAAGAAACTTACTTGATGTCGATACACAATGTAAGCAAGGGCAAAGAAGATCAAGATAAAAGGAAGAAGCATTGGCGTCACTGGAGCGTAGACAAGACCAAGAAGGAAGTAAAGCTGTATCCGAGGCTCTCCAGTGTTGAAACCGATGCTTCCAGGGTCCATTGCTTCTTCTCTGTCTTTCTCAGTCTTGACCAAGAAAGTGTTTTTGATATGGAACATAACCAGAGGCTTCAGCATTAGAATCTCTCCGGCTACTCCTGCCCAACCGTCAACCATTATATACGTGATGAAGAACGTTGCTTTCATCGGTATAGCAACACCGATGGTCTTGGGGATTTGGTTTGGTGACTCATTGAGGAAAGAGTTAAGCTGTTCAAACGCAGCTCCAGTGACAACGCTTGCAAGAAAGACATTCACAAAGTTGAAAATGTAATACCGAAACGCAGCTCGTCTCTCTAAGGTTGATATCGCTGTGAAGCCTTCGAATTTGGACATGATCATGAGAATTGCTGGCAGAAAGATGAGGAATAGCTTCAGGGCAATACCGGGAAGAAAACCTTGTATCACTGATTTCATGAAGTCCCTGCATAAAAGGCCAAAACAAGTCAGTCCAAATATTAGTAATGTTTTTTCAGTTTCTTTGATGTCAAGAAGAGAGAAGAAGAAGAAACTCACTGCTCGACAATAACTTTCAAGAACGGTGCAACTTTCGTAATCCCTTCAATGGTAGCAAGAGACTGAACAAAGGCGATCGGGATGATGAAGAAGAAGGTTAGGAAGAAGAAGGCAACATGCATTAGCAGCCTCCTTACAGTCAGAGAAACGTATGGTATAGCAAGATTAGCCCAGTACACGTCACGGGGTTCTGGAGCCCATTCGGTTAGCCATTGGGTCGGGTTCCGGGTCTGTTGAGTCTGAGCACAGACAGCAGCAGCCCAGCGAGTTTTAAAGGAGACAAAAGATGCTGGCATAATGGACTTGGGATCATTCACCACTTCTTCCTTTTCTTTAGCAATCTCTTGTGATGTTTTGTCGATTTCAGCTATGTAGTGTTCGATTGCATCGACTCTTTGTCCCCATAGCCCTAGGAAGCCAAGCTGGTTGGTGAAGAGAATTATAAAATGAGTCAATCCAACAGAACAGAACAAAAAAAGATATAAAGATTTGAGTTTGAGATATCAATTCAAGTACCTTCACCATAATTCTCTGAGAGTTATTTCTAGAGTACTTGAGCTGGTAGTAATCAAGCCAATTCTGCAGCTTTTTCTTCTTTTCTACCAAATCAGCGAGCTTGTTTGCATTGCATACAACCTACACATTGATTTCAGATGAAAGTAAGCATATCATAGTCTCATAAAGATTGTATTTTTCTTACATAACTCAAAGAATACTAAACTCGTTCAGATTTGAAGCTTCTGAGAAATTTACCTGATGTGTCAAGTAGTGATCAGGGTGATTGACCATGAAGAAATGCTCCACCAGTTCACTAACAGATTCATCTGCGTCCGGAGGTACATTCCTGACAAGAACCTATCACAAAATCCCAACATATTAGATAAATGGCCACAACTTCACACTTTGTTCATTTCTTAAGTTTAAACCAAGGAACAGAGAGGAGTCTTACAGTGAATTGGTCAGGTCGACGAGCTTCTGATGCAACAAACTGGAGCCTCATGTTAGCAACTGTTTCATATTCTTTCATCAACACATAACAAGTCCAGATGGTAAAGGCATATGCCATTACTATATGAGCCCAAAACCTGTTAAACCAAAAAACCATGAAGTCAAGACATTGTAGTAGCTCAAAACTTTACAATTTTGACTCTGAGATAGAAAGGTCTAACGCACCTCATTGAGTACTCTGGGATATTCGAAATAGATAGTTTGTCAATGTCACTCGAAGTAACATTCCTTATCTGCTTAGCTATCTCCAATGTGTTGTTTGTCCAGTTGACTGGCACAAGAACTGCCCAAGCAAGCACTGCTATAGGAGTAAAGATCTTAAGCCTGCACATATATAGCAAACAAAAGAGTTAGAGAGAGAAGAAAGTGATACTGAGCCTTGGCTAAAAATAGCATATAACACAGAGACCCTTTTGATTCATTTAGTCAATTTACTCAACTCAATAAAAAAAAAAAAACATGTAAAGTTGGAAACTTTACCCCAGCCAGTAAATCCGGAGATACACAACTGAATCTAGACCGGCATGATCGATAAGCTCAGGCTCAGGCATCTTCAGAGCCTGTGGCATCCAATTCAAGAACTTCAAGTATGCCCTGAAGTCCAAGTTCACAAATCGCTGCGCAAAGGCGCCACCACGCGTAGGGCTGCTTCTTAACCCTTTGAGGTACCATTTCGAGAAGTAAACTCTGTCGTTAAACGGCTGGAGCCTCAAAATCGCAAAGATTATGAAGAAAATGAAGGCACTTAGGATGTTAATCCCAGCTGATACACCAATATCCTGAAGTGTAGCCATTTATTTATCTTGTTGCTTCCTTAACTAAGAATTTCAAACCTGTAAAGATACAAAGAAGCAGAGACAAGTTTTGTTATAAAAAATTGAAGCTTTCTGATGTGAACATTCGGAAGACTGTCAAAGCTTAACTAATTCAAAATCTTCGATAACTTCACAAAATCAAAATCTGAATCTATGAGAAACCCACTAATTTGGAAGTGCTAATTATACAGAAGGGACATGAAAAACCCAGTAAAGGCCAGACCTTTGGGAACAAACCTCACAACATCAAAATTACAAAACAGTTCGAATCTTCTACAGAAACAACTCAGAGCACCAAAAAAGTCTGCTTTTTGATAGCTACCCTCAAATTTACTCCACAAAATAATGATTAATGAGATCCAGAGACTTTAATTTCATTAAAAAAAAAAATTAGAAAAAAAAAAGTTCAGAGAAAAAGGAAATAGAGAAGAAACCCTAGAGAAGAGGAGTGGAATAAGGCAGTGTTTTGGATCACTTGGAGATTCATCCAAAGCTGAGAACTTTCTTTCTCTCTACTCTAGTCGTCAGTGAAATTAGTAACACGCAAACACAACCTCTCCGAGAAAAAGTATATAGAGCAAAATTTTATAAACCGACGAAAAAGTAATTCTTTTTAAAGGAGATTATATTATTATAATATTTATAGTTTGGGATAATGTTGGTATGAGAGATAAGAGAAGAATTTACGGAGAGTGGAAGGTGAAAGAGATCGTACACAGTCGCGAGGAAGAAGATGGAGAAGAGGATGAGAGTTTTGTTTATTTACGCAGCTCATTGCCTTTGCCAAAAGTACCAATTTTATACTTTTATTTATTTATCATTTTTTTTTCTAATATTTTCGAATCTTTTATTCTTAGTGCCGTTGGATTTCTTGTGACAGGCTATGTCGTTCACCTAAACCAAATTATGAGCCGGCCGATTAAACAATGTCAAAAGAATCAATTTAGTATTTACGAATCTTCTTTTGGTTTAGCTTTAAAATCAATTGTGATCTTGACGCAAAAGACATCACTTTCTTTGTATTTTTTAAAGTTAGTAAGGCTGCTAATTGGAGTAAGTGGTTTTCCTTTGTTTAATCATCAAATTACAGGATTCGTCACTGATATTCCTTCATTTTGTTTATACTGTTGTTTAATGTTAACAATGATTTGATAAGTTAGGCATTGTGAGTAAAAGTGAATCCTGATGAACTTTTAGAGCGTAAAATAGCAAGAAATAAAAACACAAAATGATGTAAATACTCTTTTGTTTAAGATTTTTTACAAATTTACTGTGTTGAATGAATAATTTCCCACTCTAAACATCCTCTTACAAGTTACAAAATGTGATACCATTAGGTTTATATATATAAATATTACAACTTTGAAGAAGCCGGTTCATTCTTCGAATAAGGCCATTTAACAATACATGTAGATTTTGAATCACCTTGAACATTATGGTATTCGATAAAATAAACAATATTTTGACCACCAAAGCATTAGTACTACTCTATTATTAGATTATTAACCAATACTTTTACTGACATAGGAATAATTGCTTTGGCGTCTTATATCCGTTGGAGGTTAGTATCTTTGTTAATGAGAATTTATTGAGTGGTAGGCAGCTACTATTGGTTTTAGAAATCCTAACGGTTAGTTGAATTAAGGACTTTGTGTAACGGACAGAAATGTTTGGATGACGCGCAAACTAAGCGAGTGTGGTGCATCGACCAACTTTGGTAGGGACTCTAGAGTGCAAGATTTGGTATGACATGCGCTCAACGTGGGGACTCACAGGTTCATAGTTAAAACACTTTACTTAAAATAAATACTTATTTTGGCCTAAAGTGAGAATTGAATGCTGAAAATCATGCAAGATGATGATGTGTTGTTTCATAGTCCACAAAGGAGTCAATTATATATAAAGAATTTCTTGAATAATTGAACTTTTTGGAATTAGACTTTAGCAACTTATACATTCATGACCGACCCTAGGCTTAGTGGCCACGACCACATAATATGTTTTCATGGATATGTTGGATTCGAATATGGAGCCCACTATATGATTCGGTAACAACAACATATAGAAAGCGATGTTCAAAAGATTCGAGTATTACATGCACTACGAGAATCAATGATCGATATTTCTTTGTTGGTTTTAACGTTACAACTTACAATGTTCGATATTTCTTAAGACATTGATCCAAACTTCATAAATCAAGCTAGAAAGATACATATCATTAGTCGGATTAATACGAAATTGGTCTGAGAGGGAAATTCAACAATAATCACCTCTTCGATATTTTCCGGACGTGATAAAATGTAAAAGAGCGACAGAAAAGAAGTTGAATAAAATGACCAGACAATAAAGTTATGGGCCGATGTCCAACAAGACCCTTTCCAAATAGCCCGAAGCTTCGTGGACCAGGCTAAACAATTGAAGCAATTTGGTCGCTCGACGTGTTTTCTTTCAATGAACTTGAATTGATTTCTATAGTCTCGTTACTTAAAAATCAGATGTTGTCAGTTGTAACCCGGCTAAGTGTGTATTCGGTTAGGTAGGTTTATAGTCTTGAACTCTTGATATGCAACCCAAAATGTGATTATATAATTATATGAAGTCTTGTTCCGAAAAGTTGAAGATGTCATGAAGATGTATGCACAAATGGTTATAATATTAACACTGTATTTTTACAATTGCTTGATTCTAGACTTTCTAGTATAAATAACGCTTATTATTAATATATTTGCGTTGAAAGAATCCAAGACATGATCACGGGATTTCATTCCATGGAATTAAGTCTCTTCTTCGAGACATTAAACAAGCAATCTTGATGCTTCCCTTGTTTACCCTCTTTGAGTTCATGGTTTATTTGTTTTTGTATTTTACTGAGTTCATCTATACATTGGTAAGAGTAAGAGAATATTTATACGACTCATCATTCTTAACTTTTGGGGAAAAAAACATATCAAGGGATATAATGAAAAGACAAATAAATACTATACAAACAGATCTCTATATTTATGAAATATCAACCATTGATGTTCTTTTCTTCTCTCAAGAACAAGCTAATCAATAAGCTATTAGCCAGACTGGATCCACACATAATTTCACTTTTTGCTTTAAATAGAACTTCTTTTCTCTCTATATTCACTCATTGATGAATTAAATATATCTCGAGAGGAATAATATTTTCATAAAAGTACAAAAAAATAATATAACATGAGAACAGGCCAAAATATAACATAATGTTCTTGTTTTCATGAGTGGACAATATCTTTTACTCTATTTGATCTATTATTAGTCGTTTTCACGAAACTATCCCACATTTCTTTTGTCCAAAAGTATATGTCGTTTTCCATTTTGTTGCTATTTTAATTGCAGAACTCTCTCTAAAAATTATAAACTAGAAGCTTGCAAGCTATATAACCTTCTAGCCGTGTTTAGAAACAAAGCTTACTCTTTGGTTGAAATTTCTAGCCGATGCTATATGTTCATAAATTGTCAAATCAACTGTTTTAGAAAGTCAACAAACTTAACTTTTGAGTTTTTCTTTTCTTTTCTCACCAACAATAAGCCGATTTCCAAACACAGCTCTTGAAATTTATTACCAAGATTCCGTTCTAAACTTTACATTCACATATTTCTCTTAAAAAGCACCAGCAGCTCATGTACACGATACTATCATTACACATGGACAATTAAACTATTTGCTTTTCTTTTCCACTAAATCAAATCAAGAAAAGAAGAACATTTTTTCAAAGTTAAATTATAGTTTCTACTAAATATTTATTCCACAAAACAACTATAGTTGCTACGATTTAGATATTGTATAAATAAAAAACAAACCTCATGGATAACGTTAACGTATGTCGCGAATTTTATTGCTTCTTACGTCGTAATACGTTTTGAATCGGTTATTCTTGTTCAACAGAATATTAAAAAAATAACGATATTCAAATTAGAAAAAGATCATGAGAATTTGATGTGAGACGTACCAATGTCAGTAACTCAGTAAGTAGTACATAAAAGTTATAACTGCTAACCAACCAAATGTCTGAAGTTAACTCGATGACGTGGCACGGAAATAGAAAGGTGTACCATAAGAAAAAGAAGAGACACAGGTAGAGGATCAAGAACAAAAGTTTTGGGAAAAAGCAAAACAAAAAAATTGATAGCGAGAGGAGGAAAATAGGCCAAAAAGAACGCTAGTCAAATGTTGCTAGCTAGTATTTCATTCCCCCCCAAAATAAATTTTTCTTTTACACTCATTTTTTAATTTTATATAGTAAATTGTTATTGAAAACTTTATAATATGCTGAAGAATATGAAAGCAGATTCCAAACTCCCACCGACACTAACACAAGTCAGTGTGTCAGATCAATAATCAAACAGGTCAAGATATTCATCAATTTCAGCTCAATCATACGTCAGTGTATTATACTCATAAACATAAGTAAATTATACTTAACACTTATACAATCACTATATATATCAATGCCATTAAGAATCTTGAGTTTTATTGAAGTCTTAAATAAGTATTTAATGAAACAATGTAGAATGAATCTACGGAGAAACAGAGGATTTGTGTAATAAAGAAACCTGAATAAATAAAAAAAGAGAATTTAATCTCTCTCTCTCTCTTCATAACTCGACCAAGCTTGGAATCAATCTCTCTCTCTCACTACACATCCCTTTCTTTAATGGCCATGCCTCTAACTACTAAACCCAATACCCACTGTTACTCTTCTCCTTCTTCTTCTTCTCTGTCATTGTCTGTTCTCTCTTTCCTTTCACTTTCTTCTTTTCGAGCTTTCATGGAGATGTGTCTCTGCAATGGAAGTCACCGCTAGTGATCACCGATACGCAATGGCTACCGGAGATAGAGCTATGGTCACTCTTTTGCTTCTACTCATCGCTACGATCTCTGGATTCTCTGTTGTTCATTGTGTTACTGATCCATCTGATGGTAAAGTATTGTTTTTTAATGAGTTTGTCACTTTCTGCTTTTACCTCATTGGTGAATGGTGATCGTCTCTTTTGAGATCTTTTCGTTCTTCTTTGGTTTAGAGATGCGATTTAGGCACCTGAGATTTTCTGGGTTTCTTTGTATTTTTTTCACCTAAAGTTGATGACTTTTAGATTCAAATGATAAACCCATTTTGAGAATCTTTTTGATTCCTAAAAAAAACTTAGAAATGAGTAATCTTTGCATTAATGTTGTTCTGATGATTTTGACACCGCCGGAAAATAATGGGAAGTGGAAATGTTAATGCCGGTAGAAAAAATAAAAACCCAATTTTACAATCTTTCTTCTTTACTCAAATGTTATCACTTACTTTTAGCTCAAAAAGGAAAGTTGTAAGCTTTATGAAAGATTTGTCTTCTTTCTTGATAGATTTTGATGTTTTTTTTCTGATTTCTGAGATGTTTTCTTCTCACTGGTTTATTGCAGTTCAAGCCCTTCAAGTTTTGTATACTTCACTAAATAGTCCTTCACAGCTAACCAATTGGAAAAATGGCGGTGGAGATCCATGTGGAGAGTCATGGAAAGGGATTACTTGCGAGGACTCAGCAGTTGTCTCTATGTAAAGAATCAGATTCTGACTCTCTTTTTTCTTTTCCTAGTTGCATTGTTTGATGATTCTTGAGTGTCTTATCATGTTTCCTGTTTTTGTTGTGATTCTAACAGAGATATATCGGACTTAGGAGTCTCTGGCACTCTTGGATACTTGCTCTCAGACTTAATGTCACTCAGAAAACTGTATTGTCTTTGACATTTTTCTTTCTGTTTTGTTTGTTTGATCTTAGTACCTTTTTAGGTTTTGATTCAATAACATTGGTCTCTTTCATTTTTGTTACAGGGATGTAAGCGGAAATAGCATCCATGACACACTTCCATATCAGTTGCCACCGAATCTCACAAGCCTGTAATGCTTAGCTATGTTCTTGTAGTATTTAGTCTTAACTCTTTCAACTTGAAACTAACAGTTGAAAGCAAATGCATATGCAGAAACTTGGCGAGAAACAACTTAAGTGGCAATCTTCCATACTCCATATCTGCGATGGGTTCTCTTTCCTACATGTGAGTTTCCATTTTAGAATGTGAGATTTAGCATACTTCTTCTTCTTCTCATGTATTAACTTTTGAGATGGTATTGTCTAGGAATGTAAGTGGTAATTCACTTTCAATGTCGATAGGAGATATCTTTGCCGATCATAAGTCACTTTCAACCTTGTAAGATCTCTTACCTATATATATATCTCTTTATGATAACACTATCTCTGTATTCAGTTTGCATTGATCCAATGTTGGTTTCTTTCAGAGACCTTTCTCACAACAACTTCAGTGGCGATCTTCCGAGTTCCTTAAGTACAATCTCCAAACTTTCCGTTCTGTGAGTGCTTTCAAACTTTCTTTTGTTGCAAACACAGTTAAGAAGTGCGTCCTAAATGATGATGAATATCTTCATTTGTGACAGCTATGTTCAGAACAATCAGTTGACAGGTACCATCGATGTACTCTCGGTTTTGCCTTTGACTACTCTGTAAGTTTCATTTCAGATAGAAAAAAGCAAAAAATGTGTTATTTCCCCATCTCAATTTTCTGTATTCTTGGCAGAAATGTTGCAAACAATCATTTCAACGGATCCATACCAAAGGAGCTTAGCTCTATTAAGACCTTAATGTAAATTTCCTACAACAATCTGTTTCTTTACATTTTCAACTTTATGTCGTTTAACATTCCAAAATGAAACAGATTTGATGGTAATTCCTTTGAAAACGCTCCTGCATCTCCACAGCCAGAAAGACCTGGACCAGGGAGAAAAGGGAAACCTCCTGGTCCCAAGAAAGCCAATAATAGCTCCGAAGACAAATCTCCTGACTCTAACAAGGGTGGTTTGTCTGGTGGAGTAGTCACCGGTATAGTGTTCGGTTCTCTGTTTGTTGCTGGTATTGTAGCACTTGTTCTTTACTTGTGCCTTCACAAGAAAAAGAAAGTTGGAGGAGGAAGCACAACAAGAGCTTCTCAAAGAAGTCTTCCAATTAGTGGAACAACTGAGATGCAAGAGCAGAGAGTGAAGAATGTAGCATCATCAGTTGCAGACTTGAAATCTTCTCCTTCAGAAAAAGTAACCGTTGATCGAGTTATGAAGAACGGGTCTATAAGTAGAGTGAGGTCTCCAATCACTGCTTCACAGTACACTGTTTCCTCTCTGCAAGTAGCAACAAATAGCTTTAGTCAAGAAAACATCATCGGTGAAGGGTCTTTAGGCCGTGTCTATAGAGGAGAGTTCCCTAATGGAAAGGTAAGTTAAGCTTTTTACACTAAAGAAAGCCAGTTTTCTTTCTTGGGACTAATTTTTTTCTGTGTAAACTATGTTGTAGACAATGGCGGTTAAGAAGATTGACAATGCGGCACTCTCGTTGCAAGAAGAAGATGATTTCTTAGAAGCGGTTTCAAACATGTCGAGATTGAGGCATCCAAACATTGTTCCCTTGGCTGGATACTGCACTGAGCATGGTCAACGTCTTCTGGTCTATGAGTATGTAGGAAATGGGAATCTAGATGATATGCTTCATTTGAATGATGATAGAAGCATGGCGTTGACTTGGAATGCGCGTGTTAAAGTAGCTCTTGGAACTGCCAAGGCTTTAGAGTATGTGAAACATTTGTTTATAATTACTTCTATAGTCTCTTTAGTGAGCAACATTCATGTTTAACCTGAGCTCCTTTTTGTTTTGGTCTTAACAGGTACTTGCATGAAGTTTGCTTGCCTTCAATTGTACATAGGAACTTCAAGTCGGCGAATATATTGCTAGATGAAGAACTTAATCCTCACTTATCAGACTGTGGCTTAGCTGCTTTAAATCCCAACACGGAGAGACAGGTAATAACAATGGGAGAGGATCAGATTTTTGAGCTAATGTTGAAACGTTTTTCTGTGTCTTTCATGGTTTGTATGTGTCAACAGGTTTCAACTCAAGTGGTGGGCTCATTTGGATACAGTGCTCCCGAGTTTGCATTGTCAGGAGTTTATACTGTGAAAAGTGATGTATACACTTTTGGAGTAGTCATGCTTGAGCTCTTAACTGGCCGGAAACCTCTTGACAGGTTTCTTTTTTATCTATAATGTCAACCACACAAAAAAATGACAGTGAGTTGAGTTTTCCTTATTAATCAGGACCTTTTGTGTGTGTTTGATAGCTCGAGACCAAGACCAGAGCAATCACTAGTGAGATGGGCTACACCGCAGCTTCATGACATAGATGCTTTGTCGAAAATGGTTGATCCTTCTCTTAATGGGATGTATCCAGCTAAGTCACTGTCTCGTTTTGCAGATATCATTGCTCTCTGTATTCAGGTATATTACCACCCCTGAGCAACATGAACAAAACCGAAATTGTTTTGTTAAGTAACCATCTTTTTTGTGTGAATTTAGCCGGAGCCAGAGTTCAGGCCTCCAATGTCAGAGGTGGTTCAACAGCTAGTGCGATTGGTTCAACGAGCAAGTGTAGTCAAACGAAGATCTAGTGATGATACTGGATTCTCTTACAGGACACCTGAACATGAACATATCGATCTCTCTTTCTGAGTAGCTATAATCCCATACTGCTCCAAGCTTTGAGTCTTTTCTGATCACTGGAAGGTAAACGGCTGCTCTAACAATCAAGAGGGAGAGTCTTGCTCAATACACAAGAGACTCTGATCGGAGAGGTAAAGAAAGAATCTTGGTCCAGACCAAAATGTATGAAACTTTGTTTTGTGTATTTCTGCGAGGATAAAAATTAGAGAGTACATAAGAAGAGTCTATGTACCATGTTACAAATCATCTTTCTTCTTTTTTGTCTAAGACTTTTCTTTGCATCTAAATAAGATTTTGAATTTAACCTTGAAGTGTGTTCTCTTTGTTTGTAGAATAATTTACTAAACTGTTTCAAGATTTGCGAACATGAACATGATTAAGCAAAGAGGAAGACGGAAGATAGATCTGATGTTAGTCAAAAGCGTTATTCATGTTTCTTTGTTCTCATCAGACACAAACCAACAGACCATAACAAACAAGACCCTACAGCTTAACTTAACTTAAACCCCACGGAAAAGTCTATACAACTGACTCTGCCAACCATAATTTTTGTCTTCATCATCTCTCCTTTTTCACATTTCTCTTAGTTTTGGAACGCACCATACAGACATCATCACAACCACGACCAGAAAGACAAGGACAAAGACAAAATCCTAAACTTACTAAAATCTGCACCAAAGAGCTTCCAAGTTATAACTTACCATCCCTTGTGGCTTTTACCCATGAGAATATCCCGCGATTATCTTTTTCTGCGCTTCGTTTCCACCTGAAGACAGCAATGCCATTGTTAATATCAACCACAACCTTTTGAATGCATGAATGCAAAACAGGAAGAGAGAAAAAAAAGTTCTCATTTGAGTGCCAGACATTTCAGAAGCTAATAATTGCAGAGCAAAAGCTTTTTAAACTCATATTCCCTTCTGTCATGGAGATTTCTAACTCCGCTATGTATAGTATGCTTAAGTGTGACGAGGTAGAAGCATTACAGAAAGGATTTATGAAAACCTTAACAAGCAGATTGTATTGCAGCAAGAACTGGAGAAACGTTAAGCATAGATCCTAACAGGATCAACAATGTACAGAATCAAAGATTGTATTTTTCTGGCCATTCCTCACTCAGGCAGTGCATATTTCTAGTTTTGTAACAATCTCAAATTGAATCAATGAGAAGACATGGATGCACACAGAGTAAGGTTATCAAAGTAATATACCATAGGAGAGATGAGTAAAAAGAGAGAAACGGACCTTGGCATCATCAGCTGTAAACCCGTTCTGCGATTTCTTGACATCGTCATCAGAACTGCATTCAGCGCATACAAAGTGATCCAGCTTCTTTGCTTCTTCAATCGTCATGCCAACACACGCAGGATGATACCTACAACATCAAAATGGCAACTCTTTCCATCAATAGTTAGCGGAAAGGTTAACCAGTAAATCTAACACAGAAATTGAACTCTCTTTTCAGTCGAACAAAAGTAAGAACGTTAATAAAAAGACAAATATCAACATTTACCAGTCTTTGCAGCCTTCGCATTGCACCATGAGATCGTCTGGATTATACGGCATTTCACATTTGCAGTACCTTCAGAACCAAAAACAACCCACAACATGAAAAAATGTCACTGTAATAAGAAGATGACAATTTATCTAAACTGATTACTATCTATCTTCTTACACAGCAACACGGTCAGGGGTAAACGCGCCAGTAGCAGCCTTGTACTCGAACCTACAATAATAGTCCTCTGCACCAACGTTCTCAAGCCTCGTGTAGTTCTTGAAGGTGTGAACGATGCACTTCCCCTCAATGGTGTGTGCGCTTTGGACATCAAAATGGTCAGACAAGAAGAGTTCTTTAGCTCCATGGAACTGTCTCCTACCACCAAGGGACTCCTCAGGGCGGTAATACCATCGGCAGTGCACCTTCACATTGCTCCTCGCATCCGCTTCGATCTTCTCAACACGTGCCACGTACGGTGGTTTACCAGCATCCGATGGGCGCATCAACACACAATCTCCAGCTGCAAGAAAATTAACCTCAGAGATTAGTTCATAGCTCATCATCATGCCCAACATTACTAATGAATCTCAGTACATATCGAACTAACATTCCATAATCTACACAAAGCAAACACTATAAGAGCTTCCAATGAACAAGATTTTCAAGTATATCATCACTCTTACTCATCTAGTAACCAGCAAAGAACAGAATTCTAAGCAAATGGAAGATCTTTCACATGTGAAAGCACAAATTTTTCATCAACACACATAACGAGCTACAATGCTGATGATATAGATGCAATTAAACGAATTCACGTAACAAACCAAACAAAAGAAAAGGTCCATCTTTCACATTAAAGCAGCTCAAGACAACAACAAAAATATTCACAGAGGCCAGAAAAAGAAAGAAACTTTACACAAACGAAGCCCAAATCAAACAATTCACTGATATGCCTCTCGGTTCTGAAACAAAAGAGCTACTAAAGATCACATTTTGCGTCACTGCACAAACCAAAAACTTTCCAGAGTGTAGCAACGAAGCAGTGACATCCACAGATGGCTAAACACCTGAAAAAAGTAGGCTAAGAAACAAGGATAAATCTAACAACGCCTAAGGAGATATTGAACGATACAGACTCCATTTCTAAGCTACAGAAGCAGTCCCTTCACTGGAAAACATAAATTCAAAGCTCAAGTGACCCAAAACATGCAGGAAAATGTATAATTTTTACAAGTGACGATAGAGGATGATACGAGACTACCTTTCACAATTTTGTTGGTGCCTTTGATGGTATATTGGTCGAGCTCCTTCCTCCCAGGTTTGATTTTCGAGGCAACACCAGGTCGAGTTTTCGCCATGGAAGGGTTTTTCGAAAAAGGAAAAACTGGTAAGCCGGAATAAAGCTAGGTTTTTGTTTGTCTCCGTACCTTGAAATGTACAGAGATTTGGGGGTTTGAGGAAGATCTAAGATGTGTAGATCGATGGGAAGAGGAAGAAGGAGAAGAAGAGGAAAATTTAGTGGGCAGAAGAGAGGAAGACGAAGAGTAAATCTGGAACCCTAGATTCTCTCCAGGTGAAGAAGATTAGTCATTTGCAATTTGGGAGTTTTACTGTTGACAAGGGCAATTTATTATTTTGCCCTTTTTATTTTCTTTTTTCTATAACGAGTTTTGGAAATATGATTACTTTTTCCTGCAAGATATGTTGCCAGAAAATTTGGGTAAAAGAGGCTCCATTTTCAAAAACATTTACTTTTCGTTTGAAAATTTTATGGAGAACTGACAAAAGTTAGAATTCAAAAAGACGAATTTATTTGTAATACAATGAATTTTATTTTCGTGCCTTTCTTCCATAAACAAGTCATCACCACACAAAATGTTATTTGGATTTTCATGCTCGTCCAGGTTTTTAATGTTATTATACCAACAAGATTAATGCTGCTACGCGTGTTACGGCAAATCAAATTACTAACTAATCCAATAATCATCAGGTTTTTGCTTTTTTTTTTATGTAACAAAACATTATCTTAGATGATAAACAAAATTAATCATGAATACAGTGTGTCCAAAACCAGCCAGTGTGGCACACCAATAACATGAATATTTAATAGAAGATATGGTATTTTGATATTACCAAACGGTCATGTAATAATTGTTTAGATTCGAACTTTAACCAAACATAAAAACCATATCAATTTTCAGGTGAGATTTACAAAAGTGTTAAAGAGATTAGTCATAATTAAAAGATTAGACCTTCAATAAAAAAACTTTGGAATATGTAACAATGTAACTGAGAAAACACATTTTTCTCTTCCCCAATAAGCCGATAACACTATTTTGTTTCTTACAGATCAGAAGAACATTTTCAAGATATCTCAAGAATAATCTCAAGTTATCGAAATCACTTTCCAACGCAGAAAGAAAAAGACTTTCTAGAGTTTCTGAATGACTACAGAGTTTGCGAGACCAGCTTGATCAATGGTCTGAGAAGGGTCAGTAAGAGGCTTCGGTGGGAACCCCATGACCTGAAGAGTGTAGCTAATTCCATTCCCTGGTCGAGAAGAGTCGATGTACGCACGAATGTCATTAACCGTGTGATGGTTGTTAAACTTAGCCACCACGCGTGTCCCATCCGCAAGTCTAAGCTGGATCGATGTCGATGGAAGAGTTTCATCTACAACCAGACTCTGTGAAGCCGACGCAACCGCTGCTACATCGGTTAGGTTGCTTTGGCTTGGAGCCGTCGATGAGCTAGCACCACCTAGAGTCCTCCCCACTCCTTGAAACGAAACCTTAAGCTTCTCACGTTCCTACAAAAAGAAAACAAACATGTTTTAGTGTCCTTACCATAGTAGACACTGAGAGAGAAAGAGAGAGGACTCACAGGCATTTTCTCGTCTCTTCTCATAAGATTGACGTGTACAGGAGCAGTTTTATCTTCAGGCTCAAGCTCTTTGGGGCATTCAGACTTTCTAATGCTCTGCAATAACAACAACAACAACAACAACAACAACAACAACAACAGCGGTTTTAACATGGAGATTTATGAGCCAAAAATTTGAGAATTCATGTTTTCTTACATCGAGGAAGGATGCGTTTTCTGGATCGTCAAGCTTCCTCAAAGGTCCATCATCTACGGAGAATCCGTTAGACCAGAAGACGATATTGTGAATCACAGGCTCTGGCTGTTGAAGAGCGGTTGTTGGCGGCACATTTTCTCCTGAAAGCAATCTCCCTGTTCCTGTGAAGCTTCTAGAGCTCGAAGGACGCTCGAGAGGTCCTTCCACTGCTCCTAGCTGCCTTGCTTGGTTGAATATCTCATCAACATCATCGTGTTTTGGTTCTTTCGTAGGATCTTGAACAAGCATACCACTGCACACATAAAAACAGAAACACAAAGATCCAATCAAGTTTCACTATTTTATATAAGTCGATCCAAAACTTTGTTTAGATACAAAGCCTAAAGCTTTGATCTTCATTTTGTACGAATATATTTGTGAAGTTATGTAATTATAACTTGACCATACAGTTATCTTCTTAACAGAAGTTGAAAAAAAGTTCAATCACTAATTACAAAACTCTCAAAAAGCCTGCAATCATCTAAAACTACACGAAGCTTAGGAAGTATATAATTCTGATTAAAACACTCAATCTGGCTAAAACCACTGTTGTTGAATCATCAAAAACTGTTCTTTATTCTTCAACGAAAAAGCTCAAATAAACATTTTAGCATCTAATTCAGTGAACTCTCGGATCCAAATTCCAAAGACAACTACAACATAGTCAGTCATATATCATAATAAACCTCCAAGTGAAATCGAATGAAGCATTAACAAGTCTCAAATCTGACGAAATAAGGGTTTTAAATCACCGACCTTTTCTCTCCGCCGGTGTAATACTCCTGAGGTCCATCGGAATCACTGTCGGAGTCCGGCCCTGACCTTCGGTTCAAATCGGATAGCGTACGGATACCACCAGTCCGACCGGTGGATGGCTTCGACGGTTTCTTGTCCTTGGACGACATTTCTCTCCGATGCTTTTGATCGGAAAATGAAAACGAATTTGAGAGAAAGGAAATCGAACCAAAATATGAAAAACCGGTAGATACACGCTACCAAGTTCTCACGCGCAAAACAATCGCGTGGAGTATACTCGCTGGATAGTGTCATGTTAATTAGTCACGCGTGTTTTTATTTGCGCGTGTGTGTTTAAGGGAAAGTTTAGGAATAAAAGATTAAATAAACAATTAATTCATCCGAATAATTATCCACTTATGGTTATATGTAATATGTTATTATCGCTGGGATCTATATTTTTTCTGTAACGTCATACCTTTGTATTATTCCGAATATTATCTTTTACCGAATTTAATACGTAAGGAATCTTATATTTAAGTATTAATTAATTATCTGTGAACCACTTTCGTAGACTTCAAAGTGAAAGAAAGTGGAAAATAAAAAGTTACTTCTACAATCGATCGAAAGTGGAACCACTTTAGTCTTAAATCTTAATCACTTTCAAAGTTGAAGAATCAATACCACACAACAAAACCCATGTTCCACTGTCTCTCTGCCCAATTTACAAAACGATCATGGGTGAGTCGGTGAGACTCCGCCGGAGCCAAACCTGCGTCGATTCATCATCGGAGAAAGATACAACAGACGCTGGCTTGTCTGGTAAAGATGAGTCCGATAGCTACGACTCAGAGACAGAGTCAAACCGGAGCTCCGACTCCGAGACCGAGTCGAACCGGAGCTCTGACTCCACAACCACGAAGGGGCTGACGGCGATCATTCGAGTCTTGTCTGATTCGATGCTGAGAACGGAAATGGCGGAGATGGAGATGATCAAGGCTCGTGAGGCAGCACGATGGGAAGCTGAGAAGAAAAGGCTGGAAACGGAGCTCGAGATGACTCGGATGGTGCTTCAGACTCATTTGGAGGTGACAACGTCGTTACTCTCCGGAGAACAGAAGTTTCCTCAGTCATGGAGGAAGAGGAAGAGATCAGAAGTTGTGGAACACGAGTCCTCAACAACAAGGTGGATTACTTAAATTCAAAATCCCTTTTTTCTATATCCCACCGTTACAGTCGCATTAGAGAAACATCTAACAACAAAAGGTTATGTAATGGATGCAGGGGAAAGAGATTAGCTTTATTGGGCTTACTCCAACTTAACCTCATCTTCTGGAACTCATTGACCTGAAATACAAAAGTCATAATCAAAGGTCAACTAAAGAATAACTTACAGAAACTGTCTTTTATTTTTGTGTGTTTAGTATACTAATAGTTGGTTTACTCTTTTCTTCCAACGTCTCTAGTGAAGAAATTTGGAATTTACAGGCTGTGATTGTGAATCAAAATTAGATATAAGATGTGTTGTTTTGGCCTTTCTTCAAATTCCACTTAATTATTTTGTTTTGAATTTTCCAATAGACACTCAAAAGTTCTCCTATATTACATCCATTAAATATAAAGTGTCTGATGCAAAAGTTTGAGAAAGAAGAAGAAGAAGGGGTCAAAATGTAAATGAGTGACAAAAGGATTGTTACTAGCAAATCTTGTGTTCTTCTGAATCAAACTGATGCGGCATGACACAAATGACATTTTGATCATATTGCTTTTTCTTGATCTTTATCATATTCTTATGAGGATGCACCTAGATGACTCAATCTTTTATTAATAGCTAAACAAACTTTGTAAGAAATAAATAGATGGAATTTTTAATCAGCTTCTGCCCAACTTGTCTGAGTCTTACAAAGCTAGGGATGTGTTTGTTCAACCAATGCTGCCATTGGATCAAATAGAAACGAGTAAGGTTAAAAATAAACCCATTCACTAATCTTTAGTATTAAAGGATACTATTAAACAATACCGAGCTTAGCTTGAAGGATATCTACAAATCTTTTCCACGGACAACATGGACGTTGATTGCATGAACCACATCTCCTTCACGCAAGAGTTCACATAAAACACGGTCTTCTTTCTTCAGATTGTTCCGCTCACATATGCGGTTCCAGTATCGGATTAAAACACGTTTATCTTTTGTTTTGATTACCTCCGTTTGTACTTTTCCGCCACTGTCAATGTAGTGAATGCAATCCTTAAACTCTAAGCAATGGGTTTTCACCAGTTTTGCATCAATCAACTGTAGTAGAGTTACATAATGCCAAAAGTAAAAAATATTAATCAGAAGTTAAAAGAGGTGTATAAATATGTTAGATCAACAATTCTTACCAACTCGTATGTTCTGTTCTTTAATTCTGTCTCAAAGTATATATTCTTTGGACTTTTCAGATATTTTTCCGGGTTTTTTATTTTGGGCACTACTGTAAAAGAGAGAAGAAAAACTGGTTAATATACGGATCTAGCAAAGAAAAAGTAATGATCTAAGTGATGAAATCAAGCCACAAAGTTGTTTACATTTCCTCCTTGTTCTGTTATCGATTGCCTCTGCATCTTCTTCAACTCTTTTGTCTGAAAAGTCTCAAGAATAGAGTTTTATGTATAATACAATATATAGGCATAGTAAATGACATAAGTAATGAAATTAATTAAGTTTACGTTTTGTACCTTTCTTCTTCCTACCATTCCACATAGAAGAATCGTCACTTTCTTCATCAGATTCTTCAGTGCTGCTGAGATAAACAACGGAGTCCTCTCTCTCATATTCAGAACCCTAGGTGGATATATAGGCCAAAAGTATGAATGACACAACTACAACTACTTAGATTTTGATTGCCTCATGCACACTAAGAAAACAGACAATGTTCATCAACATAGTATTAACCTTGGGTTTAGGTCTTGGAGTTGGACCATGGCCTCCCGGCTTCTGAGGCTGAGAAGCAGAAACACCCACCAGATCAAGAGGATGTTGGTCGTTAAGAATCTTAGATGTAGGAACTTCCAGACCTACATCAGGAAGAGACGAAGCGAACTTGTATGATTTCTTCACCTCAACAATTCTACTGTTCTTCAAGGTCTTCAGATGGCGAGTCAGCAAAGCATCGTGATCAGGAGGCAAACCAGTGTAGTTTCTCTCTATAAACCTAGAAATTGCCTCTGTGCTTAAACCGTCAGGTTCGTTTGAGGCTGCAATCGCCACGCTAATCATCTAGCCATACATAACAGAAACAAAATTTAAGAAACCAAAAAACGTAACCTAATAAGTTAAGAGCAAGAGTTTACTTCGAAGTAAGGAGGGTGGTTGAAGGAAGGATATGGATTTGGAGGCGCTTGGAAGACATTGTAGGGGTTCCGGTGAACGTGATGATCCATGGTTTTTCTTGACTTTCCTTATAATTTTTTTGATATGATTTGAGTAAAAATATCTGACTCTGACTCTTTTATAGAAGCCCCAAAATAAATTAAAAACCGATCCAATACAACTAGGAATCGGATCCAATACAACTAAATTAAAAATACTTTGTTTTTTTTGGGTTAAGAAATACCCAAAAGCAAACCATAGTTGGTGACGTGAGGAACACACTTGAGGAAGAGGAACACACTTGAGGAACACGACCACAAAGGTGAAACTCAAAAAACCTTTTCTTGATATACCGACGAAAATCGCTAGAGAAACAAAAAGCAGGGAAAACAATTTGGCCTTCTTGAGGATTCTGCAAACTTACCCTTTATAATTCAAAGGCCAAATTCTCATCGTGTAACATGAATAACTTACAGAACAGGAAGGAGAGTTGTTTACTCCTTTCTTCTAATTTCCAATTCCAAGCTGTGTTGTTGCAATCATATTAGTATTTGCAAATCGTGAATGGAGCCACCACGTTAACTCTCAGCCACGAATTACCAAGATGCCCTTAATGAAAATTATTATTAAATTTCTGAATTTCTTTTTTAATTATTTCACAATTTCGTTTTTTATATAAAAGTTCATTATTTCCTTATTAATTTCTATTATTAAATTTGAATTTCTTTTTTAATTATTTCACAATTTCGTTTTTTATATAAAAGTTCATTATTTCCTTATTAATTTCTTATTAAATATTGATAATTATCCTTTTTTTTTTCCTCGATTTATATTTATCACTTAAATAAATATCCTAACTATCATATTACCGCACCACTTTTCTGGAAGAAATCAAATAATTAGGTATTTTAAAAAAACTCTAGATTTTACAACCGACTTAGTCCTATTTAACAAGCAAAATAAACAGAATTTCGTTTCTTCTTTTTCGTGTTCTAAATTCTTCGATTCCATATTTCATCTTTTGTCATGTAGGTTTATAGTTATTGCTAGATCTTAGTTGTATTAGATCTAATGTTTAACTGATTATTCGTTATTTTCTGGAAATTTTATTCAAAGAATCGCATCTAACTTCTACTTCTTTTACCTTTATAACAGTAAATTCCAGGTTTGTTAGCTAATTGAGTCAAAGAAATCAACTATGGTACCAACTCAAAAAAATGCATTGACAAAAATTAGTGGTATGTACATCTTTCGTTTTTATTTTCAACTTAAATCTTATGAAACCCTAATTTGAATAAACTTATCTAAAAAGATTTTGTAAAATGTGGGTTTAGGTGTGCGGATTGGGGGGGGGAGGGGGTTGTTATTTGGTAGTGGTGTTACAATGTGGGGTTTGGGTTATTTAGGGGGTGGTGTTACACTGTGGGTTTGGGTTTAGGGTGTAGGGTTTATATTGATGGGGTAGGGTTTAGTTTTTGGTGTATTTTAAAAAAACTTGAATTATTACAGAAGAATTTCATAATAAAAAAATCATTTATTTGAAATTTATATCTACTTTCAAAATTACATTCACAAATAGAAAAAAAAACTAAAACAACTAAAGAAAATCCAGAATTGAAAGATAACAAAACTAATAAATTTTTAAAAGACCTCAACTATATAAAGATAGAATCTATTTCAAAAATATTGAAAATTTTAACTATCGAAATGAATTGGTAGGTGATATGCAAGACACAAACAAGACATAATAGATACATAAGTAAAAGAAAAGAAAACAGTGAAAAAGAAGATGAAAAATTTAGAAAAGAAAAAGAAAAGTCGAACATGAGGAAAAAGAAAGGAAAGAAGAAATAATGGAATGTGAAGAAAATTCCAAAACAAATGAAGAATATTACGTAGAAGAACAAGAAAGAGAAGATAAAAATAAGACACCTCAAGATTACAAAAATAAGAAGTTTGCGAAAACAAAAACGATGAATACAATAAAAAGTTGTACTACTTATATTATTTAAATCTTTAATTAATAATTGTATTTAAAAAATATTGTACCCGCACAAGGTGCGGGACCACCACGTTGTAGAAGTTGTTTGCTAACCTATGGCGCGAAATATTGATGAAGTCAATAAGCGACGTCGTTTAAGCAGAAAACGTTAAAAAAAATACAAAAGGATACTAGTGGGCTATAATTAACAGAAAAAACCGAAAAAAGCTAAACATTGTTTAAAACCGTTTCGATTTACATTTTACAATATCTTTTTTTTCAGATATTTCCCCTGTTTCTCTCTCAATTTCCCATGGAGAAGAATAATCATAACCCTAATAACCCTCACGAATGTCTCTCATCCAAATCATGGTCCGATCTTCCTCAAGATCTCTTGCATCCGGTGTTCGAACGGATCGGTTTTGCTGATTTCCAACGAGCTAAATCCGTCTGTCGATTCTGGCACTCTGTTTCGAGACAGTCCTTGTGAGAAGGAGATGTCGACAATCACAATGTCAAAGGTTTGGGCTCAAGCCCATTAAAGTTTTACAAGTTCTATAAAGAAGAAAGACTTTGGGCTAACGGTTGTGGCCCATACGTGTACAAGAAGTTTCATATATATAATTCTTCTAAGGGTTTTAGAAGGATAGCGAGAAGGAGAAGAAGAGCATAGAAGAGAAGCAGCTGCAGAGACACGGTCAAGGGTTGTCTGAGGTTTCTCTTCTGGTTAAAGCTTGTGTTCATCTTGTGTTCACGTTATAGAACTAGGTCAATAGTTCCTGGTCTTGTTTCTTGGTGTTCCCTGAAAAGTAGAAACAAAGAGACGTGAGATAGAGAGATTACTCTTGTAATAACTTGATTGATTCTAGTGGATTGAGAGTGCCGTCCTCTCCCCAGACGTACCGAAAGGGAACTGGGTTACCAAAGTCTTGTGTCTTATTAATATCAACAACAAACATACGTGTCAAGTAATTGATCGTGGTTAGCTTAAGCTAAAGTTGAGGTTGAATCGATATTAAAAACCTCGCAGTCCTCGCCCAAAAATCGGATCCATTGGTTGATTCTCTTCCCCGAATACAAAAACAACAACAACAAAAATTCTTGCACGCTGTTCAATCCCGAGGAAAAAGACAAACTTTACAAAACGCAAGATCTTGGTTTCGAATTTTCGAAGAGCTCTTGCATCGCCACCTATGGAAGCTGGCTCCTTGTGCGAGATCCTCGTTACAATATCTACATTTTGAATATCTTTACCAACGAGAGGATCGATCTACCTCCTGTTGAGTCAATCAAGCAAACCTTGGACGATAAATGTAGCTCTCGCATTTCAAACAATCGACTAATTCATACAAGATCCCCTGGCGTTTTGTGTTGACGAGAAAACCAAAGACTATATAGTCATATGGGGACTTGTAAGGTCGTGTCTAGTTTATTCCAGGAAAGGAGACAACTCGTGGAAGAATATTCCGGAATCTGCGGATTTTTACGACATGGTTTACAAGGATCACAAGCTTTACCTATTAAGCGCCGAATGTTGTAGTTTCATCAAAATCTTTGATTTTTCTGGAGAGACACCACGAGAGATCTTTCGTTGTGGTGTTGAGTTGAAAACGTTATGGTTACGTGGTAAGGCTTTTCTACAGATTGATTCATGGTGTGTCGATGAGACGAAGCTTGTGGTCACGGTAACAGGAGATGTCCTCAAGGTTGAAAGAAGGAGAAGACCTAAGTCTGGAACGGTGTCGTTTCGTGTCTACAGGTTTTATACGTCATCGGGGGTTTTCAAGAAATATGAGAGAGTTGTTTCTTTGGGGGACGAAGCAATGATTTTCGATCTAGGCGTCACTGTGGTCGCCGATGATGAGATTGAGGGTATCAGAAGAAACTGCATCTATTTCAATCGCAGTCATAATAGGATGAACAGAAATGATGTTTCTCTCTTCAATCTCGAGACGCGGAAGATGGAGCCACTGCACATGTTTGATGGTTCGTCAGTTCAAGTCTCTAGTGTTCGATGGTTCTTACCAAGTTTCACTCAGACATGATTGATCTCAACTATGTTTTTTCTTTCTTCGTTTTAATCAAATAAGTTTTTTTAGTTAGAACTTAAAAGTATTGTGTACACAAAGGTTAATTTTACCAAAAAAAACTAGCAAATGTGTACAAAACGATATGCTTAAGTGTTGTAGAGTACCATGTAATGTACAAAACCTCTCTCACGCACATATTGAAGAACAGATTAGTTTGTAATATGAACAAAGATTCTTGTGGCGGCAAAACACATTCAAGAAACCAACATCGACGTCGTTTTCAGCAGAAAACGTTAGTGGGCTAAAAAGACTGGGCTGGAGAAGAAAATCTAAAACATTCTCTTCACTGTTTCGATTTATTACTTTTCAGAGACTTTCCATTGTTACTCTCAATTTGCCATGGGGAAGAAACCTAGACCTAAACCTAACCCTAATTCGCATAAGCGTCTCAGACGAGATGCAGTCAATTCATGGTCGAATCTTCCTTCAGATCTCCTAGCTTCGGTTTACGAACGCCTCGGCTTTGTTGATTTACAACGAGCTAAATCCGTCTGCCCTTCTTGGCACTATGCTTCGAGACGATTCGTGCCGAAATGTCACATCATCCCCTGGCTGTTTATCTTGCCCAAAAACAACAAGAACAATTCTTTCACGTTTTTCAATCCCCAAGAAAAAGAAAAACTTTACAGAACGCAAGATCTTGGTGTTGAGTTTGCAGAGAGTGTTTGTAGGGCAACCTATGGAAGTTGGTTCTTGATGCAATATCCACGTCGTTATAATCTCTGCATGGTGAATATCTTTACCAACGAGAAGATCAATCTACCTCCTGTGGAGTATCAACTTGGAACGACAAAGATAGAGCGAACCAAAGATGACGGTTTTCGCATTTTAGGGCACGATGGACGAGAGACCAGACGTATGAACATACGATCCCCTGTGTTTTGGATTGACGGGAAAAGCAAAGATTATATTGTTCTATGGGGCCTTTCAGGATTATGTGTAGTTTATTCCAAGAATGGAGATACCTCGTGGAGTCAAATCCCCAAAAGTTCGGATTGTTATCACATGGTTTACAAGGATCACAAGCTTTACTTCTTAACCTCCAAAGTTGATGGTTTGAAAATATTCGATTTTTCTGAACATTTCCGACGAGAAGCCTTCCACGGTAGTATTTCTACTCCAATATATTCTAATGGGACGAAACTTGTTGTCACAGTAAGCGGAGATGTTCTCAAGGTTAAAAGAATGTTTGACTCTTGGTCAGGAAATTCCTTCACTATCTACAAAGTTTATTCATCGTTAGGTTTCCTTGAGGATCATGAAGAGGTTGATTCTCTAGGGGACGAGGCAATGCTTTTGGATCAAGGCATCACTGTGCCCGCCAATGACATTGAAGGAATCAAGCGAAACTCCATCTACTTCATTGGTAATCTTGATAAGAACACAACTGATATTTCTGTTTTTGATCTTGAGACGCAGAAGACGGAGCTAATTCACAAATTTGATTGTTCGTCTTATCAACTCTCTAATGCCCGATGGTTCTTCCCTTACCAAGTATCTTAGAGACTTGATTTTTGGTCTTTCTCAACATTGTTTTCTTTTTCTTCAGTGATATGTTTGTTTTTTTTTTCCCATCACTTAATTTAATGGTCAATGACGTACTGGTTTTCTTAGTTAAATTGGATTTATTGATTCCATATATTGCTACAAAAAGCTGTTTAATTTAAAACAAAAGTGATGTATCATGTATGTATAAAACTTCAAATCCAAAAATGACCTAGGTCATCAACGCGTTAACTAAGTTTTTTGCCAAACTTCAAATTCGATGTGTAAAAGTAAAACGATCACTCCATTTTCTTTAACTTGCGTTATAATATTTTAGCCAAATGGAGAAGTTTTGTTAAAAAAGTTAAGTTACATCTCGATCCAAAAATAGCTTTATGAATAGGTTTCTTGGAAAGCAAGACTGGGGTGGCTGGTTAGTGATGTGTGGCTTACAGGAGAGTGACGTTGTAGAACTTGGTGGCTCGTGACTCTCTGTCGCCAAAGGAGAAGAAAAAAGAACAAGGCCATATAGAATGGGCCGATGAAGCCCATATATAAACCAACGCTTCACTACCGATACAACCCTAATTTAGGTTTGGAGTTAAGACGGAAACTTCTGAGGCAAGGCAAAAAAAAACATTCAATCGTCTCTTTCAATTTTGCCATGGAGATAAACGAGAAGCATAACAACCCTAATTCTCATAAGCGTCTCAGAGGAGATGCACTTATTTCCTGGTCAGATCTTCCTCTAGATCTCTTGAATTTGGTTTTCAAACGCCTCAGCTTTCCTGATTTCGAACGAGCTAAATCCGTATGTTGGTCTTGGCTATCCTCTTCGAGACAAGCCGTACCCAAAAGTAGTATCCCTTGGCTTGATCTCTTCCCCGTAGACAACAACGAAAGTAGTTCTTGCACGTTGTTCAATCCCGAGGAAACAGACAAACTTTACAAAACGCAAGATCTAGGTTTGGAATTTGCAAAGAGTGTTTGTATGGCAACCTTTGGAAGTTGGTTCCTTATGCAAGATCCACGTCAGAATCTCTACATTGTGAATATCTTCACCCACGAGAGGATCAATCTACCTCCTGTGGAGTCACAGCTTGGAAGGATAAAGATAGAGCGAACTGTAGATGATTGGTTTCGTTTTGCTTCCAACGGACTGGTTTACAAGTACAAAGTTATGAGAATACGATCCCCAGTGTTTTGGATTGACGAGAAAACCAAAGATTATATAGTTCTATGTGGACTTTTACGATTATGTGTAGTTTATTCCAGGAAAGGAGACACCTCGTGGAAGCAAATCCCTGAATTTTTAGATTGTCGTGACATGTTTTACAAGGATCACAAGCTTTACTTGTTAACCTTTTCTTCCTGGTTTAAAATCTTCGAATTTTCTGGAGCGATTCCACAACTTACCTTCAATTCTGGTGTTATTGGGGAAGGATTTCATTTGACTCAAGGCGTCGTTGTTGCCACAAAACTTGTAGTCACAGTAACAGGACAAGTCCTCAAGGTTGAAAAATTCTGGATAAGGGGCTCTAGTACCGTGTCCTTTAGGGTTTTCAAGATTGTTTCATCAGGATTACTCACGAAACAACAAGTGGTTAGTTCTATCGGAGACGAGACGTTGCTTTTTGATCAAGGCATCACTGTGCTCGCCAACGACAATGATGGATTCATTAGAGATTCCATCTATTTCAGTCTCAGCGAAACTGATATCTTTGTTTTTCATCTCAAGACACAGAAGACGGAGCCGCTGCACAGATTTGATCGTTCTTCAGTTCAATTCTCTGGAGCTCGATGGTTCTTACCAACTTTTACGCAAAATTAATGTTGATCTCAACAATGTTTCAAGATCCTAGATTGGTTTCTCATTTCAAACCAAAGGTCGTCCGGGGGTATAAGTACACAAGATCCATGTTTTACAAGCTTTTCTTCTTTAGCTGCCATAATGTTTTCAGAAATTTCTAATGTTTCAAGAGAGATTCCTCGAATGTTTATCTTTTTCCTTTTGCAATATGTGTGTTTTGTTTTGGTTTTAATCAATTTTCTTACAACCGCGACCGGAAAAATCATCATTTTAACAGATGAGAATGGGAGAGAGATTCAAAACTTATATGAGAAAGTATATGTGAGGGTCTTATGACTCCAGAAACCGCCAAAACCAAAACAAAGATATGAATGTTACGATTAGTTTATATGGAAGCCCATTATCGGTCCATATTCTAGAATGTTCTAGCTTGTTCTCCAAGTTGTACCTCCTTTCCAAGAAAACTCTTATCTTGTACTCCTATATAAAGGACTTATTATTCATGAATAAGATACAACCAATTCATCTCTTCTCTTGTTCTCTCTTCTTACTATAACACGTTATCAGCACGAGTCTCTAACCATTAGGTTAAAACCCTAGCCGTCTAAGCTAAGAGGTAAGAGGAAATCAAATTTCCTTATTTCCAAAGATTAAACAAGATTCAATGAATAATTTCTATTATTTTGTTGATCTATGTTTATCATCTCAATCCGAGAAGGATTTGTAATCCTGAAGAATTACAATTACAAAATCATTTATATCCCAGAAGAATTTATATCTTATCATAGAAAGGTTTTTATATCTATGAAGGATTTATATTTTATTTATCCCAGAAGGATTTATAAAGATTTTATATTGTTTATTATTTCAGTTACATATATATTGTTTTTATTTGCTTCTCATAAGATATTTGTTATTTTCGTTATATGTTTAATTGATTAATTGCATATTATTAATCATCAAATATTGATCTATTTTATTGTCTAACATATTGTTTAGTATTGATATATCGAAGACTTTATATATTGTTTAATATTGATCTATTTATAAACTAAAAGGCATCAATCTATCGATTTATGATTCTTCGATTGTTAGATCTATGCTCCTTCGATTGTTGCAATTTGATTCAGTTACTTTGACTCATCTTAAGCCATGTGATAGATAACTTAGGATAATTTATATTCTGGGTGACATCTTTATTTTATATGATATTTTTATTTGCACCTCATATGATATTTGCTATTTAAGATGATATCGATTTGGGTGTATGTTCATAATTGAATCATGCATTCATAGCAATTTAGGATTATTCTCTAATCCCCACATCATACTTAGTATTTATGATATATGATTCCTGTTACTTGTTTAGGCTGTGAATTCCTTTCTAAAGCATATTTAAAAAGAAGTGATAATTGAGGTTTAGACATGTAAAACATATCTTGTTTGTCAAACATGTTTTAAGTATTAGCAATATAGTTGCACTAACGTTTGATTAATGAGCATATATCGAAATGATCAAATAGTTGTTTGCTTTAGAATATGATTGGTATATATGCGCTTGTTTCGACTATTGAGAATTGTTAGCATTTAACAGTGAATCATTGGTTGGTTTAATTGTTAGAAATCATTGGTATTCACCATGAGTTTATGATGTCGATGATATTTATATGTTCATAATGATTGTCGAATGTTTCAATACGTTGGTTTAATATTCTAATGCATTAGTTTAATCAATGATAAGCTATATGTTAGACCATCTTATGCTTCTTTGACGAACCTGGTAATTTGATAAACTTTATTGCGCTAGCGTCTTATCGTTTCATTTGTTCGATTAAAGTGATTTCATGAGCATGTGTATTTGTTTATTGCTATCAAATCAAGCACATAGTTAGTGATGGTTAAGTTGTCTATTATCTGTTAATACATAAGTTGTAATTCATTGATCTAATTAATTTTGTCGTCACATTTTTGTATCTCTTATTGTGAAAATTGACTACAAAAATAAAAAGGATTGATTGATCTAATATAGCAATCCAAAGGAAAAAGTATTATCACCAGAAGTGATATGATTTTGAAATATTAATCTAAAGAAAAAGAATTATCACCAGAAGTGATATTATCTAAATAGAAAATTATTTCATCTAAGATCATATAACTTGAAGTTTATATGTGGAATAACATTACTAATACAAATTAATGTGTTAGAAGAAATTATGAAAATATTGTTGTCCTGCAGACACAATATGTTTAAGGAGAATTTTATATAGTTGTCCAGTAGACACAATAGCAAAGAAATTCTTCATGATTTTTAATTTGTTATTTTCTTTTAAAATTAAATTTGTCACCTGAAGTGATAATAAAATAGTACATGTTACTAATATTAATTGTTATTATCATGTTTTACTTATACATATATGTAGCTTGATAATATTTATTTATTTATTTTACATTTTATATTTAGTATTTGCATCAAAAACCACATGACCTGAAGTCTATAAGTGGAGATAATAAATATTATGAAGATGTTAAAATACATCAAGAAAATTTTGTTGTCTTGCAGACACAAAAAACATTATCACCTGAAGTGATAATATAATTTGAGAATTTATTCAAATTATATCTTATCTTTCTAATTTTATTTTAAACTAAATTTGTCACCAGAAGTGATAATAAATGGTATATATTATTAATATTTATTTTGATTATGCTCTATTTATTTATATATATACTTATTTTTATTTTTATTTTATTATTGTCTATATGATATCTTAAATTTTCATGAAAGATTACAAGACCTGAAGTCTGTAAATAACTTTTAACTATATAGAAGATAATGTATATCAATAGAGATGCTAAAAAGCATACTCTAAATAATATTGTCATATTGTCTGTAGACAAAATAATCTTAGACAATTTTACATTATTTTGAGAAAATATTGAATCATTGATGAAAATCATATCCAATTGGTTATGATCAATTCCCTGAAGTGAATGTGATATACAAGTAAATGGTTAAAGAGGTTATTGATTTTATATTGGAATTCAATTCGAGATAGATGAACCTGAAGTATCATCATCTCGAGGGGGAGAATGGATGAATCCCACAATCAATAATAATGGAACATCTAGAAGATTATGTTCACACTCAAGATAAACTTGATCATTGATCAAGAAAAATATAAGAATCCCTAATTCATAGTCCAGAAGATTATATTCAAAGATAAATGATCCTCATGAATCATATATTTTGGTTATACAGTAAACCAGAAGTTTACCGAATATAATATAATTTGGCATGAACTGGTTAGACCATTCTAGTTCAAGATATTATGCGAAGTAAAATACAACATGTAGACATTTGTTGAAGAACTAGAAATTCTTCTAATGATTTCTAATGTGATATTTATCATATGAGATTATGATAATACAATAATTATCACTAGCCAAAATAGATTTTGAGTCTATTCATTTTCTAGAGAGTATACAAGAACATATGTGGTTTTTAATAACCATTGTGGACTAATCATCCCTAAAGAAATTTTATGTATGTATTCATATTATAAATCTGCAACCTGAAGTTTGCAAGATTACTTGAGTAGTGCTAGTGAATCACATCTTAAGTCTTTGATGAGAAAATCATGTTTGTAAGAATATGAATACACATTGAACATCCAGTAGATAATGTTCATCACAAAAGCATTAATTCGCATAAAGCCAACAAAGAACTAAAAGTTCTCCCCATCAAAATTGGTTTTGGGTCAGAAACCTTTGGATGTGCATACATCCACATTGCTCCACCACAGCAATATAAGATGGATCTTCAAAGAGATTGTAGATGTTGGATATGAATCTCCATTGATAATATCTAGAGCTATCTGAAGGATTTAAGTAAGGCTCGATTTATAGACTACCATGTTAATGGATAAGTCTTTCCAACATCAGGGGGAGAAATAAAAGGCTGGAAAGAAAAGTAGTTTGAATGAATTATCATTGATCCTCGGACTATAGAATGTGAAATAGAAGTCCAAAAGATAGTTCATTCACAAAACTTATTGTATCAGTTGCCAGATACATTTACTGACCCAAATATAGTGATTGAGTCACTTACCAGCTGTAAATGCTCTAATAAGAATTGATGTCCCAGAAGGACAATATCAAGCTGCTAGTGAGTCTAAAGAACGCATGAAGCGTGATAGACTTGTCGGTTCCAAATATTATAATCCTCGAAAAAGTAAAAGAGCATAAATTGACAATGGTCAAACCGAGGAAACAAATATTTTTGAGTGATCTCCAGAAGAGACATTAAACATGACAAATAAGAAATTCAGGTACCTGAGACAATGATGAGATCTCGAGAAATTACTTATGTCATGTATAGAATAAATGGAACCAGAAGCAAATCGACGTCGTAAATAATATATTTGCATGCAATGTAGCAGTTGATATTATGAATGATAAAGAGGATCATGAAACAAAGTCTATTGCATTGTGTACACAAAGTAATGATTTGGCCAAATCAAAAGAAGCAATAGACTCAAAACAAAATCTCTTAGAAAGAGAAAGTATTTGGACCAGAAGTCCTTTCACCTAAAAAGTGTGAAACAAGTGAGTTATAAAGAATGAGTATGAAGAGATATACTCTCATGTGGTGGATGCAACTTTCAAGTTCATTAAGTCTGGCAATGAAAGAAGAACTTGACTATACAACTCACTAAACAATGACATTTATATAAAAGTCCCTGAAGGATATAATCATTGAAGAATTAATGATATAATCGTTATGTTCCCGGAGAATATTAGCTATTCAATCAAATGAATAGAAATATATTCATGGATATACAAAGTGAATATATAAGTAACAATACCCATGTATATTTAACAAAAGAGTATTATAGAGATCATGAAACTAAACATCGAAATTCCTGAAGCATTTTCGAAATTAGTATCACAAGGAGATGGGATAAAAGATCTTGGAAAGACAAAGTTGTCTTAAGATATCCCAAATTCCCAGAAATGTTATGGCATGATTTACATAAACAATGCTCACATATATTTGGTCCTGAAGTACCATACTTCAAATGCTATTTGAAAAATATGTTAGTCTCTTTCATAATTGAAAATGAGCAAAATGAGCATGAGATTATATATACAAGATAGATTACAAGAATGTATATAAAAGAGAAAATTTGGCCAGAAGTCCAAATGATTGTTTATAGAAAAAGATGTCATAGACTAAAAGTCTAAATGACTTTCATCAAAGTTATACTTATAGTAATCTCCAAGCTAGTATTTATTATTGGAATGCATCTTCTTCCAAGGGGGAGAATATAATGATATGTGTGGTTGTACTCTTTTTCCTTCTCATGGTTTTTATCCCATTGGGTTTTTCCATGAAAGGTTTTAATGAGGCAACAAAGAACACACAAATGAGAAACATCTAAAGAAGTCTTGTCATCTATTTATGAGATCAAGTGAAGCAAGGAGATTGATCAAGATGAATCATCTTGACCATGCACCAAGAAGAATGGCGATGTCAATGTTCTAAAGACTGTTCAAGTGAAGATTTTAAAGGAGTTTCCATCTGCTATTATCAAGAAGTTCATTCACCTAATCTACACGGATGTTCTCATGAGGGGGAGTAGTTGCGCGCTGTACTCTTTTTCCTTAACTAAGGTTTTTCCCTTTGGGTTTTCCTGGTAAGGTTTTAACGAGGCAGCATCATGCGCACTTAGAAGATATTTTTAGATAATGGACTTCCAAGGGGGAGTGTTATAATTAGTTTATATGGAAGCCCATTATCGGCCCATATTCTAGAATGTTCTAGCTTGTTCTCCAAGTTGTACCTCTCCAAGGAAAACCCTATATTGTAATCCTATATAAAGGACTCATTACATGAATAAGATACAACCAATTCTCTCTTCTCTTGTTCTCTCTTCTTACTATAACAATATAACAATGAATATATTTTTTGTGGCGGTAAAACGTAGAAGAAACCAACAAGCGACGTCGTTTTTTAGGACAAAACCTTAAGCAGAAAAGGATAGAAGCCCATAATTAACAGAAAAAAGGCAAAAAGCCGACCTCATTCCTTAATCCTTTATCTATATATATAAGGTGTAGACATTCTTCAAAACGTTTCGATTAACTAAAATATTTTTCAGAAGCTTTCCACTGTTTCTCTCAATTTGCCATGGAGAAGAAACTTAACCCTAACCCTAACCCTAATTCTCATAAGCGTCTCAGACGACATGCATCCAATTTATGGTCGGATCTTTCTTCAGATATCATGATTTCGGTTTTCGAACGCTTAAGCTTTGCTAATTTCAAACGAGCTAAATCTGTCTGCTCTTCTTGGCACTCTGCTTCGAGACGATCCGTGCTTAGAAATAGTCAGATCCCCTGGCTGATTCTCTTCCCGGAAGGCAACAACAATGCTTGCACATTGTTCAATCCCGAAGAAAAAGACAAACTTTACAAAACGCAAGATCTTGGTGTTGTGTTTGCAAAGAGTGTTTGTAGGGCAACCTTTGGAAGTTGGCTCTTGATGCAAGATCCACGTTATAATCTCTACATGGTGAATATTTTTACCAAAGATAGGATTAATCTACCTCCTATGGAGTCACAACTTGGGAGCATAAAGATAGAGCGAACCAAAGATGATGAGCTTCGCATTATAAGTAACAAGGGTTATGGATATGAGTCCAAACGTTTTAACATACCATCCTTTGTGCTTTGGATCGACGTGAAAACCAAAGACTTTATTGTTTTATGGGGACTTGGTGAGTTTTGTGTAGTTTATTCCAAGAAAGGAGATACCTCATGGAGTCAAATCCCCAAAAGTTCGGATTGTTACCAGATGGTTTACAAGGATCACAAGCTTTACTCTTCAAGATATTATGGTTATAGTTTCAAAATCTTCGATTTTTCTGCAGATACTCCAAGAGAAGCCTTTCACGATGATACTTATCATACACGGTATCGTAGACTTCGTGGTGGGGCAAAATTTGTAGTCACAGTAAGCGGAGATGTTCTCAGGGTGGAAAGAATGTTCTCAGAATCTGGAATCTTGTCCTTCATCATCTACAAAGTTTATTCGTCGTTAGGTTTCCTTAAGGATCACGAAGAGGTTGATTCTTTGGGGGACGAGGCAATGCTTTTGGATCTAGGCATCACTGTGCTCGCCAGTGACATTGAAGGAATCAAGCCAAACTGCATCTATTTCACTGGTTATCGTGGAAGGAACACTACTGATATCTCTCTTTATAATATTGAGACGCAGAAGATGGAGCTACTTCGCAAATTTGATTGTTCTTCTGCTCAATTCTCAAGAGCCCGATGGTTCTTACCAAGTTTCGTAGGTACATAGACTTTCTCTTCAGAGATACATATATATTTTTTATAAAGGGTTATGATATGTTTGATTTGCATAATTTAATGACCATGACGTGCTGGTTTGCTTTGTTAAATTGGATGTTTTGATTCCTTTGCTACGAAAAATAATAAAAACAAAAGTGATGTATGTATAAATCTTCGAATCCAAATCATACTAGCAAATGCGTACAAAGAAATTGCATATGTGAAACATTCTTATTCGTAAATTGCGGCAGATTTCTTTAGAGGTAAATTTAATTCTTTTTGGTGATGAACTGTGTGACATCTACCGCTGAAATAATGTAGAAATAAAGATTCTAAATTTACTATCCCAAATATATTTCTTAAAGCGCTTCAGCAAAACCAGTTCTTGATTTTCCGTAGTCGAATATTGTTGTATGTGTATTGTAATTAATTTGTAAGGTCTCATGAGAGATTGGGGTCTAGGCCAAAGAATTTCAAAAGTTTTTACACTTGAAGTGTATTTGCATCTCTACATGAACATGAGCAATATGAAGTACTCATTCACGTCGGCATTTGTACCACTCTAGATGGTTTAATACGTTACTTCCTTGTACCACTCTAGTTAGATTAATACATTAGTACATTACTTCCGGAAAAACAAATATGTTACATCTCGATTAACCATAAACCATGTTATCTGGATACTTTAGAACTAAAAGACCAAACATAAGCCCTGTTCGTAAGTTAACGTTGTCGCAAGCGACCAAAAATAGCTTTATAGATAGGTTTCTTGTAAAGCAAGACTGTGGTGACTGGTGAGTAGTGTTTATTCCGAAATGATGCGACTAAACGAAACTCAAATAAATAGAGACACAAACTACAACTTTGGTGACAAATAAATATAGCCGGAAAGTGACGTTGTGGAACTTGGTCGCCAAAGGAGAAAAAACAACAAGGCCATATAGAATGGGCCGATGAAGCCCATTTATATAACCCAACGCTTCACTACCCGATGCACACCTAATTTAGGTTTGGAGTTAAGACGGAAACTTCTGAGGCAAGGCAAAAAAAAACATTCAATCATCTTTTTCAATTTTGTCATGGAGATGGAGGAGAGGCATACCAACCCTAATTCTCATAAGCGTCTCACACGAGATCCACTTGTTTCCTGGTCCGATCTTCCTCTAGATCTCTTGACTTTGGTTTTCAAACGCCTCAGCTTTCCTGATTTTCAACGAGCTAAATCCGTATGTTGGTCTTGGCTATCCTCTTCGAGACAATCCGTACCCAAAAATAGTATCCCTTGGCTGGTTCTCTTCCCCGAAGACAACAACAAAAGTAGTTCTTGCACGTTGTTCAATCCCGAGGAAACAGACAAACTTTACAGAACGCAAGATCTAGGTTTGGAATTTGCAAAGAGGGTTTGTATGGCTACCTATGGAAGTTGGTTTCTTATGCGAGATCCACATTACAATCTCTCCATTGTGAATATCTTTACCCACGAGAGGATCAATCTACCTCCTGTGGAGTTACAGACTGGAATGATAAAGATAGAGCGAACTGTAGATGATGGATTTCGCGTTACAAGTCCCAACGGATTTGGACGCGTTTTCAAATGTATTAGCATACGATCCCCTGTGTTTTGGATTGACGAGAAAACCAAAGATTATATTGTTCTATGGCGACTTTTAGCATGTCGTGTCTTTTATTCCAGGAAAGGACACACCTCCTGGAAGCAAATCCCCGAAAGTTCAGATTGTCGTGACATGTTTTACAAGGATCACAAGCTTTACTTGTTAACCTTTTCATATTTTTTCCAAATCTTTGATTTTTCTAGTGGAATTCCACAACTTACCTTCAACTGTGGTGTTATTGGAGAAGGATTTCATTTGACTCAAGGCGTCGTTGTTGCCACAAAACTTGTAGTCACAGTAGTAACAGGACAAGTCCTCAAGGTTGAAAAAATCCATAGAATGAGCTCTACGACCTTGTCCTTCAGGGTTTTCAAGATTGTTTCATCAGGTTTACTCAAGAAACAAGAAGTAGTTAGTTCTATCGGAGACGAGACGTTGCTTTTTGATCAAGGCATCACTGTGCTCGCCAATGACGCTGATGGATTCATCAGAAATTCCATCTATTTCAGTTGTAGTAATGGAAACACAAACGACATCTTGCTCTTTAATCTCAAGACACAGAAGACGGAGCCGCTGCCCAAATTTGATCGTTCTTCGGTTCATTTCTCTAGAGCTCGATGGTTCTTACCAAGTTTTACGCAAACATGATCATGATCTCAAGATTAATGTTTTTTCTCTTCAGTATGTTTTTTTTTTGCTCTTTCTTTTGTTGGGTTTTACTCGGTATGTTGTTTTACTCTATTTAATTTTTTATTACGTGATAGCTTTTTATTGCTCATAGTGTGTTGTATACAGAAAGGTTATAATTACAAATCTAACATAAATGTTTACAAGACGATATGTTTAAACGAGCTTTTGTTGTAGAATCTAAATGTTTACAGGATAAAGTATAGCTCTTTTGAAAGTTAGCTTTTTAACATCAAATTTAAACTGTTGTCTTGTCTATGTGTAGGTAGTACTGATTATTGTACGATAACTAAAATGTCGTGCTCCTCTTTTTATTTGTTGTCCAAACATTATTAAGCACACAATACAAGATCTATATGGTCACAAAACTCACATTGTCTGAGAGAATTTTCAGTTTCATAAAGAGTATCCTTTTCTTGCAATCCACTGAATGTCATGATATTCATTCCGATAGCTTGCTTAGAGTAGGAATAAACAAACGGTAAAAATCATTTCAGGTTAACATAAGTCTTTTATTGTAAATCTTGCTTTGTTTTATGATGGCCCATATGTTTCACGGGCTTTTTAGGACACGATGGGCCTAAATCTAGTCTAGTGATTGGTTAACTTTTTCAGTTCTGAAGTATACTACAGTTTGGTCTCATCATAAATTAATGTTCTGTTTTCCTTTTTAGTTTTAGAAAAGACTATTTAGTTTCAGTTAATTAGTAGTTTTGTAAGAGATACAAAACTAGTTTACTTTATTATGAGACTTAAGTAACTAACCCATAACAATTGGAGAAAAGTAGTTACATTAAATACTAATATAAAAACCATTTCTTAATTTACATGATACATAAGCAAACACAAAGATCTGCCCAAATCCACACATAACAGCAAATAAAAATGGACCCTCGAAACTATTAAGAGGGTTTGACAAATTAACACTTCCAAAAGATTACTACTATAGTACTACAAGACAAAAAGAACAAAAAGTCAATGAACTTTCTTAATGAAAAGATTACGGAAGCCAAATAAACCATTAGGATTATTGACATTAGCGTTAATATTATTGTCATTCCCAATGTTGTTACTGTTTCCACTCTCGTCGCTCCTGCAGCTTAACCGGCTCCGATAACCGATGCACATAGGCACGTTCAAGTTCAATACTTTTGCTTTATTGCTCTCAATGACCGTTTTACCCCTACGTGCCTCGGGAATTTCCCTTCTCCCCACAGCCCGACCGATCGGCTCGGATACCGTTTTTCCGGTCGGAGGAGCTCCACGCCGGACTTGCCAGACCGGACTGCTCCGACCAAGATGAACACCGTTACGACCCGGACTGCTCGGAAACTTCCTCGATTTGGATTCTCCGGTGGAGTTGCTTCTTGAGCACGGCGCGCTGCTTACTTTCCGGGTCGTCGGAGCTCCAAACGACATTCTAGGTCGGGTCACGTTGTTTCCCGCGGATCTGCTTCTCGAAAACGGCCAAATGTTGATGTTTAGCTCCGCACCGGAACCCGAGCCCGGACCCGGACCCATCTTCTTCTCTTTCTTTTTCTCTTTCACCTTCTCTTTCTTCCCGGCCGGTTTATTTTCGCTCTTCTTGAAGATATCTCTCCACCGCTTCGAAACCGTCGTTTCCCGGGTCAACTCGGATCCTAATCCGGGTTCGGGTTCGGTTTTTTGCTCTGTGATCAAAGCAGCGGGCGAAGGAGATGGATCCGGGTCGCATTCCGAGGCATTCGGGTCGGATTGAGGCTCGGATTTTATGGAGAGAAGGTGAAGCGGGAGGAGAACTCCGTCGTGGAAAAGCTCGTCGGCGGAGAGGAGATCTGGATCAGGCTGAGGAAATGAAGAGCTTGTGAGACGCCAGAACTCGAATTCCGGCGAGTTTGAGTCGCAGCTGCTACGACGTCGTTGACTACCGCATGGAGAGAGAATCTCCGGCGGTGGTTTACTGCGAATGCTCGTCGGACTATCCATGTTGCAGAGAGAGAGAATTTGGAAGTTGGAAGGTTGAAGATAATAAATTAATGAATCAGTAGAGAGAGAAAGATTGTGCAGATGCAATGTGACAATATATGCAGAGTACTTAAATGACGGAAATTTATGCACCAAAATATATTTTTCCTTTATTCTTTTCTTCATATAATTAATTTCTTTTTTTCTTTTGGATTTCTCTTGTTCATAATTCAGAAAATGATGGGATTTATAATTGGCAAATATCTCTAATCGATCACCTGTAGATTTTATATTATAATGAAAACGTAAAATACAGAATGCCAGATTTTATTTCAAAATTACTTTTAAACAAACAAATTTAACTACAGCTTTTGTAATATCACATGAATGGACTGTTGTGTAAATAATCTCACAGTGATAGTAACGAAATCAACATACACATTTGTCCTTTTTCCTATTGGTTTTTTCCTTTGCATAGATACTACTATTATTTTACTTGCTGATAAATGTACAACTTTAGTAATAAATCCTCTACACCTCTGAAGCTTTATGTCTCCTTTCCATGTATATAACTATATATACGATCCAACTCATTTAACTCTCCTCACCAAACTTGATTACCATATATTCACTTGGGACAAGCTAACCAAATTATAAGTCTTAATACGTAAATCGCCAAATTATTTATCAAAAACCTACTCACGATAAGACATTATTCTAGCAAAATTATTCTAATATTGGTTTTCTGAAAAGTTATGGCCTTAGCCCTTATCTAAGGAGGGAAGAAGTTTTGGAAACTAAGGCTCTAACTAAGGAGGGAAGAAGTTTTGGAAACTAAGGCTCTAACTGGTGACTAAGGAATAAAGGGGAATTGTTTTATTCCCCCTCATTCCCTAAAAATTACACAATTCACAAGGAATGTGTATTTCTTATTATTCCTTATCATTTCATATTAATTAGGAAATTTTAGTGTTTCATTATTCCTTATAAAATATGAGAAGGAATGAGTTCCATATATTTTATTCCTTCTCATTTTATTCCTTCTTATTCCATTCTTTCTCATTCTTTTTGTTCTTTTACATGTCACCAGTTAGAACTGAATAGTGTGATATTTGTTTCCATTATTTACACTCTTCCAATGTTTTTTTACCTTTTTCATTTATATTTTGTTTCAGTTTATTTAAACAACAATTACGTGTATGTGGTGGAAGGCATAAAATTGAGATGGGGAATATTAATTCCACTCAAAAAATATTCCTGGACCCCTAGGAACTTGATATTTTTCCGTTTCTTGATTAATGTTTCCCAAGAAAATAGCAAAAGAAAGTTTAAACTTTATGGATTACAAGAATAAAATTTGCAAATCGAAGTTGACCCTTTTGCATGTTAATCTACCGCAAATTTCATTACCCTGAACCCAAAAGTAATTTCTCTCTACATTTTGGTTTTACAATACAATTGTTTTTGCTTTTTATTCAAATATGATGTCATAGTGATGTTGGTGATGTCAAGTTTCAAAATTTCAAAATGTTAATTATTTATCCATCATGTGTTTTTCAATCATTACTTTACTTTGACTAAAATAATTTGAGGAACATACCACATTCCTCGACCGCATTTCATGGAAAATAAAATAGCAAATACTTGGTGTGGTTTATTTAAGATAAAAGGTACTGAAGATAGGTAGGTTCCTTCAATTATAGATGCAACCAAACCAAGTCACCGATGGTACGCAGACTATCAAAGTTCAGTCGGTTCGTTTCCAAAATAATGGGATAAATCAACGTTTTAGTTAATGATTTACCTAACATGCATATTATTTCATTACGTGATTTTATCAAGAAAGTTTTCACGATTATGTGATAGCGTAATGTCCTCTAAAACGAATGATCAAACATGAAGAGTTGTATAAACAGCGTAAGATTTTTTAAAAATCGTGTTTGTTCTCCACCAGTTTTTAGAATAAGTTTGAGGAGCTCTTGTTTTATTATTTAAGTATGTTGGTATTTATCTTTGAATTTTCGAATAGTTTTTTCTTTTGTTCTGTTATGTTCTTTTGTCTTGCCAAATTCTCTTTTTTATTTCTTTCTTTTCTTTTGTCAATCTTGCCAAGTTTTGTTATGTTTTACGACACCAATATATGAATTAATTAATAGAAAGTCCCAAAAGTATATATTTAACACTTAAAAAAAAATTAGCGATAAAAGGCAGACAAAGGAAGAGCCAAAACGAGGCCCATTAATAGAAGGAAACAAATGATCGTGGACGTAATTCAGTGGCACCCACACGTATTAAACGCTTTTTGCACTGGAGCATTACGTGGTACACCAGTGGCTGTGAATTTAACCACTTTAACGAATTTATTTTATTTTCAAAATGTCAGAATAACGAAAAATATTTCATAAACTCAGAAAACCAGTTAAACCAATTTTATAAAAATTAAAATAAAATAGCAAAGAGATTTTGTTGGTTCGGTTATGTTTGGAAACAGACATAGATAATGTAAGCCCATGTGACGGATAACATTATCTCACACTCATTTAATGAGGGTGGGGTCTCTTGATTACGAAAAGTCATAAATACCCTCCAAACTCTCTCTCTCTTCTCTGCACGCAACTTCGACGTTACATAGATTTGGTATCTGAGGTTTTCCCATTTCCCCATCCGTACACTGCCCCCATGTTACGACTTTTTACGTGCAACTAAAATTAAAATATAGCACAAGTTAACTAAAGCTTCCAAAATATGGTTTTAATCTTCGTTTGGATAATTGATCAATGCTAATCAAACGATGTCTAAAAAATTGGTAATCGACGGGCCATAGTTATAAACATAACGCCTTTTCTTAGTAGGTCCTTAGACAGCATGTTCATAGACACTTTGTTGAATTGTATTGTCAACGAGTTGTGTTTTTTTTCAACACTAATCAGAAATCTAAAGATATGTATTGAATGTTATTTTGGTTCTTTGTTATTGGCCATTATTATACGTTATCATCCGAACAATACTTTATGGACATTATTTAAACTAATGATGTTTACTTGTTATGTATTACAATGTGGGTGGGATAAAATTGAAGCTGAATTACTAAAAATGTAAGGAATGGTCTAGAGTGTGTCCAAGCTTCAAGTGGTACAAAAAAGTCGCATCATTTTTATGGCTCCATTGACAAAGAAATATCATAAATTCACGCGATGATCACGTGATCATTCTCTTCAGTTCAACGACTATTCCATAATACCAAAGAATAAAGGAAATTTTCTTCTCTTCCAAACAAAACAACGTGTACAACCTCAAAAAGATTATGTTCCGTAATAAATAAAACTCAATAATTCAACTATATATAAATTCGAACCGTAGCATGTGATACTGATACTACGACACAGTCACGTCACATTTTCATATATAAAGAAACTAAAACCTTGTTGAAAAAGATGGTACAGTAAATTAGGTCTATAATAAATTTTGAACTCAATTTTGATGCTTTTTTTTTGGTGGGTAAATTTATAGTTGGTATAGTTATTACATTACAACTAGAGTTTGTTTGTCAACTTATTTTTCTAATAAAAATTTGTTTACCATACCAGATTATTTCGTCTCCTTTATTTTTTCTTACACTTCTTTAGCAAATGGACTCATATTGATTTCTCACTCAACAGTTACATTTTTTTATTTACCTCATTATTATTTTTTTTGGACTAGATCTTATCTCAATACTTTCGTTCGTTTTCTATATAATTTTATTTTCCACAAAGTATAGCTTGTCATTATCTCTAATCACTTCAATACTGTCAATCTCAGCTCCATCTTCATTTGTCACCGTCGTCTCACTTCCATCAAACCCAAACTTTTCTCCTGTTTTTATCCACACAAACAAAACAATGTTAGAATGTTATAAAAGGAAAAAAAGAACACTAATTGAACCGGTCAGAAAAATAAACCAAAATCAATCAGAACCGATCAAAGATCAGAACCCGAACAGTAAATTGAACCGGTCGGTACGAATTTCAGAATTTGTGTGCTTTACCTGCAATTTTCTTGAGGTCATCAAATGAAAGAGGAAGCAGAATAAGCTTCCCAGCTTCATTGCAACTTCTTTCTCTCCTCTCCAATGGATGCCCTCTGTAAATACTCACTCTTCCTCGTTCTTCTTCTTCTTCTTCTTCTTCTTCCACAACTTTTAACTTCTCATGCGTGTTCACACCAACCACATCTGCACCGTTCATCTCTAAGAGATTCACCATGTCCATCTGATTCTCAGCCATAGCGACCTGCAAAGCTGTGAAGCCATGGTGATCTTCTGTGTCAACATTGATCCCCTGTTTCAGAAGATCCTTCATGACTTCTATATTGTTCTGTCTCACTGCTTCACATAGAAGATCTCCAGCTATGTGTGGATCCGATATGGCTGCGAAATGATAAAGAATTCTGAATATCTCGTAGTGCTTCGACGAGATTGCTTCCCATAGAGACGTGTTACCACTCAAATCTGCAATATTTTGTTTTTCAAAATTTGTGCTTAAAACATGTAAACCAAAATATATAACACTTCTTGAGTATGATGTGTTTACGGTTTACCTCTTATGTGAATGTTGCATCCGTGCTTTAGGAGTACTAAAACACAATCTTCATATCCTCTTGAAGCTGCTATATGCTGAAACATGAACATAAGACGACGAATTAATGACGTGTAAGTTATTTAAAATGATCTTTAGTGAATGCAAAACGTTACCAATGGAGTTTTGCCTTTGGAATCTGTAACGTCAGGGTTTAACTTAGCCTTAAGAAGCTCATCAAGAAGAGCTGCATTGCCTGTGGACACAACAGTGATAAGACTCGAGGCAATGTTCGGAGGAACAACACCGTTGTTTTCGCCATTTTCTTGTGCACCAACGTCTAAATCACTCAGCTTTTTGTGTTGCTGCAGGAAGTTCTTGAGCATTATGGCATTGTCTTGCTGTTTGATATGCATTGTCTCAATAAGGAAAGATGTTTTGAGCCGGAGAAGCTGTGACAGAGAC